GGGCGGAGCTAAGGGGTAGTTGGGCCTGCTAGACCAAATCAAACCCCGTGACCAATGTTAAGTATTTATATGATGAGAAAAAGATCCCTCAGCCAGAGAGCACTCAGAGAGTGCAAACCTCCGCCAAGGCTGAACAATTCCCCGCCATCATTGTCAGGACACCCAATAGAAATACTTTGAACTACTATGAATACATCCATTGAACTTCCATGTTTTATTGCACTTACTCGACTTCCCTCATAGTATCAAATGGTCGAGTCCATTGACTTGTTGGTTTCAATGGTGTACCTGTGCACTCATAGACTGCACGCTGCCTTGCCCACAAAAGTACACAGAGTGGCAATCTGTTCAGTGCTCGAAATCTGGTCAAATATTGTCATCTGTGGTGCAGAATCCTTAAAAATCCTGGATCCAGACTAGACCCAGATCCGTATCACTTCCACAATCTAATCGATTTGTATACTGGTATCAAGGACCACCACTAAGGCCAAAAAAGGTCTCCGGTTTCTGGTATTGAGCTTGCCCAAAAAGTGGTGCGGCGACGCGGCTTTTGCTCTTTTTTAAACCATTTTTCCCCCTTCAAATATTAGCTGATGACTGCAAATTTATGGTGCCCGACTAAACTTAGTGCAAATATATGGGAGTCCAGAGAGGCCACATGAAGCTTATATTCGATCGCAACCCCGTCTAAAAACACGTTAAAATTGTGCAGCAGCAGGATTCCAGTCAAACCAGTGAGTTTTGGTGGTTTTGAGACATCATCTTTCATTGGCTACGGCGACGCGCGCGCATACCAGAAACCGGAGTCTTTTTTTTTGGGCCTAAGCAATTGTTCGTGAAAATCCGTCCATAACGGTTTGAGTGACCATATTTACGGACAAACCAACAAAAAAACCAATGCCGATGAAAACATAACTTCCTTGTCTGGAGGTAATATAATCACTTAAATTATTGCAAATCTTAAATCATGGTTTCAGACCTTTGGTCTTGTGAGACAAGGGCTGCAATGCTTTAGATCACCCGGAAGTCACGGATTCATACGCCAGCCAATCTCCAGAGGACAATCCTGGATCGGCTTTTTAAAAAAAATTTCTTCATAAGGCAGCGCACACATTTGTTAACAATTTCATTGTTAGTTATTATTTTTGTTCTTACTTTAAATGCCTACATTTCAGAGAATACTGATTGTCCGTTTTGTGCGAATCAATGAGATGTAGGCCTACACGTCTATATCAGCGTCTGATCGGCCATAAGTTCAGCGCCATGCCGTGGTGTCTATGCGTCATGCTTGTTGGTCCATTATTTTTGTTATTACTTTAAATGCCTACATTTCAGGGAATAATGATTGTCTGTTATGTGCGAATCATTGAGATGTACATTGTACACGTCTATATCAGCGTCTGATCGGCCATAAGTTTTAGCGCCATTCCGTGTTGTCTAAGCGTCATGCTTGCTGGTCCATTTTTTTTGTTATTACTTTAAATGCCTACATTAAAGGGAATAATGATTGTCTGTTATGTGCGAATCATTGAGATGTACACGTCTATATCAGCGTCTGATCGGCCATACGTTTAGCGCCATTCCGTGGTGTCTAGGCGTCATGCTTACTGGCCCATTATTTTTGTTACTACTTTTAAATGCCTACATTTCAGGGGATAATGATTGTCCGTTTTGTGCGAATCAATGAGATGAACACGCCTATATTAGAGTCTGATCGGCCATACGTCCAGCGCCATGCCGTGGTAGCTAGGCGTCATGCCTGTTGGTCCAGTACTCCAGTTGCCTATCTGAATGCCGGACTGGCGCCACTTTGAACTTGTGGCCACACTGCCGTGTGTTATATTGATACCACTTGTGTGGTGAGTGCTGTTTCTAGTATTTGAGGACGTGCTTCTGTGGGTGCGCGTATGGCTGCGCCACATCCATGCAGCTTTAGTACTTGCACTTGAGATCACGGTACTTGTGTCCTCGAGCAAGACTCTGTTATTGCCTTGTTCTACCTCGTTCCATGGGCGTCGCCAGGATTAACTAGCCAACGAGAGAACATAATCTGTTCACGTGATTTCATGATATATTGTTTTGCAATTTCCTCTAAAGCCCGATGGCCTTTTGTCCCCATTTTTAAAATCGTGCAACCGATTTTGGAACAATGCCATGGAAGATTGTTTGTGTACAATAATTGCAAAATTGCTGGTATATATTCCGAGATCCGTGGCCAATCAAACTCAGGGTAAATCATTTTATATTTTAATGAATTTATCAATTGGAAATGATCCACCCGGGGTTAAAAGATAATACCGAGCGACGTCAGTATTAATTGAGGTCTGGCTTCAGAGCTAACCAGTTGTGTCTTCATTGTCGACAAACACAGGTAGGAAAAATCCGTTTGGTTAATCATTTGTCCCATACTTATATATATTCGAGAAATTGTTGTTTTACAATACAACCGACCAACCAACCAACCGACCGACCAGCATACCAACCTGCGAACAAACCAACTAACCGACTATAAAATGACCAGCCTGCTGCGATTTGTTTTCTCCAAAGGTGGGTGAAGCGAAATGTATGAATTATTCATGACATGCGACCTTTTTGCCTGCTCAGCGTCTGCTGAGACCGGAAATCTTTAGTGGGGGACGCCACAAGAATGTGCAGTGTAAAACCTCCTGCGGGACATGCTAGTTATCGGGGAGCTTCTGGTTTTTTTTCCAGGGGTCATAAACCGTCATTCTCACCTGCGTGTTTCAGCGTGGAAAAAGGAAAACAGATCATTAAATGAGTTATGAACACTTGTGACTCCCCACACCATATACCAAACTCATGTCCCAAGTTGTCTTTATTTTTACAGCTATACCAATTAAAATGAATGAGTCTCCTTTTAGGTTTGGTTATCGAGAAATGCAACATTTGGTTGCAACAGTGTCAATAGTTGTCTTGTGCGTTTCCTACTACTGCATTTTATTTTGCATTGGAAAGTTCTTGAACGGATAAAAAGTTTTAGATTCGTTAAAAAAATAGCTTAAATAATTTCATTACTTACACACTGTCGTAAAAGTTGGTATCTAAAATGTCCATGCAATACCCCTACACAGGTGCAGGAGACTTAAATGTTTGGTCCAAAACGCCAGTTGAAAAATGAAGAGTTTGGCGAGATTTCATGATTTGCAATCACAATGTACGAGTGTTAACGTACGCCGATGTATGTCGGCCTGAAAGCATTGTGAATAGCACGCGCTATTCGCGCAATGAATGACTTATGAATATTAAGCAGGCCACACTCGAGCGCGAGCTCGACCAATCAGTGGGCGTATGGGTCACAAGGTCACACCGTGTTTGGGTTCCTCGCTCTTTGCTTTACAATGGCGACGATCTTTTTGCGTTGTGAAAATGGAAGTTGTTGGAAACATTAGGTGTACATTGATTTTTTGAAAGTATTAACGACATCACGTTCACGAGATTTTTTTTGTAGATGAAGGTTCACCTTTTCGTTTGATTACCTCAACATTTGGGAGACTTTCGTCGTTCTCGAAAAAAACCCTGGAAATTTCATGACCTAATTTTCAGTAGATTTGTCCGTGAAATAATATCGTCAGATTGCATCGAAGTCCTTTTTTTTTTGAGAAAAAAAAATACCTTGATAGATGTGTGAAATAGGTCCTTAACTACCCAAAACAACTTTGTTTATTTGGATCAGTTGTGGTTCGCCATGAAAATTGCATATTTTGGATAACGGTTGATACTCAGACTACATATTATGTTGCTTATGCAGAAAATTAATGATTCGTACAGTCTAGCCACGAACCATTCTTTCGATAATTCAGAACATAATTTTATTACGTCTGTGCCATATAAGAGACACACTCTCGTTAAAAAAATGGTCCGGTTAACTTATTCTTTATGATGGGACTTGCGGAATGAATGCCGGCTCTGCACAATGGGCCATAAAAAGTGGTGGGTAAATGCCCCCCTGCACACCCTCTAAAAAAATAATTATATAGAATGTGCTGGCAAAAGTACAGGTCCTTTTTTCCGGGGGGGGGGGGATGTGCTTTGCCCCCCTCTAGAAAAAATCTAGAAAGTTGATTGCCAAGATCCATTGATCACGCCCCTTCGTTTCAGCTAGTCATGTGATTTGCCAGGACGACCGTAATTACGAGCTGTCATGACGAACCGTCATGACTAACCGTCCAAAACGAAAGAACGCTGATGAAACGTAACCATAACTGGAAAGGTTGAAAGGGGTGGCCGTTGCTCTTGAAACTACGTGCGCTATGGTGGGGTTGGTGGGTAGGGGTGGATGGGGGGGGGGGGGGGGGGGGTAACCATTAGAGACAATGAACCTGCTAAATAAAACCTTCAATAACAATGAAATATTTCCTCCGCAACCTTGGAGGTATTTGGTTTTCAAGATAACCCCACCCATCCCCACAAAAAAGGAAGTGAATATTCAAATAATAAACAAAAAATCATAGAAATCAAGCAAACAAAATAGAAATCAATGCTCTCCGGCTCGTGTGCTCACCCAACAACCCATACACCCACACCCACATGCTTTTTGGCAAAAATAGATTTATAGAACCACTAAAATAAAAATAGAACCACTAAGTTGCCGAGCGTGCAACCCAAACAAAATTCCCTTACGGAACGTTGATGGCACCCCCATTATCCAGCGGGCAGACTTTCCGTCATTTGAGTCCCACCTCCTATAAAGAACTCCTTCACGGACCTTCAACTGGTCACACTGCGTCCAACGGGTCTTGCAGGTTGCTGATAGGTAGGAAACTTTATTCCATTACCGTCCTTTATCAACCTTATCAGCCAACTCATGGTGTCATCCTGCAACTAGTCCTTTAAAGCACTTTGACCCTTGATTTCGCCCGGTAACCTGCTGTTATTTCACAAAGGGGTGTGTATAAGTACGTACGCATGTGCGTGCGTACGTACATATACACTTCATGTAGACTTCATGTACACAGCGTAGAATTGAGGTCGTTGCCATTTTTCTGAACACTCAAATTGTGCAGAAAAGAGGACCGTGTTTTGCAGTATCAGTTTGTCTCCAGGCTTCAAGCCAGAGTATCAATTTCGTAAACTTTCTGACTTTCCACTACAATGGATGTGGACGCCAGCCTGAGAGTTGTTGGCTTAGTGGGCCGCGTGCAAATCACTAACTTTGTGATCTTTGGAATGGGCCTGTCTTTAGCGGCCATACAGCTTACAGGCATCGCTTTTACCGTCGACCAATCTATAGCGCATTACTGTAAGCCGGCGCCGGGATTTTCGGCCAATGAAACTGTAGTGTACGTCGAAAAAGATGGTCTCGAAGTACCGGACGGCTGTTACATGTACGAGGTCGACAACGGAACATTTGAGGACACAACGATTTGTCAGTACGGCTGGGAATATACTCCAGAATATGGAGAAAAAAGTGCAACGACGGATGTAAGTAATTTCTTTGGAGGAGGGGGCTGGCAATAGCATTTTTATGAATTATCATTCTAGCTCCCTGAGCACCTATAGCCAGTATTAAATACTTGGATCGCTTAAGAAACTCGTTCACATTTGATTATGAGTACAAATATCACCGTATATCCTGTTATTATTATCACATACAGTCAGTAACTGAACATGACTTGAAAATTATACGCTCTATTGCAAAATATAGCCCTAATTAAGGCTCTTTGTCATCCAAATTTCGCAGAAATACAAGCTCACAGTCCTGTGCACCGCTTTTTCCAAACCATTAATTATATAACCCACAAAATGATAATATAATATCGAAGAAGTTGAGGGCATGCAGATTGTGATTTGGCCGGCTTAGGCAATTTTGGGCCTATTTACTGGCCTGGCCGTCAAAAGAAACGACATTTAACAATTTCACCCCAGACCACATTTAAGGCACGAGAATGGTGCAGTAATCATATTTCATCCAAAAATTGAAAAACCACTACACTTTTAGTCAGTAACAGGCATGAACATTTTGCAGCTGGTACGCCTTGCTTGTGCGCCTGCAATGAACTGTAGGGCCTACATGTATTTATATCCCACACTAAAATTGCGGTCACAAGTTCCGTGTTATTACGTGTTATTACTCGTCGCCGTTGCGTAGCTAAGGGCCCTGTCACACTTCTGCGTATCCTAATTCCTTATGAGTTGCGCATTGACTTTTTTTCATACGCAGTCGTACGCACAATACGCACCTCATATGCATCTCTATCGTTTTATGTAAGTTTTATGTACGCAGGCATACGCATGGTACGGCCCAGTACGCTGGATAGTTTTGGGCATGCACAAAACTACGCTGCGTACGCTGTTACGCAGGTCATAAGTTATAAATACGCAGCGCATCGGTCCCGCATCGGTCGAGTGCGGTACGAGTACGCTATGTGTTCGTGAGGGATAAGCCGTTCATACGCGGCAATACGCTGACCTCCTATATTGGACGTATACATAGCGACGTATTGCACGAATTAGTACCGCTCGTCCTGCGAGCGGGCAGCGCATTGTACTTATTCGTAACTTATGAGAAACGCACAAATGGCGAACTTGCGCACTGCATACGCAACTCATACGCATCTCATACGCAGTGGATGCGCTGAATTTGTTACTCGTTCGCTAGATGTGCGTCGCACATATGTCAAAGTAATCAAAAAATTTCGACGTTTTTGATCGTACGGCAGCGTATTGAAAATTGTTGATAAGGAACTCATAAGGAATTGGGATACGCAAAAGTGTGACAGGGGCTTTAAGGGAGAGAGGGAGGGGACATGTCCTAACTAATTCCTAGTAGAAATTTTCCTCTCATCAAAAAAATCTTTGTGAAAAAAACGCCCTCGCTGCATATTCAAGGAAGGCGCCATATTTAATATGGAGACCAGTAAATGGACTGCCATAGACCTCGGTGGTAGTTTTGCACAATTCTGAAAATTTATTTCATCATCTTTCGTTTTCTCTTCATTTTTGGGGAATTATCCAATTAATTTTGTGAGAAATATTCATCCGAAGATGATCACCCCTAAAAAAAAAAAGCGCTCAAATGCAAAAAAGAGCCCTTTCATCCAAATCTCGCAGAAATACACGCTCGTAGTCCTGTGCACGGCTTCTGCCTTTCTATTTTACAAACCATCAACTTTATGGTCCACAAAATGATCGAAAACCGAGCATGCACAGCGTGGGCAATTTTGGGCTTATTTACTGACCTGGACCCTGATGACGACATAAATGGCATACTTCCTCTCGGTGCGACCATTAGTCCAAAATGGTCGTCCCTATATAGGTAATGATGACGATACAATCATGCATATATCTTAAACCGACCATTGATCTAGTAATGTTTGCCCCTGAAGGTACTGGTGTCGACAAAGACATATTCATGGTTCCTCTGCAGGGGCAAGCCTTTGATTGTGCAATCATATTATGGGCTCTCCAAGAAATGAGACGCAAATAAATTATAGGGATGCCCTTATTTTAAAGGAACTGTTGTGTTCCGTTGTAGGACAACGTTAACGGTAATCCGCAAGAGGCCGTATCTTAAGTCCGACGCCTCATAGGTCCGACGCCTCATAAGTCCGAAATTTCGGGCTTATGAGGCGTCGGACTTATGAGGCTTTCTTTTATTTATTCCGCCTCATAGGTCCGACGCCTCATTAGTCCGACGCCTCCTAAGTCCGACAACGGAAAAAACGAGGCGTTTAATTTGTCGGACTTACGAGGTGTCGGAGCTATGAGGCGTCGGACCTATGAGGCGTCGGACTTATGAGGTGTCGGACCTATGAGGCGTCGGACTTATGGGCCTTTATTTGTTTAGGGGATTCGATTTTGTCGGACTTATGAAGCGTCGGACCTACGAGGCGTCGGACTAATGAGCGGACCCCATCCTCAACACTGTACCCTTACTTTTGGTTTTCATTCTCTCTCCTATAGCTTGACCTTGTCTGCGACCGTGGCTATCTGGCTAATCTACTGATGTCATGTCACTTTGCTGGTATCCTTGTCGGTGGTTTTATCACTGGCCAAGCCGCGGACATGTTCGGTCGACGCGTGGTCAGCATGACTACTTTGCTTCTGATGAGTGTGCTGGGCACAGCCATCAGCTTCACGTGGAACTTGCAGCTCCTGATGGCCCTGAGATTCATCTTAGGTGTGGCAATACCGGTACGGATCTTTAAAGTGTCGATCTGCCCTCACAATTGAATCATATGGGCAACGCACTCGAACCTTCTATGATTGTATTGGTTGCTCTCCCAGTTACAATGCCGCATTCGCTGTAATCTGATTGGCCGACTTCTCCAGTACGTTTAAATTATGTTGACCTCTATGTCAGAGGCCAATATGCTTACGACGACACACTTGGTCGTTCTCATACTATTTGGCCGAGAGACATTGAGACAGTTGTCAAACTAAGAGCACTTCTTAACTTATATTGTGGGTTGGGGCAATGTCAATGACGCAACAGTGACGACGACGATTTTAGCCCACAGTATACGTGTGTACACTGCAAAAACTGTAGTGTTAATTTAACACCATTCGGTATCTATATAGGACAACACCAGTAACATTTAATACCAGATGGTCCTATATAGATACCAATGGTGTAAATTTAACACTGCAGTTTTTGCAGTGTACTTTTGTAGATCTCAGGAATGTTTGCAAAGGGTAACTTAAAGGAGGTTGTGAGCAGTGTTCTTAAATCTTCAAAAGATTTTTTTTTTTCAAATCTCGCAGGGAAATTCTTTGGTTGGTTACATCCGAGCGGTGGAGATGTTCACAGCTAAAAAAAGATTACTGGGCCACGTGTGCGTCCAGTATTTCTGGAGTTTTGGTGTCATTCTCGTCGCACCTTTGGCGTACTTGTTCCCCAACTGGCGTTACTTCCAACTTTTCACCTCATTGATATGCCTACCAGTCCATGTCATTATGTGGTAACAGTTTGCCTTCTTCCTTCTTGTTTTCTTTACTAAAATTACTCTGGTCAAATAATGGCTTGAAATTCAATCATGTTTGTTGAAGGCACTTCGTTTTATCATCTTAAGAAATATGCGAATTCGGCATTATTTTTATCAACAGAATGATGATAAATATTTCGATGCCTGTGTTACAAGTTTGTATAGTTTCGTCATTTATAAACATCAATATGATGTAAGTACAAAGATTGCATTCACTGGTAAAAACTTTCATCAGGACCAGAAAAGAATTAGTACTATGTGTGTCTTTTCTTTTGCAACTTGAGAGTGCTACGCCGCATGTAAAATATGCCCAAAAGCTACAGGAATCGACCCGGCTGTGACCAAAAAAAAATTAAGGTGCAAAGCACTGTCTAAAATTCGAATCCCTTTTGTCATTGCCCTTTTGGTACCCATATCGGGTATCAATGACTACTCTCATAATAATCGTATGTTCAACTGCGAGTCATACAATGCAAGCAACATTTGTTTTCGTGTAAAGCACAGGGATCTCATGAAGAATTTCAATCTGAATTTCTGAAGGTTAGTCTAATTCAACTCACGGAATAGGTTTTTGTGACACCCTTACTACAGGTTCTTCACATACGAGTCACTACGATGGTTGGTTCAGAAAGGCTGGTTGGACAAGGCAGAGGCCGTTCTCCGGAAAATTGCCAAATCCAAGAACATCAAGCACGACGGAAGCTTCCTTGTGAAGCGGGAACTGGAAGGTGTGCGCCTGGTGGGGAAGATGGAGTTGTCCGAGAAATCAAACCACGATCGAGCTAGCGGCCCCCAGCACGAGAGCCTTACTGCGGACGTGGGAGAAACTAATCAAGAACTGATGATGGAAGAGAAGATGGAAACTTTTACCAAGCCAGGTGAAAAGGAGCAGACCAAATCGAATAAGAAAAAGAAATACACCGTGCTTGACCTCTTCAAGACTAAAGTTCTCATCAAACGCACCTGCATCGTCTTCTGTCTGTGGTATGAACGTCTGTTTAAAGCACTAATAAAACTCTGTAATGTCAAATTTATTTGAAATTGAAGGGCAAATCATGTTGCAAAAGAAATATGCAACTTTCTGTACCAGTTTTTTTTCTTCAGACGATTGGAAAATAAAGTAGAGCATCCGAATTTATGCGGCTCATCACGTTCACTACATTCATTTTTCAACTGCATTTTACTATTCATTTGAATGGAAAACATTAATTTCAAAACAACTGTATAGACATAGTAACTGAAAATAAATCCGATCCAGGTTAAAGTGGGAGAAAAATAACTTTGTTCCCTTTTGTAGGTATGTCATGAATGCAACTAATTATGGCTTCATCGTGTATGCGACCAGTCTGGCAGGCAACAAATACCTGAACTTCTTCCTACTGGCTCTAGCTGAGGCACCGGCCTACGCTATTGACTTTTTCATCGTTAGAAGGTACACCCTCTACATACAGTGAAACGCCGCTATAACGAACACCACTTTTACGAACATTTGGTTATAACGAACTTCCCCAAGGGGTCCCGAAATAGTGAATTCTATTATATTGCACAATCACTATAACGAACAACCACTATAGCGAAAACTTTCTGTGGACCCCATCGTGCTCGTTATAGCGGCGTTTCACTGTAGATGGTGCATTTTAGAGTAGACGATTCCTTGCGTTTTACGCATTTGAAAGTATCTGAACTTGAATTGAACAGCTAAGTATCTCTGGTGTTCTCCTTTCCTTTGTTTACCCTCTTCACAACCATATCTCGCTATGGTCACTGTTTGTCATTTTGCATTTGTTCCACACAAAAGGGTAATGAATATGAACAAGGTCAAAAGTCATGGTTTTATTGTATCCTCCCTATTCTTTCCTCCCTCATTGGGGCGTGCCTGGTTTTTTTGGGGGGTGTAATATCAAGGGCGTCTCCATTCCAAAGTGTGCTGTTAAGCCAACAAATATCAATCACTATTTTGTGCTGCATCATCATTTTTATCCTGAGGTAAATTTGACTTCAACCTTTCAGATTTGGTAGGAGGAGGCCTCTTATCGTGTTCTTCTTTACCGGCGCAGTGGCTTGTCTGCTGATTGCCTTTCTGCCCTCGAAAACAGGTATTTTGAAAAATAATTGTTCTCCCGATAAACAAAATGGCTCTATACTATACACTGTCTCCCAGTCACGATCCTGTTGTTTCCCTTGAACTCCCTCGTTTAGTCAGCTTCGTGCTGATAACAGTTTCTGTTTTGTTTCAGCCAGTGGAACAGATTTAACAGTTATTATCGTCATCCTGGCTATGATCGGTAAATTCTATGCCAACGCGACCTTTGAGGTGACATTACTGATGGGTGCAGAGATCTTCCCCACAATGCTACGGTAAAGCCACGTTAGATTGATTGCACATTGCCAAAACACGGTGAAAGGCGACCCCCCCCCCTCCTTCAAAAGAAATAATTATCATATCATTTTCGGAATATGAGCAAAGTAGCCGCAAGGGCCACTGAGAGTAAATTCGATCACAACAAACAGCCGAGTATCCTGTGAGAGAAGATATCAACGAAAATCAATCTTAAAATCACGACATTGTACTTAATACATTTCGGGTAACGATAATATGCTATAAAATTGATGATGGCTCTTTTTACAGAAACATTGCGACAGGCAGCGCGTCTACATTTGGGAGGATCAGTGGCATCGTCGCACCATTCATTGTCTATTTAGTGAGTAGTTCTATACCACACAAAGAGAAACCTTTCACGAGTTCAGTTAAGTACAAGTACAATGGAAATGTGCCAATAACAATAACACAATGCACAATAGCTACCTTTCGTATTTCCTATTTGCGATTGCCGATCTCTGCAAGTAACTCGTTAGTAAAAAAAAACATCGATTACCATTTTTAGACGAACGTGCCTGATTTTTTTCTAGAAAGCAATCGCACAATTATGTTAAGTAATAAAAAGACGCATATTTAACTTTTTTTAATTTTTTTTTTAGAATATTAAAATTAAAATTCAGTGAACTTGTATGGTTCACTGGAATGATGTGATGACAAAACGGAATTTTAGTCTGGAGAATTCCGATTTGAATGTGTAATTCACGTTAAAGAATCTCGGGTTACTTAATTAAAAGAGTACTTTGCAAATGGTATCAAATATCATTCCTACCTTTTCTGTTTCACAGCAAGAAGTCCGGAGCTTTCTTCCCATGCTGATATTTGGTTGTCTGTCGCTGGTAGCCTGCAGCCTTGTGTTCATGCTGCCGGAGACCAAGAACAAACCTCTCCCGGAGACATATGAAGACGCCAACAAATTGTCTAAGGACTGAGGTCACGTAAATATTCAGAAACAAAATAATTCAAATTATCGCTTGTTTAATTGCCAGAATATCCCCGTCAGTTTAAACAAAATATGGGGGCTCTAGGAGCTTTTCTTTTCTACGTATGGGGTGATATTGTGACAAATTTAGCAACTGATTTTGATGTGATAATGGTCTTGGGTCACAGTCAGTGGTAAAGTATGTACAGATCATCGCCTGTGCGAAATGAACTGCAACATCTTTAAATGAATGAAAACAAAGAATGATTACTCACGACAATAACACATGTGAGTCTGTTATTAATCAAGACAATCAAAAGGTCTTCCAACATTTAGAACTTACTTTTCTTCAGGGATGCCAACAACTTTGTCAATAATCTTCAACATCGGTGTGCCCTCAAGTTGAACGGTGCTCAATTTCCATGTTAGAAAGAAACCACACTTTATGGGTGGACGTTTGGTTTACGCTTAAAATTGGATTTCCAGGAATGGCAACTTTCACGAATGTCAATTATAGCTAGTGTGTAGCATTCCATGTTCATGTCTTATCTTTGATATTTCCTATACTGTTGTGTTTCTGAGTGTTTAATTGTAATTAAGGTGTTTATCACGAGAATTATCAGGAATTAGTTTGCCGTTTACTGGAAGCGTGTCAGTTAGAAAACTTGGTATAAGTACGTTTAAATTCAACATGTAGTTTTTATTTTAAAAATCCGTCTTTCGATGGGAATGCGTTTTGTTGTTATTTTGTAAAAAAAACTGCATTTTTATTAATAACACATAATTACTCTGCTCTTCTTATATGTGTAATGAAGTTGAGAAAAGGAGGCGCTTAGTCGTTCCCGAAATAAAACCAGCATTTTAACTTTTTGTACATAAGCTCTTAGGGTACATAGAGCATATTTATACGTACCTCTTTCTCAAGACAACTCTTTGTTACAGACTCCAGAAATATGTGCACATGATGTTGTACAACGAACAAACAGACATCGGCTTGAGAACATCTTTCAAATGTATCGAACAAGCATGGTTTTTTTTGCAGAAAGTATTGTAAATGCGCTGTGTATCATGTCATACTAGACTTCAAAGCAGCTTTGTGGCGCTCTGTTAGTACGTGATGCGTTTAGAATATGGGCGATTCACAATAGTGCGCCTCCAAGAGTTTGCAACGCTTTGGCCAAACACAATGCGCGAAATCAGTCGACCCAATGCGCGTTTGGAAAAGGTCGACTGATTTCGCGCATTGTGATTGGCCAACGCGTTGCAAACTCTTGGAGGCGCACTATTGTGAATCGCCCGTATTCGACCGGCGTTTTATGGCGAGTGATTTTTTCGAATTCCATACAATCTGCCAGACGACAGATTTGCAAACAAATAATGGCACCGGTCGATAGAGTGTTCGTCTGCAGGTGCACCCAAAGATTTCCAGGGTACGCTTCCAGGTACTTGTATTTGTTAATTGTTTACAATGCGTTGAAAATTGTATTAATGGTCCAGAAAATGGACATTATTATTATGCCGTCGTATTGCCATCGCTAGGGGTGTCTTGGGGCCTTTTTCCTTTTCACGCTAAGGCCCCCAAAAAAATATTCGGTCTCTGGTCAGACCAAAGTTCCGGAATTGACACGGCGACGCGGCTTTTTTTTTTTTTTTGCTTTTTTTTTTTTGCTTCGAGCTTGGATTGTACAGACAAGGTGGGGTACTATTTTGCTTTTTTGGTGTCCTCATGTACATTGGTGCCCTCCATAATTTGCCTTGGTGCTTTCGATCATTTTCCTTTTGTGCAATTTCCCATTCCTTGGTGCTCTTTGGTAAAACAAATTGAGGAGGTGCGGAAAAAGAGGGCGCTGTTGGAGCTACCGCGGAACATTTTAAGAAAAAAAAGATCGACGCGCATGATTAAAATCGACGCGCGCGCTGACCAGAGACCGACTTATTTTTTTTTTTTGGCCTAATACTAACTTCCATAGTTCATGACTAAACAATGACGTCAAATTCTGAAGCTGTTCCATTAGCTTCAAGATCACGAGATTCTATGAAAAGTTGGCTGTGGTATGTTCTTTGTGCTGGATGCGATTGTATGTTGGTTTGATACCTGACAGCAAGTCACTGAGCTAACTCTCCGTACAAGCGCTTTAATTAATGAGCTACATTGTGGGTTGACTCCATTCAAAACCCAAACCCCCAAAAATATATTTCATGTTCAAAAAATGTGTAGCGTCAAAAATAAATAATGTCTGTAAAGCCAATTTCATAAGCTACTTGTAGATAGAAGAAGAATACATTTCTCCACCCCTTCAAAGAATTTCACCATTTAAATGCGATTTTGAGAATCGTCGTCCAACATCACTAGTTCAGTTCAGTTTATGTCCACAGTACCAAAAAAGACAATGACAATGTGAATCTTATAAAGAAGAGCAGAAAACATTTTGCCAACAATAAAGCCCCAGTTTAAAAGTTAAAATATTCATCAAAGTCCTTTTGAAGGCCCATCGTCTCAAAAAAGTGGATTTTATAAATCATACATTTTGCCTAAGCAGGGTTGTTAATACAGATGTTGTGTACTACTGTTGTTGACAGTTGTTGAACCAAGTATTCTGTGTCATTTTCTTTGTTGTTCCAAACAGTCAGAACACACAATAAATTGCTTTTTGGACGAAACAGGTTTTGGGGTCATTGTGTTTAAATGGAGATATTCTTTGAACGGAGTGAGCTATTTCAATATTTTTTTTCCATCTAAAAGTAGTTTCTAAAATTAGCTTTTCAGTCCAGGGAAAGCAGTGATGCAGTCACCGACATAAGTTGGCTGACCATCATTTTTTGCGGGAACACAAAGCCATGAACCTGTCTGCGTAACGCGCAGGTGCACTAGATGTAATTTTTGCCAGCTAGAAGCTGAAGCCAGTGACTGCATTTTGTCCTAGCCGTATTAATGACAATGTTTGGTGAAGTTGATTCTTTAAAAGCTGTTTTCTAACATTTCAAGTAAAACTCTAGGTTTGACGTTTGTTTTTGTGGAAAAAAAACCACAGAGTGATTTACTGGGACACTACTCTACCCAGAGGTAGTCTAGGCCCAAGAAGTCGGTGATCAAGCTAGAGCGATAGTTGCGTTGTTGTGTAGCGCCCTTGCATTTGTTTTTTGGGGGGTCATTGAACTTTCTCTCGATCGCCGATTGCTTCCCCAGAAGAGCGATGATGCTTGATCACGTACCGCACATAGCGCGTAAGTTTATAACCGCCGGGCGAGCCATTAAACCTTTTCTCGATCTCTGATTGGTTCCATATAGAAAGCTTAAGGGAGAGAATAAAGAAAAAGATAAACCGCTGAAACCGCCAGGACGCTAGTGCGCGTAAACCCCCTCTGGTACTATGGTCTATATTGTTGTGCAATTCTTGGGGGCACTATGCTCTGTCCACTATCGATCACTGGCGTCTTGGCCAAGACTAGGGCAGATGATGCAAGACTAGGGCAAGTTAGTACCATACCACACGGATATTGTTTTCCACACCACAGATTCGGTATGAGCGTATATGGAAGCACGTTTAGTTGCAAGTCTGGTTCTTGGACTTTATTTTCTCTTGAATAAAAAAACCCTTCAAACCACAAAATGACCACACCCATGGCCAGTGGGATTCGAACTCATAACCTACGGCACCGCTGTTCCAATTCCACAGGGTCTGGGCGCGACATAAGTTTAATGACCGTTTGATGTTAAAATGTTTTTTTTTCCTGTCGGGTCAAGTTACCTGTGAATGCATGTGTGTTTTTATGATTGAAATGTTTATTATAACTAAAATGTTTTGTTTTAAATTTCAATATTAGTCATGTCCGTCGAAGTTCTGTAGTCGTCTTGTTCTGGTTTTTTGAAAGTATGTTCCTAGTTATTTGTTGGAGGTTGAGTATTAATGTTTTACAGGAGCTTTTAATGTTTAATTTTTATTGTTATTTACATGTTTTAATGTTTCAATATCAAATGTTATATAAATATCTTAATTAATTTGTTTTTGATGTTTTTAATCGAACCATTTTAGATGTTTTGGTTGCCAACAATAATAACGATAATAATAAAAAATAATAAGGTTAATGCGCATGCAAATATTCTTTAAAAAAAAACTCCCCGTACACACTGAACATTCAATGATAAAGTAAGATTTACCCAGGTAAAATTAAATCTCGGAAGTTGCCTGAAATTTCGGAAGTATGTCGGAAGTTGCCTGAAATTCCACAAAATCCAAGGCCTGCCTCCACTTCGTTGAACGAGAGGCACTACTCTCTAAATTCCAAAGAGTGAAATTAGGGACTACGTTTTAGAGTGAAAATCACTCTCATTTTCGATTGAAATAGTCTGAAAAATGAACCACTTCAGTCGAAGCTCGAGTGAAAACTCCATCTTACGATTGAAGAAATTTCACTATAAAACATCTAGTTCCTAGTTTCCGACTATCGAATGGAGTGAATTTTCACTCTTTGGAATTTCGGTATACCGAACGTAAACAGTCTAATATCAACATTTTTCTCCAACAAGAAGCAAAGTTAACCCTATATTAAGACTGCCATTAAAACATCATTTAGACTGTCAATTTTTCATTAAGGGTGATTAAAAAAACCCTAAACCTGGCTGCAAATGGCGGATTCCCTGGTGGGTTGACTGGACGCGGAGTGTGCTTTCGCAATTCAACTGATCCCATGCTGGCTCAGAATCGGATCGGTTTTTTTTTTAGGAAACGGCAATTATGCACTGTTCTGCCGGTTACAGCCCGATAGTCCGAAGGTTCGAAAGTCTGAAGGTTCTTTAGTTCGAAGGGTCATTAGTCCGAAGGTTAGTTAGTCCGAAAGTTCAATAGTCCGGAGGTTCGATAGTCCGAAGGTTCGATAGTCCAAAGGTTCGATAGTCCGAAGGGCCCATTACTCCGAAAACAGAAGAAAGTTAAAAAGTCCGAAGGTTCGGCAGTCCGAATAGACGATAGGGTTCAATAGTCCGATTCAACAATACGGTCCGGTAGTCCGAATTGACGATAAGGTTCGATAGTCCGAATGGACAATAAGGTTCGATAGTCTGAATGGACAATTAGGTTCAATAGTCCGAATTGACAATTGGACCTATTGTCGATTCGGAATATCGGACCGAATTTTCAATTCGGAATAATGAACCTTCTGACCAGGGAACCTTATTTTTGTTTCAGACTACCGAACCTACGGACTAATTAACCTTCGGACTAATGAATCCTCCGACTAATGAACCTTTGGACTATTGCATCGTGTTCGGATTAACGAACCTTATTTGATTTTCGGACTAACAAACCCCCTCTTATGGGAATTTTGTGCATTCGGACGATCGAACAGTCGGACCAAAGAACTGTCGGACTATCGAACCTTCGGATTATAGGCCGGACCCTATTCTGCCATGTTAGTTTGTATAAACTCGCCATTATTTTGTTGTTTTGTTTTCTCTTTTTATAACCGGATACTAGAAAAAAACAACACACGCGACACAAAAATGTTCTGCTCATTATTTTAATTTCCCTCACCAAGTTTGAAAAAAAAACCAACAAAAGTTATGTACAAATATACAGTTATTGCCCATTCAATCAATATGCATAAAGGGTAGAACAAATTCAAAACTTAAACAATGACCTACAAGTTGCCTCCACAGGTTAGGTAACCCATGGTTACCAATTCCTGGTTACCAAGTCGACTGATGTAGCTGAAAGGCGTTTCGAGTCCCATTTCGAAATCTAGGCGTCGTTGTAGCAGCTGACACTCCTGTAAACAAATTGACAGAATAAACGTCTGTAAATTATCCTGAGCAGAATTACCATTTCAGTTATGAAACGGCCCAAAATATTTCGAATCGGTATTACATTATGCCCAGCATTGATATGTTGGGCCGGGACTTAGGTGGAGTTTAATAAACATTCGAGCACATAAGGTTTGATAGTACCAGGTCATTGTCCGTCGGGGGTAGTTCTAAAATGGCCGGTCGTATTTTGCCCTGGGTCGAATGGGGGTCAGGAGACAATGGTTTGGTACCATGAAACATGTTTTGCTCCAATTGTTAATTAAACTCCACCTATCTCCTGGTCTATGTGGCATCATCACGCAACACAGATTTGCAAACGAGAACTACAAGACTGCATACTTACGCAACACGGCTGTTGTAGTAACTCCTACTGCAAGTGGACCAATTAGGATCAGCCCGGTGATCGTTGACGTAGGCGGCCATTACGTAACCACTGGAACCGCAGCTATTACCAGTGCTGTCGTGTTGCATATTCAAGCTGTGGAAAGGAAGTCAAGCCTCAAGAATAGTTTCTCAACCGAAATCAACCCCGAAATCTTCGAAATTATGTTGATTGTTTCTCCATATTCCCTGCAGTTTTACTGCTGCGTAGCTGCAGGGACCAGTCATGAAGACATCTCTTCGAAAATCGATATAAGGCCTTAAACATTTCGTGGGTAGAAGTTGGTGTGGGTCTTAACGCCACGTGTGGTTTTTACTGTACGCCAGTACTTGCAAAAAACAAGATAATTATTGTTGTTTTTTGTTGGTTTAAGTTTTGTTCTTACTTTTGTGCACAGACTTAATTTTACATTTTGTTTTATGAATGTTTTAAATTACTGATTATTTTTGGTGTATATTTTTTATTTTTCATGCAACACGGCCCCTTTAATAAAATTCTTGGTTGAATAGGTTACCGTGTATAAGCAAGTTTAAATAAAAAACATAAATAAAAAAATCGATAGTAAAATCATTGCAACTGACGTCTGAATTTGAATAAAAAGACTCACTTGTGTCCGATCTCATGGGCGACCACGTTGGTAGTATCCAGATTACGGAAAGTTGACACCCCCACGGCATATGCGCTTCTACAACTGCCAACATACGCAATGCCAAGGGTACTGCCTGAATTCATTTCCCATCTGGAGAAGGAAAAGGTATTTGGATTTTATGCAAACTAGCTGTGCTCTAAGCTATCATATTATTTGTACAATAACTTGTGTACGTAACCAGCGCTAACTTTTTTGGTTGACTGTGGTTACAAAACTTCTGAATGTGGCACGGCATGACATGTCAAACACTGTGTTTACTGTGAATAGCCAATAATTTAGTGAAATTATTTAACCAAAGCTCACCCAGTCAAGATGGCAGCATTGTCCCAGTCTCCTCTGTTAGAGCTATGCCAATTTTTCACCTTGACAATAGATTGACTAGCGTCCTGGCATGTGCCGACTCCGGTCTGTAAAGAGATATAGGCAACTGTGCATCATGACTTCAAATTATGAATACTCATCATGACGTGCAGTGCAGGGTAAGTCCGAACAAAAAAACGCAACCGAAAGCCCCAAAATTGTATTTCATATTAAGAAAAAAAATGGAGCACCAACACTAATAATGACTGGAAAGCCAATTTCATCAGCTACTTTTAGGTGGAAAAAAATTACCGAAATTGCTCAATTCCTTGAAAGAATAACGATAACCACTTTCGTCCAAAAATGCGATTTCAAAAATCGTTGACACAATTGTCTTCAAACAAAACCAAACAAAACAAAGTCCTTTTGAATGCCCGTCTTTTAAAATTGGATTTTATAAATCATATTGTTAGCCTAACCAGGGTTGTTAATAAAGATATTTTGTACTACAGTTGTTGACAGTTATTGAAGCAAGTATTCTGTGTCATTTTCTTTGTTGTTTTAAAGGTATATCAGAAGTAAAATGGTAAAACATTGTCGTGGACTTCCGACGACAAGTGATCGGTATGATGAGGTAAACATCTTTAAAATCCCGGATACATGTATTTAACCGGGACGTGAGGTTCTACATCATTATTCAAATTATATTTACACCGTGTACTTTCTTGTGTTGTCACGTGTGCATGACGGCACAATTTGCTGATGTACGCCCATGGTGTAAGGCAATTTAGCTTAGGACTAATGTTCGTACCTGAGTTGATGTGAAGATTTTCAAGGTATTCAGTTGAGGGACCAGGCTGGATCCAACCAATGAGCTTAGTTGCATGACATTCTTCACCTATTCGGCAAGGTATATTGAGATTTCAGCTCAGTGGCTGTTACACTTTTACGAGAATCAAAATAAAACCTGTTAATCAGCAAACACAAACTCGTCTATACAACTCTTTATCTCCAAAGATCAGCTGTTGACTAAATCCTTGGAAACCACCTACTTCTCCTGATTTTTTTTCTTCAGAATGACGGAATAATTTCACGGGGTATTGGTTCAGTGCAATCCTAAATCCAAGTAAACTTTTGGATAATGTAAATGATCTTACGAGCCTTTTGCAAGACACGGGCCTTACAAAAAAATATATCAAAGAAAGGTATAGTAACAAAGAAAAATTAAATACCAAAGAAAAGATTTTCAGAGAATACTTCAATGAAATACCGGAGGCATTTTTCGCAATGAAACTAATATCTTGAAGAAACACTTTTATAAGTTTGATAGATAATGCCTTTACAGAACACACAACTATTCGTTACCGCATTGAACAGTGTTGTCAGGCAATTGTGCGTGTTGCCTCCGCGTAGGTCGTACAACACCTCGTCACCGATGAAGGCAAGTTCAAGATACTTGGTGGCTTCTGGGTTGAAGTCTTGCTCTTTGTTTTCATTAATTTCATCTTCTTTTTGAAGCACGTACTCCGAATCAACTGTCAAAAATCAGAAGAAGAAAAGAACCACAAACCCAATTAGTCAGGCAATTTTTTTTTGTCATTGTCACTCGAAGTTCCACAGTCTAAGCGTACATAAATCAACCCTGTTTGCTACATTTGTCACTAATTTTTTTTGCAAGTCGAAAATCGCTCGAATATAGAAGAAGACGTGGACAGCCTAAACTATTGGCGTCACCGGGCACTATAAGTGTAAATGTGCAGGCGCAGTCAATTTAAAAAAGGGTATTTATTAAAAAACACTCTTAAGTGCAAATTCACCCGTGCTTGTCAATCGCCATCTACCTTACATTATTTATACAGATAATTTCTCAGGCAAAACTGAAAATACATCAATATATACGGTTTAACAATTGAATGTATACATGTTTTGTTTTTCGCTCGTACCAGTTGTTCTTTCACTGATTTAATTTGGTTCATTTTAGACCTATTCTACTAATGGCTGCAAACCTATGTTCCCCTAACCTATGTTCCCCAACCCTAACCCTAACCCTAACCCTAACCCTAAGGATTTTGGGGAACATAGGTATTGGGGAACATCGGGTTGACCCCCTGCTAACCATCACTAATAATACAAAAGCATTCGTTCCATTCACCTGTGACAGGGCAAGAGGCACCGTTATCGGGCCTGTTCTTGTAGGCAACATGGGGAAGACCACGCCCGATATCTCTCTTGAAGGCATGCTCATCATCCAACGGCTCAATGTATGTAGGTCCAGAGGCATGATTCATCACTGCCATCTTTTGAAAAGCGATACAGGCAGAAATATTTAAGCATGTACACCGCGCCGGCATTGGCTTTTTCTTCAATATTTTTTTTTGGGTTTTGTTCTGGGCATTTTTGCGGTAAAATGTGCTCTACGACATGCGTACTTCCATTGACACATTCAAGAGACTAAGTCGTAAAAAATGCTTGTGATACTGTCAGGACTTTCAATATCAAAACTTGGTACATGAGTGCTGGAAAGCGAATAATCTGGCAATTTAAAGAAAACAGTTTCGTGTGATTGTTGGACCATAGAAAATGCATCAGTGTGAAAATATACTCACCAAACCTGCACATGTGGTGACAGATGCCATCGAGTTAGGTTCCCCAGCGACTTTACCGGTGTAAATGCAGTCAGTACGGACAGGCACCTTGATGACACCCTCATCAGTTACATACTCAGCCTCGAGCCCAGGTTTGAAGTTGCTGTCATCGTGATCGAGTTCCATGTGAATGGACTCACCGAATGCGTCGACATGAATATCGAGGTACGATGACGCAATGGCGCTGCGGCCAACACTGCGCTTGCTCTCAGCGATGATGTATTCTGGGTAAACAATCTCGTATTCGGGTGCTAAAATGACGATAAAAGAACTCAATTTAAATATCGCGTTAAGTCGCAGTCTTGGGTTTTTTTTTGGTAGGTGCATTTCAATAGTTGTGATTGTGGCATATTGGTAATTCACTGTGTGTATTAAGAAAAAAACAAAGACGTACCTTTCTCATGGCTGTCCACACTAAAGTAACGCTGAAGTTCCTCGTTGGAGAACCTGTTTGGCTGTAATACAAGGAGAAACGAATACGGCACATCATTATTTAAACGATGTGCCTCGTCCGTTTCGAGACAGAGGGGAGCAAGTGTTTGAATAAACCGATCAACGAAAAAGATGATCAAACCTACACAGATACGCAACGCCGCTTGGCGGATGAATATTATTGTACCCATTATTTGCCTACTTTGCATGAGCACCACAACATACACACACACATGTTTACGTTACATACGTAGTATGAACATTTTAATTCCTTTGTTTTCGTGTAGTAAAGACAAACCTGTGAAAAAAGCTCATTTTACTCACACTGTGAAAACTCTTTCAACCCATTTTTTTCTATGATTCCCTTTAGTGTTTCTCTTAATTTTGCCACATATACAAACCTAACCCCAAAATGACTCTAAACCTGTTTTTCAAAGAGGGGAAAACACTGTGTTGGCGTGGGCAAGTCCACACAACGTCTCTGCTACCTGGTTTATGTGGACATCTTTTGTTCGGAAGTCCACACAGTGAATGTAATGCTTGTTCACTCAGACAGTCCAGCCGGAATACATTTAGTGATGATATAGCCGTAAAAGAAAGTTACTGGGCTTTGCTTTACCCACATCGCGGGAGAGACGGCTTGGGTTGCCTGTCGCCCGCGAAAGATAGAACGCCGCTTCGCGGCCGATCAAGTCGAGAAAACCTATGCTGCTTAGCAGTGATTGGGTTTGGGTATTGTTTTTCTTCTATATTTAATTTCAATTAACTAAGAGAACTAACGCTTCCACCAATCTGATCTTGTATCTAAATGCATGTTGATTTGGATTTTAACAAATCCGTTTGAGCGAGTACTCTTTAAGGGTCTTGTGCATCAGCTATCTTTAATGTGCGCTTTGTTCATTTAACGAATGGACGCAAAAGAGGTTTATTCCTCTTCCATATAAACATGTCTGCAATATGCCTAGTATCTACTATACGAAACCTACCATCGGCTCAGGTACAGCCAATGCCGTAGAGGCGAGGCACAGACACAGGCAGAGAGTGATTGCCGACATCATCGTGATACGTCTTCGGAGTCGAGATCAGAATGACGAGCTCTGCCTACAATGCATCCGACTTTTAAAGGCTTTTCAGCAGTGCTTATACAGCGGATATTCGTTTGAATTGATTCGGTGAACGATAAAGACGGTGATGTATTTCATTTTTTCCCAAATTAAACACTTGACATGTATATAAAAAATAATGACAGTTGTGATAAGGACTAACGTTGTACCAGTAAAAATAAGTTTTCTTTATCAAACCATAAAAGTATATGAATAATTTGTTTTTAACAATATAACGGGTTGGTGATTGTGCTATACTTACGAGGAAAAGTTTTCAATTTCACCGGTTATTACTCGATGTTGACCTTAGATTCGTAATTACATTTGAAGTACCTTCTTTGACTTTTCTCGCTAATTTCCGGCTATCAGGTTGACCTTAGATTCGTAATTACAATTGAAGTACCCTGTTGGACTTTTGTAGCTTATTTCCGGCTTTTTCAGGTCGTATCAATTAACCGAAGCCCTTGATGGCAAATTTAATGACCTTATTAAAGAAAATACCAGTAAGTTAACTTGGCATGCAAGACGTGATAAGACGGATTTGCAATCAAGCGATCGGCCAATTTCTCACTAATTACGAAAGAAGGGATGTTTTAATAGAAAAGTTGCACTCGCCTTGTGTGGTCTCGTCAATTCTATAGACCTTTCATTTCTTTTAAAGTCGGGCTTCTGATAAATTTAGACGGATATTTCACATACCTCCGTGTTTAAACATGTACACTGTAAAACCTATATACATGTAGTATTTAACTTAAAGGGTTTTTTTGTGCAAAGGCTGTCAAACGTTGTAACGCGTTTGGGGCTCAAATTTGAGTCGGATTCGTTTTGCAGGTATCCATGTACCAAAACAAAGCCTCAACACACTATTGAGGTTTTGCAGCTGCTTGTAACTGTAAACGCCTCGTGTTTAACTCGCGTTTAACTTACAAACTATTACGTGTTTAAAGTGTTTAAAAGTTGAATGTCATAACATTGAACTTTTAAACAATGAAAACAGACACGTTTATAAGTATGTTAACACGATGTTTAGTGTTCCTAAACGGATCCATTCAGCAAGCGTTTATACAAGCAAGAGGTTAACACGAGGCGTTTGCAATGTTATCGGAATGTTTGTGATTTGTTTTCCTAAAAGTCAAATTGTGGTTTCAAGCAGTTTTAAAACATCAACAGGCTGTTTGAGGCTGTGTTTTTTTTGTACAATGATACCTGCAAAATGAATCCGACTCAAATTGAGCCCCAAACGCATTACAACGTTTAAACACTTTTTTTCAAAAAAAGCAATTATAATGTGTTCAAAAGTTAAACACTTAGATTTAACAGTATATCCCATGGATCATGGATACTTGAACTTTCTCGACTCTTAGCCATAACCCTTTCTACATAGCTACAATTTTTGTTGGAAAGAAATTAAAGGCACACAAATTTAAACGAAAAAATAAAATCCTCAAATTAAAGCAGTTGATCTATTAAGCTTAAAATGATGGAAAAGATGAATGTAAGTAAAAACTCTAAACGAGAGGAAAGGAAAAATAGAAATTAAATGCCAGTAAAATAGTTACATCAAAAAGGATGAACAACACATTATCGAGACACAGAATTTACCACACAAAATAAAACAGAGAAATGAAAATCAATTAAAGACTAAAACCCCCCCAAAAGTCCAAATACAACAAATGCTTAAATTGAAAGTAGTTGATGTCGGACATATTAAGCTTAAATAATGGGAAAGATAAATATAAGTAAAGACTAAAAAAAAACCGACAGGACATGTTCACAAAATGCCAGTAACATTATTACATTAAAGGGTAAGAACAACACATTATCGAGACACAAAGCCTACAACAACAAAATAAAGCTAGGAAAATAAAACAATTAAAACAGAAATTAAAATATTTGAAACTGTAAAAAAAATAAACTGAAATAAACTGAAAACAAATTGTGACATCAATTGAAAACATCAAGAATGGATTTGAATTGATGCTGTGACTTTGCCCGTCTCTGATCCGTGGTAAGTCGGTTCCATCCCATATATTCCAAATGGAAATTAATTGAAATCTTATTAAGTTACAGTTAAACACCAGGATGCACGACTTTATTGCTGCCAGCCAAAAAAACCTAATTATTTTTTTTTCATCGTCACTATTAAATGAGAGTGGATTTGTCCTTGGATATTTATGGAAACCTTGTCAAGTCGAACAGTAAATTACCAAGGTGTACGACTTTGAAATTGCTGCCAGCAAAAAAAAAAACCTAATTATTTTTTTTTCATTGTCACTAGTGAGAGTGGATTTGTCCTTGGATATTATGACCCAGCATTTCTCTTTTTGGAACTTATCAAATACGCAATTAAACGAAATTCAGGGGAAAAAAATCATTTGTATAAAGGGTTTAATACTCTCGGGTGCTCAATGAAAATACTTTAATTGTTGCCAAATAAACTGCTTAGTTTGAATGCCGGTTGAATTTCCCAAGTAATTAAAAACAGACTTTTTAACTAGTATGAAAACTAGAAAGCCTTTATCGGGTCAACTATAGAGCAACAACTTGGCAAAGCCTTTCATGTGGGTTATTATTTTAAAGCGGATAGTGCTTTAGCCTTTCATTTGGGTTATTATTTTAAAGGTGATAGTGCTTTACGTAGTGCTGATCTTCAGTTTGGATTTAAACGGCATGCTCAGTGTACTTCCTTCATGAGTGTAGTTATGTATCATTAAAATGTAGTAGGAGTAATGTTTATACTGTCTTATTAGATGCGTATAAGGCATTTGATCGCAAAAATTGAATATTTCAAGCTTTAAAAAATGCTAGAAAAAAAACCATGTCACCTTTAGTGTTAAGATTGCTATTGCATAATGTCCTCTCATAGTCTCATGAAGTCCTAAAGTAAAAAAAAAAATGCGACGCTGTCTCTTACACATTTAGACGAACCATTGTTGTTAAAAAGGTGGTGTCTTATCTCCTTATTTTATTTCCTTGTATTTAGATGGTTTGATTGATGAATTACAACATAGTGGTGTTGGTTGTCACGAAGTGAATAATTATAGGTTGTATGTTTAGCCTATGAAGATGATAATTACTGGCACCAACTAGAAAGGTTCTGCAGACTATGATCACTGTTTGTGAACATTATGAACTTGCCTGAGTGAACCCTGGACTGCAGGCTAGAATAGTTCATCGACTATGCATAACCATATGCAACGTTATTAGGAACATTATATCTTGGACAAAAAGAGGGAAATCGATCACAGGTGTTTCTCCGAGAACAAGATGTAACTCCAACCATTTCCTACGCACTTCCCGACGCATGCGTGGTGTGGTTAGTAATGGGTGAGCAAGTACGCAGGGAAAAAATATGCCAACCAGTAATTTTGCAAATTTCGCCTCCACCAAGCACGCCCTCTACCGTGTCGTAACATCGGCCTGTAGTCACAGCTTCCAGAATTTCATTACGCGTCATGCTTTTCTCTCTTAAAGCCACTACCAGAGCTTGTATTCCGTTTAAAAAGCTAAAATTTAAATTTTTGAATTTTCAATAGCTATTTAGATTCGTAGTACGAAAGGCTTTACATTGTATAGGCCATAGGTCCTAAAGCCGGAACACCGTGGTTTAGTTAAACTACTAATTTGAAACAAGATGAGCCACAGTGTGGTTTGGTAAACTTTGAGTTCAATGAATATGAAATTAGTTTTAATAAATAAATTGCTGCGTTTTAAGTTCTCTTGTTCGACTGTACATTGTACCTCGATCGAGAAAGTTATACTGCAAACAAAAATTCTCCGAAGGTTCGGCAGTCCGAATTGAGAATAATTAGTCCGTACGTTCAATAGTCCGAAACGAAAATAAGGTTCAGCTTCGGATTAATAAGCTTGTTCTATTTTTGGACTAACGGGCCTTTCGGACTATCGAACCTTCGGACCACTGAACCTTCGGCCTAACAAACCTTTGGACTATGACCCTTTGGACTAAAGAGCCTTTGGACTATCGAACCTTCGGACAACCGGGCTGTCATCAATGCACACACATCGCCAGAAAGCTTGAAGTTGATAGCTTGAAGTCGGCTTAATTCCATCCTGCTCTGAAAAAAAAAATGGATTTGCAACAGCTATCATTGTACATAGTGCAAGATCTAGGCCGCTTAACGTGCAGACACACTGAAGTTTGCAACCCCTGCGTTACTATTGCAGCCAACAAAGATCTGGAAGAAACGCGATCGAACTGTATACGTACGAAGATACATTTCATTTCAGGGGACGCTGTTTCATGTTAGAGCACGTTGCCTTCCCTGAATTCTCCTTAAAGTGCAAGTGTAGTAAAAAATAAAACCAGGATACTCAACATAATGTAGCTCATTCTAACGTAACATGGTTGTGTACAAATTGCTCTCTCCCGGAGACATTATGAAGACGCCAACAATGGACCGATCCAATAGACCCCGCCCACTGCGCACTGGGCAAATTAACACGCGCCCCTCTCCAATGCCATGCATTTTCCTGCCGCGCGCATCATACGCGCGTGCACGCATGTCGGACTTTTGTGCACGCACGTTGGACATAAATCACGGCTGTGATTGGTCAGAACAACATGGGGCGGTACTTACTGGATCGGTCCATTTGTCTAAAGACTGAAATCAATAGATTGACGAAACAATTTCAAAAACCAATGGAATTTTTTTTAAACTTATTTCAATTATGATTCAGTGATTTTGGGGATTTCTTCTTAAACATTTTTAGGATGACACTGCTCTATAACCTCCGCCAAGGAGGTAATGATTTCATCGGATGTGGTTAGTTTGTTGGTTGGTCGGTTTGTCTGTTAACAAGATAACTCAACAAGTTATGAACGGATTTGCATTAACATTTTTGTAGGTGTGGTCCTAATAGTACCAGTAAAAATCGATTAGATTTTGGAAGTGATCCGGATCTGGGTCTGGATCTAGGATTTTTTTTAAAGCATTCTTCACCATTTATGCGAGTATTTCTTTAGGGTGTACTGACAATATGGCGGGGAATTGTTTAGCGCTCTCTGGGTGCTTTCTAGTTTCATGCATGCAAGTATTTTGACATGCCTGTTGATCATGTAGTTTAGCAACGTGGGTTGAAGTTAAAGAAAAAAAATATGCGAAAATATATGGGAATTAAAATGTAAAACGTTACTTGCTATAAGGCCAAAAAAAGTCTCAGGTTTCTGGTATGGAGCTTGCCCAAAAAGTGTGCGGCGACGCGGCTTTTTTTTTTTTTTACCTGTTTTTTTTGCTTCAAATATCGGCTGATGACTGCAAATGGTGCCCGACTAAACTTAGTGCAAATATTATGGGAGACCAAAGAGGCCACATAAAGCTTATTCTCGATCATAACCCCATCTAAAAACACGTTAAAATTGTGCAGCAGCAGGATTCCAGTCAAAACAGTGAGTTTGGCGGTTTTGAGACATCATCTTTCATTGATTTTTTTTTTTCATTTTGCCGACGCGCATGGCTATGGCGACGCGCGCGCTTACCAGAAACCGGAGACTTTTTTTTTTTGGCCTAAGGTAACTAAACTCTAATCCTGCGTGCAGCATGAAGAACGTTAATTATTGAGTACTACAATAGATCATCCGAAAATGTACTTAACGCTGGAAAAAAATATTGATTATTTTGAAAAGCGGGATGAATGATCTAGACAGTGTAAGACGTTTTACATCTTGATCATCTTGGATTAGAGGTATTTTCATGTTAAATTATATGAGGTTGTGCTGTGTATTTTTGTTGTTCCTGTAAGAAGAAAGTAACTCATTTGTTATCTTTTTCTGTCGTTTTTGTTTATTTGTATAGGAACTGCACTAGTTTGTTATGGTATTTACTTGTCATTGCCGTCAAGAAACGGTAATGTGTGCAAATGTAGAAAGTGTGTAAAAAGGTTAGTGTATGAGGATTTGTATAAATGTTTCTGTTGCTATAGGTGACAGGTCACACATTGACATTTCCCAAAAAATATTAAAATCCAATCTTATATTTCCGAGCATCCTCTAGTAATCGCATTTAAATCATGAATTCTCGCTTTACAATTCAAATGGAAAAAAAGAGAAACTTATTGGATATACATACCCCCACCCCTCAACAAAAAAAAAAAAAAAGACTTCGGGTGAAAAGCACGTCTTTTAATCAGGTTATGGTTTCATTCCTTGTAAATATTAATGTTAATACAGATTATTTCTAAAATCGGTAGTTTAGGGGATAAATTTTAGATTTTAAATGTTCTCATAATTCCAATCATTTGTAATTCTATGACTTTTGTTTACTGGAAATAAAACGAACGGGGAAAGTGTATTTGTCATTGCACTGCAGCCTTAGTCCATATTCTGGACGTTGTTTTTTGGTCGCAGTCCAAGCAGGGTTCCCTCTCCAACAAACACTCGCCTGGAGAAAACAACGGGTATGAGAGTCTGCTGTGTGCACGTGCAGTGGCTCGGGATCGGGCGCATGGGGGCGCGCTCGATTGATCGCACGAGAACAGTCCAGGCAGTGGACTACTGCAGCCTTTACTGTTTATGGTAACAAGAGCAAATAAATCTATAGGTGCAATGTTCAATATAAATACTCCCCTAGAATAAAGACAAATGGACAAAGGGCAGAGTCAACCACCATTTTGTACCACTCATTGCAACAAGAATCGACAAGTCCAAAAGGTTATCAGTGAAGCATATTTAAACTCAGTCGTCCATAGAAGTGTGCGCTAGTGACTGCAATACTACGAAAAGCAAAAGGTAGGCTGACATTGTGTATATCACCTGTTTTTATTTGAACGTGTTGTACTTCGACCCCATCTGTAGAACATCTATTTAGCGTGAATTCAGCAACTATAGCAGCTTAGCAATACTTGAACGCATTGTTGAGCCCAGAACCTGACAAAATCGTGCATTATTTTTCCCACGGCGGGTGTGAATGTGAAACATGCCGAGGGCTTGAGCTGCTTATGTTGGTGGGTGGGTGGATGGACGTGGGTGCGTGTACAAACACTGCCTTATGGGGTACCGGAACAATGGGAGGTACCCCACAAGGAATGCCCACCGACTTGCGGGGTACCGTTTTGGTACCCCACAAATTTTTCACAAAATAGATATATGGATATTACTCAAAAACTAGGAATTTCCAAGGTGGGTTGATCAGTCGCAAATGGAAGAGTTTTAGAAAAGGGATATTAATTAAGTCCGAATTTCAGCCCAGGAAATTAACTATGGTTAAAATAAGAGCATTTTGACATAAGTGTGCGACGTAGCAAAATGTTAGTACACGAGAACAAAGGAAGTACCCCACTTCTATGCCTATGTAAGCGTGGGTGTGTGAGTGGGTGGGTGGGTAGGTGGGTTGGGTTGGTTAGCGGACAGTTAATTCGGCCATATATTGTATTCATGCAACTCGAGTATTACAGCTTTGCTTCCGAAGGCCGGTTTCGATAAGCTGCTGCGTGTGCGTCTAATTTGCATATTTTTGCATAATTAGATCATGCCCCATTCGTTTCGTCTTCTGTACTCTCGAGGTACCGGTACCTTTGAAAGTTACCGATTGTCAAATAATTATAACAATTATCACATCAAACAAGCCGAAGTCGGGGAGTTAACCTTTCTTAAAGTAGGACAGCCTCGATAATTGAAGCTCATTTTTTCAAATCATTTGGACAATTTGAAAATTGCTCCGATTTTGCTTGTCATTGACAAAAAAGTTCTGTATCTGCATCTGTAAAATACTTTGCAAACCCCTTGACAGTAGATCCCGCAATCATTAGATTTAAACCAAAAATATTCCGCGAAGTGTTGCATGGCAACTGTGCACACACTGACTTTTCTGCTACCCCAAAGTATATATAAATCTGCAGGTATGGACGTTGACACTAGCCTGAAAACCGTCGGGGAGTTGGGAAGGTTGCAAACCGCAAACTTTCTCCTCTTTGCAGTCTGCATAACATTTGCATCCATCCAAAGCAACTCCATAGCGTTCACGATCGACCAATCGGTGGAGCACTACTGTAAACCACCGCCGGGCTTCACAGCCAATCAGACATCACCTCTCATCAACAAAGATGGCCGAGAGGCATTTGCCGGCTGTGAGATGTACGATGTGCTGAACGGGACTCTTACGAATAACCTGACGACTTGCCAATATGGCTGGGAGTACCCGTCTGAATACGGAGCAACGAGCATTGTGACTGACGTAAGTCCTTGTTTAAAGATTAGAAGAGGGTGTGCATTATGGTCAGTGACGTAGCCAGGGTTCTCATCCTGGGTTGGGGGGAGGGAGGGGGGCGATGGGGGGGGGGAGATTGGGGGAGGCTGGAGGTTTCAATGGAGGGGCTCCCGATTCCACCCGAGCTGAAACGTACACAGGGTTTTTTTTTCACCGGACACGCAACATGTGTGGGCTGGGAGGGGGGAGGGAGGGTGGGGCTAGACACCATCTTCCCATTGGGTGCTTTTCAAAACCGAAATCATGGTATGGGTCAGACAGTAGTGAGCGCTATTCGCTCGCCACAGGACGTTCAAATAAACAGTCACTTACGAAAAACAGGGTTTTGGTGAAACAACAACCCAAAAAACTTACGTGGAAAAAGGCACTTCATGTTCAACCCGCTAATCAAGCTAATTCATAAGACTGTGCCTTTTTTTGCGATTGCAAAATTTCCAGTGGCGGCCGCGGGCGAATGGGGGAGGGGCGGATTTTTTTTTAGAGAGGACGTGCGCCCCGCCCCCTCCCCACAGCACCCCCGCTCCCGGTAGCTACGCCGCTGATTATGGTCTGTTACATGATCACCAAGAACTACTCGGTTCTTGTATGGTTAAATAAACTATCGGCTTACAAGGAGAAAATCGCAAATACCAACCTTCTCAATGCAGTGGCATATCAAGAAACTTGGAGACGCTACTGTGTCAACGGTACAGGATTATTATGATCCTGACTTGAGTATCAGGGCATTCTGATATACTCGACCTTCACGTTATTGACTGGTCTATGTAAAAAAAAAGAAGTGTTGTCGCACTCTCAGATGAATTGATTTGTTCTTTATCCTCAGCTTAATCTCGTGTGCAGCCGAAGCCTCTTAGCTGGTACTCTGATGTCGATGCACTTCGCCGGTTTCCTTGTCGGCTGCTTCGTGACCGGCCAAGCGTCCGACATGTTTGGTAGGCGCACGGTTTGCATGACATCGTTGCTCCTTAGTAGTCTCCTCGGCATGTCCATTAGCTTCATCTGGAATCTTGAGCTCATGATGGCTGCCCGGTTTCTCCTTGGACTGGTACTCCCGGTAAATGAAAAAAAGTGTCTAGTTTTCTGATTTCATTTCTGAGACTCTTTTTATAGAATGATATCCGAGACATGCCAGACCAGAAAGGGTGTCAACAAAAATCTGAGATCGTTTCCATCTTGCCTTAAAATCAAAACGCCATAGAACTTCCTCAAATCGCTTGATACATAACGTGATATCTTTCACACAAGCGGCATAAGGTCTTAGAATTCACATGACAATTTGTATTTATTTTATTAGAATTTGTATCTATAAAGCGCACGTACCCACCAGTATTGGTGCTCAAGGCGCTACATTATTATTTGTTGGGCCACTGAAACATTTCAACGGCAGTCTCAGCTCCCTGGCGAGTATACATCTCGATGCTGCCATTTCGACGCAAAGTAGCTAAACTCAATCCCAATTATCATCTCTATCCTCACAGGTACCTATTTAATACTTCTGGGGTGGGGAGAAGCAATGAATGACAAGGTGCCTATCCCAAGGGCCACGCACCACAACCCCAGACTGACCTTGAACCCAGAACCTACCAAATAAACCCACAGACCACGAATTCAATGCTCCAGACCACGAGGCCACGTCACTCAACGTGGTCGCTGGAAAAAAAACTTTGCCTGCCTGAGCTGTAGAATAAGAGACCTATAGTACCAATACCTACATGTTCACAAGAGTACAAAATGAAAGGAACATACAAAGCCTGCGAACAACATTGCATGGAGAATCCTCAGTGTGTGCTCCTTTTCTGACACTGCATGGCAGTCTTCGCTGCCTGATTCCAGACACAGTCCACAAACAAATCAAGGAAATGAACATATCACAAATAAATTACATTTCTGATAACATATACAAAACAATCTCTTGAACAATATTTTATTTGTAGGGAAACACCCTCGTAGTTTTTGTCCGAATAGTGGAGATGTACTCGACAAAGAATCGTTTGCTTGCGAACCTGCTCGTCACCTTTGGCTGGGTCCTCGGTCTGATGCTGGTGGCTCCTTTGGCGATCCTTCTGCCCAACTGGAGGGACCTACAGCTTGTAGTGTCTCTGGCGTGCATCCCACTGCTGCCATTACATTGGTAAGGCTTATAAAACCACACGTCCAATCGATGTCATTATTCTTACTTTTTATGTAAGTCTTATTGTCCTCTGCCCGCCCGCCTTCCTTCCTACCTGCCCGCCTGCCTGCCAGCCTGCCAGCCCACCTGGTTGGCTGGCTGCTATGCCTGCCTGCCTGACTGGGTCACTGACGCGACTAGGGTCCACCTCGACTAAGCAAATCTAGTCTTATTTTGTTCTTCCCAGCACAAAATACAGCTGTCTCATTTTGTTCCCTACGTAGGTTTTTCTCTTACGAATCTATTCGCTGGCTAGTTCAGAAAGGTCAAGTGGACAGGGCGGAGTCCATTCTACAAAAGATTGCCAAATCCAAGCACATCAACTGCGATGGAGGCTTCCTTTTGTCGAAGCCGAACGAAGGTATCGGGCTTAACGAAACGGACTTGTTGACAGCTGAAGAAGCAGACGGCAAAGGAGACACGTCTCCCGCTGCAGACAGTGGAATAAACAAGATAGTTTGCACTCAAAGAAGGCGACACTACTCTGTTCTTGACCTCTTCAAGACGCGGACTCTCGTCAAGTACTCCCTGATTATATTTCTCTGCTGGTGAGTCTCTACAGCTCAGTTTGTTTCCCTTACCAGATATCAAATCGTCAATTCTTGACAATTTAAAATGGAACAAATTGAATTGGTCTGCGGCATAATATTGATGTTATAATAAGCAAAGCTGGCAACCTAGTTAAAAAGTGGCGCTAACATCTGAAATGTAGATTCTGGATTTTGTACTGTAAAGCCGGCCTCAGGTCGACCTTGCGACGACACAGATCAGTCGGCGACTGACTTTTCAGGATCAAGCTGTGCCTGAGCTACAACCGTCGGGAACATTTCAGTCGCCGATTTTTTGTGACCTATAACTGCGACGATATTAAGACGATTAACAAAATCAACAGTCGCAAGAGTAGATATATTTCAACTTCTACGACGCGACGACGTCGCGATCGTGCGCGCATCAAAACATCCTTTTTCCAATCAGCGTTCCGCGCAACATCACGCACCACGCGCGCGTCAATCACCATACAAAGAATTTGTTTACTACTACTCGCGAGAGGATATTCCAAACCATAGCTAGAGGGGTGTTTAAAAACACAATGAAGTAAAACCGTTCAACAAAATCGTTTAAAATACATAATTTTTGACTCGTGTCGACTTTTTGACTCAAAAAATATTTGTGAATTGGAATACAAGTACATTTAGGACCGTATCAGGGGAAGGCGCGCTGATAATTGAAGATTTTACCTCACTTTCAATTCAACATGGCCGACTCATGAATAAGGCCTATTGGCGTGCTCTCATACATGCAAACACCTTGTAATCGGTATTCCCAGCTGTTCGTTTCGGCACGCAGTAATATTCACTCACATACTCTTTAAATGTGCAACTTTTAAAACTACATCATTTTCCATAAACCGTTGTCAATGTTGGATGATTTATAGTCTTTGGTAGCAAACGGGGCATCGAAATGTAACTAACAACATTTCCCAAAGGTCATAAGACGATCAGACTTCAAATTATGACCCCTCCAATGAGTGTGGGCTTTCTTTCTTTATTTGCGGTGTTTATTTCCTTACAGGTTTGTTATGAACATGTTGTACTTCGGATTCATGGTCTACTCTACTAGTCTGGCTGGAAATAAGTACCTCAACTTTTTCCTGTTGGCCCTCGTTGAGGCACCGATGTCTATTGTGAATTTCTTCATCCTTAAAAGGTACTGACAACAGAATCGGCTATAAAATAGTATTATTATTATTATTGTTATTTTACTAACAGCTATAATAGGGCGACAGATTTTGCTAACTCCGTCCACAATAGGGCGACAGACCTTATTAAGTAGACATATAACTGTCGCCCTTTTGTGAAAACGACCCTTTATAGGACAAGAAATGTTGCCGTCGCAAGCCATCTAGATCGATTCCTCGTGGTCCAATTAGTAAAAATACTAAATTTCGTAGAAAAAAGATAAGGTAAACTTGGGTTAGGTGACAATTTAGGTTTGTGCACAAATCTATGAAAAAGTCGCCCTAATGTAGCAAAAAGAGTAATTATTATTATTATTATTATTAGACATCGGTAATTAGGTGTCTCCCCAATGTCACAGCCCCCTTTTAGAGGCACAATTTTGCTGTCGCAATTAGGTTATATTTGTTGCCATACCGAAATTCGTGGAAAAGGACAAGGGAATATTGGGTTAGGGCACATTTTAGTTTGAAAAATTGTGCGCACAAGTCTAAGGGGATGTCTCCCAAATGTCCAATCCAGGGTAATCATGTTAATTATTAGTGTTAATAATAATTATTATTATTATTGATTTATTAAAACTTCAAACATCACAGTCCTAAAGCTGAATTACGTTTAAGATACGTAGACATTCACACACAAAATAAAAGTTACGTAGCAGTTCCTTAAACAAAAAAGGAAAAAAGGCAACGATTACAGAGGACAAAAAATAAATAAAAATATGTAGAACTATAAAAAAGTATATACAAAATTTATCTCACTGTATGTAAAATATGCAAAATTTAGCATAAAAAAATGCAAAAGGCAAGAAGGCCAGCTCCACTTCAAAAACCTGCAGGGCTTACTATGTAAACAATTAACTGTACGAGAAGTGTGTCAATGATGGGATTGAACTGATTTTTGTACCTGTTGGTTCTGCACTTGATTGAGCACAGTTTGTATTTCTGAGGAATGTTAAGACAGTTTGCCTGTGGATTTGTTTTACTGGCTAAATTGATGTAAAACAGATAATATCGAAATGTTGAGATTGTTTACGTTGTTTCAATTATTTTTGGACAAAAGAACATTAAAATGTTGAGCGTCACGAAATATTCACATTTTGTGGTCAATATTTGACCAACCGTCTAAACAGTTTACGAAAACATTCTTGGTTTCAAGAAGAGTGCAGCCACGAAAACAATTACTAAACATAGCCTAAGGTATCTATATGAACTAATTCAAGACACTACCCATAAACAAATTATGACTCCTACCAATTTGTGTGCATTTCGAGTGAGAGGTGCAAAGGATATGTCTGAAAAAAGAAATAGCCAGATTTGACCAGAAAAACAGTCAAAATTTCACAAAGCTGAAGCGAGCTATGTGAAAGCATATTTTAATCGTTTTGCTAATTTATCCTCGTTCGACGTTAATGATTTGCGGTTGCGCCATTTCGTGCATAAAAAATACAATCCTAATGTTTTTAAATTTAGATTTTGAGCTGGTATTTTCCTAGTCATTTAATACATTACCTATGTTTTTTCACAGGTTTGGCCGTAGAAGGCCGCTGATCATTTTCTTCTTCGCGTGTGCTGTGTTTTGCTTTATCGCAGGGTTCCTACCCACTAAGACAGGTATAACTTAACTAGAAAACCAAGTTCTTCTACTGAGGGTGTACATATGTTGTGTTGAATTGAGCTTGCAAAGGAGATGAACAATTCAACTTCGTCTGCAGTGCTCTTCGTTAAATTACGATAAAGTCACTCCTTCAAGGCATCGTCGGCTACTTAAATAAAATCACATTTGAAATGGAAATGTATATTTTATAAGGATTTACTATAATTTAAACTAGTCTTTTATTCTGCAGCAGATTGAAATTACTATTCTTTCCTAAACAGCCCAAATACAGGGCGAGTCAGAATGATCTGGACCTAAGTTCGCCATTTTTGGTGGCAAATAGAGAATTTTGAGGGAAAAAAATAGTGTTTTATATGGTTATTCCATAGAAATTTTGAATTTTTCAAATTTGACTGAGGTGAGGAGTTATACCATTTTCATTGAAGAGGCTCATTTTGCAGTCTGCACACGGAATTGGTTTTGCCTTTTTTAAATGTGTCAATAACTTCAAGTGAGTCAGTCACCATGACTAGGTTTTATTTGTTATTACACTGCTTCACATCAGTACACGATTTCAATAAATTAGTTGAACTATGGAACCGTGGTCATAGTGTTTTAGAGTTTCTTCAAAATGTTACATTGGATATACATGAAACTTTCACCAAACAATTAAAATACCAGCTCATAACACATTGCATTTGCTCTTGTTTTGATAATTGCTACATACTGGTAACATTTTCTTTAATTTGGGTCCAAATCATTCTGTCTCAGCCTGTGCATCATGAACTCCTTACAGTGGGTTTATACATATTTTTTTTTATTATTTAGCGCAAGGTACAGATCTCGCTGCGTTAATTGTTGCCATGACCATGCTGGGCAAGTACTTTGCCGGTGCTACCTATGAGGTGACTATGCTGATAGGAGCAGAGGTGTTCCCAACAGTATTGAGGTAAAATGGCATAAATATAATATTTCTATTATTTATAGCCACATTTCTATTTCGACGGCAATACGCCAAAAAAACCCCGAGTAAATGTAATGTCACTACAAACGTAAGTCACATTCCGAGTTTCATTAAACCGATTGCCAGTTGATTGTCAGACATAAGTAAAACTTGTATTATAATTATATAAGAACGAAGCCAAACGATGGCATTCGGGTGATGAAAGATAAGACATGAATGTGAATTTTACCTTGTTCATTGTTTTTACTCAAGCTTGGCAAATATGGCTTTTAACAAATTATTCATAAATACCTTAGACAGTTTACCCATGCCTATTGGTCGACAGCCCTGTCACTTGGCCGGACTTAAACGGTTGATAGAGAAAGCCTTTACCGTTTTATTGGTTGAACGTTCCCAATCCTCACGTAGGCATGCGAGTGAGTCAGAATTTCATAGTCGTAAATTTACAATACACCGGCACAGCTGCGTTGTGCGTTACATCACACAGTACGCGCAACGCGCGCGCCAATCTGCTTATAAGGAGTTGTTTACTACACTCGAGAGACTGGACATATCATAATATAGCTAGTGGGGTGTCCCAAAAAAACAAGAGGTACAATTGTTGAACCAAATCGTTGGCAACTCATAATTGTTTACTTGTTTTGAAGTTTGGACTGAAATGTTTTGATTATCTGACCTGCGGTTCGGGTGATTATCAGCATCCAGACTCCAACCGGTCACAAACAGAGTGTTTAAAACCGGCCAAGCACACATTTTTTCCCTTATTTGCAATAACCTGTGCTTATGGTTGCACTGCTAAGTTCTTTTGTGATCACGTTCTCTTGGTTAAGTCTCCAAAGTGGAGATACAATTAACAACTTCCAATGCTTCTATTCAAGTAAAATGTCTTGGTAAAGCACCCGGTTTTTTTTTTTGGGGGGGGGGGGGGTTGGGGTTTTTTCTTAGTTTTATTTATGAATCTTGTTTTGGTTTTTTTTTTGGAATTTTTGTTTGTTTGTTAGTTTGCTTTAATTGTGTTGTGTTTGTATCATTTACATGTATACTCTTAGAAATATTGTAACTGGGAGCTCGGCAACGGTGGGCAAAACGGCTACAATCATAGCTCCGTTCATCGTGCTGTTGGTGAGTAACAAAACTCTCAGTGGTGCACCCAGGATTTGGCTTGGGGGGGGGGGGGCTCAAAATTTTTTTTCACATTTGTTAGAAGTGAACAAAAAAAATTGAAAATTTTGCCCAAAATGTTTTGTCGCAGAAAAAAATTAGATTTTTTTTTTTTGCGGGGGCCGGACTATTTTGACGTTGGTGGCGCCACTTACACCGCCATTAAACTGCATGAAAAAAAACTGCTTACATATCACCAAGGTCAAATCGTGTGACTAAAGAAACCCCAAAAAACAAAAATTGACAACCTCTTTGGGGGTGGGCTCAAGTCCCCGAGGGCCCCCCCACCACTTTGGTGCGCCACTTAACAATCCACATTCAATCTCTCCCGATGCAGTTGTATTTTTAACCACGTGTTTTTTTTTGAGTACCTGGTCAAACTGACAAGTTTACTCTAGTTTAAATGACTTTCCTTGGTAACCAGTTCTTTACATTGTTTCCTTATAGAAAGGTGTGGTGAGCTTCCTGCCCATGACCATATTTGGCACGCTCTCGCTGGTAGCCTCTCTATGTGTGTTCTTTCTTCCCGAAACCAGGAACAAACCCCTGCCAGAGCAGTACGGAGACACTGACAAGTTAGCCCAAGATCGAGAGAGCGCCATCTAGTGAACAATACTGGACATCAATAAGGCTAAAAAAATATGGCAACATTAAGTAGGCTTAAAAACAAAGATGCAAGTTAATGAATGTGCCAGGTGCAAATTATCTACAGTAAACCAAACCAAGATAACATTTCTTAAAGTAATTGAGTTTGCTTCATATAAGAATGTGAATTTGTTTTGTTAAAGGTAGAGTAGATCCAAGGTATTGTTGCAAAGCTCACTTGGTTTGAAGATAATAATGACACTAAGCTCCCTGTGCATTTCAAATTATGACTCGTTAACCTTTGAATTGAAATCGAGATCGAGAATATTGTGTTTTCTCAAACTTTTACAGCATTCACAGAGCTAGATTTTGATCGCTTTTGTTGCTTCGACTAGAAATGTTTTTACAAATTGACAATTGGTTTATTTTACCTTTAAATGTCATTCCTAAATACCTACAACAGTTTACCCATTCCTATTGGTCGTGAGCCCGTCACGTGGCTGGTCTTAAATGGTTGATAAAACAATGGCTGGCTGGTCTTAAACACTTTACCAGTGTCACGTGAAATTTGGACTCCTATGAAATCAGGTCTTTTTTTACCCTTTTAATGATTGATCGTTCACCATCCTCGGTTAGGCATGCGCAATACATGTACTACTAATGAGTACTATTATATAGTTCTTAATTCACACTAAGCCGGAACAGCTGCGTTCTGCTCCACATCGCGCAGTACGCGCAATTCGCGCACCAATCTTCAGAACAAGGAGTTGTTAACGACTACTCGCGAAAGGCACATACCATAACATAGCTAGGGGGTGTTTAAAAAAACATGAAGTAAATTTGTGAAACAAAATCTTTGGGAATTTATAATGTTTGACTTGTTTTGACTGTTTGACCTAAAAGTTATTTATGAATTGGAAAAGACATGTACTTGAATGGTATTAAACACTTTGTTTAAGACTGGTTTGGAGTCTGGACGCTGATCATGACCCTCGCCTTCGGCTCGGGTCATCATCAGCGTCCAGACTCCAAACCGGTTTAAGCATAGTGTTTAAAACCGGCCAAGCACACATTTATTCCCTTAATAGCATGTATAATTTGATGCTAAACACAAGGATTAGGTTTGCGGAATATACCATGCGAATATTAATCTCTTCTGTGAAGAAATATTGGGTCTTCAAGAATTTACGGTAAGATGGTGTTTCTAGAGATTTTTGAAAATTAACCCTGTCCCTGTCCGTCCTTATGCATGGTTATTGCATTATTATTTTTTTACATTCAGATCATGAACAGTGATGAAACTAAACTTTTTTACAAGTAATTAATGCCGCTTTAATACAAAACAAAAGTGAAAGGGTTTCTACAGTATACGAAAAGGTATGCCGATCTTATTGGATACTCGTGCTTGTTAATGATTATGTTAAAAACTACATACACCTTAGCAGTGACATCATCCAATGGAATCTTATTTTTGTATTTGAAGAACCTTATAAGTACAGTTCGCTAAAGTTGGTATAAACGTGTTTTTCAATTTGTTTAAGGAATATAATGCCGTGTAACAAATAAATTGCTTGTTTGCATTTGCATACCTTTTTACAGTTTTAAAATGGGTTTTAATAGTGCGCTTCAGTTCAGAAAGTTTGGAGCGAAATTTTATAAATTTCATTTCTAGTGACGTTTCAGCTAAAAAAATGCATATGCTAATTTTTGAAGCATGCGCTTTTTATTCGTCTTGCTTGGCTACGCGATAATCGCGGCCGGTTCGCGACATTCCCGAGTTTACTAATTAATTACTAATCGTCGGCCATTTTTTGGAAAACTCATAACTAATGAAATATTAATAATATATCAATTCAATTTGAAAATCTATTTTTCGGGGTGCCACACCCAAAAAACACCTATATTATACCAATTTTATATTGCTGTGGCTTTCACAATTCCATTGTTATATTTATGAAATGTTTAGTAAAGATATTCTCATATTGCCCAAACGGCATTGACGGCCCAGGAAGAGTTTTGCTCAAAAGGGCCTCAAATGTATGAGGCATACACTCAAGAAGGTGCCCTCAAAAGACTGGTTTTCGCCACTACATGTACTTCACAGAGCCATATACACAATGAACGACACGGGGAGTCCAGTTGAGTATAGTTGACTATATCAGTACGTAAGTGGTCTAGAGTCGAGTCATGTGATTTGAGTCGAGTTGAATTGAGATAACAATCACATCAGCTCGGCTCAATGCACATGCATGCTCAGGAGCTCATTCCTCACAAGCATTGCTTCTTTATGACCCCTCCGCAGTATCAATGTCTTCCATACTTATTGTTTGCTTCATCCTCATCTGTATTCTAAATGTTTTTTTCTGCTATTCTCTAATTACGATTGTCATTGTCCATTGATATTTTGATACTGTGGAAATAAACTGAAACTGACACTGAAACTGTAAGCTGAAACACTGGGGCCTTGATGTCCAAAAGGGTGAATAAACTTTTTTTTAAATGGCAGGACATTCTGTAGATGAGCTGGTTTCTTAGCATACTGCTTGAGAATCACATGAAGATGTCTGCTCATGGTTTGTGTGGCAATACAATGTAGCACTTGTATCCCAACAATGTCTCTGCAGACAAACATTGCAAAATGTCGCCGGTAGTGGGAAGGAGGTTACTTAATGAAACACATAAGCCAGCTCTGTCCCTGTCCAGCCTGGAAACTAGCGCGCAGTCGCTGTCAACAAACTCTGAGTAATCTATGACAATATAGAAAGTAATGGGATTTAAACTGTTAGTACTTAAGACTTGGCTTAAAGACAAACAATATTCCCACTGCACTGATGAAGTGATAGCGTATGTGATTTTAAAGCAATAACCAAAAATAAAACAACAAAAACAAAAACCAAATTACGGAGGTAGATACCAAACAACAACATCATCCTCATCAAGCGTCCGGAAAGTGTACCCAGGCAAGAATATATGAAATTGACAATAAACACCGTTCTACATGTCCAAAAATAGCTTGCCGTTCTAAGCATCGTGTAAGCATGATACCAAAAAAAATAGCCTTTGATAAAAAAAAAGTTGAACAGTGAAAAATGTGTCGTATTTTGCGCCGTTTAAAACTTACCAGCCCATTAAACAAATCAACTACAAATGTTGGTGCAGGGACATACATTTACTACCAACATCAAAGAAGTAAGTGGAACACAACCCTCCGCAAAACAACAGACAACCGAATGCGATGCAAACACTGGAGACAAATCTACTGGTCAATGAAAAAAAAACACGCTGTGTACTTTAGTCAGACAATAAAAGTTTAAAGTCCATGCAAAGAGTCCAAAGTATATTCTGTCCATGAATGCAGGTGAGTTTCGTTAAGTTATCTCTTGTTACATAAACCTACATACTTTTTGTGTTTGACAAAATCGGTTTGGAGAAGTAAGCTTCAAGTAAGGTGAGTGTCCTTAGTCTTTATTATTATTCTCTCTTTACGTACCATAAGGTTTCATCACTTCAGCTGTTGGTTCACAGTTCATGGACTTCCTGCGAATTGACCTGACCTGTACTTTGCTAGACTGAACACTAGTCTGACAAAAGTGAGCCCATACGCAGAATACACTGTGGATATACATACGAAGTATAATTCGAGGTCATTTTCGTTGAAGTTTGGCTGTAATGTTCGGCTGCGTACATGATACATGAAGTATGTATACTTAGTAAAGATTGCATATGAAGTTTTTGCTGTGATATTAACCATTCTGTACTTTTTGACCAATCTTGTGGTTTTTTGTAGGTGCATGTACATCCCCACAGAAGCAGCGTCAGTTTGTCGGGCAAGTTTCTGGAAAAATAACGTTTTTGTCATACGAGATCATAACTAATGTGGTTTTTAATTGAAGCAATTAAGTTTGGAGTTGTTCAGTCCTACGATCCCTTCCATTGTTTACCCATTGCAGTTGGTGACCTCGTATTGTATCTATCATATCTCTGAAAGGATATTGTTTCTTATTTGTAGATATGGACGTGGATTCAATCCTGGAGGTTGTTGGTCTATACAGTCGGGTGCAGGTCCACAATTTTGTTATCTTTAGCCTCTCAGTGTCGCTTGGTATCATACAACTCACCTCAGTGGCTATCACAATCGACCAATCAGTGGAGCACTACTGCAAGCCTTCACCCGGCTTTACGGCCAATCAGACGACGCCTTTTGTGGACAAAAATGGCCGCCAGGTCCCCGACAGTTGTCACATGTTCGATGTCCGTAATGGGTCACTGACAGAGAATATAACAAACTGTCAGAATGGATGGGTGTACCCGGGCGCAGACCACGGAGAGACTAACGTTTTGACTGACGTAAGTTAATTTGGTTTATAATGCTCACCAGCTTCATACAACCCTTCTGCCTTTAAAACGAATCGTACAGTGTCAACGATTGGCCACAATCTGGTTTGTGCGGACATAATTGATAATCACAATGGTAACTGTAATTATCAAATAGGTCAGATTGTCCCTTACTGTTACCTGACTTGTATTAAAAGAATTAAAATTAAAGGGAATTTACAACATTTGCTTTTGCCGCATTTTTCAGAAATAAATCGATTTGGAGGATAAGTATGTTATAGCAAATATTGTTAAACTGACTTGTTTCACGTTTTGGGCTTGTATATGCTGGAAAAACCAAGACAACAAATCGTGTTCTTGAAGTCTGGTTCCCTGTCCCTACTTAAGATGAAACGAGAAATGTAAAGACTTTAGGGAATTGTAAGGTCAAATAATCAGTCTAGCAGGCTTGTACCCCTTCCCAAGTGTGTTATCAATTGCAAAGAAAATGCGGAATAACTAAATTAGGAGCAGTTTTTGAAAAAAATCCAGTTTTCTCCAACGCTGGTCGGCCGACCAGCGTTGGAAAAAAATACACTTTTTCTAAAAAATGTCATCACACCAGGAACCACCATTTCACAAGATGCTTTAGACTGTCAATCCCTAGCAATTCAGTAAGGTATTTCGTGATATTTTGATCATTTCGTTTTTTGATGTTTGCAAATGTTGTATCTTCCCTTTAATTGACGATGTGGTTGAACATAAAACGGGACATTTTGACGAAGACTTAGCAATCCATTACAAAGGCTAACCGATTATGAAACATATAGGATGAATGTATTGTTGAAAGGCTTGGAACTTTATTATCTCATCAGCTTGATCTCGTGTGCGATCGGAGCATTTTAGCCAGTACCCTGATGTCTCTTCACTTCGCTGGTACCCTCGTTGGTGCTTATGTGACGGGTCAGGCGGCGGACATTTTTGGTAGACGACCTGTTGCGGTCAGCTGCCTAGCCCTGACGAGTATAATCGGCGCGGCGATCAGTTTCACCTGGAACTTGGAGCTCATGATGGCACTCAGGTTTCTACTTGGAATAGTTTTACCGGTAAAAGCTGGAGAAAAATATTTAGAAAAAGAAGATACGGAACCATAGATATTTTACTACATGCTGTAAAATTCGGGTATAGGCAACCACAAGAAATGAAAACAGCTTTTCTTAAAATGAGAGCCACAGTTTGTTCATTGCAGCTACTAATTTTGAAAAACAAAATCAAGTGATCTTTTGTTTCACGGTTAAATAGCGTCCTCTAAGTACCCACGCATGAATAGCACACGCAAAAGTCATGAACTCATTTAGGTCTAAAATGTGTTGACTGCAGTGATGTAGGATATGACGTTTTGAACACCAGAGGGGCGCATAGCACCCGAGGCGAAGTCGACATTTGTTTCGTTATACCTCTGCCTTGGATTCTTAAAATTTTGATATAAAAACCACGAAAACAAACAGCATATTTAACACATTCTTGACAAATGAACGTCAATTCACATGCATGCATGTCGCTTCACTCGTAACGCCCCCCCCCCCCCCCCGCTCTGCAAACAGGCCGCTGGGACACGCTGATGAGCTTCACAGAATCTTTTGAAGGAAGTGGGGCGGTATTCTGGGTAACTTATTATGACCTATGTATAGACACATCTGGCTGCAGCTGCTTAAGACCGCAGTTTGCCAATGCGCGCAAATGCTATCCGAAAACTTAATGCCCATAGAAATGCAAAGTCCATACCGGATGTGATTTCTTTTCGTTGCAGACCATATGGACAAATTATGTCTTGAAATATGCAATTTGACCAATCGTTAATTCGAAACGGACCCTGAGAAAGTGACGGGAATTGAAAATGTACAAAAAAGATAAGTTTCACACATTTTCCTACATTATTACGCTTTTCAACGAAAAAAAAAATCTTCCTGAATGGGAAAAAAAGAGTGATGACTCGGTCTTAACGGCCGTTAAAACCTTGCAGGGTCGTGGCCGTAATGACTAGCAGATCACATGTCGCGCAAAAGCTATCAAATCAGAGCTCAAATTCAGCAGCCTGTCCCAGCTTCCTGTTTGCACGGCGGATGTTACGAGCGAAGCATGTCGCGTGCTCGAAACAGCTGATCGTCTGCTAGTTCGCTGCTCCCACTCATGCGTGAACACACGGGTGAAATGAGCGAGGGTACCAACTACCCAAGCGTTTCACATAGTAGGCCTACGTACCGTACGTACCGTACGTACAGTCTAGCACATTCCCTGTGGGATATCACTTAACCCTCTCACTCCCACGAGCTCCATTTTGGCACCAAAAGTCGAACGCCACTACTTCCTTTTGGCACCAAGCTATTCTGCATTTTGCAAAAATGTAAATAACGCCCCCTCTCGGCGAAATGTCTCTCATCATGCAATGTACGTGTATCTAACTCCATGGTTGAAGCATTATCAAACAGACTACTCAACTGTGTGAATATAAACATTATTCCTCCCGCCCCCACATGCAATGTTGCTAGGGGAATTGGCCAGTTTGCCTGCACGCCCGATTTCCAACATTATTGAACGGGGAGGGGGGGGGGGGCTTGAACTAGTTCATAAATACATAGGTTGTATTTGCGCGTGTCCGGTTACATATTCTTGGTAAACACATCAAGGGTAATAAACATGCAGGCGGTTTACTTGTTTACATTTGCTGGGCAAGCACTGGGCTCTGTCCTCCATGCAAGTAACGAGGGCGCTACACAATGAAAATTTTCCAAATGCTCCTGGTACCGGAGACTCATCATTCAGTACTTTATTCTCCTGGGAGCCAAAAGGTTAACGTGGTATCCCACAGGGAGTGTGCCACGGTTTTTTATAAACCTAACACGTAATCGTTCTAGGCAAATGATAATACAGTATTCAAGACAGAGGTATAACTACATTTGCTGTTTCTGAATACAAAAAGTATTTCAACCACATTTAAACAAAAAAAAATTATGAATATATAAAACAAAAAAAGGATGTTAGTGTTTAATTTAACCTCTTATAGTATTAGCTAAAAATAACTTCATCATAAGGAATACTGTTTATTTCAATGGCAATCCTCAGGGAAACACAATAATTGGCTACAATCGCTGCGTCGAGATGTTCACGCCAAAGACGCGTCTTGTAGGCAGCATGACGAATCATTACTTCGCCACATTCGGGTTGGTGATGGTTGCACCCATTGCAGTCCTCCTTCCAAACTGGAGACACTTTCAACTTGCTGTATCCCTCGGTTGTCTCCCACTCCTGCCCCTGCATTGGTAATATACCCGATGAGTTATGTAATTTAAAGACAGGGCTTTGAAAAAAACCGTAAAACTGCTTTCTGATAAATGATCTGCACTCAGCACCTCCAAATGATGTCACGATTCCTAGAATGCAAGTCTGCCGCTCTCTGTAAGAGCAAAACGACAGGTGTATGTTGTGAATTATAAGTCCCACAATATATAATATTGCGATATTTGTTTTTCTTCTTCCATTCCTTTTGCCTTTTGTCCTGGTAATGGGAGACCTCTTCAAAACATGAAGATAGTTGCAGTAATAATATTACTGATAGGACCAAACAGGGCCGTAAACATCTACAGTTATACCTTTGAACTGTTACTCTATACTTAGGTTCTTTTCTTACGAGGCGCTTCGCTGGCTGGTGCAAAAGGGCCGTCTGGACGAAGCGGAAGATATCTTACAGAAAATCGCCAAATCGAAGAACGTAAAGCACGAAGGGCGTTTCCTCTTACATGTAAGCAAAGATGATGTACCACTCGCATTGCGTAGCCCAGACGAGGAAACTCCGGACAACGTATCCGAACAAGTAAATGGTAACGAGTCAGCTCCGTTTGTGTCAGGACAAGAAGGAAAGACGCAGAATGGACCGACAACCGGACTTTGGAGAGAGAAAGTTACAAGCGATGTTGAAGACAAGGGTGGGAAAAGGACGGTCCTAGAAAAGCCAGACAGAAGGTACAATATTCTCGATCTTTTCAAAACAAGGGCCCTCATCAAGCACACAACCATCGTCTACTACATGTGGTGAGTTTTTGAAAAGATGACGGGTCAACTCATACCCGAGTTAACTTGTTACCGAGTAAACTCGTCTTCGAGTCAACTCGAGTTGACCCCAGTAAAAGTGGAGCCTGGTACGAGTTTACTCGGGTACGAGTTGGCACCAATTCTTAGAAAATGATCGACCGGCAGTTTTGAATACACTACAGTTCTCTTTAAATATAAAATAAAAATTAAAATTCAAAATGAACAACACGATTAGTCTTAGTACAATTAATTCTTTCAAAGCAATTGGTGCATACCCTTCTACATTTTTCTTATTTCTAGGTTTTCTGTATGCATTATGTACTTCGGACTTCTTGTCTATGCAACGAGTTTGACGGGGAACAAGTACCTGAACTTTTTCCTGTTGGCCCTCGTGGAGGCACCTGTATATTGCCATGATTACTTCGTCGTAAGGAGGTATATATCCATGCCAATTGCAAAATACAATCATCATTACTTTCAATCCCTACTATCAAAATCGTTGCCACCATTACAAACGATAGCAACGTTACCAAATAATAAGATGACTCTTTACATGTGTGCTTTCTTATAGGAGCCTGCTGGGGAAGACGGTTTTGTAGCCCCATAGAAAAGCGCACAAGTAAACGATGTGTGACGTCATCAGTACAGAGGCTTATTAAAAACTATTGTGGTCAATCGGCGCTAAGGTTTTGTTGGTATTTCAGATGGTCATTTGATTCAACTAATCGTATTCATACTCCTGTCTTTTTGACAGGTTTGGTCGCAGAAGGCCTATTGCGTTCTTCTTTCTGGCAAGCGCCGTGCTGTGCATCTTGATAGGCTTTCTGCCCGAGAAAACAGGTAAGCTGATTCTCAGTTCGAATTTCTTTGTTATAACAACTCGATTAAGCTGTTACAATTAGCCATTTACGATTAAACTATACCCTTTGAATAAACATTTGGAAAAAATATGTGGTACACTGACTTGCTCAGAATGCATGGTACATTTTAACTTTGAATTTCCCAGAGCTAAGACACTGTTGCAAATCACATGATTTGGGGCAAGCTCTTGTATAGTTACGTAAGAGACGCTCAGCACCAATACATTGTTCAAAATGGGTGAGAATGGCACAAAGACACCAGACCATGCTGGAGCTTGGGTTGCTTGCACAAGGTTTGCCCCGAGTCACGTGATATAGTACCAGTCTCTTTGGTCGGGAGAATGCAAAGTTAAAACGTGCAAAGCATTAGATTAAGTCAGCGTTCCAGATTTTATTCAAATTATTTTAGCTCGTAAATGGCTTATTGACAGGAGATTGTGAAGTTGTACCTTTAAAAAAAAAAAATGACACATTGCCGGAACACGTTTGTTAACTTAAACGTGACGGAAAGTTGATATTACCCTGGCTGTTTGGATTACGTACGGAGCGCTACAATTAGTCATTGGATCACCTATGACGTATAAATGATCCGTTTGATGATGGATCTTATTTGTAAGCGAAATAATATTATGCACCAGTTGACACAGCAACTCAATTTTCTATTCGTTTTTTTTACAAGGGCTATTGAGCTTGTGTGGATGAAAGTATTTGTCGTTAAATCTAAACAGACAAATTAGCACCAAAATATCTGTCAATCAATCCACTCTAGACCATTTTTGTTTGCAGAAAGTGTAAATGACACATTCATCATGCAGGCCCTCTTTCTTATACCTTTTTCAGCTGATGGCACGGATCTGACGGTGTTGATCGTTGTCGTAGCAATGATCGGGAAGTTTTACGTCAATGCCGCGTACGAGCTGACAATGCTTGTAGGGGCGGAGGTATTTCCCACCGTGTTAAGGTATATTCATAAATATAGTTAAAATACCTAATTCAGTTTACCCATTCCTCTTGGTCGAGAGCCTGTCACGTGGCCGGTCTTAAACGGATGATAAAGACATTGCTGGCTGGTCTTAAATACTTTTGCAGTGTCACATGAAATTTGGACTCCCATGAAATCCGGTGCCTTTTAACGTTTCATTGGTTGAAAGTTCACTTTCCTCACGAATGTGCAATACTACCAGTGAATCAGTATTTCATGGCCCGAAATTCACACTACACCAGCCCATACAATATGAAGTAAATTGTTGAACAAAATGGTTGGCAACGTCTAAGTTTTAACCTGTTTTGATTTTTAGGCCGAAACATTTTTTTTTTTACCGAAAAGGTATTTATGAAAGGAATAAATGTGTGTTTGGTCGGTATTAAACACTCTGTTTAAGACTGGATGAAGTCTGAAGTGCTGATAATTACCCTTCCAGACTCCAACCGGTCTTAAACAGAGTTTTTAATACCTCCCAAACACACATGTATTCCCTTAATGTTAGACGTTCATGGTGCTCGATAAAATGTATTTACGATGAGTTGATTTATGATTTAACAGGTTGAACCAACATTGTCCAGGCTCACGTGGCTACGCCTATAGGGGAGCTATATAATCATAAACTACCTTTGAATTGAGTGTTGATTGTTTGAAAATGTACTAAAATCTATTTATTTGTTCATGCCTTTCCAGAAATGTTGGGCAAGGCAGTGCGGTTACAGTCGGCAGGGTTGGCTCCATTGTCGCACCGTTTATTATCTATTTGGTAGGTTTGACCTAAGAAATTTGAATAAAAAAAGAATAGGTTACTAAATCAGTATATTTTAACTTACATTCAAGGTATCAACATTTAAATGTGTCCATAGATAATGTTAGGATTCTAAACAGGATAAGTAACGACGGTAACTAGCCCTATTCTTGCCAGTACCAAAGGGGCCAGACTAGTGTCCTCTTTTTGACCTCATTGACTGACTCACTGACTCAATGTCACTTAAACACACCTTGAGGGATTCCGAGACCAGTAAGTGTACTAAGTATAACACTGGCCCTATCTCAGCAGCTATCAAGAACCGCTGTGGCGTAACGTCCACCTCAGTTGAGGGTATTCCATTCGGTGCGAGAGGTGCGTTACTCACCAGCAAGACCACGTATTGCGGCCTTAAGCTGAGTAGGAACCAACTTAGTATCCTAGCACAGAATGCCATCAAGGGCTCCATCTTTGTATTTAACAGTTTTATGAGGAAATAGGTTTAGGGGACTAAAGCATGGGCTAAGCATGCCAGCCCCCCCCGGGGGGGGGATGTTGCATACCTGCGAAGGTGGGTCCGCCAGCTTCGGCTGAGCGACCTTACGGTATGGTCCCGCTCGGTCCTGCTACTCGGGGAGGGGCCCCGTTGTTTGGCGCAGCCGCAGGGGCGGTTGAGCCGTAGCACTCTCCTTGCCTACACGAGGCCTTGTATCATGTAAGTCTACGTAAGGCAGTGATACCGTATAGGATTAAACCATAAACGCCATTGAATGGACTAAATTGTTCCCATTGTGTACACCAGAATGATGCACGAATGGAAGCTTCCAGTGACTAGTCATTCTGAATCAACAGTGCGACCCCGAATAATCCAACCCTAAAACATTTGCCTTTAAAAAAAAGGATCAGTGGAATTTTATGCTTTGTGTATTAGATTTAAGCGGAGGGCTTTTCTTTCAAATACAGAAAAAAAAATCATGAAAATAGAACTTTGCGTTGCTGAGAAAATGCAACTTTGCAGAAAATGCAGCGTTTTTCATCCTGTACACAAGTACTTTAAACAAAACATTTTACTGTTTGCCTACTGTGCAATTATCCTTCATGCGTGCAATGTCTTTAGTATTTTGACATTGATGATACTGAAGGGTTTAAAGTGGGACTAAAAAGAATGAGATACCTGTTCAGGTGGAAAATAAAAGGTAATGCCTTCAAATTCATTAGTACTCTGGTCATATTATGTGCCATGTTGTTTGTAAGGATTTGGACATGCACACAAAGGCACAGTGTGGTAATTTTTGTGTATAGGATGAAATATTACTAATTTTATATAATCGGCATTTTCTCATCAACCCAAAGTGCTAATTTCATGATTTTTCGGTATTGGGAAGATAAAGCTATCAGCTTTCATCTGATAACATAAACATAAACATACACCAATCACCTTTTTTAAGGCAAATGTTTTAGGGTTGCATTTTTTTTAAAAATCACCCTGTATATAATTTTCTGTGCAACCACTTACCCTGTTTTTCTTTTTGTGTACAGAAGGACGTGGCGAGCTTCTTACCAATGACCATGTTTGCTTCGTTGTCGCTGGTAGCCTGCCTGAGCGTACTTTTGCTGCCTGAGACCACAAACCGACCGTTGCCAGAGACGTATGAAGACGGCAGTAAACTCACAGGGAGTACAAAGGGCTCCCTCTGAGGGACCCTTAGTCTGGTTCCCTGACATGACGATCCCGCTAGCCTCTCTTATCATAGATCGTAGGTCAGGTAGTCGTCACAACTTAATCACGACGCAACGATGTCAGGGACGCCCTTCTCTCTTTCGGGGTTCAAAACGCCTAGTACACGTACGGTGGGTCTTAAAGAAAAAGGATACTGGGCATTACCATAGGCATACAATTCACAAATGTAAGCTTTGATTTAATGAACATTAAACTTTCTGGACAATTGTTTTTTTTATTACTAACTTTGATTTTGTTTTAACGGCTTCAATCAATGAATATGTCTTGCAGTATAAAAATGGTTAAATGTAACATTAATATAATTGAATGTAACATATACAATAAATAATGTTCATGCACTTTGTGAACAAGGACTCAGAACACGTGTTCAAAGTTTGTTCAGGTATTACCTTATAGTGTACAAATTAGTGGGAAACCGCGTTTCGCATGTGACGTCACCTTCTAACATTTGCTAATGCAATTTTAGCCCCCCCCCCACCCCTGTGGAACCGCGCCTGTATTCAGCTAGTTCGTTGTAATTCATAAGAAAACAACTATGACGTCACATCATTGCTATTACTCAGTCATTTTGTACACTAAAGCATTTCAAAGCATAGCTTTCGTCGAGCTGCCACGGTGGCCTGGTGGATAGTGATATGGATCGCAAGATCCGTGGTTCGAACCCATGTCCATTTTCATCAAATATTTTTGTTGGTTAGGATAAGTTTTATTGAAGGGAAAACACTACGAGAACCGAAGTGTTTTGCATCCACACAGCGTGATAAATATTCATGTTAGGGGTGCGTGATGTGATTGGTTAAAATGCGATGTATGTTGCCAAAAAAAACCCCACGCAGACGGTGCAGGGTATTTCGATTTTCGGCTTCCATCGCTGCAAAGCTACCGTTGCTGCAATGGAGAAACAAAAACCGTTTTTGATATACAAATTTAACCTTTATCCCCGCGTAATGCAACCTTTGTCCTCGCATATATATACAGTTGTTTGTTGTTTGCTCTCTACAGTGATGGGGAGGAGTCAAGCGCAACACGGAGATTGTTCACACTATACCAATTGTTTTATAACCAGGTTAGCTACCGATTTCTACCTGGATAGAGCCTCTCAATGATCCTGGTACTGACTAGGGTAGGTTTTACCTGGGTAAAGAGCCGTACCCATGCGTGAGCCATGTTGTATTGTTTATAGTGTGAAAAGTGTTGCTTGAAACCTCCCTGTTCGACCCGTGCACAATACGGAGATTTTTGACTTGTGAAAGGGCCAAGGTAACCCATACCCCTTTTGATGTGAAAATGCATTGGTAAATATTTTGCTTATACCTCGTTTGCTTAGGCATTCCAACAGTGTCAAACGATCCTGCTAAAAGCCATGAACAGAGAAGAAAATGTTCAGAGCATGCACCTGGCCAAGGTATGCATTGTACCCAGTTCGTTCCCTTCCTTTATTTCCACCATATCTGTTTAGCCGAACAATGGTGTAACGTCATAAGGAATGTCGTCGATGCTCTTGATGCGGTACAAGCTGACGCTTTCTTGAGAAAAACACCTGAGTACTTGGAGCTTATTTAATCAGTGGTCTCATTTTGGCCTATCAATGAAATGGCACAAAGCGTGTTTGTCGGCAGCGGCGATGAAACGGTTTTCAAACTGGGGGGGGGGGGGGGGCATCACAAAAAGGGGCATTTTCCCAGTAAAGGGGGGGGGGGAGGGAGGGGTGTATATCCGTGGTCCCGCCCCGGTTGCGAATATTTTATTTACACAATAGTACAGAGTACCCAATTTTTTTCAGGCGACTTGAATCAAGGTTATAGGATTGTAGAGCGCCGCATTATTTATTTTTTTAAATAGGCTAAATCAATAGACAGATCGTTTGAAATCACGTTAATTTTTTTTCTGAATAACAGCATGCCGAACAAACTAATTTCGCACGGTGTCTAGTACCAGTTCGATCTTTATTCCAAGAAAGGTAAGCTTTCTGATACTAATTCGGCAGGGTATTTTTGGGATAAATGCAAACGATCTTATTATGTCTTTAATTAATGAAATGTAAAAAAAAACCTAATTAACAGACAAAGACCAAAGCGTCATCCTTCAGCGGTGTATTGACGTGTTAATATGAAACCAGTGATCAGTTTCATTTGGAGAGATTAGCAATTGGAACAATGCTGGCTATAAGCAGTCCCAGCACGGAGAGTAAGTCAGTAAATTTGAGGGAACACACCCCAAAAACAAATCGGTTTCGCTACGCCCCTGGATACCTCTACCCAAAAAAAAACCCAGCTATGGTTCTAAAAAAATAGGTCAATATCCATTGGAACAGAGGCTTTCATTGTTGTTATATCTTCATGCTGTTTGCTGAATCTTATCTTATTATGTCTTGCACAATTGAAGACGGGTCAATCTGGTGCCGAGATCAGCACGCTGTTTGTTTGACAATTGCAGTACAGTTTGAGTCCATTTAGAAGTGTTCTTGAACACGTACAGTTGCAATGTCACATTTTCATAAGCTAGTGTCATAGAAAATAATCAGACATATTACATATGTGACAAACAATTGACCCTGCTTTGACTTCGGTCCCAGGTGTAAAGTTCGAGTACGTTAACTACTGTGCATTTTAATGCAAAATGCAACAGTGTATCTGTTCAACTTCACTTCTTAAACGTGCTGATGCTAGCGGTACTGTTCCACATTGAAAAAACGAGCCTGAAAGGTAATAAAAGCTACGAAGTAAAACTGTAAATTGTCTGCATAGTATCGATAACTTTATATAGTTTTTTCTTTTTTCATGAAGACGTAAGTGATTTTGTTTGTACATTGTACCCGCCTCACTTAATTCGATATATATTTGTTCGTGTTTGGTGGTCTGTTAAACAGTGTGCGTAATTCAGTAGCATTACTAACACATTATTTGCCAGAGCTAGAAAGACGATATATCCGAATGGCGCACACCGGGCGCAATAAATTCGCGATTGATGAGGGTTCACAAAATATATACTACGCGAGCTCATTTGAATCAAAAGTCTGGTTTAAAATTGGTGGAATTGAGCAAATATAGCCAAGGATCAACTCTCTAGATTTTGGGATATTATCTGATGGCAGAATTTATAAATTTACGGTGGAAAATGGGTCCTATTTGCCCGAGAAAATGTAGGGATGCCATTTGTAAATTTAGCTGCACGCATGCGTGGCCATTATCGTTGCAGGCCAGTAAATCTGTCCGAAATTCCATACGCCTGCCAAATCAAGATTTGCATGTCCTCAAATTCTTCAATATTTAAGAAAATTGTGGGCTATGAACTTGAGGTTTTGTACAAAAAAAGGTATGGGTTGAAGCCGTACACAGGACTGTAAGCTTGTGTTTCAGTGAAATTTGGGTGAAATTGGGGCCTTAAAAGTGTAGGCACCGTTTCTCAAAATGGCGATGGGCTTCAGGATTATTTTAAGGGGTGCTCACTTCGGATGGAAATTTCTCCTCAAAGATACGAGATTACCCCCACCCCCCACCAAAAAAAAAAATTCAAAAGAAATTGAAGATGATGTAATAAGCTTTAATTTGATGTGTGTCTCGAACACCTTTGAGAGTTGTGAGCATTTTTCCCGAATTTCTAAAGTGGGGGCATTTATCAATGGTGTCTATGGCAATTTATTTACTGGTCTACAACCATACCCTTGCTCGATGCCACTAGCACAATGCCGGTCTGGTCTTCCAATCATTCTACTCAAAATTCAAGCGCCTGGGGTTTTGTGCACAAACCTTATCAGTCGGACCGCAAGCCTCATCATAAAGAATAAGTTAACCGGACCAACGTTTACGAGAGTGCATTGCTGCGAAACAAATGATACCAACTGAAATAACCAGTCATGAGGTTGCTAAGGTAACGCGTCTGCCGTTGTTAAGCAAATCTTATCCGATTACGTATTAGACGCTATAGCAGAGCAGTGAAATTCATGCACCACAAAAAAAACATGGCCTTTTGAACGTTATGTTCCTCAGTAAAATATGCACAGTATGATTGAAAAGTTAAATCATAACGGAAGAAGAAATTCTAAACTTCATGTCAGTGAAAAAAATCGCCGTCATCGATGCCGAAACGTCAATACTGGTTACTGGTATAGCTGAATTTCAAGTCTGGAAAAAATTGTTCGAAAACTTCCCCAGTTCTCTGTATTAATATCAATTGCTAGGAATTTCTCAAAATTTTTATTTCACAATCTCCATGAAAAATTTCGACGATGATTTCTGCTGAACCAAGCCACAGTTGACCGATTTCGGCCAAGCCATACAATTATGGTACTGTAGATTAGCATAATAATTAGCGTCAATCAGCGTGTTTTGGCGTGGGTCTCGGTATCGACCAATGGAAGCCGACAAAGAGATTGATATCTATCAATTAATAACTCGTGAAGGAGGTATTTCTAAAAAGAAATTACTGCACATCATTATGGATAGGAACCTTATTAATACTCGTGAGGCTTGAAAAGATTGACAGCTATTGCAAACGTCAGTGTTACAACTTTCAATGATGCACGCAGCCAGGACTATTTTTCCAATTTCAACGAAAGTAATGAACATATCACACCAATTTTTGGCACATACTTTGAGCATTATAAGGGAAATAAATCCTGAAAGTTGCATGAAGATACGGTCTTCCAAACTGGAGCAATTAATTTTCAAAGATTTCACCCGCCAACGTGACCATGTCTGTGTACATGTAGTTTCATTCAAAATAAAGTGTTACGCAGCCTTTAGAAATCGCCCTTCGCAACCACTAGACTGTAACGGACTCAAAAGATACAGAGATCTGTCCGAAGTCCTAAGCTGTATAAACCAATGGTTGTATTTTCAGCGACGGGGTTGACAGCTTAAAACTGTCAAATGCAGCGCTAGCAAAACTGTATTAGGCCAAAAAAAAAAGTCTCCGGTTTCTGGTATGGAGCTTGTCCAAAAAGTGGTGCGGCGACGCGGCTTTTTTTTTTTTTTACCTGACTTTTTTTGCTTTAAATGTCGGCTGATGACTGCAAATGGTGCCCGACTAAACTTAGTGCAAATATATGGGAGTCCAGAGAGGTCACATAAAGCTTATTCTCGATCATAACCCCATCTAATAACACGTTAAAATTGTGCAGCAGCAGGATTCCAGTCAAACCAGTGAGTTTGGCGGTTTTGAGACATCATCTTTCATTGACAAAAAAAAAACTATTTCATTTTGCCGACGCGCATGGCTACGGCGACGCGCGCATACCAGAAACCGGATACTTTTTTTTATGGCCTTACTGTGAGATAAGGTGTTATTGCCCTTCTGGAATGGAGGTTTGACACAAAGTCACTCAGTAAAGCTTGTATCCATATGCTTGTACCCATACTTTCACAAAACACAATCACTTTTTTTTTTTAATCCAAACCGAATGTTACATTGTGATATCCGCTATGGCACCGTGTATTTTTGTCACAGTTATGGACGTGGATGCAAGCCTGAAGATTGTTGGCCTGTACAGCTGGGTGCAAGTCATCAATATTACCATTAGCGGACTTCAACTGTCGTTGGGAACCTTACAAGTAACCGGTATCGCCCTTTCAGTTGATCAGGCGCTAGAATACTATTGCAAGCCCTCGCCTGGCTTCACAGCTAATGAGACAACGCCTTTAATATACCAAGATGGCCGCTTGGTTCCCGATGGGTGCCACATGTACAGTGTTCTCAATGGGACACTGACAGAGAATATTACGACATGTGAGAATGGATGGGAGTATCCAGGTTCAATGTCTGGAGAAACAAACACTAATAGTGACGTAAGTACAACATGGTTCTCCTCTTAGCCAGGCACGGAATAAGAAATCCCTCTCTATCATTTCCGAACTTAAATTTTTCATTTTGAATATCGGCCTACGTTGTCCAGATTTTTGCTCCATTGTCAAATGATGGGGTGACATCACTTACAAAACTACTGTATGTAACCTTAGTGAATGCGTCTACACCTTTCAACAGACTACCGATTCAATGAATAGCGCCACAAACAAAGTGGAGTGTTTTCTTTATTTGCTGGAAACTGTTGCAAGTTGTCGTTTTCTTCTGCACAGTTTAATCTTGTGTGTGAGCGGGGAATTTTGGCTGGTACCCTTATATCGCTTAACTACGCTGGTTCCCTCATCGGTTGCTACATAACGGGTCAGGTGTCGGACATTGTTGGCAGGCGACCTGTTGCAATCTGCTGCCTAGCCCTGACGAGTATAATCGGCACGGCGATCAGTTTCACCTGGAACTTGGAGCTCATGATGGCACTCAGGTTTCTACTAGGAATGGTTTTACCGGTAAGCAAGGCAAACAAAACAAAATGAACAAACAAAAAACGATGTACTTTGCCTCTTTGAAGCATCCTCTGAGACACACAAAAAGTACCAACACATTATTTGAAGTTAACTGTAAAAGATAAGAAATGATAAATATGAACCAGGGCTGTCATGGATAAACAAAAGTATGGAAACTGTCATCAAAGATCTGTTAATCCGAACCTCTGTTCACATAAACAAACAGGGAGACATCCCCATAGACTTGTGCACAAACTTAAATGTGCCCTAACACAATATTCCCTTGTCCTTTTTTTCCACGAATTTCGGTATGTTTACTAATTAGACCACGTACGAGCAACAAATATAACCTTATTGCGACAATAAATTGTGCAAAGAAATTACGATAACGTGTCTCCCTAATGGTACATTTGTAGGAATAATAATTATAATAATAATAATTACCGAAAATGGGACCACAGGGAGACATTCCCGTAGACTTGTGCGCAAATTTTTCAAACTTAAATGTGCCCTAACCCGATATTCCCTTGTCCTTTTATTCCCGCGAATTTCGGTATGTTTACTAATTAGACCACGAGCAACAAATATAACCCGATTGCGACGATAAAATTTTGCCTCTAAAGGGGGGCTGTGGAATGACCGGTGTCTCCCTATTGTCGAAGAAATTACGATAACGTGTCTCCCTAATGCTACATTTGTAGTTTTAATAATAATGATAAAACCACAAACAACCAAAAACACATCATTAAAGAATAAATACATATCCAGCTATAGGTGCTTGTATCGACTGTCGTATCGTTGATATTCTGCCTTGCCCAAGCTGTTGCCGTATGCGAATCGATCGTGTAAAAGTAACAGTCATGAAGACCATTGAAAGGTTTCGGCACTCTGACACTGTTTTGCCTATTCATAAGTAATTCATCGGAAATAAGGAATTTTCAACAATAGCACCATCACCCCTACTTGCTCATAATATACCTAAAATTACGACTGGAATTTTATGAGTTATACATTCACACTACCCGAATTATTTCTTATGATAATATTTAGGGTTCTACTCTTGTCAGTTACGTCCGTTTGGTGGAGATGTTTACGCCCAAGTCTCGGACTATCGGCAATATGATGAGTCAGAACTTTTGGGCACTCGGCGTGGTGATGGTGGCTCCGATCGCATACCTCCTTCCGAACTGGAGACACTTCCAGCTTGCTATCTCTCTCGGCTGTCTTCCATTTCTGCCTCTACATTGGTAAGATTTGCACTGATGATTTATACACCTGTAGTATTCTACATACATGTATTTTGATATGATGAAAGATCAACGATTTGACTTGCGTGACGGTACAAGTTACCATAACTGAACGTACGACTTGGCGAAGGTACGACTTGACGAAGGTACGAGTTCGAACAATGACCTTTGAGTTAAAGGAACAAGTTGACCTGTTTCAAACTCATCCATTGATCTGACAAATATGGCTAACATGTGAGTGCAATGGTTGATGGTCCGAGAAACTACGTTTTGAAACGATGGCTTAAAGATTATATTGGAATAAATGTATCAAATGTTGTAAATTGTTCGACCACCACTATATGAATGGTTTATGTTCTCTGATGTAACAGGTTTTTTTCATACGAATCACTTCGGTGGTTGGTACAAGTGGGACGGGCACACAAGGCAGAAGCCATTCTGAAGAAAATAGCAAAGTCGAAAAACATCAAGCACGAAGGAGGCTTCCTCATATCCCAACACGAAGATGTCCCTCTCACTGAGAACGTCCCACTTAAGGAAAGACCGGTACCCGAGGAACCCGAGGATAATCAAGCTATATCTTCACCGACAAAACGAGATGAGGCGGCAAATGAAAGAAAGCCGGTATGCGTATCCGAAGAAGTTAACGGTAACATTATTGAAGATGCTGAAAACATCGGGAACAACAATGTCAAGGAAAGTCCAGGCAGAAAGTATACACTTCTTGATCTTTTCAAGACAAGGGTCCTCATTAAGCACACATGCATCATCTGGTACCTGTGGTGAGTACCATATGTACAGTAAAGGTTTGGGCGCTTTGGATTAGTACAACAAAAACTTCCATAGTTTTCACCGGTTCTGCTCAGAACTGCAAAATCAAACATAACTCTTTGTGGTTTGAAGTGTAGCCTAGTATAGTTAGGGTTCGTGACTCACGACAAGCGTGTCAAGGGTTTCGAATCCAGTGGCGCTTCACCCCCACTTAGTACCTCTCTCCACTGAGAAGCATTAATGGGTACCGGCATTAGCATGGTGAGTAACCTGCGATGGACTGGAATCCCATCCAGGGAGAATAGGAATATTCTCAGTCGTTTCAGTCCACTGAAACTGGAGATAAACTCCGGCCTGAAGGGCCATATGCTCGTCACGGACTTTACTGTTACGAATACGTAAGTTACGTATCCTTTGTAAGAATAAAGTCTTTGGCGAGCTATAAATTAAACTATACTTTTGTCTCGTACATGTAGTCACACAAAATAAGAAATGAAAATACGACGATGATCCATAACAATTTTTTAACGCTCACTCTGTAACTGAAATTGTAAATGTGCAAGTTTATTTTAACCCCTTCCTTTTCGACTTGAAGGTTTGCTTGTGACATAATGTACTTCGGACTAATTGTCTACACAACCAGTTTATCGGGAAATAAGTACCTGAACTTCTTCCTGCTGTCACTTGTGGAGTTTCTCGTTTATACCCACGACTGCTTCATAACAAGAAGGTATTTTGCTCAAACACAACTTATACACATGGGCAACTGACTATGGCCAATCTAGGCCCCACCCCACCCCCTTCGCCGCGACCAATACGTTGTGTAGTCTATGCAGAACTTCAACATAACTAGCTACCCAGACCGGTATATCGATTTTGTTAGTTATGGCAGAACATGCACACCGCTATCATCATCACTACAGTAACTTTTCATGCAAGGGGAGAATTATCAATTTTCATTATTCAAAATACCGAAGCAAAGTGACCGGTGGAGGGGGTTGCACCCCTCCTCTCCCTGGACAAAATAAAAGGGGGAGGAGAGGAAGGAGGCGGCGGCGCATCTTACCAAATGAACTGAACGCGCCGTGTGCAAACATGGTTTCATTAAATCATCAGCACGGCCGTCAGACAAATTGAATTTTCGGGGGGAAATTGGGCCGACCCCTCTCCATGACAATTGTTTTCGCCAATGGCTTTGACTGGTGTTAACTGTTATGATTATCGTTTTTAACAGATTTGGCCGCAAGTGGCCAATTGCGGCCTTTTTCGCGGCTAGTGCCACAGCGTGTATCATGATTGCCTTTCTGCCCGAAGAAACAGGTACCAATTTGAACATGTACACTCTTTATATCATTCCATGGTCAGCTACATTCGTTTCAGATTGCATTTCTGTAACAATTATTTCAGTACAAGAATGTTTCAGTGCATTTATTTAATTACTTTACTGTTGGAATTACACCCAGAAGTGCGGGATATACTCATGTAGCTATAACGACCCGTAGGAATGCTGACAAGATTATATAAACATGATTGTTTATTGTTGCAACTTGGCTTGTATTTTGTTTTGAAAACTCCCACAGACTCAGTTTATTGTACAAAGCCCAAAAGGAAAGGTGCTCACGATTACCTGCACTCCCTCCTACACGTCATTTCCTTTGCAGCTGGTGGCACAGATTTGACAGTGTTGATCGTTGTGATTGCAATGATTGGGAAGTTTTACTCTAGCGCCTCGTACGATCTGACAATGCTAATCGCGGCGGAGATATTCCCGACCGTGTTAAGGTAAGATAGCAATATGGGATGAAGACACCATCTTCCCATTGGGGCGCTGTTCAAAACCTTTATAATGGTTGATGTTAGACAATAATTTCCGCTATTTGCTTACCACGGACATTAAGATAAACAGCCACTCGCAAAAAGAAAGGGTTTTGTTAAAAAAAATACGCACAAAATCGCGTGAAATGGGACTTTATGTTCTTCCAGCTAATCATGGAAACCCATATGGCTGTGCTTTCCTCAGTGTTTTCTCCCCCCCCCCCCCCCCCACCGCAGCTTCGCCGCTGTGTGTGCCGGCTATGTAAGCACATGCACACCCACCAACCCACACCGCCGCCGAAGCCGCGAAGTCTCACACCATTTCGTGAAGTGGAGCGATCGGGGTCATGCATCGGGTGACACGGGTTCTCGACGTTTCGAAATACGAATAAATTTACCTGCGTGGGCAGCACAAACACCCCCCCCCCCCCAGCGGTCGTCTGCCCCCTCCCCCACCTTTCCCTACTACTGCTGTTGTTCACATTGTGGCAAACCGCTACTATGGTAGTATATGCGGATCAGTTGTTCGCCTGTGCAGAGAACCACAGTACAAACGTCTGATATTATCCATGCGTGAAGATGTTATGCGACCCCGCGCGCCAGCCAATCTGAACCGCCTTTTGAAGTTGGGGCGTCATTTAGAGCAGACGTTCAGTCAAAGTTATTGATTGGTGTATAGCTGCCATTTTTAAACATCAAGTTATCGAGAGAAAAAAAAAATAGAAGGCGCCCGCTGAATGGTAAAAGTCTGGAGGAAAGACGCAGTGCTGTTTTGCATAATGTGCACGCACATCATAGACTACTAGATGTACTATGGTCACGAGAGTGACAAAGAAAGATGTACATATCAAATATGGTCTTTAAAAGTCGGTCAATGATATATAAAGGAGAACTGTACCACCTACCTCCAACATCACATTAGGCCAATATTTGTCTAACATAATTTTTACGTACGTTTGTACCCGCAGAAACATTGCCGAGGGGAGCGCTGCTGCATTCGGCAGGATTGGCGGCGTAGTCGCACCATTAATTGTTCATTTGGTAAGTGCAATGACAAAATAATTAATAACGGTTTTATGAGCCAACTTAGCTGTCGTAAATCCTGCCTACTAGGAAAGTACAAATTAATGTTACTCAAGTTTACATGTATTTTAGAAACATACTTGTTCCCGTGATAAGCATTGCAATAGTATCAGTAGTGTTTAAAGGGAATGTACAACATTTGCTTTTGCTGCAATTTTCAGAAATAAGTGGTTTTGGAGGATTAGTATGTTTTAGCAAATATTGTTAAAATGACTTGTTTCACGTTTTGGGCTTGTAGATGTTGGAAAAACCAAGAAAACCAATCATGTTCTTGTAGTCTGGTTCCCCGACCCCACTTAAGATGAAACGGAGCAATTTATAGACTTTTGGGAATTTTAAAGTCAGAGAATCAGTCTAGCAGGCTTGTACCCCTTCACAGGTGTGCAATCAATTGCAAAGAAAACAATGAATAACTAATTATGAAAAATTAGAAGCAGGATTTGAAAAAAGCCAGTTTTTTTTCCAACGCTGGTCGGCCGACCAGCGTTGGAAAAATACAATTTTTCTTGAGAATGATAGCACACCAGGAGCCACTATTTTACAGGATGCTTTAGACTGTCATTCCCTAACAATCCAGTAAGGTATTTCATGATAATTTGATCATTTCATTTTGTGATGTTTGCAAATGTTGTATCTTCCCTTTAAGTTACATTGTCACCAGGAATGCGCTAAATTGGGATACATAACGCGTTATAAACGAAACATACTAAATGGAAAAAAACATGTAAAAGTTAAATATAAACATCCACACAACCATCCTTTACAAACTGGGCGTTTTTGTGTTATTCTTGCGAGAACCCATACAAGAATGAATTTCGGGGGTCACAATTTTGTCACCGAAAAATCGAGCGTTTCGATCAATGCTAGTTTGTATCCAGCCGCACAGTGGTTTGCAATCTGCGGACGTGTTAGAAACATCATTTGTGTATTTGTGTTAAATGTGTGTATTATGTGCCACATACACAACGTGTGCACTGCATTGAGTATAGACATGACTTGAAATACGTATGGGTATACCACGAAATGCCCATCGATGTTAACAACCGGGTTTGTTTTCGTCTTTTCCAGGGAACGGTGTAAAGGCATTAGGTTTGTTACCTTTCAACCAGACCTTTAAAATAGTATTAGTAATAATCTAAACAATCCAAAGCGTGAAACTCTCGGGAATTTCAAGCAGTAATGCCCCTTTAAGTGGGTTTCTTTTGTTCAATGAAAGTGGGAAGGGTTTGGCAGGACTTCAAGACAGTGCATGGCGGGCTGAATTTATACTTTGTAATATTTTTTTGCATAACAACGGATATACTTGTGTTTATAGGGGCCATTCAAAATTTTGAAAGGTTTTTAAATTTTGATTTTTTTTTCTCAAAATCGTGGGTGGGTGGGTCAAGGTAATTAATTGAAAATCCAACTTCACTTTTCATTAAAGAAAAAAAAGCAAAAACAAAACTAGATCTTCCGACTTGCCCGTACTACGCATTAGCGTTCCGATTCGCATTTCTTTTCCAACTTCATCCCCATTTACAGACAATGACCTCTGAACATTAAGTAACGCCCGCTATAGCGCTGCATGCATATAGCGCACAATGAACAAGTGTGAATGCGGCATTCCCACGACGATAAAAGTGGCCGCCATCATGGATGTAAGCGAAATACCGGCAGATCCTCGCGAAATGCCGGCATATCCAGCACACTTTTTTTGTTCTCGTAATGAAACGGGGTCCGAAACTACACAGTTTTACTATCTGTTGGTATTATGGCTTCGAAATACTTTTTAGATATGAGTTTTGAATTCAAACAGGTTTTTAAGGGGAGACATTTAGTTTGGGTGGTTGGAGATTATCTCCATAGCCCCCAAAATAAAATGTCACTCCTTTTTAAACCTTTTGAGTAGTTCAACATTTACTTTAAAACGTGGTGCCAGGAAGGAACTCTTTCTAAAATCTTCAATGCTGACGATGCACACCCATTTCTTTAGCACCAGACTGCAACACACATACCTATTCCAACTACATGTATCAGCTAATGAAGCACAATTTCTCAGGGCACCAATGCAACAGGACATGCATTGTGCAGGGACACACATGTACATGTACAAGTATATTTGTATGCAAGTGCATGTAGGCCTACATGTGCATGTATTTAATCTTTAATGACAAATCATTTTTTTTAATCGAAAATTGGGGGGAAAATGTATTTTTTTTTCACTATGCGCAATGGCGCGGCAGATCGAGCGGTTTCTTTTTGTTTGCCTTAATGAACAAACTAAGAGCTGTTGAGTTGGGAAACCCGTTCTCGCTTGCGGTTTGCGACAACTTCCGACAAGGAACACTCTCGGTACAATACTTTTATAACTCCAACATAGGCATGACGTTTGGCAGCCTAGCATGTCAAGACCGCAAGTGGTAACCGACCTTCCTATTTCTTTTGATGCAGGGAAGTAAGTTCAGCTTCTTGCCTATGACCATATTTGCTTTGATGTCCCTGGTATCCTGCATTTGCATACTTATGTTGCCAGAGACCAAGAACCGACCGTTACCGGAGATGTACGAAGACGTTAATAAGCTAACCCGAGGGAGCGAGAGCACCCGCTAGAGTTCATTTCTGAAAAAAAGTGATATCATCAGTCTTAAAAAAGATGAACATTTTGTTTCCTCCCACGAACCTCTTCTGTGCAGATGAAGAGGCTACTATAATACTTAATACGCCTGTTAACGAAACAAAAATTAAAACGTTTCTTATATTTGTATTTCCTACAATCTATACAAAAGTTGTTTCCATTAAAAAAGTAGTTTCTGTTGTCGTTTCTGATGAGAACTATGTTGTTGTGATTTTTAAAAGATATATCGAAGATAAACAGTGAAATCAGACAAAGGTTAAACATCATTGCCATTTTTTTTACCTTTCATACAAGGTTTGAAAACTTCCACCTGTTTTGCGATATGTCGGTCCGTGCGGTCGAAAGTGCTGCATCGCTTTTTGCCGCTTGTTCTATTGTAGATATTGACATTGATAAACTTACTTATTTCGAATGACATTGCTTGTGCATTTACAAATCTTCATCTGCTACATTCATCGTATACCTTTGAATTTTACAAAAACTATACAGGGTGTCAAAAAGAAAGTGACCGAGTTAGACAAAAATGTATTTTTCTTTTTAATGTAGCTCGCTCCATTTCATAAAAATAACATTAGAATAAAGTGAATGTTACTGACCAGTAACTATCTCACATAAATTGCATACTCCAATCGCAAATAGTTACCCTTAGGCCTATTTTCATGTAAATTCCACAAAATTAAGCAATCTTCCACTGATCATTGTACCGATACGCATCAATGAATACCTTTCAAATACAATCAACCATGAAGTTTTCCTACCTTCATAAATGAAAGAAAAACAGACAAAAATCGACATCATCATTTCTGAAAAATATGAGATTTGGTCCTCATATCCCCCCCCCCCCCACCCAAAAAAAACCCCACAATCTAACATAAAAACAATAAAAGTAATGTTTCTGTCTTTATTCAAATGATGAAAATCTCATTTGTATTTAAAATGTCTGTGTGTAATTTCAGGTTGTCACTCGGTGGACAGCTGAAAAACATTTAGCATTCCATGGACAGCTGTAAAAATGGTGTATTTTTATACTGACACGTGCATAGGCCTAACTTCTGATACCATGGACAATAATTACAGTACTTCTTCTTCTTTAGCTAAGGAAAGCAGCTCAAGAAATCATTGTGCCTCTCCCTTGGTTGGTTGGTTAGTAACAAACGTCATCACATGCCTTTTGTGGCAATCAATCAATTGTCCCTTAGGCCATCGCAACAACACGTGTCTCGGGTTCATGATCCTGAATTGCGACAGGTTCAAAGGTCTCCACTGACCAGCTACCAATTTATTGCAGTCTTGGAAAATTGGATCACTGGAGTCAAAACCAAATGTTTGTTCTGAAAACACTACTATCGAGGTCGCGAATTTTGCATTGGGGCTGGCAAAGAACTGCACACAAATTGGGTGTTCCACAGGCTATAAAACGCTCCATGCACCAAGTGACGTTCAACAAATGGGAATCTTTTTTTAATTGACAGTCATGACCTCGTGAGTAGTTGTGCTTTATAAGAGCAGACATTTACATCATGTACATGACTTATGGGATTATGGGCTACAACAGGTCTACATTTTGGCCGCAGCTTTCGAGGTCATTTGAAGCTTTTTTTTTCACGAGTGGAATAACCAGCTTTTTTAAAATGAATTAATCCTGGTCACTTTCCGTTTGACTCACCCTGTATGGACAATGCCACGATCAGAAAGTGAAACCTACTGTACATACCTTTATAATAGTAAGAACATTTTATCAAATTGTAGTACAGAATATGCCTATGAAATTTATTATGCAAAGCTTAACAAAACAGTTGTGTATTTTACAACAGTAACATGCTTCTAATTTTTTAAGTTATCACAAATATATGTAGAAATGCTGTTCAGGCCTATATATATTTAGTTAAAACATGACTTTAGTTGCCGTTAAAACATGATTCTAAAGGGCCCATTCAATACAAGTTATTTTAATGCCGTCTTTGAAAATGCACCTTTGTGTCCCATTTCAACCTTATATTCAATTTTCGTTTTGTCATTTTCAGGGGTATTTAGATTTTGATTTTTTATGCTGATGCGAATTTCCATTTTCATAAGAGAAACTGTGATGTCATATCGGGCATACAAAAACCTCAGTGTTACAGCTATTTCAGCACAAAAATGTTACTAGAACTTTGGATAGTTTGCGGTCGTAAAAATGTATTTCATTTGATGATTCGTTGTTGGGTTAGTGCATGGCAGTAAGCCAATTAGCAAACCTTTCCCCAAAACATTTCCAATAAGCAAATTTGGGGTTCATTTGAACAGAAAAGTCCTAAACTGAACAGTGTCTTCCTGAAATGACATGCAACAGCGCCCTCCGTTCTCCGTTTTAAAGGTTTAAAGAAGTGCCCTTTTCCAATAAAAAAATTACATAGAATGCGAATATCAAATAGGTTTCATACATTTAGGAAGAGAAGTTGCAGAAAAACAGTATTGCTAAGAAAATTTAATCGCCTTTAAAAGCAAATCTAGATACACGTCTTTCCAACTTTGCCTGCAGCATTGGGTGAGTAATCAAATGAGTAAATAATCATACAAACTAAGCGTATAATGAATCTGTACATAGAAAGCTGCCTGTTTTAAATCTGCATGTATCAAAGAATTTAAGGTTACACCTTAGGAAATCTAACTGTTTATTTACATTTCCACTTTTTACATCGTGGTTTTAACATAAAAGAGAAACCTACTGTTTTTCTGAGAAATGCAAAGTTTTCTACTCAAATTTTACATTGCTTTGTCACTCTTGAAATTTTAACGTCTTGGTTATTTCAAAAATATAAATTTTCTTCGTAAAATGTTTAACTGCGGTATCAAACCTATAATATCCCACACATGTTTATCGTGTGTATAAGCAATTTAATATTAAACTTGCTGTAAAAGTAATACTTAAATATTAAATACACGGTCTACATTGAAGATCATGGATTCCCAGAATGCATTGCAATAAATCATGTGACCAGCCATTTTGTCTGAAGTGAATACTTAGCCTACCAGGTGAGAGAACAGAAAACATGGGGGTTTCTTTGCAAAACAAAACTTGTACATCTCAACAATTGTTGTAAAACAGACCAAACTTTTCAATTCGGTTGCCGTGGTAACAAATACGTTTCACATAACAATGCTTTGAAACCGATTAAAGACCAGAACAAAATCATGCAGACCGGACCAGCCCCTCACACTGAAACAAGACGAGATAATCTGATCTCCTCACGGTATGAATAGGGTTGAGATAGGTAACTAGTCCAAAGCAAGGCATTAATAATGCCTCTACCCATTATGCCCGCCCCAGGCTGGGCTCGAACCCACAACATGCAGATATACCCGTGGACCACGAATTCAACGCCCTAGACCACTAGGCCATGGCACTCCACGAAATGAGGGTGCTGATTTCTATCCTACCCAATTGAGACATGTGGACTGCCTGATTTGACGTCAGCATTTGGTGTCATGTAGGATATCATCCACACTGTAATTTCGTCCCATATCTGCGTAAATTAAGTTTTGTAAGTCTTAATTTTGGTAACATTATGATTTAAGTTGCAATGCAATACTCTGTACGAAAAGTACACGTCACATATATCCTGTTTCCCAATGCAGGTGGCCTATAAGAACTCAATATTGTACTTTAATTCTTGACTAATGCTTGACTGATTCAGTCCAATTTAAGGCGCAGACAGACAAAATTCGAATACATTGATTACAAGCTGCATGCTTGATCTTTACAATTTATAAATATCGGTTAATAGAAGTTAAAATACTGTACATTGTATGTTTATAATGCTTTGTAGCTGGTTATAGTCATTTGCTTGAGAAAAAAAAGTCAAACATTGTCGGCGGCACCCGCAAAACGAAATCGGGGTACAAAAACCTTTCACAATAATTGTATATGGTGGCGTACATCATAATTACTTACGCCGTACTTACCATGTGTCCTTGCTACGTTTGTAGATGTAAATATTATACAAAAAAAAAAGAATGATAAGCTTGATAATAAAATATGAACTGTTTGGAAACGTTTTTCTTTGCATATCCAAAATAGCCATCGTGTTACAAGTGGTATATTTTTTTTATTAGGAAGGGAACAGTGCCCAAAGCTGGGGAAAAGTCCGGCCCCATGTCAATATACAAAAGACATCACACCTACCCCTGCCATCCGATGGTTGGAGGTTTTAATGTCTTTTGTTTCTTTATAATAATGTAGACCAGTCACATCACCGAATCGGTGAGTACGCTCATGAGTCACGGAGACACCCCAGCATGGCGAATGTATTACTGAGGCCTCTGCTCCGTTAATTTTAACAATATCTGGCACAATGTTTCCGCCATTACTTAGCCGTTTTACCAGGCCGCCGTGACTTTGGAATTCAAAACTAATCGGGAAAGGCCGTGACACGAATTGGGTGGAGTGGCCAGGGACGTTTGCCTTTGGTATTCCAGATGCTCATGAAGTATTCATGAATTGCGATTGCATCACTTGAATAAGTTGCCGGCATGAAATCAACAAAAAAAACAAAAAAACAAAACTTTGCGCGTCGCCAAGAGGGAACATACTACACACGTAAAAACCAGTAAAAACTGGTCGCGTCCGACCATTATTTACAGAACGCATTATGGCGGCAACCATCGCGTCGCCCTTATGGACCAATCCACGTTGTCCGCTGAACTGGCTTTTTTAGACTTCCGCGGGTGAAGCATCATCCTCTGTTGGCTCTTTAGAGGTAAGTTTGGCCCCGTCATCTAGCGTCTCCGGCAGGGCTCGGTTGTTGGTCTCAGGCAGGGGAAGGACCAGCAACCCGGCCACTAGAGACACCACACCGAACACGATCATTGGGATGGAATTGTGGATCACATTCTGTTGAGGACAAATAAAGTTTAATGGTTACTTATACGTCAACTGTATACTGCTGTACAACCACCTAACATTCCTGCTTCTCCGCTGTATTTCTTTCCCGTATTATCTGGTGTTTTACATTTCAACTTACCAGATAAACTATGAACGGTGCCACCATACCTCCGGCTCGGCTCACCACGGACGCAGCTCCCACTGCAGCGCTCCTGTACCAAGTTTAATGGTCCAAAAATGAAAGAGTGTCTTTACCAAAAAGTCTTAATTAAAAACCTCAATATAGCTGCATGGTACGAAAGAATATGGGGTCTGTTTAGCCGCTACAAAGTCATGATTTACCCACTACATGAATGTGCACAAATAGCCTGCTGCCACGTGGTGAAAGTAGAATTGCAACTCTGAACTTGTATAAAGACGTTGGTTATCATGTATAGACTAATCGGAGCACGCTATAGCCAGCTGTAGGCTACACTAACGAAATAGCATCGTGCAATCTATTGTTAGGATCATCCGTACTGGGGCAGTTGCTTTCTACAACAGCCGGCTGGCACAATACTTTCGCCACTGAGGGCGGCACATAAATTGTACAGCGATAGGTGCTGGGATTGGTCTTGAATGTATCTATACAGGGTGAGTAAAACAAAATGCTCCTTTGGATATGTTTCTGTCTCTCACAAAAACGGAAAGGGTAAGCAGTTTTTCTCTTCAGCCAACATTTGGTCTGGGTATTCCAGGGCCGCCAGGGAGAACAGTTCATTGACAACTGATGGGGCTACCCTGGTAAAATAACACGAAATAAATAAATAAATAAATAAATAAATAAGTATTGACCACGGTCAGTAAAAGTTTCACTGATATTCATCCATGCATGCTAAGGATACATGCCTTCCTTTGTGACTACCCAAAACACTACCAGCACAATATGTCTAAGGGGTAGGCCTACTTAACGTTATTCAGTGAAGCAAACAAGAATCTGAACATTAACAAGAGGCGCCAAGATCGCCAGATCTTATCCCCATTCGATTGTTGTTTCCTGTGTGGGTACCTCAAGGACCGGGTGTACCGCTTTGTGTTAAACACTCTGCAGGAACTTCGCCAACAAATTACTGTTGACCTCAGACGAACATGGATGGTCCGCAGAGCTATTGCCGACATGAGGACACGGGCATACTATTGATCTGAATGACTGACGAGTGGAGGGTCGAGAGTGAAAATGTGAATCTTATCTGTAATTCAGTTCAAGGTCAGTAAATGTAACTCCATTAAATAAAGTCCTGTTCTGTAATTCCATTTATTTCCTTTATTGTCCTAAGGCCCGTTACCATTAAGTTGATAGTAAAATACCTTTTCTGAACATTGTGTTGGTATTGCTTCGGGGTAGCCACAAATAAAGGTCTGTATCGTGGGCATAGCTGACTCGGGTCAATATTCAAAGGGACTTTTTTGTTTTTACTCACCCTGTATATGGGTGGGGTATAGAAAAATTGTGATTGGTTTCCCAGCATTTGAACTGTTAATCATGTTGGTTGTTTTTAGCCTTTTTCAGATATTGCTGCCACAATAGGAGTCACTATGTTTGGGTGAAATTGGTAAATGCCTACAAAAGAGTTTACCCATACCAAAGAACGCCCTCATATTGCGTCAACAGTAATGTCATTAAGGCACTTGGCCTAAAATGCTGCTAGACACAATTAGTTGATCTAAAATTCCCGTAATTTACCTTAGAATGGTGGGGAAAATTTCTGCCGTTGCAAGGTACAGTACATCAAAGGCTGCTGATGCAAACAACTTGCCAATCAAAGCAATGACCAGAATGACCACGGTGAGGTCGGTACCGTCAGCTGCAGAAACATACAAACGTTATAGAGTTCTTTACATGGACGCTTTTCCTTGACATGACAGTGCTTAGTATAATGTGCATTCTGCAGGATACACAATTTCAAGGGATAAAAAGTTTCAATGTAATATCGACAAATTACATATAAACTAGAAAGCACTCAGAGACCACAAACCTCCACCAAGCTAAACATATCCCCGCCATGTTGTCTTTACACCCGAAAGAAATACTCGCATAAATGGTGGAAAATTCCTTACAAAAAAATCCTGGATCCAGACCCAGATCCGGATCACTTCCAAAATCTAATTGATTTGTACTTTGTACCCCTTTAAAGATTTTCATGCCAATCCGTCCATAGCTTTTTGAGTTATCTTCTTAACAGACACACCAACCAATCAACCAATCAAGACACACCGACCAATCAACCAGCACACTCCTTGGCCGAGGCCATTAATTATGTAGTAGCCAATTGAATATTTCCACTATTCGTTGAACACAGTTAAGGGTAGTAATCGGAAATCCCTTTAAAAAGCTAACAGGAACGTCTTGACTGAAACCCGAATACAGTCAGTGCTACAATTCCGGTCACTGACGGTTGGCCACAAGGGCTGGCAGCCGTTAAACTTTCAACACTGCCAAAACTGCGGTTTAAAGTAAGTAGTGTCTAATTATAAAGATACAACCAATGCCAATGTCAAAGAATACACAGCCTAATTTTTTTCTGCAACCTTCTTCGGTCTCTAGCCCTGACATGTTAGGATGATTGCAGGTTAACATAGTCTTCAATCATTCACCTATTCTTTGTGACTCGATGTTCCAGTAAATTGTCCGCAGTGTAAGAGAAATATGATAAAGCACTCTTGTATGGTATAGGTGGACTTAAAAGGCCACAGAAAAAAATCACCGTCGGGATGTCGGCGAAAAGTAGCCATAATTTCCCAAAAGTGGCCATCCTGCATTTTGTCACAAGACCATTACATGATACTTAGGGGGTAACAAGGGATTTCCTTGTCCGTAAATTCTGTAGTTGAATTACCCGTTTCTGCAGGTATTACACCTGTCACCACACAAGCCACACCACTGACAAGATAGTAGAATATAAGTGGTCGCCGACGGCCGAGCCTGCAGGAAATACAATGCACAAAAAAAGGAAGAGTTTGTGGATTTCTAAAGGTTTCCGTTTCGAAGGTCATTTTTTTTTCAGGGGAATTTTGGCAAATTTCTGGGGCATTTCCCAAGTTGTCTTTGGCAAGTTTGGCTTCGCCAATGGCCTTTAATGTTAGAAGCAAATAGTAGTACTGTTAAAATTGGTTTCTAACTTAGGATTCCAAGTTCCGGCAGGAGAAAATTCCACACATTGAGTCAAAGTCTCTACGAACAGAAAACAAGAAGAAGCTTGACCATGGAGCCAAAGCCGAAGTCATAGTTTTCGAAATGGGCTTGCTACAGTGGGATTCAGCTTCAACAAAGCTGGAATTTAGACCTCTAAGAACTTGCCTTTGCGTCTTCTTCATAGAAGCTAGTGTTGATCGCTAAGTGGGCAACACAGTAAAAGATTTCAAAACAGTTTTAAAATCGGGTACCTTTTTATAAACATAAAGAAGCCTCTTTGCCAATAACTGACTACACACCTTGTCATGACGAAGTAATTGATGATGTAGCATGGAGCCTCTGTCAGCGATATCAGAAAGAAGTTGAGATACTTGTTCCCAACAAGGTTACCGGCGTTGATAAAGAAGCCGTAGTACACCACGCTGCTTGCAAACCTGCAAAAGTAGATTTAGCATTCGAAGTGATACATTTCTGCCACATCTTTACATCTTCATTCGGTCATCGTCATACCTATCAAGGTTATCGTCCTCAATATCATGATCATATCCTCCATAATTTTTTTCTAGTAGATTCATCCTTGATCTCATAATACTCAGCATTATCCCAAAACAATACAATGTTCTTGATATTAACATACCAACGTCGCAACGATGCTTACCAGCAGAAAAACACGAACAGTGTCTGCATGATCAAAGCTCGCGTCTTGAACAAATCCAAGATGGTGGCCTTATTCGTCTTAGATCCGGGTGACTGCCGCTTGGAATCATCCACAGCGGGCACACTGTCCTGGTCTTCAAGTGGCGGTTTCTCCGGGTTGGAGCCCTCGTTTTCTAGGGCGGGCTTGGTTTCCAGTTCGATGGCGTCCACCTTAGATGGCTGATTGCCATTCTGCAGGTCCGGGTCTTGCTGGTCCAGGAGGAAGTAGCCAGTGTGAGAGATGTTCTTGGACTTGGCGATCCTCTGGAGGATCTCCTCGGCTTCCTCCACCCTGCCCTTCAGGACCAACCATCGGATGGATTCGAATGAGAACCTTCATATCAACGAGAACAGTAGTTATAGCCTGACATGCCAGAAAATAGCAAAGCATTATTTAACGGTATTGGAGTATGTTTAAGGGCACTGGGTTGTTCTAAACTTTTCTAAGCTGATAAAAAATAGGTAAATATTTTGCCAGTAATAATTTAACTCCTGGTTGTCTCCTTTTGATTTCTGAACGGTAGATTTTTATAGTATGGACTTTGTTGAATATCAAGTTCTGCCCCTTAATGGAGAAGCTATCTTGAAATGTTTTTTCTCCAGAGAGCATGCGCTCGTACATTGCACCAATAGGGGCGATACACGTAATATTTGGTACGTCAGACTCATCTTTAAGCGCCCTCAACCAACAAGAGCAGTGTTGAGTCTAGACTATTATGACTATGCGCAGAAGACGTCTTATTTGTGTACCATACTCCTGACAATGTAAGACTCATCGCTGCCACAAAATAATCAATACAAATGGCTGCCATTATAACACACCAGCACTGTTTGGGCTCCGAATTGGACAGATAGTTACCAAACTAGGGGGATCAGAGGAATGCAGAGCAGAGATATGGTCAGCTGGAAATCTCGCCAGTTCGGCAGGAGATAAGCCATCGGAGACAGCAAACAGATGCCGATAACCCAGGCCATCTCACTGCAGAGTTGCGCCCGCACACGGCGATTCGGCGTGAACATCTCTATCTGACGAACGTACGACACTGTAAGCAAACCCTGCAATTACAACAAAAACAACCGATTGGTTTTGTAATGGGGACCAAAGTCATTTGCGTCGCGCGGTGTCCAAAAAAACCTGTTGGATTATTTAAGGGTGAGATGAGTTTTTATATGCTACTCTCATGTTTGTGCAGCGTTTCTGTTCTGTGAGCGCAAATATATCCAGACCCTCGTCCATGTATTCAACTTTTTTTCCATGGTAAAACATTGGAATCAAAGTCTCAGGGAAACTTTAAATATGGGTCACTCTATAGCTTTAGTGGCCCAAGTGTGACATTCCATTTTCACCTCTGATATTTTTTTTTATCTGCAGCCCAAGTATCATTCAAAACAAGTTCAAGCGTAAACGGCACGTGTTGAGGCGTAACAGGTACAGGAAAAAAAAGTGGCCCCTAATTTATAGAATAGGCCTAACCCATATTCATTACATTATGTACTTCATGCATAAGTATCTCTTAAGGCTGAATATGAAAAAAGAGAGTCGATATAGGCCTACTGAAAGACCGTTTGCGCCATCCTGCCCGGTGTGCACTGGTATATCGATAAAAGCGGTAAACAGCGCGCCTGGAGCATGCAGCAAAGAGTCCTTCACACGCTTTCGTGATGCCAATGCCGTAGGTTGCACATACCTCCTTCATACCCGTCCACGCAAACAGTGCACTTTCCGGGTCAATAGGAGGCACCGATCTTTGGCAGTGGAACAGGATATCGTATAGCTCATTTTAACACAAATTCGTAAAAACAAAATGTAATTGCCTGATATTATTACAGGTTCCCGGATTAAACCAGTTCTCACGACGATACTGAGCTTGCTTCAAGCCTTGCCAAGTTGTGGTTTCTTTTTCAACTTAGCCTACATGTTTTGTAAAAGCCAAAAAAACGCCTTTCTTTTTCTTTGTTGTCCTTTTTTCTGGACAGCTATATTAGGCACAAATAGTTCGGCTTTGCGAGCAGACTGGCTCCCGGTCCGTACATTATCGATAGTGAATGTGGGGCGGGAAACAGCCTACCCCGCGGGAACACATTATTGTCTGGTAGTCAATAATAAGCCATTTGCAAATTAAATTTTAATGCAATCTGGAACGCTGACTACATCCAGTGCTTTGCACGTTTGAATAAGCCATTTGCGAGTTAAATTTGAATAAAATCTGGAACGCTGACTTAATACAATTCTTTGCACGTTTTAACCTAGCATTCTCTCGACCAAAGAGAATGTTACTATATCACGTGATTCGGGGCAAGCCTTATGCTAGCAACCCCCAGCTCCGGCATGGTCTGGTGTCTTTGTGCCATTCTCACCCATTGTGAACGATGTATTGGTGCTGAGCGTCTCTTACGTAACTATGCAAGAGCTTGCCCCGAATCTTGTGATTAGCAACAGTGTCTTTGGTCTGGAGAATTCGAGGTTAAAATGTGCCAAGCATTCTGAGCAAGTCATTGTACCAGACGTTTTTCAAATGTAAATCCCAAAGGGTATAGGTTACTCGCAAATGGCTTATTCTCCAGACCAAAGAGATTGTTACTATATCACGTGATTCGGGGCAAGCCTTGCGCTAGCAACCCCAGCTCTGCTGGTGTCTTTGTGCCATTCTCACCCATTGTGAACAATGTATTGGTGCTGAGCGTCTCTTACGTAACTATGCAAGAGCTTGCCCTGAATCATGTGATTAGCAACAGTGTCTTTGATCTGGAGAATTCGAAGTTAAAATGTGCCAAGCATTCTCAACAAGTCAGTGAACCAGATGTTTTTCAAATTTAAATCCCAAAGGTAAAGGCCACTCGCAAATGGCCTAATTGAAACTGTAAAGTAATTATTCAATAACTAAACATGGGCAGATTTGTTGGGGCGATGTCTCATAAAAAAAGTGAATACCTTTTGTCGTGCTAGAAAAACAGGCAATTTAGAGAAGGAATATATTTTTGGGGGATAAAACTCAAAAATACCACAGGGAATGCAACTTTAATAGAATAAAGTAATTTTCTCCCCGAAGCTCAAGCCTGGTAAGTCTGTTTCTCTCTATTCAATTGCCATAGCCTTAACCTTTTATTTTCTTCCTCCGAAATAACGAATTCGATTGGAAACCCGTTAGCGATGCATTAGAGAACCATTTAATCATAACAAGCGCCAAAGCTCACAATGCAAAGTGTTGCAGGCCAGATTTTACTAATCCTAGCTCCATATTCATCACGAAAACCCCTTGACCTCCACAGCACAAAAGGATTTTCGCACCTGCTGAATTGCACATGTAGAGCGGAAAAAAATATATAATAGCCTTCAAGCAAGAAGCACACATTCGAGAACTGAAGAATATCGTCGTATATTTTTCAAAGTGTCGATAGTACATTTCTACCTTGACCTTTCCCCACTCTTTATAGAAAAAAATGGTTCTCATAGCGTGCAAACCATTGTTATTCCGTTTTCGTTTCAAGGGTCCAATACCAAATGTTGTTTAGTGGAATATTCAACTTGCGGTACCCCAGAGCCCAGGCGCGAATCAAGAGGAAAGTCAACCCCCCCCCCCCCCCGCCACCCCTTGCTCTGACACTCCGAAACTTATCTATATATATAAGAGAGAAGTTTACTCGCCCCCGAGACGATGTTTGCTCCTGAAAGGATCCGAGACCGCGGGCTCCCGCTGTGCGAAAATCGCTCCACGTCCGTGGAAAAATACGGAGGGTGTCTTCCGCCGGGTCGGACACTTCGGGTCGTCCTGATTTTCCCGTACGGACCGGCGATCCTTTTCGTCGATTTTTCGTGACTGCCTTTTTCGCAGGAATTTGCCGTCGTGTGCGCTTTCACGTTGACTGCCTGGTCGCCCCCTGTGCTGGCTTTTCTGCGTGTCTAGACTGTGCGAGGTCAGCGAGGTCAACGTAGGGGTTTTGTTTACGTGTTCTACTCAGCCGTTCTGCAAAATCGTTCACCAAATTGTGTTATGGGGTGACCTTGGTAAAATATTTTTTCTCCATGGTGCGTGGCCACCAAGTGCCCCTATTCTTTCATATGCTTCGCTTGCCGCCCCTGCGCCGTGTGCAACGAATACTCAGAAGGACTACACATTAAGTATGCCTTGCGCGGTCTGACCAATCGAAAGTCTACACTGCGTAGTATTTCCGGGCTATGCAAAACTGTCGATGGCAACGCGTACTGCAGCCTGCTCCACACCCTGGAAACGAGGTTGGGTCTACGGTGCTCGCTATTTGCATGATTTGAAGCACAAGCATGTGAGTGACGTGTATAGTGCTCTGTTGCTTCCATCGTGTGTTAATACAGCTCCATGCTTCCACCAAGGCTGAGCGTTGTGAGTTCGCTGCCCGCCACAGTGTTGCGTTATAATTTCGGGGGCCTGTCTGGGATCAACGAAGGATCGATGCATTGCTTCAAACATCGCGATCTTAAACGCAGTCACACAAAAAATCAACGAAAATGTGTCCGATCCGGCGGAAGACACCCTCCACATTTTTCCACGGACGTGGAGCGATTTGGGCGTCGCGAAAGACCGCGGTCTCAGATCGTTTCAGGAGCAAACATTTCTCGGAGGCCGAGTAAAATTTGCTCTTATATAGATGGTTGACCCAAGTTGAATAACAGTTGACTCGACAAGTTCCTCGCAGACAGTCTCGCAAATTGTAAGACGTTCAAGTTTACGTTTGTTGAAGAGTCCAATATACTGAAACTTAATTATGACCTTCTTAATCAGCCTTCGCCTGTGTACTACGGCAAGCCTTTCAAGTACGTTTTCTCACAAATGCCACTGCCTCACAAAATGCCAATTTAACAGACCAACGGGAACATTTACAGACTGTTGCCATGGTACATAATTATCATGGGCGTCAATCGGTGGGGGACGGGGAACCCCTCCATCCCCCCCCCCCCCCATTTTAAAGCGGTGGAGACTTTTTGGGTCCCCACCCCCCACTTTTCTTCCCCAAATAAAAATTGTAGCTACTACATGTATAATGATTCTATTACTCAGAATAGCTGATTCAATGACACCAAACTCGAAAATGATGTTTAAAAGATGATCTTTTGCTAAAAAAAAAAATTGTTTTAGTGGTCAGAAATTGCCTCAGATCGCACCACAGAAATTGCTTTTCTATAACTGCATGTCTTCTCAACTAAATCCCCCAATTACATTCATCTCCCCACATTTTCATCCCCAACTCTACGCCCTACCCGATCTATGATCGGGTAAATCAACGAGGTATCGATGCATTGCTTCAAATATTGTGATCTTTGAACTATGTTGGGTTGGAATAACAAAGAGTGCATAAATAATAATATTGGCGGTTGTTGGCTGTTTGGCCTTGCTTATATTATGGTTGAACCATGCCAACTTGAATAAAATAGTTAAATCGACTTTTTCCTCGCAGGTCTCGCAAATTGTAAGAAGTTCAAGTTTACGTTTGTTGAAGAGTCCAATACTGTACCTTCATAATGACCTTCCTCCATGATTCAGACTATGTAATTTTATGGTAACACACTCAACATTTCTATTGCAAATGCCACCTTCACGTTTTATTCCATTATGATTTATTGTCAAAACAGTATAATCAGCCTTCGCCTGTGTACTATACGGTAAGTCTTTCAACTCAGTTTTCCCACATTAACAAACGCGACTGCCTCACAAAATGCAACAGACCAACGGGAAAATTTACAGACAGTTATACATGCCATGGTACATAATTATCATGGGCGCGGCGTCAATCGGTGGGGGACGGGGGACCCCCACCCCAACATTTAAAAGCGGGCACTGAATATCGTTTGGTTCCCTACTCCCACTTTTTCTTCCCCGAATAAAAATTGTAGCCTACTATAATATTCTTTTGCTCAGAACAGCTGATTCAATGACTCCAAACTCGAAAATGATGTTTAAAAGATGATCTGTTGTTTTACTATAATCATACGTGGTCAGAAATTGCCTCAGATCGCGTCACCGTAAATTGCTTTTCTATAGCTACATGTCTTCTCAACTAAATCCCCCATTTACATTTAACTCCCCACACTTTCAACCCCAACACAAATACGCCCTACCCGATCTATGATCGGGTAAATCAGCTTGTAAGAAATAAATGCATAAGAAATGTGCCGCATTAATTATATAAGTCCGCCTTGCCGCAACAATTGGACATAAAAAAAAAATTGACGGGCCTGACACACCCCTGCAAACATCTACCATTTCGTTAGTTGATGCTTCGGGTACCTGACTTTTGTAAGGGTCTTTCCAGCCTTTTGGGTTTTAGAACCTTTGAAGAAGAAACCTGACCACAAAAGTCACCAGAAGTCTTTAGCTGTAGTTATAATTTGAGCTTCCAGAAAATTAAGAGGACCTGACGTTTATGTCTTAACAAGACAAACTTCAGCTTCTTTGCTGATTATAAGTGTATGGAAAGTATTGGAAACCATTCGATAACAAAAATGAAGAGCTACAGAATCAATGTTGATACAAAAGAGCGTCTCGTTATTCTAAACTCCAAGCGTCAAGAATAATTTCACAATACATGTCTAAGTGTGGAAATAATTACTTCGCCCCGTTTTAGGATTTGGCAATTCTCAAAAAATATTCGAAAATTGTGCCCATACAGATAAGTATTTCGACGACTCTATGAATTTCGTTTTTTTCCCACTGTTTTATTGTAGCCTTGTTGCTTTATTTGTTATTATCCCTATAAAGCCTGTGGCCTATCCCTGTACGCGCGAGCGTTTTAAGAACCACACTCTAAAAAGTCACTGGTCAGATTTTAACCGGAAACCGGGTTCTATTTGGCCTGATACATTCACGGGTCAAAATTATACTTTTCTGGGTCAAAATCATACTTTTACGGGTCTAAATGACACTCTTCTGGAACAGAATGACACTTTTCCGGGTCACAATGCCACTTCTCTGACTCATTCTCTGGGTCTTTTGACTCGGGAAAAAATGTCATTTTGACTCGGGAAAGTGTCATTTTGACCCAGAAAAGTGTCAGGCCCAATGAACCCGGATCAATTCTGACACAGGACTTTTTAGAGTGTACCTCAGTAAGACCTATTTATGCCTAGGTGCGCACTTACCGGTATACAGCAGCCATTGAGGAATCGCAGAAAACACATCAGGCCGAAACTCCAGGTGAAACTCAAACCTGTTCCAGTGACGACCACTGCTATCACCGAGCCGAACACGATCAAGCGTCTGCCGAACAGATCCGATAGTTGGCCAAGGACGTAGGAGCCAGCGAGGGCCCCGCCAAAATGGATGGAGGTCAGGGTGCCAGCGAGGATGGCGCGATCACAAACTAGCTCCAACTAAAAACAAAAAACAAAATACGATACGCCCAAATAAAGAATCGCAAAATTGAAGGCAAAATATATCGGGGTACACCGCTGAATACGCGACAGACAGTATTTTATGGATTATTCAGAATGGTATTGGAGTAGCTATATTACAGGTCTAATTATTGTATACTCTCTTAATTCTTAAGATTGAAAATTTCAATCTCTGAAGCGATTGATTTTTTTCCCAATCTTATAGATTGAATTTAGATTGAAAACGATCACGGATAACGCCTTGCGCCGAATTTACGAGTCAATCGTGGAAAAGATTGAAAGCAGTTTCAATCTATTATGATGATTGAAAACTTGAACCAATCAAAAAGCTGCATTATTATGATCGCGCATGCGCATTTTGACAATGCTCAAACCGCCTCGTTGTCATGTCTGCCATCTTTGTTGGTCGGTGTACCGATGTTTCGCGAACAAGAATCAGCTTTTTCAAACAATGTAAGTACGTTTCTTCTATCTATTTCAAAGTAATACTATGCTTCTTATAGAGTCAAACCCCCGAGTCGTTGAAGTTATTCTGACCTGTCGAAATAACTGAAATATATTCGTGCAAAGTTCTGTTTCTGTGCGGGTTTCGTCAACCATGACAAATGACATGTCAACCGCGTTTAACGTTGGAGGCAATGGAGCTAGGCCTAAACAAATGAAAATAGCCGCGCGGTTGGGATTTGAGCCATCACCCCTGCTCATTGAAAACTAGCGTGTGCAATCGAACTACCGGACCGAAGCGAAGCAGTTGGTCCGGTAGGCCTAATGGTAGTTGTAACTCTTATAATGTTCGCATTGCGTTTACAATTACAGTGTCAGTGCATGAGTGCCGTAACGATCATGACGATAGCCATCATATTTGTCCGTTGTTCTTCATAACATATTTGGGGCGACTTGGTTGTTTCCCCGGTCATGCGCTATGCCGGTTACGTACATAATATCCGAGACAACTCGGTCCAAGTTCATCTCGGCCCTGATCGATTCAAAACTTTGTGTTCACAACGAACATGTACTTATGCTAGCAAATGTTTAGTGGTTTAGGCAGTGTAGGCCAGGCCTACATGCATGTACATGCAGGCCTATATGTGCATGCATGTGCATACAATACATGTACTGTACATGCATGCAAAAGTTGCATAGGCCTAGGCTATATTTATGTACATGGTGAAACCTTGGTGATTTCAAAGACTACGGTCTTCTTCCTACCTAGTCATCTGTTTTTTAACCATTTTGTGTTTCTTTTTAGTTTCAGCCCAGGCTGATTGGTGACCATTCCTCCATGACCTGGATGATTTTTATCATCGTGAAGACAACATGTTAATTATGTGGAGGTCCAGCCAAGTTCAGAGAGCTGTTCAGTGTGTTCAGACCAGTAAATTCAAGGTAGGCCTAATAAATATTCCATGTTATTCATCTATGCATCTGACGTCCATGTACAGCATGTACAGTCTTTACTGTGGATAAATTCCGAACATCACAATGAAATTTACACACATGTTTACAATTATTTTTACCAAGAAAGTTAATATTTAAATTTACACACATTAATTAGCAATTTACATATGCGCAGCGCATCCCATGACAAAATGAAACTTTAATGTACATGATTTAGTAAGCTGCAACAGTGGCGCGGCCCATCTGGCACAATTATTTTTTGGGTATTAAAAATTGCAAGGTTGATAGACGAATTACTTGCACTCAGAAGTTCACTCCCACAAATTATCTCTCAAAAAGGTCCTGCATGGCTGATCTAAATCATCAGTATTATGTATTCTTAATAGCACCATAACGTGATGGATAAATGTCATAAACAGACAGGCACATGACCACCAGTGGTTTTTACTTGTACTTGTAGGTCTTGTTGGATTAACTAATTTTTTTTTTTTTATACTTTTTAAGGTGTCCCAAACAGAAGGTCAGAGACAACCTTCAGTGGCGGAGCACCATTACAGGGATGTCACCCAAGAACAGCCTGGAACAAGTGTTCAGTCAAACATCCAGCCAAGATTTGTATACGTTTTGTAGATGTAAACAATAGAATCAAATTTATCTCCACCTTGAATTGCCTGAGTGTACACAGCCTGTGTGAGGAGCATTATGGAGTATATGAACAGAGCTCCCCTTGTATGTTCTCCGGTCCCTCGATGCACTGCAGAGGAAATGTCTCAGAATGTTCCCTGACATCCCCCTGGAGCCTTTGCAACTCCGATGTGACTTTGCTGGCCTCTCCATTATACACCAGGCAGCAAAATGTCCCACCCTTGCGGCGAGAAACACCAACCTCCGATACCCACAAGATTGCTGCGTTGCTGTGTACGCCATGTGGTACCCAGAACTGCACGTCATCAGCGACCTTTCACACCGTACTATACCAGACTCTGGAATTCTCTCCTTGAGACTATCGTTGGGATCAAGAGTCAATTCAGGGAATCCCTCACAAGTTATCTTTTTAACTAAGTGTGAGACTCATTTTGAGTGTCACCCCAACTACATGTGTCTCTGGCATACACATAAAAAAACTATAGGAATCATCCTATTTCCTTGTGGAAAATTTAAAAATTCTAACAATGTTATTGTTACTGCAATAATTAAGGAAACTCAGTGCTTTTTAATTCCCCTGAACTTAGTGCATTTTTTTATTTAATGCATTCCTTGAACTTAATGCATCACTTGAACTTAATGCATTCCTCGGAACCTCATGCATTCATTAAACTTAATGAATTAATTGAATTTAATGAATTCATTGAATTTAATGCATTCATTGAGCTAAATGAATTCCTTGGATTTAATGCATTCCTCGAATTTTATGCATTCCTAGAATGTTATGCATTCCTTGAACTTCATGTTTTGTATTTATTTTAACTAAATGAATTCCTTGGATTTAATGCATTCCTCGAATTTAACGTATTCCTCGAATCTAATGCATTCCTTGAACTTAATGCCTTCCTTCAATTTCATTGTTTATATAACTGAACTTATTGCATTCCTTGAATTAATGCATTCATTGAACTTAATGTATTACCTGTATTGAACTTAATGCATTCGTTGAACTTGCATTCCTTGAACTTAATGCATTCCTTGAAATTGCATTCCTTGCACTTAATGGAGTCCTTGAACTTAATGGAGTCCTTAAACTAAATGTATTACTTTAATTGAATGTATTACCATGTACATGTATTGAATTAAAGCAGCAATGTATTAAAGTAAAGACAGAAAAGGATTGTGCAACTTGTGCATGTGGGTGGGTTCATGAGTGCGTGTGTGTCAATCCAGCAATAGGATTGAAATTTTCGATCTTTAAACGATTGAGAATTTCATTCTTTTAGACTGAATAGTTCAATCATCAGTCTAGATTGACATATTTTCAATCCAAATTCGATTGAAGATAGATTGAAAATTTCAATCTAATAGTTTGAAATTCCACTCGTTTGTGGATTGAAAATTGTCAATCTAAAAAAAGATTGACAGTCAATCCGCAAAGATTGTTCCCTCACGGCAATCTGTGAAAGATTGAGAATTCAATCTAATAGATTGAAATTTCAGTCGTCAGAATTAAGAGAGTAGCTTGCATTGCATGTCATTGTCGTTATGATAATAATGTGGAAGTGAGAAAGGTTTCTAATAAGGTTTCTAGGTATAGTCGCGTAATTACGGGGGGAGGCAAGTGGGGGGCACCCCACCCCCGGTGCCCCCACCCATTTGAAATTTTGAATTGCACACCAACAATATGTTTCCATCAGTGCCCCCCCCCCCCCCACCCCCTCAAAAATTGGTGCACCCCCAGGTTTAACCCTAGTTACGCCGCTATTTCTAGGGAGATCATGACTCGAGAATCAGACGTTTCCTCTTTTTCTGAGACTTGTAATCAAGTCACCGTAAGATCGTAAGATCGAAAGCCTTTTAAAGTCAATTACAACATTACCGGTACTTAGTCACTCAATTTCGTACAGTCAATCTTATGCATTCCTGCAATTGTTATTGTCCACCACTTTTGCCCATGACCCAATTGATGAGTTGACTCGTAATTGACTGAAAGCTACTTGTGACTGACTCAATTATATCTCTGTCTGCCCTTCTCCTAGTCGGAAATGTTGGGACTCTCAATACTGCGTATGAGATTCCTAAAACTTATGATAATAAAAACATTCCAACACCCCTTTAGTACTGCCTCAATCACTTGTGTCAAAAGAAACATCTGGTACCCAGTCTCTTTTTCTACACATTTCCATAGTCATGCCACCAGGGTCCATATCCTCAAAAAGTTGGACACGTATACTAGTCTTAGGCTTCAAATTGAAAGCACTTGACTTCACCCTCAGGAGCAAAATGTTGCTTAAAAGTCTTCTCTTAAAATCGAATTGAGATCTCAAACTTGTCTGGTGAAATACTGAGGACCTTGTCTTTGCATGCCTCATGGAAATTTTGGAGAATTTTGTTGGCTAAAGAGTGAGAATAGTTGGCCTGATTTTGTTTTGCATGTTTTTCTGTATCAGTCTACGCTTCCCAAAGTTGTATTTCCGTTTTCAATCAGAGGGTACAGAATGACATGCAAAAAAAATCAGGTCAAGTTTAATCAGTTTGTTGAGCCCACAGAAAAACAAAAGATCGAGTCCTAGATATTTCAACATTCGAGAGTAAAGTCTGAAATTGAATTGCTATACACTGAGTTTTTCTACCAGACACTGAAACACGTTATGAAATTCCGTAGTAAAAACGGGAGTTTTTACGGGACTGTCCAAAGTTCGATCCATTGAAAGGTGTTCGTGCATGATTCAGGGGAATTTATAGAACTTTAGGATTGACAATCAGATGATATTATATAGCACGCTCAACTTTGGCAGTACTTGAGATTGCGGGAATGGTGGTTTATGCGCCAGTGTTTTCTTACATTGCATTTTCTTGTATCTTGCGTTTTAGGACTTTCAATAGGCCTGTTCCAAATTTAGGAGTTTATCTCACTCCTCCCGAACAAAAATCGTGGAGAAAAAGCGTCTTCCGAAACAGAAGTGTTAGATTTAACACCGGAGTGTTATATTTAAAACCGGTGGTATTGTAATATGACCACCGATGTTAAAATAGTTCAAATTGACTTACATCAGTGACGCTACTGGTCTCCCCATGTATCGAGTCATAGTCCCATCCATACAGGCACCCTGTCGTCACGTTCTTCCCTGCCTCCTCGTCCTCGTGAATCAGCTCACACTCCTCCGCGAACACGGTGTCTCCCACTCCCGTGCCGTTGATAGGCGGCAGGCTGCACCGGTAGCCGTCCGGCTCCCCGATGGTGAACGAGACTCCGGTGAGGAGCCAGCCCGAGCTACCGGAACACAGGAGGTACACCAGGAAGTTGAGGCTCTGCACCAGGCCGAAGCCACCTAGAAGTGTCAGCGATGCGTCCACGTCCATCATGGATACCGATCGGCCCCAAAACAACCAACCACCACAACTACAGCAATGTGACCAAACCCACAGTCACTCCTGCGGTTGTGAAGTAGGCCTATATTCGGGACACACAAACAGTACAATTCTTGCTGCCTTTGAAAAACTTCTGCTGATCTGTTTGCACTTTGTACAACGAAATGAATGAATGGTGCCCGCTTGCGATTGGCAACTTTAAAGAGGCAGTCGAGTCAGTGAACACAACTTCTCTCTAGACAGCGTGTGAGCCTTTCTGAACAAGGCCAGTGGACTGGGTTGATCGGGTTCACCACGCAGTGACGGATCGTCCGTAAACATTATGCACACAATACTTCGCTTCGTGGTGCGACTGTTAGGAAAGGGATAATACGGTATTATGTAAAGCTGTATTGTGATGACCTATTTTTAGCCTATTTTCAACGTGTGTTTACTTAGATTTCTCATTTTTTTTCTGGAAGCAGGTTCACAGTGTGACTATGTGAATTACAAATAGTCTTACGAAAATGGAACGTTACAACCAGGGTAATTTAATGTCAATTAACGAGGGAAGTTTGTTTTTCATTTGATCTTATAATGGGTAAAAGTTTAGATGCCTATTTCTTCTTTAAGTTTGATTTCAGTACTTTTAATATCCCCGGGAAAATTGTTACAATCTGTGACGATACTTGTCCAAACAAAAGCAACCTACCTACATGTAGTATTGTTCGATCTTAGTGGTTCAAGTTGTGATCGAGCGCCGGCGGTATACAGGGTCCAATAGGTTGGTAGTGGACCATCTGTACCGAAGAACGGAGCGGCTTACCGCCTGTCGTAAACGGATGCCGCGTATATTGTTGGATGATTGATGGTGCTTTAAAGGGTGGGGTGGAATGGTACTGCCTGTCGCTAGTTCTGTGTAGGCACGTTATAGCAAAATTTTGAATAAAGTAAGATACGTATATACCGGACCTGGAGCGTTTAGAAATGAGACTCCGAAATGTTGAGACATTTAATTTTAAATTTCCTTGACAGACTATAGGCCAGTGGAGGATTCTGATCAAGTAGCCTACTCCCCCCCCCCCCAATATCATAGCCGCACTCTTATTTCGTGTCGAACCTAAACGAGTTTGTAGAGTGATGTTGTGCAGGCGATGTTGCAGACGCGCCAATATCATAAAAGTCGGGTTTTTTCCGGTGATCAGAAATAAATTGAAGGGGTATTTTAAAAGTGCAATCCGCCCCAGCTGTCGGAAGATCCAAAACCCTGGCTCTTTAATTAAGGATAAATATATAATGGAGCAAATTAGGGGCTTTGAATCCTAGCCCGTTGAAAGATAATACCCACACTGGGTTCTGACATGTGCACCTTCAACAAAAACAAATTGGTATGCCTGAACAGAGAGGCTCGGTTTAGGAACATATACGTACTGTTTTGCAGGGGTTTACGTCCAGATCAGCTCCACCCAAAGTCTTCATTCAAACCTTGAATAGTTTAATAAACTAACAACCCCTTACCAGCAAAAAAAAACACAATAAAACTCAAATCTAATGGGAAAGATACGAAACCGCCAAATTTAACCTCTTCTGAAACATTTCAATTCACAAGACGTGTAGAAACAGAAAAAAATATTTCATGGCCAGAGATCAGTTTTAAGGTCAGATGATTATTTCGGGGGCAAGTGCTTTTGTGCTCCAGACTTCCCAAGCCTCTTTCCAGGCTACACACTGTTCCGTATTATTCTACACGACTGGATATACCCCTAAAGTTATTGTGCAGTCACCGTCGGTGTTCACACATAATCGGGACAGAAAAGCTTGGCCGCATTTTCAGATCTCGAATGGGGGCAGAGGTGACTACATATAGTCTGGTGTGGTACTCTTCGCTGGCTATTGGAAAAGGGCCAGTTTATCGCCAGCTAGGGAACAACTAATAAATCGTATGGCACAAACACCATACAAACTATTTGAATCAAAATATATTTCAAGGTGAAAATTCAGATGATACAAATCTAACGTTTCAACAATATTCAGATCTATTTCATTTTTAACTGAATTCTGTTCGAATTTTAGGACCACTATAGTGGTCCTAAAAAAAAAGAGCATATAGTGCACTATATGCTCTTTTTATTTAAAGTATTATGGACGGAAGTCATATAGTTATACATATCAAGCCCTTACGGAATGATACATTATATAGAGTACAACATGCAAATAGCCATTCTCACAGCTAGAATTATTACAATGTTCGCGCGTCAAACATGGCGGCTCTATATTTACACTAAATATGTATTTTTTTCCTATTCTGACAGCATTAGAGCTCTAATATTCTAATTTAAAGCAGCCTCATATTCGCACCTATACTTAAATATTCTAATTAAGTGATTCTCATTACATTTTTGTATGTATATATAAAAATGATAGCCGGTCGCATTCAAGTGAATGAAAAAGAATACTGATTTTGAGTATTTTGTGAAATATTTATGCCAAATTATTTTTGGGTTTTATTGCTCAGTAGATAGACTGACCGTAATAACTTTAGTAAACTGTGGGTCACACTTGTTTTAATAAGGAAAATGAAATGGAGAAATCGTGTCCGTTAATTCCTGGCATGGATTAACAAGCAACTGTGCTATGTTTAAAGTTAATCAAAATTGTGACGTTGTTCTGTAAAAAATAATATCTTTTATATCAGCTGATTTATAATAATTGCTCCCACACTGAGTGAGTAAAAAAAAAACGTATCCCAAATGCCAGGACTATTTTTTGAATGAAGGTTTCCCTGCAGCACTTCCAAAATCTAGGATATGAAAACCCAGTTAGTATTTAAGATTTCTTTTAGTACAAGAATCATTCAGATCACTCATGTACTTTTTAAGTTAGTGCATATTGAACACAAAAACACCGTTTCAAAGTTCTTCCCACGGATCACAAAAAGTAAGTGTTCTTTCAGCAAAACGAAAACAATTCTCATAGGGGGCTTACGAATTGTTTTCGTTTTGCTGAAAGAACACGAACCTATTTTTATGATCCGTGGAATGAACTTTAAAATGGTGTTTGTGTTCAAATGGCGCAACTTGAAAAGTACGAGTGATTTGTGAATTATTCTTGTACCTGAAGAAAGCTCATTAATTGGGCTTTTTTTATCCTAGATATTAAAAGTGCTACAGGCAAATGAATTTCATTCAAGAATTGGTCCTACCATTTGAGATGCCTTTTTTTTTTAAATCGCACCCTGAATTTACAAGCCAAGACAGGAAGAACTTAACTACAGCTCAGATTCTTTATTCGCATAAAATGCACACACAAACAAGGATTACAAATTGTATACACATATACAAATTACACAAAAACAAAAATGCACGAATACCAAAATGTACATTTAAACAGTACACAAAAACTCTCGAAAAAAATCATTACCTTCGGCCCTACATAAGAATTCCCTTGTATGGCTGTCTCTCATAGCAGTAATCTCCTTAATCTGATTTGCAAGCCTTATCCTGTCTTCATTTCTACTACAAAATGCATTCCATTTCAACATATTACTAAAAATAGTATACACATGTAACTTTGATATTGTCATTTCCTTGATCTAGAATGGTAACGTGTCTTTAAAAATAACGTTTTATTTCTTGTACCCTGCGTTGCATATAAATAACCTAATATACATTGAGTTGCATATAAACTAGCTTATATACACGGCGTTGAATATAAGGTACCTCATACGTACGTGTACACTGCGTTGCATTTTCTAAATTATCTTTCACTCTCTATAGTCGCCTATATAAAAGGCAAGAACTGCAACCGCTCAAGCTCATATCTGGCAGGAGAGCTTGCAGGTATCCAAGGTTACATTGCAACTATTTAAATGTATATTTGCATAGTAATTTACAAGCCTTATCTTTTTGTACTTATTTGTACGATATAACACAACAATCGTTGAGATGTGGGATATAGCGTTTGTAACAACCCCACCCGGCCGCAAAGCACCATCGGCTTTGTTTGTAATCGTGCTTTGCGTTCCTCGGGTTTTAATAACACCATACTCCACATAACAACACTTAAATATTATGGTTAAATGTCGAACCGTTGTGATCACACAACTTGACAAGTGTCACAGGATAAACGCGACTTTGCATTAATAAGAGTTTACAACATCAGGGACGTTTGCGGAATGCAACAGTGAATCGACTTATTCTAGTTCGGGTTCTGCGACGGAAGAACCAGATGTGTTTAGATGAAAATATCGGCCACAATATTCCGTAGATCTCATTAGAGATTAAAATTTAACATCACGTTGCGTACAGAAAGTCGGATTGTTGATGTTATTACAAGATTTTCATGATCATATCTCGGTGTAATTTATATGCCTCATTGATTTTGTTCAAAATGCAATACCTTCGTTTGCTCTCAGAGCCACTCTTTTCTTTTTAAAAGAGTAAGTTACTTTACAGTGTGTCCGCAAGCTTCTCACATTGCGTCCAGCAGAGGTAAGGTCGGAATTGTCTAGACGTCAGCGGGCGACTTCTCATCCCGTGGGCCGGCTTTGCTGGTGAGTTTGACCCCGTCATCCAGCGTCTCCGGCAGGGTTCGGTCGCTGGTCTCAGGCAGAGGAAGGACAAGCAGCCCGGCCAGTAGAGACAGCACGCCGAACACGATCATTGGGATGGAATTGTGGATCACATTCTATGCAAGAAACCACACACAAAAAAAACACTTTCGATTCTTCGTTACATGTAGTTCACTAGCAAAGGCAGGAGAATTGCATTGAATACGAGTAGGCCTAAGTCAAGAGTCGACACCCCTCGTGAATCTCTTCGTGAGCTATCCCTTTACAGGGTGAGTCAAAAAACAGTGACCTGGATTAATGATGTTACCTTCATAAAGAGCAATTTAATTTGACACAACAATGAAGCCCCCCCCCTATTGTTTCATGCTCACCAGGTAGACGATAAAGGGTGCCACCATACCTCCAACCTTCCCTACCATCGCCGAAGCACCAAACGCAGCACTCCTATTGGAAAGTAAAAAAAATAGCAAATGCCACTGAGGGCTCAATTTCGCCCTGCTTACCGTCAGCAAAGAATCTTCACTAAATAATAGCAGCAAACTTTGTGCTTACGGTTTGGGTGTTTTACAGTTAAGTGCGAAATCTTGGATTTGACACATGGGTACATCCTGCAACTACTGATTTCATGCTTACGGGGTTACGAAAGAAGTTCTCGCTGTAAGCACTGTTCCCTGACCGTAAGCACAGACATGCATGGTTACTAGTGCCCTCGCTGGCAATTAAGCAAGCTAATTTAAAGAATATAACTTGTGGAACTCAATTATGCCTCTGTACATGTAAATTGTAAACTGCGTTGTTTCAGAGTTTCGTTATTTTGTGCAACAAGCTGACTATGAAATGGGTGGCATGGGTGGTTCAGTGCGTAAAACGCTCTCCTCTCACCGCTTTTTGCCCGGGTTCGATTACCGCCACGGGTCATGCTGAGTAGAGTAGTTCGTTGACTCTCTTCTGTGCCGTAACGAGGGATTTTCTCCGGGTTCCCCCGTGCTTTTGTTCCTCTCTAAGCAAAAAAAAAACCACTTTCCATCTGACCGTGCTCTGTGATAGCATGGGTCGTATGGTGGCTGTCTAAGGCGCCTTTATATATGCCATCGGCTCTACCACTTTATAGCTGCGTCCTTCGCAATTCAGTTTCTTTTGCGAGTAAGGATGATTGGCCCCCAAATGTATTTGTTTATTTGAATAATGATACCTCAAAACAGTGGGAAACACCTCAGCTGACATCAGAAAAATGATGTCGAAAGCCGCCGTTGAGAAGAGTTTACCCAACATCGCGAAAACTAGGATGACTACTGTTAGGTCAGTCCCGCTAGCTATTAGAGAATAAAAAGAATTTACTGTATCGACAATGATCTAAACAATCATAATCATTTACGTAATTTGCAACTATATTTATGTAATTTGCAACTCTCGGATTGTTCCGCTATTCCAATTATTTAGTGAGTCTCTTGGGGGTTTCACTTGGTGTCAATCTGTAATTAGTCAATTAACAAACACTGTGCATAAGTTTTCTGATTGCTAGGCATCACCTTACTTTGTAATGGCTTAATTAATTAATGCATTATTCCGTGTACGCATATTAGTACAGTACATGGAGTACTGTGGGTTTTTTTTTTTATTCCAATGACCACTTCTGCCAACAATCCAGGGCCCAGAACTTCACCATTGATAAACTGAATTGCTCCCAACAGATGAAGGTTTATAACAATATATACCTGTTTCACTTGGTACCAATCCAGTTATCACACAGGTCACCCCGCTTATGACACAGACAAAGATGAGTGGCCGACGGCGACCAAATCTTTGATTAAAAAAATATTGTCATGCACTTCAAATGTTGTCTTTATAGGTTTGGATTGGGTTGGGTTGTATGGGTTGGGTTGGGTTGGGTTTGGTTGAGCTTGGGTTTGGTTGAGGGGACGTTGAACAATAGAGGACAATAGAGTCCCCAATTCCCGAGAGGTCCCCGATTTGGATTCGTGTACAAATCACATTGGAGGTCTTCCTAAAAAGTTAGAGTACAAACAAAAGAGGGATCTAGGGCGTCCCCGATTGCAGGCAAATACACACTTGTGTGTGGGTTGGGTTGGGTTGGGTTGGGTTGGGTTGGGTTGTGTTGGGTTGGATCGGGTTGGGTTGGGTTGGATTGGTTTGGATGGGGGTAGGTTGGTTTGGGTTGGGTTGGGTTGGGTTTGTTTCTGTATTCAATATAGGACGTTGAACAATAGAGGACAAAAGGGTCCCCGATTTCCGAGAGGTCCCCAATTTGGATTCGTGTACAAAACATATGGGAGGTCTTCCTAAAACTTTAAAATACAAACAAAAGAGGGACAATAGGGGGTCCCTGGTTACACACTTGTGTGGCAATTACACACTTGTGTGGGTTGGGTTGGGTGGGTTTGTTTGGGTGAATTGGATTGGGTTGGGTGGGGTTGGGTTGGGTTGGGTTGGGTTGGGTGGGGTTGGGTTAGATTGGGTTGGGTTGGGTCGGGTTATTTGGGTTGGGCAGGTTTGGTTTGGGTTGAAGGTTTACTATGGATTTCCAAGATATTCAATAATTCAAAATTAATGGGGAAAAACTGTAAAATGAACATGCTTTACTTCACACCTTGGCCCTATATACCTTTTCATCATTAAGTAGTTGACAATGTACGCAGGAGCCTCCGTCACAGATATTAGAAAGAAGTTCAGATACTTGTTCCCGACAAGATTGGCGGCGTTGATGAAGAAGCCATAGTATACCACGTTGCAGGCAAACCTGGGCAGGGAGGTTTAAAGCTATAGTCCATCATTTGCAGCTATCCAAAAAGTAACTGGCGTAATTATTGCTGAAAAACATACTTGGTTGAAAGATAGTAAGGGGACTAAACTCCCTGTGAAATTATTCTTTCTGGCAAGCTGTCATTTTGAAGTAATCAACGAAAGAAGGCCTTTCCAACGGTGCTTCTTAAGACGCACCGTAGGAAATTTAAATTAGCAGTTCATTTTGATATTCGGCGAAGCGCGCGCAAGCATTGGCACGACGCACACGCACGCGCGGGTGCTATAATTCGTCGGATCAGTGCGCGACATCGCTTAGCTGCAATTGGCTCAGTGAGATTGTGTCTCGGATGCTGAATTCAGGCCCAATTCAAAACATGACGCAGCAACTTTTGATTTGAATTGAGATCCTAGAATGCTTTCTCGGAATATACAGCTGAAGCTGAGCTGAAACTTCATCAGGTTAGTTGTTCAGTACCCTTCTTTAGATTTTAAACACTGTTGTTGCTTCAAACGAACAAAATGCACAAATTACCAATGATGGACTATATCTTTAAGAAGACTATGCACATGGGCTTCGCGAGGGGGATGGGGGCCAGGGGGCGTTGCCTCACCCCGGACAAGCAAAAAAAAACAGGGGGAGGGGGAAAGGGGGGAGAAAAAGAGGCGCAAAATCATATTGTTGTTAATTTTATGGGGGGGGGCAAATGTCCCTGCCCACCCTCGAAAAAAAAATGATCAATCGGGAAAATGCTGGAAAACATGGGGGAGGGGAGGTGGGCTTTGCCCCCCTCTAGAAAAAAATCCCGGCGACGCCCATGCTTATGCATTTTCAAAGAAGGTGGCTGGGATGTGAAAGCTCAGTATTTTGAAGGAAGGGGGTGGATGAGGCGGTGCAGTCTAAGCATAAATAAATATCAAATGCCAGAAGCAACGAATCAAGATTTGAAATATGGATTGATTATATTTTGTTTAAAGGAAAATTTGTGATGTTATTTTGTGAGGACCTGTGTAAATCATTAACGTTGGTCAGTTGAGGGGACGTATAATATTAATAATGGTATAGGTCTCTCTCTCAAAGGACTTCACTTCGTGACGCGCATCGGCTGCGCCGTACTTTTCGACATTTCGAACAACACGCGCGCGTGTTTAGAACATTTTGCAAACTGCGCGCACACGCACCTGGTGGCGTTGAGTACGCAGTTGTTATTTTCCTACGGAAATGGCGTCCTGTGAGAGAGATCTATAATAACACTGGGCCCAGCGGAGATACACCTCTGTCTCGTATCATGCATATATAGGCGCAACTGCAAAAGCTTCTTCGGAAGTTTTGTAATACGCACCACCAGTAGAAGACGATCAGCGCCCGTATGGTCAGAGTACGTGTCTTGAACAAATCAATGATGGTGGCTCTTTTCTTCACAGAGGCTGGTGGTCGTTGATTTGAATTGTCCAGGTTACTCTTCTCCTGTTGAGGATTAACCAGCTCCTGATCCTTTTCAAGGGTGGTCTTGGTTTCCAGTTCGATCGAGTTCTCCTTGATTTTTTCCAGCCGGTTACCATTCTGCAGGTCCGGGTCTTGCTGGGCCAGGAGGAAGTAGCCGGGGTGAGAGATGTTCTTGGACTTGGCGATCCTCTGGAGGATCTTCTCAGCTTCCTCCACCCTTCCCCTCTGGACCAACCATCGGATGGATTCATACGAAAACCTTCATTTAAATGTAGGATGAAATAAGCCAACACGTTAGTTTAACAATCAAACCGTTCTTTTGCGGGAGACTTTTGAGAGGACATCAAATTCTTAACGAATTTTCGCTTTGTCCTCTCATTAATTTGTTAAAAAGTAAATTAAATACCTTACACTTGGATTTTGCTCTTAATTCAATGTTGTCAAGTGGCTATAAAAGAAAAGCCACCAGATATTTGGGAAGCTTGGGAGCCAGCCTTTAGGAATTATTGTAATCATTTTGTCTAATTGTTTTCTATTTTTCCCTTCCTCTTTGCCATTCGCAGTTGCTTGATGGAGGATGTGAATTTGGTTTCGGGGCTAGAAAATTGGACAATTAAGTTTTAAGATGGTAATGGCAGCGACAGTTTGGGCAAAACAGCTTTTAAAAAATTCTTTGTTAGATCATCAAACAATAATTATTAAATCCTACCAAATGAGAAATATTACGGGAACTTGGCACAGGGATATGGCCAGCTGCAGGTGCCTCCAGTTCGGCAGGGCGTATGCCAGCGGTGCCAGGAGGGCGATGCTAACCACCCACATCATGTCAAACACGAGTTGACCAGTCAAACGATTACGTGGTGTGAGCATCTCAATCAAACGGATGTACACCAAAAACATAGTACCCTGCATCAACAAGATTATGCAGAAATACACAGAATACGCAGACAATGTTAATGCGTAGATCGAGTTCAAGTGGAATTTCGTAATATTTTTGGCTAGTCCACTGTTTATTTATTTAATTGTTTTGGCCCCAAATTTCTGGAATTAGCACCCTTTTAATATTTTAAAAATTATAAATATCTTATAATTATTTGCCTTTCCCGAATTGTACAAGGGTGGGGCAAGGAAGCAACAAACTCTTATCTCATATATGATTTAATTAACCATCACTCATTTATAGTTTCCAGCGAAAAGTGGAACCAAAATGTTGTAATGTGAAAATCGTTTTTCAAAGTAAGAGCGGGAGGATTTCTGCAATGACAATTCAACTTTGGTTTGATATAACACACTAAGCACTAGCAGCGCATGTTTTACACACCTAACAAAAGACATCAAACCAAATTTGCTGAAATTGCCGAATGTCACGTTTGATCTTTAATATAAAAATTACTTATATGAGACACCATATAGACTTACTGGAAGGAAAAATCCGTGAATAAACCGCAGAGCAAGCATCCCTGCAAAGTTCCACATGAAACTCAGGCCGACACCCGTTGCCACGAGACCAATAAGCGAACCAAAGACAACCAAGCGTCTGCCATAAATATCCGATAATTGGCCTGCGACGTAGGCGCCAGCGAGAATCCCGCCAAAGTAGATGGAGGTCACGGTACCAACCAAGATGGCGCGATCACAGACTAGATCCAGCTGAATCGAAGAAACTTTAGTTTTATAAACTAGGGAAACATTTAACAGAAAAGTCAATTAAAACACGCCGAAAGTAATATTGAATTTATTCACGAAACAGAGGGCTATTCCGTTCCCAAAGTTTGTGCGATGCATAATGGAAAATGATGCTTACACTTGGATAGATAAACAGGCTAGAGCGAAGATAATAAATAAAAAGAGAATTGGATGAAGAAGTTATATTAAATACATAATAATGACTCTAAGTTGACAACAGTGGATAATAATGTCTTTAACTAACATGAACAAATTATAGGTGCAATGACGTCGCAATGTCCAGCCTCAAATTAAAGTGTGACACTGGCTAGTCTGGTTCCCAGACCAAAATATTCTGACTATTCCTGATGAATCTTAGGTCCGGTAGCCTCCGGTAATACATTGTATTACAATTTAGGTCACGTGACTAAAACGGGAGGAATTCCTCCTTTTTCCGAAAATTTCCGAAGTTTGCCGAATTCGTTTCTTCGACAATCGGATAGCGCCCGAGTACTTCCGAATATAATATAGGTTTAATTAACTGCTAATTGCTTATTAATTTATTTTTTTTAAATGAGTTGATAATTAATATTCATAGCTTTCATTTAGAAAACTTGAAATTCAACGACGTTTTTGTGCATCAAATATACTCGGATTGTATGGGCGAACTTTTTGCTGCGTCATGTACAATTTTGAATGTGACGACCGTTACTGAGATTTTCCAAAACTCGGTCTTCATTCGGCTCCGCCTGCTAACAGTGCTATTTGGGTGCCTAATTTTGAAGATTCCAGATCAACATTAGTCAATGTTATCTTACAGAAACATCAAACAGTATTGTCATAACTGTATGATATTACGAAGCAAGTGATTTACTTAAAAATTTGATCAGATCGAACATTAAAAGCTAAAAGTGATAAAGCGAAATCGGAAACGAAGCCGAGCTTTGAAGAAGGGCCATCAATGTCGTCATGTTTATTTTTAGCCACGGAGGCTGCCTGACCTAAGATTCATCAGGAATAGTCAGAATCTTTTGGTCTGGCAACCAGACTATGACACTGGCACGCATGCACACTACATCTTCAAACTGATGTGTTAATGAACAGAAAACAATCATGGATCCACTTACATCGTCTACCACACTAGTTTCGCCATGCGCAGAGTAATAGTCCCAGCCGTACACGCAGGACATCGTCTCATTCTCGCCTCCTGCTTCATCTTCGTAAATCAGCTGGCACTGCTCTGGGATGTAGCCCTCTCCATCCCTTAAGCTCGTACCGTTGGGAGGCAGGCTGCACCGGTACTCATCCGGCATGGACGTGGTGAAAACCACTCCCATCAGGTGCCAGGACGAGATATTGCCACAGAGCATGAAGATCAGGAAGTTCAGAGTTTGCAGCCCGCCGAAGCCGCCAAGGATCTCAAAAGATGCGTCCACATCCATGATGACGCCTTAACTATCGAACTTAGTTGGGAATTTAACTCAGAAGAAAACAGGGTAGCTAGCATGTAGGCAGCCCCGAAATGAACTAGGCAAATGTCACACGAGGATTGCATTTTATTCCCCAACGTTCACTCGAGAGGGTAACACACTGAGTAAACAGTGTTTATAGGTCCATGAAGGGCAAACCTAACAATGAGGGTTGCATTGTTAGCACACAATGTATCCCGGGCTGTTCAGTGCACCCTGGATTCTGTTATGATTTCGCAATATTTTTCGTCCTGGTTAAAGCGAGTTGCTCACTGATTTAAATCTGCCTCCGCAAACTATTATTGTCAACAATTACAAAGTCAAGAGTCCAACGTGTACGTAAAGATAGATTGTTCATACCGGAATATGACCAAGTGCTTCCTATTTATGAATGAAACTTACTAGATAAGAGAAGTCGTGAAAAACTTTACCATTGCCAAACTTTGGCAAGAGTGAAGGTTACACGGTTATATGCTGTTGTGTTTGCATTCTTTTCCAGGACGTTGTACTCGATGTGCCCTTTCAGTTCTTTGACTGCTCAGCCTCATGTATCTACACTCGTGTCTGCTTTTGTGGGTTCAGGCCCGTGTGGCAGCCGAGCACCCGCTGCTGTGACCTAGATTTATAAAGCTGGATTATTGCATTCAATTTTCTGAAAGAAAGAGGAGTTTCCAAAACCACGACCCCATAAATAAAAAAATGGCTTCGGGCTGCAAGTGCATGATTTTATGACCCTGGCTGAGGTGGTATAGTACTTTTCCATTTTCGTGAACTGGACAACCTTTGTTTTTACAAATATGAAGGCAACTGTAAGCTCCCGACCAATTACGAAAGAACGACATATACAAAGACATAAATGAATTAATTAAATTGGAGAAATTTGTGATTTGATATTATGCCACATTTTTGTTTATTCAAGCGATTGACTGAGAGTTAAAGCTTTAGTACACTGCGGGGTCACACTTGCTTTAAAGGAACACGAAATGGAGAAATCAGGTCCGTAAATGCAATTGTGCAATATTCAAAGTTAGTCCAAATTGTGATGTTGTTCTGCAAAAATATTGAAGTTTCCTACCAACTGATTTATAATAAGCTCCCGACCAATAGCTGTCTACATGCCAAGAAAGAACGACATGAACATAGACATTAATGAATTAAATAGGATAAAAAAAAACCTGTGTGTGTGTGTTTGATACTGTCATTTCATTGGTTTAGAACAGTCACGTGTCCAGTCTATAAAAAAAATATTTTTTTAATTCTTGTACCCTGCGTTGCATATACATTAACAAATGCAAAGTGCGTTGCATATAAATTACCTCATATACATTGCGTTGCATATAAATTACCTCTCAGTCACCTCGCGACCGAGAACTGCAACCGATCAGCCTCATGTCTGGCAGGAAAGCTTGCAATTATCAAAGGTTAAACTGAAATGAGTACATTTATTTATTGCATAGTAATGTTCAAGTTATAGCTTTAGTACACTGCGGGTCGCACACTCGCACTTGTTTTAGAGGAACACGAAATGGAGAAACCGTGTCCGTTAATTTCTGACATGGATCAACATGCAATTGTGCTATATTCAAAGTCAGTCCAAATTGCGATGTTGCTCTGCAAAAATATTGAAGTTTCCTACCAACTGATTTATAATAAGCTCCTGACCAATAGCTGTTTACATGCCAAGACAGAACGACATAAACATAGACATAAATGAATTAATTAAATAGTGTACAAAATACTGTGTGTGTTTGATACTGTCATTTCATTGGTTTAGAACGGTCACGTGTCCAGTCCATAAAAAATAACTCTTTAATTCTTGTACCCTGCGTTGCATATACATTAACAAATACACACTGCGTTGCATATTACATCATATACACTGCGTTGCATATAAATTACCTCTCAGTCACCTCACGACTGAGAACTGCAACCGATCAGCCTCATGTGAAAGCTTGCAATTATCAAAGGTTAAACTGAAATGAGTACATTTATTACTTGCATAGTAATTTACAAGCTCATTTGGTTTTTTTTACCGATTGGCATAAATATAACAAAACAGTTGTTGACTGCTGTGGGAGATATGCCACGTTTGACCCCCTCGGTTAATAAGACTAAGGGGTCAAACCCCCCCCCCCCCCTCCAACCCCAGCCCCCCCCCCCCCCCCCCCCCCCCCCCCCGCTCTGACACCAAAAACAATCACAACAATTTTCAGTAATAATAAAAAGATGACATTCTTTGTCATCTGTATCTGAGGGGCCTGCCCTTAACCCCTCCCCCGCAAAAAAAATCCTGGATCCGCCCCTGGTAACGTCTGATTGTCTAGACGTCAGTGGGCGACTTCTCATCCTCTGGGCCGGCTTTGCTGGTAAGTTTGGCCCCGTCATCCAGCGTCTCCGGCAAGGTTCGGTTGCTGGTCTCAGGCACGGGAAGGACGAGTAGCCCGGCCAGTATACACAGCACGCCGAACACGATCATTGGGATGGAATTGTGGATCACATTCTGTCCAAGAAATCACAAAAAAAACGTCGATTCCTCATTGCTTGTTGTTCACTAGCAAACAGGAAATACCGGTCGCAGTCGACAGTCGACACCCTTAATTCACATATTTTCCTGTTGTTTTATGTTGTGCTTCTTATACCTAACAGAAATAATGCAGGTACTGTAGGAAACCTTTGAAATAAATCAATGTTTATTGACACAAACAATGCAGTTTATTACACCTGGGATCACCGCAGAAAGTAAGACATTACTCCTTGTGACATACGAAATGTAGTTGTGCACGCGGGTGTCAACCTGGGGGTCCACCTGATGTTCCCCAATACATAGGTTCTCCAATGCCGATGTTCCCCAGTCCTTAGGGTTAGGGTTAGGGTAAGGGTTAGGTAACATATACGTGTTGGTGAACACAGGTATGCACCCGTCCACCTGTAGTGTGGTGATTAACGACAATTTTGATGATCTCTTCGTAAAGTATTCCTTTACAGGGTGAGTCAAAAAGAACGTGACCTTGACATATAATACTACATGTAGTTTTATTTCAATAGGGTAGCCTTTTCAGTTATTTAAACTGTTATTCTTAAGGGCACTTGATTAATGTTTTGTCCTCTTAAAATGCAATTAGGCTTGAAACACTAATGAAATATGTACCAACTTAGCTTGTTCATCCACTCATATGAAAAAAATGATCAATGCTATCAGACGTTAGGCCTGTTTTACTAAGAGAATCACTGTTTACAGCTTTCCATGGAATGCCATTTTGAAGCTATTCATATGAGTAATTAAAGAGGGACTACAAGCAGACATTCAAATACAAAGAACTGTTCATAATTTGAGGTCAAGATTGAAACGATATTTTTACTGTAAGATTTTAAGTTTAGCAGGCACCAACCAACGAGGGCGCCAACGGAAGAGTTGGTTAGACAACGTAAAGGAATGGACGAACATGACTATGTCAGAACTCCCAGTGCTAGACCAGCATGGAGGAGGACTTCAGCTTCTTCTGCCCTTAGGTCCCCCCCCCCCCCAACGACGGCAACAGTCAAGGGAAACGTAACGTAACTAAATGAGGATCAAATCAAGTCTTTTTCTTCTGAAATGATGATGGTAATTTTTCCATTGCAAGTTTTAGTTCACTCATGGTGGTAGGAAACCTCAATGGTCCAGGGTATTCCTCAATGCGTATTGGTAAACGATCAGTGGTGGACTTTTGTGTGATATTTCAATTAAACGAGAAATAACTTGTGAACAGAGTATAAAAATTACCTGAAATACTAGTCAATAGCATGCACTTTATTCCTTACATTTTTATTACATGGAGCGAGTCACATATTGTTAAATAGATTTTCCTAATGCAGGACCTTTCTTTTTGACTCATCCCGTAATAGCTTCTTTTTTTGGGAGGGGGATGATACGGCTGATACATTCAGCCATATGGTTACTAACCGCAAAGCGTCGCCGTTGTTAGGCCAAACTAATCTGATTACGTAATTAGACGCTATAACGGAGCAGTGCAATTCATGCACCCCTAAAAATAGCATTTTGAACGTTGTGTTCATCAGAAAATATGCTCGGTATGATTGAAATGTTACATTCTAACTGAAGAAGAAATTCTAAACTTCATGTCAGTAAAAAAAAAATCCTCGTCATCGATGCCGAAACCTCAATACTGGTTACTGTCAAAGCTGACCTTCAAGTCTGGAAGAAATCGTTCCCCAAATGTATGCTGATTTATCCTAATTTCCAGGAATTTACCCAAATTGTTACATCACGAGTAGTTGAACACTTATATCATCTAGGTATATTCCGAATATCAGCTTAATCTGTTGTTGTGGACGCTAGTGTTACAAATGGAACCATCTCCGAGGAAAATTTCGAAGAGGATCAAAAAAAATATTTGCCGACCCGACCCATGTGCATTGTTCAGCAAAGCGCCGTGGGCGCTACGGCTGACCGATTTCGGCCAAGCACACAATGATGACGGGCATATTAGCATATTCATTGGCATCATCTCTGCGTGACATGGCGTGGGTCTCGGTAGTGACGAATGGAAGCCGGCAAAAAAGGTGATATTTGTTAATTAACAACTCGTGAAGGAGGCTTTTATTCCATTGTTTACTGCACACCGTTATGGATAGGAACCTCATTAATATTCGTGAGGCTTGAAAAGATTGATAGATATTGCGCACACCAGTGTTACAAGTTCCAAAATTGCACGTAGCGAGGCCTATTTTTCCGTGTTCAACGAAAAGTAATGAACTTATCACAACGACTTTTAGCTCATACTTGGATCATTATAGGGGAAATAAATCCTGAAAGTTGCATGAAGATAAGGTCTTCCAAACTGGAGAAATTAATTTTCAAAGATTTCACCCGCCAACGTGACCATGTTTGTGTACATGTAGTTTCATCCAAAATAAAGTTATAAACCAAACCAAAAAGCGCCCTCTTTTTCTCATACTCACCAAGTAGACGATGAAGGGCGCCACCATACCTCCAACCTTCCCCACCATCGACGAAGCACCAAACGCAGCACTCCTATTGGAAAGAAGAAAAAAATAGCAAATGCCGCTGAGACTTTATACTTTTCAAATCCTTCAAGGTAGCTAGTGGCGTAGATAGGATTTTTTGAGTGGGGGGGGGGGCACAGGGGGCATCAGAATATTATGGGCATCAAAATATCATGGTGGGCACATATCGCAAACGTCCTATTGCAGTTTTTCCCAGTTGGTCCCCATATTGCCTCGCTGTATCCATTGACATAAGTAATTGTAAACAGTAAGCCTTTGGCTAGCTAAAAATATACAACTTACACTACCCTTTTTTGCTTGGGGAAGGAAAAGGGGCATTATTAGTTTGTGTGATTGGGGCATCTGAGGGGGGGGGGGGGCGGCACGGAAAATGTGTGGGATGGGTGGTGCAGTGCGTAATAAGGCGATCGCCTCTTACCGCTGTGGCCCGAGTGCGATTCCTGCCACGGGTCATACTGAGTAGAGTTGTTCGTTAATTCTCTCCTGATTTTCTCCGAGTTCTCCGGTTTTTCCCCCTCCGCAAAAATCAACACTTTCCATTTTACCGTGCTCCGTGGGAACATGGGTCGCATGGCAGATGTCTAACACGCCCTTCGGCTCGACCACGTTGAAGCTGAGTCCTTGGCAATTCAGCCTCTGCTGCGAGTAAGGACGATTGGCCCCATATTTATGTGTTTGTTTATTTATTTATTTGAATATATTAATACCTCAAAACAGTGGGAAACAGCTCAGCTGATATCAGAAAAATGATGTCGAAAGCCGCCGACGAGAAGAGTTTCCCCAACACCGCGAAAACTAGGATGACAACGGTCAGGTCAGTCCCATTAGCTATTTAGAAGAAGAAAAAAGAATGCACTATATCGACAATGATCTCAACAAACCCATGCCGAAACATCGGATAGCATGCACAGTCCATAGAACTGCAGTAAATTTACGTAACCCTCGGATGTTCAGTTATTCCAATTATTTAATGAGTCTCTTGGGGGTTTCACTTTGTGTCTATCTGTAATTAGTCAACTAACAATCACTGTGGATAAGTTTTGTTGCGCATCAACTTACTTCATGGTACCTTTGGGAGAGTATGTAGTCAATCTTATATCAAATTAACAATATTAATATATGACTTAATTAATTGGTTATTACGTACACATTATAGAACATGGAGAACTCTATACTATTTTTTATTCCAATGGCCACTTCTACCAACATTCCTGGGCCCAGAACTTCCCCATTGATAAGATGTGCTCATAAGTAAGACGAACCTAATGAGAACCAGTACCTTATAAGGTCTTCAAGTGGTTATAATAAAGCAGTGAAACCCTAAGTACCTGAGTTTCTGATCAATTCATTAGTGACCTGCTTGACATATCGCATGTCTGGTCATGCCAAACATTGACTCTGCTATTTGTTAGCATAGGGCTTAATCGCTTATAGGAATGCACGGGCTATCTCAATGTTCCCATATGTTAACAATAAAATTAGGAGCCTCAGAAAAAAGAACACCCCTCACAAACCGTCGCCAATGATATAGATTTCACTCAGGACATGAGGAATGGACCAGGGGCCATCTGTGGTTTAGGTGAGTAAACCAAAACAAAGAAGTGTGGATTCTTTTGAAAACTTCCTGCCTCTCACGAGGATTTTTGTTAAAGTATTTTTATAGTTCAACACCTAAGCTGCGACTGCGGGGACAGGAGTTCATTTATTACTATTGCAGGTAAGACCAGATAAATGCAAATGATATAGGCCCTACCTGTTTCACTTGGTACCACTCCAGTTATCACACAGGTCACCCCGCTTATGATACAGACAAAGATGAGCGGCCGACGACGACCAAATCTTTGATAAAAATAATGTCAGGCATTTAAGATCTGTTTATGTAGTGTTGGGTTGGATTGGGTCTGGTCTGGTTTGGTTTGGTTTGGTTGGAGTGGAGTTGTGGAGGATCTAGTTTGAATTTCCAAGATATTCAAGAACCAAAATTTAATGAAAAATACTGTAAAATAATCATGCTTTACTACTTCAAACGTTGGTCCTATACCTTTTCATCATGAAATAGTTGACAATGTACGCAGGAGCCTCCGTCACAGATATTAAAAAGAAGTTCAGATACTTGTTCCCCACAAGATTGGCGGCGTTGATGAAGAAGCCATGGTATACCAAGTTGCCTGTAAACCTGGATAAGGAGAAATCAAGAAGATGTGTATGAAATTCTCTGCAAGATCCAGGTTTTCCAACGTAGTGGCTCAATATGGATGTTTAAGTCCACGATTTTTGAGGAGGTGGATTGGGCGTTGCAGACAATGAACAGAAAAATCAAGATTTACAATACTGAATGATTATATTATTCAGTGATAAAAAAATTTTCCCGTTAGGACCTATGCAAATAATGAACGATGGTCAATCGTCGGGGACGGGGGTTAACCACCCGAACCAGTCCTTGGGATCCGCTCGTCTTTTAACCAACAATAACTCCACTATGCCTTCCACAAATTCTGTCTTTCGAGATGCTGTTATGAATTGCCTCTGCTATACTATGACTCGGGGTTATTGACTGTTGTGGAGCAGCTGTTTGAAGCAAGATTTGTATTGGTCATATTGTTCGTTTGAGATATGGGGATGTATTAGGTACAACTAGAGTGTGTACTTGGGTAAAGGGACACTTGGGGCAACTCGTGTAAGGTATAGCCGCGGCTGCAAAAGGTTCTGCTGCAATTTTGAAATACATGTACTCACATCCAGTAGAAAACGATCAGCGCCCGTATGGTCAGAGTACGCGTCTTGAACAAATCAATGATGGTGGTTCTTTTCTTCACAGAGGCTGGTGGTCGTTGATTTGAATTGTCCAGGTTACTCTTCTCCTGTTGAGGTTCATCAAGCTCCTTATCCTTTTCTAGGCTAGTCTTGATTTCCAGTTCGATGGCGTCCACCTTAGACGGCTTGTTGCCATTCTGCAGGTCCGGGTCTTGCTGACCCAGGAGGAAGTAGCCGGGGTGAGAGATGTTCTTGGACTTGGCGATCCTCTGGAGGATCTTCTCAGCTTCCTCCACCCTGCCCCTCTGGACCAACCATCGGATGGATTCATACGAAAACCTTCAAGGGATGAATGAATGAATACATCAGTTCACAAAACTGATCATTGTCTTGGAATACATTGATTGATATTCCTTAGAATAATACTTAAAGGAATGACTTTTTTTTTTAAATTCCCTTTATGAAATTTATTTAAAATACCTTGCACTTGGGTCTCACTTCTAACTATAACTATTGCAAAGTTGCCAACAGTACCAGCAATCAGATATTTGGGGAAGCCTGGGAGAGCATCTTGACGAATATAATTTAATCATCATTTATGTCAGTGCATGTGTTCTATTTTCCCTGCCCAGTTCCCGCTGAAATTGCTAGATGGAGCGTTTGAATATGGAACGAGGCTTGAAACTTAAACAATGTGATACGGTAATGTTAGCGACAGCTTTGGGCAAACAAGCCTCCAAACAAACTGCTTGTTTCATCATCAAACAATAAGTATTATATCCTACCACGTGAGGAAAATAATGGGAACCCCGAACAGGGATATGGCCAACTGCAGGTGCCTCCAGTTCGGCAGGGCGTATGCCAGTGGAGCCAGGAGGGCGATGCTGACCACCCACATCATCTCACAGACTAGTTGACCCTTCAGACGATTACGTGGAGTCATCATCTCAACCGCACGGATGTACACCAAATTCAGAGGACCCTGTATAGACATTCAAGTTAACGCAGAATATATAGACTATGTTGAATGCGTAAATTGAGTTCAAGTTGAAGTCCGGTAATTGTTGGCTAGTCTAGGCCTATTGTTGATATATTTTCTCCTCGTATTCGTTGAGATGTGCCCTGGTGCATGCAGCAAACAATGGTGTGACGGTCTTGTTTACGTAAATCTGTGCCGGCGAGTGTAGGGATGGGGATGACCAAAATCCAAAAGTTGCCCGTCCGTGAAAATTCGAAAAGCGAGGGGGGGGGGGCTGACAACACTTTACACTAGGGGGCGCTCTTCAGGATATAGATGTATATCAATATGTATACACTGGCATCAAATAGGCCCATTTTTAACAGCTTTTTTCTTCGCTTCACCACTTTTTAGTGCTATTTAATACATTTTGGTCGTTGGGATCTTGAAAAATTACCTCAAAATCAACGCTTTTTATCTCACCACGAAAAAGTGTGGGGGGGGGGTTGATTCAATAGCCCCCCCCCCGTGAAAAAGTGGTGGGGGATATATATACAACATGTACCCCCATCTCCCTCGGGATTTACGCTCCTGCTATTTTAGGCCAATGAGCTACTCAACGTTTGATTCTATACGTTAATGTCTTTATATTCTCTTTTTTTTTTTCTATTTGCGACAAATTTCAAAGAAGCATTGAAACTTCATAGTGTGGTATGGTATGTCAGGAGAACAGCTGCTGTAGGATTTTTGTGCTAAAATTGATTTTTTTTTTTTTTTTTTTGCATTTCTGGATTTTGTAGGGTCTAAACTATCAGAAATTGATTGGATTCAAATTTTTCAGACCCCCACCTTCTTTCTGGGTGTCAACCATTTTGCCCCCCCCCCCCCAGAACAATAATCAGCCAGTTTTCATAATACTAGAGTCGTTTGTAGCTTTTTAAATATTCTGAGTTGATTTATTATACTTTTAAAGCAGCTAGAAGTGTCCTTGTCTGACTTTTTGTTCAGCAGTCCGGGGTCTCTCTTCACCTGGGCCCCCCGGACTGACCCCTGTGCGTATCTCAGTCATCATTACATTCCTCGCCCTACTCCTGTTCTTTTCTTGGCCAATACGAGAACAACTGAGGGGTCAGAGACAAGGCCGTCATGAATTTTTGGTGACCAGCAGGGATTCAACCCTGACCAACCAGTTCATGGCTAGACTGCGAGACGAACGAGTCATGCAGAGACTTGCACTCATGCGTCCCCCCTCCATGACGTTCACGGATCTGAGGGCGGAATTGAGGGTTGTCGCCGAGGAGAGTAGGCAGCGAGGCGAACGAAGGTGGCTGGCGCAGGACATGGAGAGTCCGCTGTCTACCATGATTGAGGTGGTTCACAGTCTCCCCCAGCAAAAATCGGGAGGCAAGACCACAGATATGCAGAGTCAGTCCGGGAAAGATGCCACCTCCCCTCAGCCGAGAGATGATGAACCACCTACCTCGCAGCAGCTCATTGCACAGCAAGTGGGCGAAAAATCCTACAAATCCTGGATGCCACGAGGATAAGATGGGCCTGAAGACCGGTTACTGAGGATGAGAAACGAGGTGTTTCGAATCTGCCCACGGAGCAGAATCAATGGCCAGGCTAATCAGATGGGGACCAGTTTAGGAACAGACACGCCCCCATGTACAGCTAAAAGTAGTTCATCGGTGAGCGAAGCAGCCATGGAACCACCATCTTCAGCGGAGTCCCCTTTCCGAAACAAAGCATCAGATGCGGCAGTTAGCAATGAGAGCATCACTTCCACTACGGATGAGGTTGTGGGTACCACATGTGTACCACCTGCTGGTGTGGGTCTGCTTCAAACCCAGCGAGATGATCCAGCCATCAGCCGAGTGGTCGGGATGAAGCCGATGCAACAGACGGAGCCGAGTCGCCGACAGAGGTCACGCGAGTTAAAAGTGGTCCAGAACCTGCTCAAAGCTTGGGATAATTTGGAAGTGAAGGGCGGCATTCTGGTTCACAAAAAGGATGGAGATGGGAGACAGTTTCTCCTAGTTGTATCCAAGATGACGCGAAACCCAGTCCTCAAGCACATACATGATTCCATGGGACATTTGGGATTTGAGAAGGTCCTCCAACACGTCAAAAAACAGATACTTCTTGCCAGGAATGTATTCTGAAGTGAAGAGGTACATCGCGAAATGCAGACGATGCGCACTCCGCAAGACACCAGACACAATAAGACGAGGGGGTATACTGATATGTATTTTGAGCAAACAAACCTACGGGAGTGCATGCCATACCGCACTATCAGTATAATTCTCTGCAAAGAAGAGGTCACTAATTATCTACAAAGGGTAATACCACTTAGGCCGTGACTTGAATGCTTATTTTTAAATTCGCCTTCACACAGTGAAGGAAGCAAAGCTGCTTTTCACGTAATAAGTAGATTTTGAATATCGGAAGTCGATCAAGTTAATCTTCAATAATTTTCTGCTCTGGGACAACTTCTTCTAAAATAGTTACAAGTACAATGCTTATCAAGTGTTATAAAAAGGTGAGGCAAGAAAATATGCGTATTCGTATTAACTGATTGATGGTGGTAAGGTCGGGGAGGGGGACACCTTTCCCAGCAAATAAGTGATCAAATCTCAGCTGCAGACCATAAAGCCATATTTGAATTCATTTGTGTTCATCTGATCACTATTGATTATAAGGGCTATTGTAGTTTTATGCAAAAGTACAGACAACTCTGTTGTGACGGTTGTTGTAGTTTAAGGAGTATGTGTTTTATATGTATTTGCCGGTTTGGCCGGCTTGCTGTCAAACAAACAAACCCAAAGAATCACTGAATAATGTTTTACTCTTAACAGATGAATTTAAATTCTTGTGTTTCCTTTTGCAACTTAGATGAGAATCTCCACAAGTTTTTTTCTTTAGGTGTTTGGTTTTTGGAAGGCAAGAAGCAACACATTATTGTCTAGTGTTAAGGATTTACTTAGACATCACGTTACCTCATTTGTAATTTTCAATGAATAGTGGAACCAGCATTTTTGATGTCTTTGATCGTTTGTCAACGTGAGAGAGGGCGAATTTCGGTCATGATCATTCAAATATGGTTTGGCTTAACACACTTAGCAGAGTATGTTTATTTTTTAACACACCTAGCAAAAGACATCAAACCAAAGTCGATGTTGAACGCCCAGATTGCCGAACATCATGTTTGATCTTCATAAAAAAATGCAATTTAAAGGGAATATACATCATTTGCTTTTGCTGTAATTTTCAGAAATGGATGGAATTGGGGGGTTGGAAATATATAGCAAATATAGTTACACTGACTTTTTTGAGGTTTTGGGTTCGAAAATGCTATAAAAACCAAGAAAAACAATCATTTTCCTGTAGTCTGGTTCCCTGACTCCATTTAAGAAGAAACAGAGCAGTTTACATATATTGGGGAATTGTAAGGTCAGGGAACCAGTCTAGCTGGCTTGTACCCGTTCATAGGTGTGTAATCGATTGCAAACAAGTGCGATGGTCAACTGGGGCCAGTATTTGAAAAAAAGCCAGTTTTTCCAACGCTGATCGGCCGATCAGCGTTGGAAATTGATACAAAAATACCACTTTTCTTGAAAATGACAGTTTACCAGGTGCCATGATTTTACAGGATGCTTTACACTGTCATTCACTAACAGTCCAGCAAGGTATTTCAAAATGATTTGGTAGTTTTATATTTTGATGTTTGCAAATGTTGTATTTTCCCTTTAATAATAAATTCCGACAGCACAGACTTACTGAAATGAAAAATCCGTTGATAAATCGGAGAGCAAGCATCCCTGCGAAGTTCCACACGAAACTCAGGCCGACACCCGTTGCCAAAACACCAATAAGCGAACCAAAGATAGCCAAGCGTCTGCCATAAATATCCGCTAATTGGCCGAGGATGTAGGAGCCAGCGAGGATCCCGCCAAAGTGGATGGAGGACAGGGTACCAGCGAGGATGGCGCGATCACAAACTAGATCCAGCTGCAACAAAAAGTAATAATTTTTTAGACTAGAGGAAACAGTTCACAGACGAGTCAATCAAACACGCTGAAAGTGAAATGAAATGTATGAATGAACAGAGGCCTAATACAGTAACGCCGTCGGAGCAAGCAACGACACCGACTTTCTTCGGCACTGGTGCAAACAGCGGCGGCGGAACGGTTTCCAAACTGGGGGGGGGGGGGGGGGGTGGCATCATCAAAAAGGGGCACTTTCTCAGTAAAAGGCATCTTTCGTCGGTGCAGCACATCCGTGCTGATAGGTCGACACTGTTTTTTTTCACGGACACTTGGCCTCCTTGGGGGGGGGGGGGCTGGTACATCTGGTACAGGGGGCGCTCTTCAAACCTGACTCAAGCAAACTACGCATTATGTCCCCATTTTCAGAGCGCATTGTAAGGGTTTGTGGGCTTGGTTTCGCATTCCTCGTTCATATCAGAACTCTCTATACCATTTTGGGAAATGGTTACTGAAAACAAATTATCGCACATTTTAGGGAAAGTTATATTTTCATCGCGAGGGGGAACAGTTCTGCTCGAGGGAGCACATGCCGGCAAGATTGGCACTTGGGTAAATCTGGGGGGGAGGTGGGGTGGGAAGTGCCCCCCTTCCAACACTCTCCCCCCCCCCCCCCCCCCCCGGTTGCGCCGCGAACGACGCGATGGGGACAAGAACAGTAAGCCAACAGACTGTGGACCCCACATTAGAGAAGGCATCGCAGAAGAAAAGGCCGGAGGTACAGGAAGTACCATACCACAGAAAACAATCCGACGGTGCAGTGAAGGGGATCCGCTGGTGGATGCAATGTGCACCGCAGAAGGCAAGACCATCCAGGAGGCATTCGCCGGTGCAAAGAGACATTGGGATTTAATCAAGACGAAAGACTAAAGACGAGAAGCTGCTGTTACAAAAGCCTAATAAATCAGTGTGTTTCATGTTGAATCCGATTGAGTTGGTTTGCTTTGTGTTTGCGTTGGCCGACGAGGAAGCGGACAAGGACCAGGCAAAGGCATACGATACATGCTATTATAAACTAACAAACGCCTATTATAACGAAATGGAAATTCGCCATGTCCCGCCTTTAAGGCGTAACGATGGTATATAAGCATGTACATGTACACTACATGACTAAACTGATACGCAGATAAATAGAAAACATCATGGATCCACTTACATCGTCTACCACACTAGTTTCGCCATGCGCAGAGTAATAGTCCCAGCCGTACACGCAGGACATCGTCTCATTCTCGCCTCCTGCTCCATCTTCGTAAATCAGCTGGCACTGCTCCGGGATGTAGCCCTCTCCACCCCTTAAGCTCGTACCGTTGGGAGGCAGGCTGCACCGGTACTCATCTGGCACCGACATGGTGAATGCCACCCCCGTCAAGTGCCAGGCAGAGAAACTGCCACTGAGCATGAAGATCAGGAAGTTGAGAGTTTGCAGCAGGCCGAAGCCGCCAAGGATCTCAAAGGATGCGTCCACATCCATAATGACGCGCTAACTATCCAACTTTAGTTTGGAATTCAACTCGGAAGAAAGGGGCAGCACGTAGCTAGGCAGCCCTGTATTGAAATAGGCAAATTTCACTCGAGGATTGCACTGTTAGCACGCAACGTACCCTAGGTCTTTTGTTATTCATTGAGCCCTGAATTGTGTTATGATTTCGCAGGATGTTCCGTCACTGTTAAAGCGAGTTGCTCATAATCTAAATCGGCCACAGCAATCTGTGTATTGTCAACAATTACAAGTCAAAGTCTAACATGTACGTGGCGATAGATTGTTCATGCAGGACAATGTCTGAGTGCTACATTATTTATGAATGGGAGTTCTTGCTAAATTAGATAAGTCGTGATAAAACCTTATCCTTGTAAAACTTTGGAAAGTAATGGTAGCACGCTAATGTGTTCGCATATTTTTCCCAGGACATGTTTTTCGATTGTCCTTTTCTTTTCAGTTCTCTGAGTATACAGGCTGCACAGCCTCATGCATCTACACTCATGTTTTGGCTTCAGATTTCTTTGGCAGCTGTGACCCAGATTTAAATCCGGACTATTACATTCCATTTTCCTATTTTTTTTCTTTTTGGGGGGTACAAATATGAGGACAACATTGTATGTCCAACTGAATGCTTTTTAAAAGGTCACAAACAGTCAAAGTTTCCTTCCACTACCCTTGGTATACATTTAACACACCAATGAGTGACTTGACAAATATTGACCCCGCAAATAACAGCATGGATCAGATTGCATGCTTGCATAGGAGGGTTAAAAGCTCTTACATTCTACGGAACAAGAGTTGAAGCTCGGCTATAGGGCTGACACCGATGTTTGCCGCCCTCTCCGGTTTGATACTGCCTACTTTTCCCATTGGAGTGTATTCAGCGGCTTGTTCAATACCTCAACAATAACGAAAGTGCCTTGACCCGAAAATCCTGTACCCACAGGGCAAAGTCTGTCGGATTAATTCATGACGAGAATGATGAAAAGAGGCGAAAGTATACCTCGCGGTGTATTTTTGTTCACTGCAATTTAACGAAAGTTTCAGCGCGAGTCCAGTTTCTACTTTTCTTTTCAGTTTTTACACACTGGCTCAAAAACAGAGATTGTTTTACATTAAAAATAAAACTCTACGTAGGTCTTGTCGTGCCATCCTAGATGGTCAAACGAGGTCAAAAGAGGGTTAAAACGCCCCCAAGATAACATTCTGCTTTCCGGTACCTCAGGATGTCGACAGGCTACTCTCCCGCATGTCATCATCCCAATTTATCCCATGAGGTTGACATTTGTCGATAAAGATGTCGTCATCCGGTGGTACTGGTACATAATGTCAGAACCCCAATTTACATTTCGGATGGCAACCAGAGCTTCATACAACACTACAGTACAACACTACTGCACACTTAAGAATTTTTTTTGCACCCTAACTTCAATCAAAAGTGCAGTAACAATGACCCTCTTTAAAGCCTGTGAATTCTAAATTACGGGACTTTTGTGCACGGTATAATGGACAAACAGGAAAAAGGTTTTATTCCTAGCCTGTAAGTGAGTTTGCAGATTGAATCTGGTTCCTTCACAATAACTTTACAGCGTCATTTTCTAAGCTGTTGATCCCTACAAAATGGGGATCGAAACCAACAAAATTATGGTTGACAATCATTATTTAACCGGCATATTCAAAAGTCACACTGCAGGAATAGAGTACACAGACCCATAATTGCTGACTGAACCGGACTGCCGAGGGGTTTCTAGAAATGCAGTAGCGAAACATTTTTGCCCGATCGCGCACGTACCACTGCATGAATGAATCGAAAAGTAGAAAACAGGAATGGCGATAACACAACATCTGGGGGCGCTGTTCAATTCGGACAGGACTGGACACCATCTGACACTCAATGTCATTGTTCATCTTGCATTTTCTCCAAAACACTTGGTTCTGAAGACTTGTTTTTTTGCATGTTGCAGGCCAGATCAACAGCTTTGTCTGCAATTTCCAATTTGAGGGTGCATTTTGATCGAGATATAGAGAGCCAGTCGAGCACTGCGCTGACGCCTTGCTATAGGAGTTACTTCACAAAACAAAACTCGCGGGACTCAGTTACTACATCTTGCATTTTCTCCAAAACTCTTGGGTCTGAAGACTTGGTTGTTTTTGCATGTTGTAGGCCAGATCAAAAGCATTTCAACGGCGTAGAGTTTGTTTGCAATTTCTTATTTTAAGGTACCTTTTGACCGAGATATAGACAGCGAGTCGAGCTATTCGCTGACAGGCCTTGCTATGGGACTTACTGCACAAAACGAATCTCGCGAGACTCAGTTACTACATCTTGTATGTTCTCCAAAACTCCTGGATCTTAAACCTTGGTTATTTTTGCATGTTGTAGGCCTGTTCAACAGCTTTCCAACAGCGTAGTGTTTGCCTGCAATTTCTCATTTAAAGGTACCTGTTGATCGATATATAGAGAGCCAGTCAAGCTCTTCGCTGACAGGCCTTGCTATGGGAGTTACTGCACAAAACGAAACACGCGGGAATCAGTTACTACATCTTGCATTTTCTCCATAACTCTTGAGTCTCAAGACTTGCTTGTCTTTGCACGTTGTAGGCCTGTTCAACAGTTTTGTAACGGCGTAGAGTTTGTTTGCAATTTCTCATTTTAAGGTACCTTTTGATCGAGATGTAGAGAGCAAGTCGAGCTATGCGCTGACAAGCCTTGCTATGGGACTTACTGCGCAAAACGAATCTCGCGATACACAGTTACTACACCTTGCATTTTCTCCAAAACTCTTGGGTCTGAAGACTTGGTTGTTTTTGCATGTTGTGGGCCTTTTCAACAGCTTTCCAACGGCGTAGAGTTTGTCTGAAATTTCCCATTTAAATTAACATTTTGATCGAGATATAGAGAGTCATTCGAGCAATGCACTGACAGGCCTTGCTATGGGAGTTTCTGCAAAAAAAAACGAAACTCGCGGGACTCAGTTACTACATGTTGTATTTTCTCAAAAACTTTTGGGTCTGAAGCCTTGGGTGTTTTTGCATGTTGTAGGCCTGTTTAACAGCTTCCAACGGCGTATAGTTTGTCTGCAATTTCTTATTTTAAGGTACCTTTTGATCGAGATATAGACAGCAAGTCGAGCTATGCGCTGACAGGCCTTGCTATGGGACTTACTTCACAAAACGAGTCTCGCGGGACTCAGTTACTACATCTTGTATGTTCTCCAAAACTTGTGGATCTGAAGACTTGGTTATTCTTGCATGTTGTAGGCCTGTTCAACAGCTTTCCAACGGCGTAGAGTTTGTCTGCAATTTCTCATTTAAAGGTACCTTTTGATCGAGATATAGACAGCAAGTCGAGCTATGCTCTGACAAGCATTGCTATGGGACTTACTGCACAAAACGAAACTCGCGGGACTCAGTTACTACATCTTGCATATTCTCCAAAACTCTTGGGTTTGAAGCCTTGGTTGTTTTTGCATGTTGAAGGTATGTTTATTAGGTTTCCAACGGCGCAAAATTTCCCATTTTAAGGTACCTTTTCATAGAGATATAGAGAGTCAGTCGAGCAATGCGCTGACAGGCATTGCTATGGGAGTTACTGCACAAAACGAAACTCGCGGGACTCAGACAACACCTCAATGTAGATTTCATTAAAAGCAACATGCATCACGCGACGATTCAAGGGTGGAAAATAACAAGCAACATAAATTCACGACTTACCAAACGCATCAACATAAAATACCGACATTGTGTCCACCATTTGGTTTAACCAATCTTTTTATTAAATTAGTTTTCCCCTCCAAATTCATAAATGTCCAAAAAGTAATAAAGTAATAAATACATCAGTTCTGACAAAAAAGGCCTCATATTTTCAAGATTTTGTCACAGGCTTTATAAGCGCACTTAATGTTCACATGTTTTCGAGGCAGCATTGTTTGAATTGAATGTATACTATAACCCGAAAAGACATGACTTTGTCAACAATTTAAAATCAAAGGTATGTATATAAGAATTATGAAACAGTTATACAAATATTTGCCAACTTTTATGAACATCTCACATTAGTACAGACAACAATATTCCCCGTGCATCCAAACATTTGAAAGTGCATTTTACCAAATTAAAAAGAATATATTTAAGCACTCTTAATTTTAATTTATTACACAATTAATTTATGAAAGGTTTTATCTCAAGGTATTCATATCCAGTATCAAGTATAGCATTTTTAAAATATGTTAACTTATTGCAAGTATTGGTTGATTAATAACACACACACACATCTGTAAGTCAACATTTAACCCTGTGCCTTTTTATCTTACCAATGAAAATATTAGCGTATTTGCATTCTATATAAATGAAGCCTCTTTTAAATCCAAAAGGAAAATTACACATGTAAATTAATTGCAGGCCTCACAGTGCCCCTCGATCTTCATCAAAAAGTTTCTTAAATAGATTTTGGAAATCAAAATTTAAGGTTATTTCAAGCGCCAAAATATAGGTATTTATAGGTTTCTGTAGGTTGAAAAGCCGTTCCATTTTGTAAGCATGAGATAGCCGGAACCATACAGCGAAATGCTTACCCCAAGTTCTCCTCCTTTTACCAATTTCATGCAAACTGCTAACATGCAAACTGACGACTATAGAGATATATAGACCCCTCTCGTATATTAGCCATCTTCGTAGGAAAAATACAACTTTGTGTCACTGCCATCGCCAACCTCGTTCCCATGGGTACGAGATATTGCTGCGCCATGTTGTTTCCCATCATGCCTTGCGCGATCTCAAGGCAGTTAGCATTGGCCAGATTGAAGGGCTTCGGAGCCACCCAAACCACACTCTAAATCCGCCCTAGCATTAGTTTCCCGTCTTTCCCCAAAATGTGACCATAAAAAAGTAAAAGTTGAAATTTTAGGCACATCCCGTAATTGCATCCATATTTCTTTCAAGCTAAGCCTATTTACAACTTGTAAAATTAATTGCTAAATGTGTCCGTATTCGTACTGGCCAATATGGCAAAGAGTAGCCGTTCACTCATTGTTGTCCTCACATTAGCAATCGTCATGGAGCGTTTGTTCTGTACAAAAGTATACAGAGCACCATCGGACATTACCGTGGACCATCGTGAGAGTACAGCTATTCTGTGCCCCAATTAATCCCGCATTATTCTCAGCTTCGGAGAGCGGAGGGTACATGTACATATGGTTTAAAGAAAGGACACAGGAGGAAACTCCTTATCTAACTGAGGACATGCACCCAAGTGAGGAGAGTCCTCGATTAGAAAACGTGTAGGCTACCAAAAAGTACGAACAATAGAACACATATTCTTTTTTCCGCAGTTGTGGGGACATACACTCGTCTGTGCGAGGTTTTTGTGAGGACCAAAAACGTTGTGGAACAGCAGAAAGTCTCCATTACTCGGTCCTAATTTGCATATACAAAACCTTCCCATAACGCGGTGTAGACATACCCAATGGGACGCACTCGATTTGCACTGTACGCAAACGTTTCTGTGTGTTGAGAATAACGAATGTAGGCAAGGATAAGATTTGTTTCACACGTGAGAGGGAGGGGGTTCCACAGAACCGCGACCTTTGTCGGCCAGCTTGACACCGTCCTGAAAGCTTTCCGGTAGGTGAGTGTGACGTGTTTCCGGTAGGAATGTGACCAACAGGCCGGCCGTGATGGACACCGAGCCGAAAATCGTCAGCGGTAGCCAGCCGCTCACCGTATTCTAAAAAAAAGGTTTAATATTTATAAGACATATTAGCATGCAATTCAACCCATGTTGCTGTGAAACGAATAGTCGCATTGCGGATCAATCTAAGGTAAAACTGATTCGGAGACTTGACTTTAATATGATGCTTGCGCTATACGTCACTTATTTTATGGACAAGTATGTGAACATTTCGTGAAGGAAATTTAACATTCACTGACAAAAACTAGTTCATTAGCCAACCATTGTTTTACAGCGTGTCCCAATAAACACTGTGCATGAATAAATCGCTGATTTTCTCAAAAGTTGGTCAGATTAGTTAATCAAATTTTGTAGCCTTTTCAAGCCTATGGTCTTGTTTATAATTGTTGAAAAAAATCAACAAAATCCAACAATGCAAACCACAAATCAGTTTTATTTGGTAAGGCAATTTGCTTGTAAATACCAATTATTGGGTTATTGGTATGTGTTACGCAGTGCTTGAAATATTGCATGGCCTTTATGTTGCATTTGGATAAGGGAAAGGGGTGTTGTCAGATAACATTTTGGGTACATACATAGTATATAATCAAATCTAATACCACTTGGAATGCCTTATATCAGGCGTTTAGTCTTTGACAAAGATTTGAAAGGTCAATGAACATGCAATCTTCTTTGACAGCTGAAATGTACTGGCCTAAGCTTAGCTACAGGATTTCGATTGTGCAGGAGGAAAATAATATAGCCTTACAAAATTAACGATATCTCTGGTTAGCATGACCATCTTTAGAGCAAATCAGCGACTTCTTCATGCACAATGTTTATTAGGACACGCTGTATTTGTTCTTTGATGGTTGTTGATATTCTTCTGACTGATATTTAGCTATTATGTGAAAAGCATGCATTTCCAACAAACTGTTGTAATGTGTAAAAACTTACCAGATGTACAACAAATGGTGCAATGACGCCTCCCAATCGTCCAACCATGAAGCAAGATCCCATTCCTATGTTCCTGCGCAATTTAAAAAAAATGTTTTAATTTGGTCTCCGAGGACTTGAAGTGATTTACAGTGGGACTGGGTCCTGAATTGCCCTCCAACCCTCACAAAAACCCTCCCAGACTGAAAACCAGTATATGTCTTTTGTTTTGCGAGGCTGTCAACTGTAAACAGGTTTTTGCCCCTTCTTGTCCTGTCTGTTGATAAAATCATATACTGTTGATCTTTTAAATTCCAGGGGCGTAAATGATCCCGGGGGGATGGGGGTATTATCCCCCCCCCCCATTTTTGACCAGGGGGATGGGCTATTGAATCATCCCAACCCCCCAACCCCACTTTTTCGTGATGAGAAAAGAGTTGATTTTGAGGTACTTTTTCAACGTCCCAACGACCAAAACGTATTCCATACCACTGACAAGTGGTGAAACGAAAAACAAAAGCTTTTAAAAGGCGCCTATTTGATGCCAGTATATACATGTTGATATACATCTATATCCTGAAGAGCGCCACCTAGTGCAATGTGGTGTCAGCCCATCCCCCCCCCCCCCCTTTCGAATTTCCACGGGCGGGCAATGTCCCATTCGCCGGCACAGATTTACGCCACTGGCACATGTGGAGCGATAGTCCCTTACCACGAGGTGATATTTACCTGAGCACGGTGGGGAAAACCTCAGCTGAAATCAGGTAGCTGATGTTGAAGACGCCAGCGACAAAATACCTCCCCAACATAGAAGCACCCACGATAACTACCACCAAACTGACACCACTTCCTATACAGTGAATGAGACAAATTTCCCAAATGAATAAAATAAACATCTTTTTCTTGTTCTTTTTCAAAACCATGCAGCATCCAGTTCGTGTATCAAATGTCGCGTACATGTCACTACCGTGGTCGCCCTCCCTATCAAAAACATATCGTTGTCATAGTCGTCGTCGTCGTGGTGACATTCATCAACGACACCGGCACTGTCACTTACAACACAAATGTGAACAGGCATGAAGATTGCGATGGTGAATGTATTCGTGCTTAAGTGGAGAATTTTCAATTATAATGGATCAAATTTAATACTTAGCATGGCGGAGAGTAAATTCCACAACTTGCAAGAATCAATATCAGGTTTTCCCCTTCACCGACGCATAAACACTGTTTACTCAGAGTGTTACCTCCCGAGTGAAAGATGGAAAAAAGTTCGCTCGGTGGGACTCGAACCCACGACCTCCTGCTTTCTAGTGCAGACTCACCACTCGACCACCGAGCTTGCGGGATCGGTTGGCTGGTTCGAATCTATTGTACACATAACAGCGGGTACCACAATTAAACCATTCATACGATAGAATTTGCGTGAGGGTGATATTCGTAATAATTATTAATAGTTTAATTGCGGTTTTACTCTTGAGCTAACACACTTGTGTATACAGTGTTTTTACGTCGATTGTTGCAGGGAAAAAACCTGAAATTGATTTACATCACCCCGACGCAAATTCCATCTTATGAACAACTTGCGAGAAGTTTTCAAACACTAGTCTGACTTCCTCTAAAAGATTCTTGTACGATTTGAGAAATTCCTCTCTCGATTTTATGCATTCTCCTGTGCCGTAACTGATTCAACACCCGTTTAAGATTGGCCTGGCAATGTTGCGCCGAACTAAACGAAATACGGAGTAACACTAGCCTACATGGGCGTCGCGAGGGGGGGGGGGGGCAAGGAGGGCCGCTTCCCCCCCCCCCCAGGACGAACTAAAAAAGGAGTAGGAAAAAGAAAAAGGAAAAAATGGAGAAGGAAAAACAGGGGGGGGGGGAAATAAGAGGGGCGAAATTATATTGTTGCCAATTTAATGGGGTGGGGGGGGGGGGCAAATATCCCTGCCCACCCTCCATAAATGATCACTCAGGAAAAATGCTGGGAAAAAGTTGGGATTTTTTTTGGGGGGGGGATGTGCTTTTCCCCCCTCTAGAAAAAAATCCTGGCGACGTTCATGCTAGCCTATAGTCTACCCTAACTTCAGATAACTTTGGATTCAGGCTGGCCATCATTCTGTTCATTTAGAGAGATGCCTGCAATACTGAAGCTCTGGACTCGTTCCAAATGGCTGTAGGCCAAACTGTTACAGTGTTGACTCAACGTCTTGTCCCTTTTATTATGGCGCCTGTTTTGAACGTGGTAGGCCTACTGTTCATGTTTTCTAAATCCCAGGAGTACTTTGGATTGGTAAGACTCTGGAACTTCAGCGCCGTCGTTCGACAGGTGTAAAGTTATCTCAAAGTATGCATACCCAAACTTCAAAGTGTTCATACCCAAACTTCAAACCTCCTTCAAGTACATCAATTAGGTAATGACTGTTCTCAACACCACCGTCGCCCATCTATCCAACCACCCATCAACTACCACGCTATCAATTAAACACTGACCTGTTTCTTTTGGTGTAAACGCCACAACCATGCAGGTTACTGCCGATCCAACAAAATATGCGATGAGTGGTCGTTTACGCCCGAACCTGAAATGGAGGTAAAAATTAAAAAAAAACATGTTTTTATTAATTCTCTCAAAATGTAAATATCCAGGCCATATTGGGCCCTAAAACTGTTTTTCTGTTTTAAATTTAAGGAATATGTTTATTATTAATACTGATTTTTCAGCACTGCTCAGTGGAAATAATTTTCACTTTAAAAGCGGACTAATGGAAAACAAAACAATAATTGTATATTGGCCCATTCGACATAAAAAGATATCACCCCGTACATTCCCCAATTCAACAGACATGTTAATCGCTTTTGCTCAAAACGATGAGTGTATACGGTCGTTGGTATATTTGGGGAAATGTAATCAACATTACTATCGAAATAGCCCATTGGCTGATTGATAACCTTTCTACAGAGTATGCCCAAAAAGTGCAACATTCAGAAAACAAATAATTCAATTACTGTTTAATGTTTTTGTCTTCAATGAAATTATATATTGCATTAAAGCCTGACTATTTATCAATCCACTCCTTTTTACCCCTTTCCATTTGGGTACAAGTGAAAGGGTGTCAATTTTACTTGGGCCACTCTCACCTGGGCCCAATTTCATAGAGCTGCTTAAGCAGAAAATTTGCTTAAGCACGAAAAAATATTGCTTAGTAAAATTAGGTTACCGGCCAAAACTCCATGTGATGTACATTGCTTGTGACTGGTATTTAGCTGTTGTTTACTCAGCATAACAATCGCATGGCATTTTGGCCGGTAACCTGATTTTATTAAGCAAGACGTTGTGCTTAAGCAAATTTTGTGCTTAAGCAGCTCTATGAAATTGGCCCCTGAACATGCTGAATCTGGGTTAAGCATTGACTAGACATTAAAGTTGGTGACATAACTTTTCGGCACACAGTGTATAACGGAGTGTCCTTTTTGGCTGATTATTTCTTACCACTTCATGACGAAGTAGTCGATTGGATAGCAGCACATCTCGAACAGAGCAATCAGGAAAAAGTTGAGATATTTGTGCCCGGCTAGATTTGAAGTATTTATGACCGACCCGAAGTACACAATATTTCCAGTGAACCTATGTAGGAAAAAAAAAGACAAGAGACAACGGTAATTTCAGACCTGCACTGAGGATGGCTCTATCTGTAACTTACTGGGTTCACATCACTTTAGAAACGTGACCTGTAACGTGACCGACGAGTAACCCAAACAGTTAAGCAGCTTTTGCATGTTATTTTGCCCACATTCAATAGTTTATGTCGCCACTTTTACATAACATTTCAAGAGATAGAGAACGCAGTGCAGAAGAGAACAGTTTGCTGAAAGTGCATTTGATTGGTGGAATTAAGTCACATGACATTGAATCCGTTTGTAACATTTTGTTGAAAATAATTCCATTGTAAATGATTGACGTCATACATCATGCAATTTGGTTCCATTTACCATGCATTTTTCATTCGTTTCGTTCCATTGCACGCACGCCTCGATATCGATCGCGAAGCTGCTATACGAGATTGACCGTACCTGACCGACCTGACCGACCGTACCTGACCGACCGTACTGACGCTGTGCCACTGTTCGACCAGTTATATAATGTTTTTTAACAACTTTGGACTTGAACTTTGAACTTGTTGTGTTTACAACTATTTGGAATGGAACTTTTACTCCCTGTTGGATTTGTAATATGTTGTGGATGGCCATGGAAATGAAGTAAATTTGAAGGCAACCTTAACTATTTTTAAAATATGATATCAAATGACAAGGATCTATTTAGGTGTTCAACAAATAGTGAATGTTTTTTCTACGACTCGTTGAATGGAACAGTCAATCTTTCGCCTCATGAAAATATTCCTCCTTGGCAATTATTTCTTGGCAATTGTTTCTTGGCACTAGTTTCTCGGCACTGCTATATTCGAGTGTTCAGCTTGTGGGTTTTTTGTTTGCACATTCGCCCTGAACAAGGCTAAACGCAACTACAGGTACAGGGCTGTACAAGGGATATAAAAAGAGTAGGTACTCAGGGAAACTGAAGGTAGGATTTAAAACTCTTCTTGAAGCAGGTTAGATCAAAGGTTGGAGGGAAACAAGCACCAGGCAAGGAGTTTCTAAGAGATGCAGGACGTGGGAAAAAGCTAAAATCATTAAAAAAAGGTAATATCATTTTGTTCTAAAGGGTGGTGCAAAAAGAAGGAAACCCACTTTTGACAGAACTTTTAACCTACTTATACTTATATTTAAATTATTTGAACTGTTTTTTAATAATGTAGTGAGTATAGCTCTTCCATCTTTACGTGGTGAAAAAATCGCAAGAATAGTGTTATTATGCTAATTTGAATACAAGTCACCAAATCACTGTTGTCCACGTGTAAGTGAAGTGTTTTGTGTCTTCAAATCAAGCCCCGGAGCTCAGTCAAGCGAATGGAATGAAGCCGTCCGTGGACAAACAGGTTTGGCACATGAAACGTTTAAACTGCCATATCTCAGAGACAAAATATGCATATGCAATAAGTTTTTCGTCACTTATGTTTTAAGATCAATTTTTAATACCATTAAATTGACTTTGTGAAATATGCTTAACAAGTAGGTGAAACTTGCTGTCAAGAGTGGGTTTCCTTCTTTTTGCACCACCCTGTACATCTACAATCCCGGCCAAAATAGTTTGGACACTTCCTGAGCCTGCCACGGTCACCCACTCCCCCGCTCCCCCGGTCAATGTTGTTCTCTGCAGCTGATGGAGCACACACCGCGCAATGAGAGACAACGTTGAACGGGGGCCGGGGGGCAGCGAGATTTGGCCAGGATCATAGGTACTGCAACAGTATATAGATGAGAACAGGCAGAAAGCCGAGTATAGTCATAATCGTAACTTGGTGCAGCTTTAACGGAGTTGCCCCAAGTTCGACCCTCCCCCTCCCAGCCCTGCGGTGTTCCGGTGCTCTCATCTCTCCGTCTCGCATCAGCTGGCTACGGACAAGCTGAAATCACATTACTCAGAGACACAACTTCCTTTATATCTCCTCGCTGATGTGACTTCCATCAACTTATTACACTTCATCCTGCTCATTATCTTTTCTGGCGCCATGGACGCAAATTGTATCGGCAAAACTGCTGCTGTTATAGGTCACTGTTTGTTCCAGAGGAAGTAGGAGTAATTGTCAGGTTCCATCTTTTCATAAGCCTTGGGGCTATTTTTTGGTTCATTGCCATATTGTCGTCAAAAGTAGCATTGGATTACGGTCCACAGGGACCCTTCGCCTTTGTTGGACTATAGCCATTCGGCAAAATCAGGTTTTACATTTGGAAGTGATCAAGTGAATATGATACAATAACTTTGGGGTGAAACTTCCTCTTTATTAGAGAGTGCACAGAGAGATTGAGCGATTCATTCTCAAAAAAAAAATTTTCAGGACAACTCCTCTCACAATTCATCGATTGCAGAATAATAGCAAAGTTACTGTAGGAGGCAGGGCAAGACTATTCACTCTTGACATTATAAAGTATGTTATTTTAACATTGGAAGCAGAAGGTGTTTAAATATTTAGGTTATGATAAGTGCCAGTTATCATGGTTATGAGAGTGTTCTGATGTGTTTTTTTTTAATGTGAGTTGTTTTCGCTTTGCTGGAATATCACTTACATATATTGTGACCCGTGGACAAAATTATAAAACTGTGTTTGTGTTTGAAAGTCCATAACTTGAAAAAAATACATGAGCGATATGAACGATTCTGGTACTAAAATGAAGCTTATTATTTGAGCTTTTACATCCGAGATCTTGAACGCGCTACATGCAGAACTTCTTTGCAAAAGAAAGAGGGTGCGCCATTTGGGTTTTCGTCTTTTTTTACTCAACCTGTATTTTGTCAATGCATTAACAATGACTATACAACCCCTCCCACTTAAGGAAGACTGCAGTGCGATCAATATACGATCTAAACGATCTATAAGCAACTGTTGACATGTTATAAAAACCTTTTATGTAGCAACAATCTGCTCCATCGCAAAGTTGTCTATATTTTCTGCATAAAGGCCCTTTATTGTGTGTAATTTAATAATTAAAAAAAATAGCAACTGATGGAATCAGTTACAACAGTAACAAGCGCTGCAAAAGCAAATTCCTATAAGGCATTCAACAAAATCGAAGTACCGTTCCAGGGCCACCGTAGACAAAAGACAGCAATTTCTTGAACTGTATTAAAGTGTCTCGACGCCATACACAAAACACATTGCCTCCAATACAATGGCAAAAACACCTCGCGACTCCACAGTTATCGCAATGCTTGCTCTAAAGCTATTTCAATAATAAATTGTATTTTATAGACTGGGCTTTTTATAGGGCATACAAGTTGAATGTATAAGAAAAACACACACACAAAATTGAAAATGTTAACTGGCAAATGGCCTCTTTGCACCCGGGGAAGAGATACATGTAAAAACAAAATTGTTCAAATCTTACTTCCTCAAATTACCATCATCAATTTATGTGAAGTCACACTATTGTCAAAAGTAGAGATTATATTTTTACGAATTAAAAGCTTTACTAAGGGAATAAATGTTTAATTGGGCGGTATTAAACACTCTGTTGAAGACCGGTTGGAGTCAGGATGCTAATAACTACCCCAGCCGAGCCGAACTGAAGGTGATTGTGAATTTCAAAATGCTATTGTATTGAACGGGACTTCATTTTAGAGAGCATTATTGGCCAAACACTTGACTTTAGAAAGAAACAAAATGGGACTTTACAAAGGTACTTTTTTTATAACAAATAAAGACTGTTCTAATACATTTAGCATCAATGACTTACCAGCAAAGAAACAGTATAAGCGTCTCACCGGCCATCGCCCGCGTCGTGAACAGGTGCACCGTCGAGTACCTCCGTGTTCGATTTCTGACTCCGGAAGTCCCGGTAATCGATACTGCCGATTCCGCTTTGCCATTGTGAATTTTCGCATAGCCGTTGCCCGCGTGGTTTTCGTCCTTGGACTTGGACGCGTTATCGACGAGTGGAATGTCTTTAGTTTTGTCGGTTAAACAACTCAAGACCTTCGCGTAAGGCAGTTTGTTGGACTTTGCAATTTTCATGATGATTTTTTCGGCCTCCTTGATCCTTCCCTTTTGCACCAGCCACCTGGGAGATTCCAGACAAAACCTTCAGGGGAAAATATATGAAAGATAATATTAATGCTTTCATTAGTTGATAAATGAATGATAATACGAAAGGAATAATACTACACTGCAAAAAAGTCCGGGTCATTAGATTTGACCCGGAATCCGGGTTCCACTTGACCTGATATTTTTCAGGGTCAAATGACACTTTCTGGATCTTTTCCCGAGTCATTCTGACACGAAAAGGAGTCTTTTGACGCGAAGTATGAGGTCAAAAGAAGACCCGGATTCCGGGTACACTCTAAAAACATCATGGTCAGATTGATCCGGAGTCTGGGTTCTATTTGACTCAACACTTTTTGGGGTCAAAATGACACTTTTCCGGGTCAAAATGACACTTTTCCGGGTCACAAAATGACACTTTGCCGGGTCAAAATGACACTTTTCCGGGTCACAAAATGACACTTTTCCGGGTCAAAATGACACTTTTCCGGGTCAAAATGACACTTTTCCTGGATCACAGTGACACTGGATCAAAATGACACAAGGAAAAAAATTACTATATAGGCACAATATAACCCAGTCAAGCCTGCCGCATGATCAGGTGGAAGTGGACCTGTTTCCCTTTGTTTGTTGAAGTGAGGAGGTGTGCGAACAGTCTGCAGGATGAAAAACAAGACCCGCCAAAGGGCGGAAATCTCCTCACAGAAGCTAAACATGTCAGGTCAGCCCATCGGCCAAATGACCAGACTCCCTCTTCTCAAAATGAGGAAAGCTTGGCGGAGGGATACATCCTGCAGTGGACTGCCATCCTGATCGGAACTGAATACAACAGTCAAACTTTTCTAACAGTCAATTTCACGTATATCATTTGCAGCTCTGACAAGAAATGAGTCCTGGACGGTGTGTTTGGGATATTTTGTACGAATTTGCAATGGAAAATACCCAATTCGTGTGGGCTTTGAAATGACTTGAAAACGTCAACTTCAGGGATTTACGTAAGCTCTGACAGTTTTGCGGACATTTGGAGTACACGAAAAGAATATGACGTAGGCCGTGCAGTGGTTCGATGAATGTATTCCGCGTGACCTACGATCTGCCAATCAAATGACAAGGATTTACTTTGGTGTTAAGAAAATGTTATATCAGCCATTCAAAAAGCAGGATATCACGTAATCAATTACCAGCGACGTTTAGCGGCTATCAGATAATTATGAGGAAATAACACAACATAAAACTTACGAGATCAACGGTATGAGTACGAAGCATGGCAGCGACATGGAGAGTTGAAAGTGTCTCCAGTTGGGGAAGGAATAGGCAAGTGGGCCTACTAGCACCACCCCAAAGCCGTACATGATTCCGTTGACGGCGTGGCCTTTCATTCGTTGGCTTGTGGTACACATCTCTATGGACCGGACGTAGCCGATGAGTGCAACACCCTATGAATGAGATATAATACATCATAAACTATTAAGCCACAGTCACACATTTACGGTTTGGAGCTATGAATATTATACGGTTTACCAAGAGTCAATCGATTTCGATGAACCGTCGGGATTCATGGAGAAATCGACTTTCTAAGAATGCACTACGACTGTCATAGTTTCTGTACGAATACACCACGGTTTGTCAAGAATATGGACGGATTGGTGAAGAACTAAGAATAATGACGTTAACGCAACGGTTGTCTGCGATTGGGTCAAGGATGACCAAGGTTCTCCTATATACGAATAGTCAAGAATACAACTTTAACAGAACCCTAGCACATCTGGGCATATCCGTAGGACATTCGTAGCGAATTTGCAGAGATTTCTACCACGAATGAGCTACGAATATTCAAGAATATGTACGAATAGCCCCGAATAACACTGCGAATCATTAGGGTTGTCCTACGGATGTCACACGGTTGCACTACGGATTGATGTGCATGACCGTACATGACGTCTCACCACGGCAGTTTTGAACATATTTTTAAAACCTCTGTAGCCCCTCCATGAATACCCAAGAAAGATGACGGATAACCACGGATGTACTAAGGATGAATACGGTACTCCCACGGATTATCACGAATTTCAAACCGTGGAGATCCGTAGCTCCAAACCGTATATGTATGACTGGGGCTTACAGAGCACTGTGCACCAATACAAACAATGCTTTTGAAATCTACTTTTCTCAGAAATAATTAGGCTCCCTGTTATAAATCAGGACGACAAAAACCATCAGATTGAGGGGAACACAATAAGAGTTTATTTCCAAAACGCGACACTTCCATTAATTTCGAAAAAGGTGAAATTTTTGGACGGTTATGAAACTTTAAAGAATAAAGCTATATATCAGCTGTTTCTGAACTTCATGTTTCGCTTCATTGCATTCTTAAGTTGCGTTTAAGTATAAAACAGCCGTAGAGAGCAGGATTCTAAAAGGGAACAGAATGGCGTATGTCGCGTTTTGGACATATACTTGGTTGTTGGCGTGCAAAGTACATGTGCAGAGTATAACTAGGCAGCATTTTCTGTAAGATATTGCGGACACAATAGGAGGGCTCAATTTGGATTAGGTAACTTCCGAAAGAGTTTACCCACTTAAAATAGCGCCCTCCCAGTCCTATTTTGTCCAGCACATCTATTATTATTATTATTATTATTAATCATTTCTGGTAATGAAACCAAGGATTCCTCAAAAGCGCCCTAGGCACTGTAGCTCGCAAGCCTGAAGAAACCTGTGGAGAGAAGACAATGAGAAGAAGTTACAGTTTTAGAGGCGGGAGGAAAAGCCCAGAAGAATATTCTGGGGAAAACCCACGGAATCAGGCAGGGACTGAAAACCCAATCCACATATTGGCCCAGGCGGGATTCGAACCCGGGTCACAGCGGTGGAAGGCGACGAAAGTACCGCTACGCCAACCTGACTCCCCATCTAAACAAAGGCTGATGTGGAACCCTAGACTGGTTCCCGGTCCCTCCATTGTCATTCGGACTTCGAATGTAGGGACAGGTAGCTAGCAATGAACCCTGAATACTTTAGGTTTTCCTTCTAATATATGCAAATAATATGCAGGACTAGCCTAGATCTCATCCCCGCTCCCTAAATACAAACTATCAGCCAATTGCAAAATGGCAACTGTACGGCTACCAGTTATGTGCAGTTTGTGTGTGATGAGCTTCGATTCTCGCTGAATTTAGTGTCTCGTTCAACTCTATGCAGTTGAAATGCTTGAAAGTTGCCGTTGAGGCACTGGCGATTTTGCCTACTTGGAAATATGGCAAGAGTCAGTTTTTTATAGCCATGTGTTCAAGTGTCATCTATGCGCGAAGTTGTAATCGTCATTTTCAAAAATATACAATCATACTGCGCACGCGCAGAGGTGATCCAATCAATGTATTTTAAATGGGGACTAGCTACCGGTCCTCATATAGACCTTTCTGCGCTAGGTTAGCAAACTGCATTTTTGCCAACCAAGGCCTGCAAAACTATGGAAGGTCCAACACTGCAAAAATGAACGAGAGTTATTACAGATCACCAAAATATTATTTGATACTTGAAAATACAACATTTTCAACAAAGCTACAAAATAATTCCTACATGTGCCTTTTTACAATGTGTTGATGGCGTTGTGAGGACTTTTTTAGAAAAATGTGTTGCCAACCACGGCTTCAATTTATGCGCTTACGGCAGCCCATACAAAATGGCGCCAATGTTTACAAACAAAAGAAAGGCCTATTTTATGGGGACGGGGGAGGGGACCAGTCTAACGTCGACCCATTCAACCGTTTGCCCTACACTCCACATGCATTGTGTGATCGACTGTTCCTGTTTGCGTAATTTTTTTTCCTAGGAGGGTTAGGGGCAATGTCATGAATAATTCAGTTTTTCCTTTGAATCATTGCAAGACTTAGGTTCTCGTTCTATTTTCCCCTCAATTTAAAATTATTTCAGTGATAAATTTGGAGAAGAAAAATAGTTGATGAAAATGAGCAGCGACGACGTGGATTCGAACCAGGGATCTTTGTATCCATAGCTCATCTCGCTATCCACTAGGCTACTGTGTGGTAGCTCGACGACAACCGTTCTTTAAAACTGCCTAATTTATTGTAACTAGTTGAGTAACTAACAACAATGCTGTTGATGTCATTGTCTGTTCTCATGGATAAACATGGATTATTCATGACATTGCCCCTAACCCTCCTAGGAATAAAAATTACGCTTCCTGTTTCCTTTCCCACATTTCCCCCTCTATTCCCCGCAGCGAATAACAGCGTCACTTGTTTGTCGCGCAACTGTAGCCGTGGATACGAGGCGGCTGTTGTATCTATCTGCGTGCGGGTATCGCTGGCCATAACTTGTCGAACTTATCAATATTGCACGCTCTGTGGGAGTGAAACGTTTACGTGGCCGGACGGTAGCGGGTACGGGTAGGCTATGCACGGCCAGCGATGATCGCACATGCACTGATACAGCACTGCACATTGCATTCAAGCTACCTAGCTATACGCAATTGTGGATGATTATACAAAAAACTGTTTTGCTTTTTATTTTTTCAAGCGAGGCGGTAGTAAAAAAAGCTCGACTTGTTTGTCGCGCAACTGCGGATAATCGTACACAAAACTGTTTTGAATGTTTTTCAAGCGAGGCCGTATCTACAGTAAAGAAAGAGTGACTCGTTTGTCGCGCAACTGCGGATAATCGTACACAAAACTGTTTTGAATATTTTTCAAGCGAGGCCGTATCTAGAGTAAAAATATATTAAGTAACACTTAATGAAATTTATGGATGAATGGTCATTTAATTGAGTGCGCCACAACCCAACAGGAGTTGTGGGCTGCACATGGCACTTACAAAAGAATCACAGGGAACAAAGCAGAAAGCTGAATCCCATTTAGTACGTGGTTACATAACCATGAAAATGCAAATCATAAGTACAATGGAAAAAGCACTGAAGCCTGTACAACCAAGACGTACAGGGAGACATGTGAAGCTTCAGTAATAGTTGTGCCTGCAACAAGACAGCAGCCATTGTCTGCTTTGCAGATTCAAATTTTCACCGCCGCCGCCCCACCGTCCACTCACAAAAGCTATTATAATCAGCATCACCTGGGGGCAGGAGTTCTTAAGGTGTAAATTTATAAGAATTAAGTTGCAATGAGTATGCGAGGAAAAATAAGTTCAAAGGAAATGACAGATAAAGGTTAAATTAAATATTATGATTAAAGCTCACGACAATAATTACTTGATTTAAAACGTTTTGGTAGTTGACAAGGCATAACGTCAGCAGGTCTTTAACCAAATAAAATTGTCATCTGGTATTTTCAAACTATCGAGATGAAAGTAAACAGAAGAAACTTGATGATTAACAATGGTGAATAATCTTATAAATCAGATTAAATTATGTAGGTATTCTATGTATTAAAAAAGCTAAAGCAAAAGATGTGATTTAACTGTAAGGTATTAATGTAGTGAAAGTTATATTTAAGAATTATGAAAGGACTCCTTAACCCCACAAGTCATGCTGTAATTCAAAATTAATTATTTGGTGAAAAAATGACCAGAAAGATAGAAAGAGTGACTCGTTTGTCGCGCAACTGCTGATAATCGTACACAAAACTGTTTTGAATGTTTTTCAAGCGAGGCCGTATCTACAGTAAAGAAAGAGTGACTCGTTTGTCGCGCAACTGCGGATAATCGTACACAAAACTGTTTTGAATATTTTTCAAGCGAGGCCGTATCTAGAGTAAAAATATATTAAGTAACACTTAATGAAATTTATGGATGAATGGTCATTCAATTGAGTGGCCACAACCCAACAGGAGTTGTGGGCTGCACATGGCACTTACAAAAGAATCACAGGGAACAAAGCAGAAAGCTGAATCCCATTTAGTACGTGGTTACATAACCATGAAAATGCAAATCATAAGTACAATGGAAAAAGCACTGAAGCCTGTACAACCAAGACGTACAGGGAGACATGTGAAGCTTCAGTAATAGTTGTGCCTGCAACAAGACAGCAGCCATTTTCTGCTTTGCAGATTCAAATGTTCACCGCCGCCGCCCCACTGTCCACTCACAAAAGCTATTACAATCAGCATCACCTGGGGGCAGGAGTTCTTAAGGTGTAAATTTATAATGAATTAAGTTGCAATGAGTATGCGAGGAAAAATAAGTTCAAAGGAAATGACAGATAAAGGTTAAATTAAATATTATGATTAAAGCTCACGACAATAATTACTTGATTTAAAACGTTTTGGTAGTTGACAAGGCATAACGTCAACAGGTCTTTAACCAAATAAAATTGTCATCTGGTATTTTCAAACTATCGAGATGAAAGTAAACAGAAGAAACTTGATGATTAACAATGGTGAATAATCTTATAAATCAGATTAAATTATGTAGGTATTCTATGTATTAAAAAAGCTAAAGCAAAAGATGTGATTTAACTTTAAGGTATTAATGTAGTGAAAGTTATATTTAAGAATTATGAAAGGACTCCTTAACCCCACAAGTCATGCTGTAATTCAAAATTAATTATTTGGTGAATAAATGATGAGAAAGACATAAAGAAAGAGTGACTGTTTGTCGCGCAACTGCTGATAATCGTACACAAAACTGTTTTGAATGTTTTTCAAGCGAGGCTGTATCTACAGTAAAGAAAGAGTGACTCGTTTGTCGCGCACTGCTGATAATCGTACACAAAACTGTTTTGAATGTTTTTCAAGCAAGGCCGTATCTACAGTAAAGAAAGAGTGACTCGTTTGTCGCGCAACTGCGGATGTAAACAAAACTGTTTTGAAACTATTTTATAGTTTTATAACGGTTTATAACCAAAAAAGTAGTCAATTTGGTTTACTCACGTATTAAAACAAACAAACAAACAAACAAACAACAAAAAGGGTCCTTCTCATTTAAAATGAATTCTTTAAAATTAACACTACAGTGATGGGGGCGGGGGTGTGGAACCTTCGTTCAAGTATTACCATGATGTGCGGAAGGGTGACACTGATGACCCACGGTATTTATAAGGATGAGGAATAAGCTCTTAATCAAGATGATACTGTTAGATGTTTTTTGTAGAAAAACAAGTGTTAAGTCGAGTCCGGGGTCCGCAAGTCCCTGCAAGTCCACCACAAGTCCTTCAATCTGAAGTCAAGTCATTAACTATTCAAATGAACAGTTACTCATATACTCCTTTTAAATTGTTCACCCCGCGACCTGTGGTGAACTCTGTACTACAACACTGAGGACACTAATGGCGTTTATGATGATGCCTGATGCTTCTGCTATTGTAGTGATCACAAGAAACTGACGACGAAGAGCACGACTACTAAAGTTTTGACGCAAACGGCGATGACAATGAATGTATAACGGTCATGCTGCGTAGACAAATGAGGGTGATGACATTGACCAGGATGACAGTGGTGACGACACATACAAGGACAATCACGAAATTGAAAACAAGAGGCAGTTACAATCCTCGAGCACAGGATGAGAATGTTGATCAGAATACTGACATTCAAAATCCTCACTGCCCCAACCAAATGACAAACCCTTTTCAAAGGATTGTTACTTCGTTGTTACAATGACAAGAAGCCTACGCCACAGAGAGGATTTTAGCGCGCCTTTTTTTTTTTTACTTGTGAATACCCACAAAATTCCATTCGTATACCTTTATTCTGTTTATAATCAAATGTTCACATTCAAACACGTCTATTTCCTCTTCATGACAGAAATGAAAAGTAACATAAGTACATGTATTGAACAAGTCATAAAGGCAGGTGGCAAAACCTTGAAAGCAATGTTGTGGCCAAACGTTTTCTTTCAAAACGTTACCTTCTCCGAATTCGCCTCGTGCAAGTTCTCAAAAATCCGCAAGCTTGGAGACCACCGGCAACATTGACGAAGCAATGTGCTTTTACTACAGGAAGGCCTTATCTATCCCGATTTACCCGCATTAGCTGTGGTAACCATGTAGATCGACAAATCAAAGAATAAAACGGAAAAAGAGATAGCTTAGTGTTTAGTTAATATACAAACTTCCATCAACTGTTAAAAACCGGAAGCAAACAAAACATTTGGTGCGTGGGTTCTGGTCATAGTGACAAGAACCTTCAAATGGTTCGGGGACCAGAGACGCGAAGACGAAGCTTAGCCGAGGTTTGAGAAAAAATAGTGACGAGAAATAACATGATGACGAGATGTAAACAAGACAGCGACAAGATTACAACTTGTCAGTTTGACAAGTGAATTCTTGTCACTACAGATACGTACACTCAAGATTTATCTTGTCAACAGCCTGACCAGTTTTTCTTTTCAGTGCAATTCATTAAAATGGAACAAGCAAAGAGAGAGAGAGTGTGTCCGCTGTTATGAGTCCAGTAAGGAAGGACATTTTAATGAATGTGCTAATGAATTGGGCAATTATACTGACTTGCAGTTTTACGAATTTAGACCTGTGAGGACCGTAGTTTTTCTTAAAAATTGGCGCTCGGTATATTAACTATAACAAAACTCAATCATGAGAAGAAAATGGGTTGTACCCGGAGAGCCGAGATTACGGTGTCGGCTCAAGTGTGATGGGTTGTGGGTTCGCAACCTGTCGAGAACATGGGGTTTGTGTGCTTTGGCATACACTTTACTACAATATTGCCTCTCTTCAGTATAAATGGGTACATGTGAATGTAGAGACCAGATTGCGCTGAACTCGAGCAGTGCAGAAAACCTGTCCAATGATTACCTGGTTAATGACTGTGCAACACTTTAAGAGGGGTCTACCCGATCATGTTCCCCAATACCTATGTTCCCCAATACCGATGTTCCCCGAAATACTTATTAGCTTAGGGTTAGGGTTTGGGTTAGGGTTAGGGTTAGGGTTATAGGGTAAGGATTTCGGGGAACATCGGTGTTAGGGAACATACTCCCTAAATTCCAAAGAGTGAAATTAGGGACTAGACGTTTTAGAGTGAAAATCACTTTCACTTTAGATTGAAAAAGTCTGAAAAAAGAACCACTTCAGTCGAAACTCGAGTGAAAACTCGCTCTTTACGATTAAAGGAATTTCACACTGTAACGTCTAGTCCCTAGTTTCCGACTGCATGACGGATCCAGCTCTTTAGGAGCCGACCCGACCAAACCTACCAACTGGTCGGGTCCTCACGCATACTTTTGGAGCTTTTCTAAAGGGAGAGTGCATGTGTGCCCCAGGGGATTAAGATTGTTATCACCACTAATCCTATAATGAGTGTGATAAGAGATCCTGCCTGAATGGAGTGAATTTTCACTCTTTGGAATTTAAAGAGTAGGTACTGGGGAACTTAATAGATATGCACCCCTTTAAGATAGTGGTATCAAGCGCTATATAATAAACACCACATTGCACCTACCGCGGTCCAAAACCCGATGGCAAAGAAGAGCACCGCGATCAGGTAGAAGTTCCATACGAAGCTGACGGCAGTACCGCAGACTCCGAGCCCGAGCAGCGAGACCGCCAGGCCAATCCGCCGGCCGTAGGTATCGGACAACTGGCCGAGAAGGAGCGAGCCGAAGAGGGTGCCGATGTGAGCGATGGACTGGATCGTGCCGCCCAGAAGGCCTCTCTCGCAAACTAAATCCAGCTGATCAAAAGCAAAAGAACACATTGATGAATTAAAATCACCGCAATCGATTAACGAATTCTTATAGTGCTCTGATTTGTGTGATCGATTTGTTGACGTTTCTTAATTTAATATGAGGATATTCGTCTTGGATTTATTTATTCAAACCAACTTGATAACCCTGTGACTTCTACCATTTTATATAAACCAGAATGGAATTGAAATTGAGTCACATTGGGAATGAAGAAATCTTACAAAATTCATGTGATCTTTAAACCTGAACGATAGACCTTCCGCGACAGCAGCTATCTTGAACAGAAACAAAGCACCCAATGACAGCTACCATGCGTACACATCGAAGTTAACCCTATCCAGAACAGGGGCAATTCGGTTGGGTTTTTTTCACAATATCTCCGGAGGACTTGAGCTGATAGGTACGACATTTGGAAACTTTGCCTAAATTTGTTGCAACATGATGAGGCCACCGATGTCGAAAGGACCAAAAATACCAAGGAGTTACAAAGCTCACAACTAAAAATTTATTTTACCACTTAGGCGCGATCGCCGTTCATTATGGGCAGGCCTTTAGCCAACCAATTAGCCAGGAGAAAAATAAATCACTTGTCAGTAATCAAATCCGAGTCGTCAATAATTCAATGAAACGGCTCACACTGTAAGCAATCACTAGCATGCTCGATATGGGTTGAATTCCATACACGGATTCCACTTATCTGTCATCAAACACATCAATTTTCACCTCACCTTGTGATTTCATTCAAGACAAAACCAGGAGGCCCCAGCAATGTGAATACATTTCAGGGGAAAAAATGTGTTAGAACACATTTTGGATGCACACATCGTAGGCACAAGACGTCTTAGTAGTCACATTGATAATGATTGAAGAGTCTGGAAGTCTAGCGGTGAGCATGATAATTAAAGCACTAGCCAATGACAGTGCAATACCTGATCAGGAATATTTAATTTCTCATGAATGTTCAGTTTATTAAATATTCATTAGTCTTATTTTAATGGAAACGTTAAATACGTTCAAAGACTCATCAACACCAACAAGCGCTCGTACGGTGTAGCGGTTAAAGCTGGTGTGTTTAAAAAAAACAGTCCGAGGATCGATTGTATGGATCTCCGTGAAGTAAGTAACTGATTAATAAAGAGGAATGGAGGAGAGGAAAGGGTAAGGGGAGGGAAAGTGGAGGAAATAATAACCATTCAGGATGCAACTTTTGGGAGCTAGCATTTATTGGAAAACAAGTGGAGTCCGTGTCTGGAATCCTTTCCCTTTGATGAAATTACACTGAAAAATTGCATGGGTTAATTTTACCAAAGAAAGGGTCAAAACTGGAACAACCCAAACTTGGGTTGTTTTATAACCAATTGTTTGGGTTAGAATTTCTGCTAAATTCAACCAAAACTTGTGGTCACTCAAGACCAAATTAACCAAATTTAATTTGGTCTTGTATGACTACAACTTTTGGTTGAATTTAACATAAATTATAACCGAAACAATTGGTTATAGAACAACCCAAGTTTGGGCAGTTCCAGGTTTCACCCTTTCTTTGGTAAAATTAACTCAGGCAATTTTTCAGTGTACATTTCCCTGATCATCTCTTATGCAAAAAAAACAACCCAGATCCACTCACGTCAGTTACAACACTTGTTTCCCCGTGTGTCGACTCGTACTCCCATCCATATAAACACGTTGTCAAGTCTGGTGTAACACTTCCATTGCGGACCTGATACAGATGACACCGATCGTAAACGTCGCCGTCTTCGAGGTACGGCACCGTCTCGTTCACGATGAACCCCGGAGGCGGGGCACACCGATATCCGTCGGGCTGGCCCACCGTGAGCGCCGGTCCTATCATGTGGATAGGTGCCAGTAAAGTTGTCAGGCTGTACAGAAAGAAATTCACCCTCTGCAATGGACCGAAGCGGCCCTGATATTGGAGAACTGCGTTGACATCCATACTCGACTCAGGCGGCTGCAAAATCACACACACAAGAAATGAAAAAGCGATTACATGTAGGCCTAATGGTCTTGTGTAGGTACAGGCAGAGCCAGACGAAGTAAAGGATAATGCCTGAGGTACGCGACATTCGTGGGTAAGAATGGCCCGAGTTTAAATGACAATAACGGCTGAAATGCGTACCTAAACAACGAGAAAATCCTCTGTTAAATAACATGATTACTGGTGAAATTATTCTGCCTGAAACGTTGTTATTCGAAAGAAAATAATTGTTGAAGGTGGTTTGTTTTACTTGCGTTAGCGAAGCGGTCACGAGACCTCTAGCCTTGACCAATGCTGTCAAGCCAAGCTTTTTCCCTGAACTGTCCGGCAGCCGTTTTACCCTACTTGTCACGGCAACGTACGCCGCTCGCAGCCCCCGGCCGCGTAATTTTTTTTCCTAGGAGGGTTAGGGGCAATGTCATGAATAATTCAGTTTTTCCTTTGAATCATTGCAAGACTTAGGTTCTCGTTCTATTTTCCCCTTAATTTAAAATTATCTCAGTGATAAATTTGGAGAAGAAAAATAGCTGATGAAAATGAGCAGCGACGACGTGGATTCGAACCAGGGATCTTTGTATCCATAGCTCATCTCGCTATCCACTAGGCTACTGTGTGGTAGCTCGACGACAACCGTTCTTTAAAATGCTGTAATGTATTGTAACTAGTTGAGTAACTAACAACAATGCTGTTGATGTCATTGTCCGTTCTCATGGATAAACATGAATTATTCATGACATTGCCCCTAACCCTCCTATGAATAAAAATTACGCCCCCCGGCCCCTGGCTAGCTAGCTCCGCTTGCGGCGCCTGTACTGCGCGCGCGATGTGCTCCTAACACAAATCCGCACACGGACGTACGTACATGTACATGTACATGTACAGTACATGTACATGTACAGTATACAGTAACCATGCCGTGGGAGTCGCACGGAAGACAGCCTTGATGCAACCGTTTCTGCTCATATGTGCATCAGAAATTTTCGACCGATATTGGCCGAAAACGTAAAGAAACACATAAGAAATTGGCGACGGTTGCGTCAAGGCTGTCTTTCGCCTCGACTGCGACTGCGTATTGGTTACTGCATGGGGTGCACGTAGTACGTACGTACGTAGGTACTGTATACGTACCGGCAAAGCGCGCGGCGTACGTGTGCCGTGACAAGTACAGTACAGGCAAGCGAAGCTAGCCAGAGGGCTGCGAGCGGCGTACGTTGCCGTGACAAGTAGGGTAAAACGGTTGACGGACAGTTCAGGGAAAAAGCTTGGCTTGACAGCATTGGTCAAGGCTACGAGACCTCATGCGTTTTCTCAGTGTTCGCAAAGTGTGTATGGTATCTTCAATCAAGCGCTTCTTATGCACCCTTCTAAACGTTTTGAGCACTTTGTTGTTTCAAACAAACAAAAAGTGCACACAGGCGTCCTGTGTACGTTAAAGCAAGTTACGAATCATGAAACTGCGGGTTTTTTTCAAAATTCTCAAAACTAATACAAGTAATAAAGAGGCGTTGTTGCACAGTTATACGGTACGATGGATTTCCATGGATTACAGTGAAGCAAATACTCAACGCATTGTTCACCTCACTTTGTTTAAACAGACATTAGGCCAAAAAAAAAAATAAGTCGGTCTCTGGTCAGCGCGCGCGTCAATTTTAATCATGCGCGTCGATCTTTTTTTTTTCCAAAATGTTCCGCGGTAGCTCCAACAGCGCCCTCTATTTCCTTACCTCCTCAATTTTTTTTACCAAAGAGCACCAAGGAATGGGAAATTGCAACAAGGCAAATGATCGAAAGCACCAAGGCAAATTATGGAGGACACCAATGTACATGAGGACACCAAAAAAGCAAAATAGTACCCACCTTGTCTGTACAATCCAAGCTTGAAGAATAATAAAAAAAAAAGCCGCGTGGCCGCGTCAATTCCGGAACTTTTGTCTGACCAGAGACCGAATATATATTTTTTTTTGGCCTTATGACTGTTTGATTAAGATAGATGTTTGTAAAGCAAATAGGCTACAGCGGAGTGTCGGTCACTATGCGCTCCTAAACTATTTAAAAAGAAAATCAGCCGTAATTTCGTTTTAAGCTTGAGCAAATCTCCAGGATTATGATTATGCCAGTCTAGTTACAAAACAGAGACCCTGAGTTGAGGAGAGACTTACGGAAGTTTATTATTCAAGTTCATTGCAACATGATCATATAGCCTTGAACTCATCAATGAATGGTCGTCCCGACTCGTTTGAGGTGGTTCCCATTGATGAAGTGCATGGCTATAAGTATTTGACTAATGAAACGTGATTACAATTTCGACAATGAAAAGAGATTACATGTAAAAGAGAAGAAAACAATTCCTCACTCGGTATGGTGGTTGTAGAAGCTCGCTGCTACTCTTCTGTGTTCGTCACATGGAGCATTATCATGCGAGCAAGGACGGGTTGTGTCAACACGAACTATTCACCACCGGCAAGTGCAGAATCAGGACCGGAGTGCGTGCGCCAGCATCTGAATGGCTAGTCGAGTTTGCTGTCCTTTCCACCGTGGTGTTATCTAGACTGGGGCAAAGGGTGTCGGGCAGTCCGATTGTTCATAATATCAGGCGAACTACTTATCAATGCCATCATCACCCTTTGCGAAACACGCATTGCCAAATAATAGCCTGCAGACCTAGACTGCCAAATAATAGCCTACAGGCCTCGACTACCGACCATAGTTGGGACCAACTATAGTTGGGACCGAAACCATAGTTGGGGTGTAACAACTTTAAAAGAAATATCTGCCTGAAGACCATCCAAAGCTACTTTATAAGTGGCATCCAATGTGCATTTAATAGAGGTTCTCGTTATCTTGTGAAAGCATGCACCTTATCAACAGGTTTTGGTATTGACCCAAAATAAATACAGGTCAATGCATCGAGAAATCCACCCCGAGGGAAAGACTGGAGAAGGGGGCACAGACGTCCAGCGGGGGTTCTCTCATGGTCCCCGCCTCTCACCTCTACTTCTCATAGTACTGCGCCGGTGACTCGTATACAGGGTGTATCAAGAAAAAGTTTACATTCAGAAAAATGTCCCAAAAATGCATTTTTTTTTATTTTCTTGGACTATGGCTCCATAATGGATACAAGACCGTTCAGGCTTTAAAATGGCTCTACGATCATTGCGGGCACACTTCATGGATACATTGCAACCCTTGTCCGAAACGGCTTGCGCACAAAAACGCGGTGTTTTTTTTACTGGATCAAAGGCAATAAGAGAGAAATCTATCATGTGCCTATTTAGTCAACATTGACTGTGAAATCGAAATTATAGGTTAATATCAACATGACCACAGACTTCCGCCCTCCTCAACATGTCTTTTACGGCACGCCTGGCCATTTGTCTCGTATTGCCTTTGATATAGTTTAAAAAAGAAAAAACGCATTTTTGTGTGCAAACCGTTTTTGACACGATTTCTGCAAATGTATATCCTGAACAGTCATCCATGAAGTGTGCCAAATGATCATGGTGCCATTTTAAAGCCTGAATGGTTTTTATGGAGCCATATTCCAAGAATATTAAAAATTGCATTTTGGGGATATTTTTGTAAATGTATTCCTTTTGTATACACCCTGTAGTGCGGGAGAGCCAGATTCAGAATTTCAATTTCAATCGTAACATTATAAAATCCCCTGTTAAATAGCGTAATTACCGGTGAAATTATTCCGCCTGAAACAGTGTTAATCGGAAGAAAACAATTATTGAAGAATTTGTTTTACGTGCGTTAGCGACGCGGTCACGAGACCTCATACGTTTTCTCGGTGTTCTCAAAGTGTGGATAGTATCCGCTGACATTTATCTTCAATCAAGCAATTCTTATGCACCCTTCTAAACGTTTTGAGCACTTTTATTGTTTCAAACAAACAAAAAGTGCACACAGGCGTCCTGTGTACGTTAAAGCAAGTTACGAATCATGAAACTGCGGGTTTTTTTCAAAATTCTCAAAACTAATACAAGTCATAAAGAGGCGTTGTTGCACAGTTATACGGTACGATGGATTTCCATGGATTACAGTGAAGCAAATACTCAACGCATTGTTCACCTCACTTTGTTTAAACAGACATTTGGACTGTTTGATTAAGATAGACATTGTGGTTGTTAAGCAAATAGTTGGTCTACAGCGGAGTGTCGGTCACCGCTATGCGCTCCTAAACTATTTAAAAAGAAAATCAGCAGTAATTTCGTTTTAAGCTGGAGCAAATCTCCAGGATTATGATGATGCAGTCTAGTTACAAAACAGAGACCCTGAGTTGAGGAGAGACGCACGGAAGTTTATTATTCAAGTTCATCGCAACATGATCATATAGCCTTGAACTCATCAATGAATGGTCGTCCCCGTCTCGTTCGACTATGTGGTTCCCATTGATGAAGTGCATGGCTATAAATATTTGACTAATAATACGTGAATACAATTTTGTAAATGAAAAAAAATGACATGCATATGAAGAATTTCCTCACTCGGTTTGATGGTTGTGTAGAAGCCAGCTGCTAATGTTCTGTGTTCGTCACATGGAGCATTATCATGCGAGCAAGGACGGGCTGTGTCGACATGAACTATTCACCACCGGCAAGTGCAGAATCAGGACCGGAGTGCGTGCGCCAGCATCTGAATGGCTAGTCGAGTTTGCTGTCCTGTCCACCGTGGTGTTATCTAGACTGGGGCAAAGGGTGTCGGGCACTCCGATTGTTCATAATATCAGGCGAACTATACTTATCACTGTCATCATCACCCTTTGCGAAACACGCAGTGCATCAGCCAAATAATAGCCTGCAGACCTAGACTGCCAAATAATAGCCTGTAGACACGCCTCGACTACCTGTATAACAATTCGCATTGCACATTAAAATGCATTGCAGTTAATGTGGCTGTTTCCTATGGAACGCCAAAGCCGCCTTCTATAGTTCGATTTCATTCCATAATCAATTTCATTATTCCATTCGGCGATTTCATCATTCCATTCGGCGATTCCATCATTCCATTCGGCGATTTCATCATTCCATTCGGCGATTCCATCATTCCATTCGGCGATTCCATCATTCCATTCGGCGATTCCATAATTCCATTCGGCGTTCATCCTTTCATTCGTCTATTTCGCATTTGATTGAGCCATTCCACATTTCATTCAGCAATTTTGCCCCTTTTGCACTTCATGCTATTCTGCATTTCGCATTTCATGCAGCCATTTCGCATATCATGCAGCTATTCCGTATTTCATTCGGTCCGGCAGCGTCCATCCGTACGGAAGCGTTAAAGGGACATAAGACAAAGTAAAAAGAAAAGAAGTCTTAATTATGACTTATTATTAAAGGGAATGTACATCTGTTCATTGGTTATTGCTGTAATTCTCAGAAATGAACTATTTGAGGGGTTACTATGATCGATCAAATATTGTTCCACTGATATGTTTGAAGTTTTGTGTTCGAAAATGCTGGAAAACCAAGAAAAACACAAATGGTGGAGTAGTCTGGTTCCCTGACTCCACTAAAGATAAAATGGATCAATTTATAGGTGCCGGTGTGGACGGTAATTCTGTCCCCCGGTAAAAGTGTCCGGGGGGACAGAATTACCTAGGTAAAAGTGTCCCCCCTGTCCCGTTAATTCTGTCCCCTCCAGGTAATTCTGTCCCCTCCAGTTAATTCTGTCCCCCCTGGTTTTGCACGCATAAGTTGTTATATTGATGTTGTTATAATGAATTCAGCGCACAGGGTATACATTTTTAGATTTTTCCACCCTTCATCAATAATTATCAAAATGAAATTAACGTTTAGATGTTAATCAACCGATCTATGTTTCTGCAAGAAGGCACGCGTAGTAATACTCAACCTATCGCTAGCACGCCCTCGCGCATCAGCCGCCGATATGCGTGTGACTGTCATACTTCAATGAGGAGAATTGGCAAAATTATACGCGACACGGGTCACCGCGCCGCAGGCCTGCTGCTGGTGCACTGTTGTCCCCGTCCAAGACCGCGGCCCTGGCGCGGCCCGTAGGTGCGGTACACTTGCGCGCACGCCCACCATGCAAATCGTTCGCTCCCGAAGTCGTCATCAAAACGGGAGTTGTGCTTTTATGACGTAAGCACCATTCCCGAATTTAGCAAGGCGCCGAGCAAAAACAGTAAATAACTTCACTAATATACAGTCTGGGTGCTAGACTTGTGACGTTGCACGGGGACACATTTACCAGGGGGGACACATTTAACGTCGTGCAGGGGGACAGATTTACCTAGAGGGGGACAGGTTTACCTAGGTAAAAGTGTCCCCCCGGACAGAATTACCGGGTAACGACCCGGTAGATCTGTCCGGGGGGACACATTTACCAGGGGGGACAGAATTACCTGCCACACCGGAAATTTGTAAGGTAGGGGAACCAGTCTGGCTGGCCTGCATCCGTTCATGAACATGTAACTAATAGCAAACAAAATTTGGACTGAAAAAAATGGTGAAGTTAGAGCAGTAGTTGAAAAATAGTTAGGTTTTTCCAACGGTGGTCGGCCGACCACTGTCGTAATAGTCGTAATTATAAGATATAAGCCATGACTTAATAATAAGTCATTATTATAAGATCAGTCAATAATTAAGTCAATATGCTTTAATAATAAGTCATAATTATGAGATATTAGTCATAATTATGATTTAACAATTACGAAGTCGTAATTATGAGATATATATCATAATTATGACTTAACACTAAGTCATTATTATAAGATATAAGTCATAACAATGACTTAATAATAAGTCCTAATTATGCCTTTTTTTCTTGTTTTTTACTTTGTGTTATGTCCCTTTAACGCTTCCGTACGGATGGACGCTGCCGGACCGAATGAAATGCGGAATAGCTGCATAAAATGCGAAATAGCTGCATGAAATGCGAAATGCAGAATAGCATGAAGTGCAAAAGAGGCGAAATTGCTGAATGAAATGTAGAATGGCTAAATCAAATGCGAAATAGACGAATGAAAGGATGAACGCCGAATGGAATGATGGACTCGCCGAATGGAATGATGAAATCGCCGAATGGAATGATGAAATCGCCGAATGGAATGATGGAATCGCCGAATGAAATGATGAAATCGCCGAATGAAATGATGGAATCGCCGAATGAAATGATGAAATCGCCGAATGAAATGATGGAATCGCCGAATGGAATGATGAAATTGATTATGGAATGAAATCGAACTATAGAAGGCGGCTTTGGCGTTCCATAGTTTCCCGTGTGCGATGGTTTTTTTCCGCATCGGCGGTAGAGGGGGCGTTATGTTAGAGGTCATGGACACAGCCCCAAAACATGTGGGGTTTTTTTCCGATTCAAGGAACAATACCATAGGCGTAGCCAGCTGGGGGGGGGGGGTATATTTTGTAAAGACTGCCTTTTTCCATTCAAATGCCCTTTTTTTTCAACGGGCTTAATTACCCCCCCCCAAAAAAAAAATTGTTAAAGACGGTGCCCTTTATTTACGAAGTGCCCTTTTTTCTGAACAAGTACCCTTTTAAAAAAAGAAGTGGTGCTCTTTTCTGTGGCATCTGTCGTTTTGGGTGCCTTTTGTTCTAAATTTCGCACATGTATCGCCCTGAAAAGCACCATATTATTGGCCCTTTGTGTGCATAGTTGTCGGTTTTGAACAGCGCCCCCATCGACAGACGGTACCAGCCCCTTACGAAAATACCGCATTGTGCCATGCCTATGTATGTGTTTTTATGATAACACATAAATTTGCCTACCCACACACACTCCCAAACGCAGAAAATCAGTTTTTATGATGTTTTAGAGTCTATCTCAGAATTTTTAATTTCACCAACTGACGCTGTACAGCATGTAGGCGTACATAATAGGCCCTACAAATGTACATGTTAAAGTATGTCGTTCTGAAGCACGGTGCCAACCATGGGCGTCGATCGGTGGGGGACGGGAGACATGTCGCCCCCCCCCCCCCCCCCAACTATTCAAGTTCGTCCTCGAATAAAAAAACTTGTGGCTTGCATTTGATTCTATAGCTCAGAATAGCTGATTCAATGACTCCAAACTCGAAAATGATGATGCACTTTTTCTTTAACGGTTAAAGTGATCAGAAATTGCCTCAGATCGCATCACAGATCGCATCCTTAAGCAGGCCCCGAACCCTCGCCGTGTTGGCTTCGCACTCGCATTAGCACTGATCTAAGATACACGTGTATGTTATAACATGTACACCTCCACCCCACTTTTGAGAAGCGATTGACGCCCTTGGTGCCAACATGCTTTTATAGAGCTAGTACCTATACCAGTTTGGCATGTCGTAATTTGTACAGTGCTTTGTACTTTGAATTTGGTGCCGGTGCCTAGGGGCAGAGTTGGGCCTACGGAACATGCACTGGTGCCTAGGGTCTACGAAACACTTAATCCTGGCCTGGAGCCAGGTGAGGACGGGACGAGAGCCACTTGGCTATTGGGCACATGCAAACAAAGCATGACGTCATTTTGTCTGAGGTCTATTGGTCCTATAATTCTTCGTTTTTCGAAAATGACAACATACTAAGAGCAAACGAGGACGCGTGATCGTTATTATTTATTTACAGTCATGCAGGATATTTCATGACATTTTAACAGTTTCATTTTTTAATTGTTAGAAATGGTGTCCATTATATACCTTCGAAGCTTCGAACAAGAGAATATACCGTTATCATGCTGCCGCCATTTCAGTCATGTTCCCTGTATCCAATAACAATATTGAATGATAATGTTTTTTTGTGCAAAAAGGAATTAGACTAATTTTCCTTCCAGCCTCGCTTTGGTTACGTAGATTTGAATGAGAAAAATCAAGATGGCCGCAACATGATTATGGTCTATTGGTTGACGTCCATTGGCGAAATCGCAGATTTGGCGTTGGCAATACTGGCTATGTTTGACCATGGAGCTATACAAAAAAGAGTGGTTTGACCCTTGTTGTTACGAACGCAAAGAGTATGAACCGTGGATACGGGAGACTGCGTATTTGTAAAGGTAGGGGTGCACCGGAGCCATATGCCCCCCCCCCCCCCATGAAAGTGCAATTATTGTCAGAATTAAACCAGAAGATGATCAAGTTAAGACGACTGTCTTTGAATCATTTTCACCAATCAACTTTCTCTCTATGGAGTCCACACCAGGATTCTTGAAATGTTAATAAAAAGAAAACAAAAGGGAAAAGAGCGCCCCTAGCCTTAAACGAGGACCAGCCCCGCCCCATATAATTTCTTTTTGTCATTGTCATTCCCATTTCCTCTACTGTTATTGCGCTCGTCCCCCCCCCCCCTCCCCGCCCTGCAAACAGGACGCTGGGATACGCTGATGAGCTTCACAGAATCTTGTGAAGGAAGTGGCCTATGACCTATGTATAAAGAATCTGGCTGCAGTTGTTCAAGACTGCAGTTAGACAATGCGCGCAAATGCTAACCGAAAACTTCCCATAGAAATGCACACGTTCCATACCGGATGTGATTTCTGTTTCATTGCGGACCATGTGGACAAAATTTTGAGCGTCGCATAATGCACTCCGGCCGTTCGTGATTCGAAACGGAGCCTGAGCAAGTGATGGGAATTGTAAATTTACAACATAGATAAGTTTTACAGAATTTCCTACATTATTACGCTTTTCAACAAAAACAAATCTAAAAAAAAAGGCTGCAATAAAAGAGTAATGAATCAGTCCTTACGGCCGTTTCAAACCTTGCCGAGTCATGACCGCGATGACGTGCAGGTCACAGGTCACGCAAAATACAACCAATCAGAGCGTGAATTCATCAGAGTATCCCAGCGTCCTGTTTGCAGGGCGGGGGTACGAGCGAATACTGTTATTTGCTAGTCAACTCAAATAGAAATATCAACTCGCCCCACAGCCAATTCCCCTTGGGGAGTCTGGTTGGCGCGTAGCGCTTTTTTCCTCACCTTCCACTGGTGTGACCCAGGTTCGAATCCCGCATGGGCCAACATGTGGATCGGGTTTTCAGTCCCTAACTGATACCTTGGGTTTTTTCGGATCCCCAGAATATTTTCCTGGGGTTTTTCCTCCCAACTCTAAAACTGTAATTTCTTCTCATTGTCTTCTCTCCAGCTACAGTGAAAGGGCGCTTTTGAGGAATTAGTTTCATTACCAGAAATAGATAAATAATAAATATATATTAACTGGGTTTGATTTTCAGGAGGAGTGCAGCCTTCTTGAACTATCTGGACAGAACCCCGGTCAAGCTGCCACCTGGACAACTTTCCCCCTCCCCTGGCCACCTTAATTGTCCCGGCTAAATCGTCCATCCAGCGGCCACTTCTGCCCGTTGAGGCCTCTCTTGGTCGGTGCCCAATGCCCATCTCATCGCCGAGGTTGTGTTTCTTTTACTTGCCCAGGTGATTGAGCAAGAAGGCTATACCTAAATAAAAAAGAATGAGAAAGGTGCACTTTTATGATAACTTATTACACAATATAACAGCTGTTTTTGAACAACTATTGTGTAGGGCAACCCGGGAGCGGGAGATTTGCGTTTTGTCCTCAAACTCTTCTATAGTTAGGGGCCATTCAGAATTTTCAATGTTTTAAAATTTCGACTTTTTCCCAAATTATTTTGACCCACCCACCCACCCCTAATTTCGATTAATAAAAAACTGAACATGTACATGTATGCACTTGCATGTACATGTACATGTACTTGAACACCATGTACATGTGTGTCTAGTTCAGTGACGGCGTGAAGTTGTCGGTCTTCCTCTTTTATGTGATAAAATATGTGATACCTCACCAAGTATCTTTTAACGAAATTCAATCAGAATATTTATCAATTTTTGAAAAAAAATTTAGTTGTGTTACTTGTTGGTGTCCCTGCCACACTGTACGATGGTGTAGCCGTGCGTTATGCACGTGGATTGTTTACTTTCGTTTTGACGGGGACTTTACTGAATAGAGTCTGGTGACTGTACATAGAAATTTCTTTGAATAAAAGTCGAATCGTTCATTCATGTGCACTTGTTATGTAAAGCAGGGGCAGTGGTTCAAGGATATCTATGTCGACTTGCAGAAAGTGTGCAAGAACGCGACTTGAATGCTTTTATGTGTTCACAATACAACGACGCTGTTGAGTTATTTCACTGTGTGGACACAGTGAGAAATTTTGGAATCATAATGGCGTCTGCGATACTTGCTGGGGAGCTCTTGCGTACGACTTTCTGTACTTAGGTACTGTTGTTTCCAGGACAATTGTGTGTACGGTAACCCGACGTACCCAGATTTTTAAAGACGAAATTGCCGACCTCAAACTTGTTAGTGCCATATTTGGCAACTATATGTGCGTTATTAGTTTAATTAAACAAATGAACAGGTTAATTAAACATAGTACCATTGAAGGTACCTAAAAGTAAACATAACAGCATAGAAGACCGACAGACGAACATAAAATGTTACAAAATAAACATATTTGTCTGGATAATTTTTTAGGGCGTTACCGGCAAGTTAACACAAACTTGGTGATCATGGGAGTTACTTTTCTTTGACTTTTCATGCAAGTTTACATAAACTTTAACTGTATGACCTGCAGTGGCGTAGCCACGGAGGGGGGGGGGCGTGGGGGCGACAGCCCCCCCCCCCAATGAAACCTTGTCACCCCCCCCCCAGTCGCCTCCCCCACTGAGATTTTGAGTTTCTAAAAAAATTATCATTGATCTACATGACGCCCCCTCCCCATGAAGTGTTCCAGCCCCCCCCCCCCCCCCCCCCCCCCCCCCCCCCCACTGAAAAATTCCTGGCTACGCCACTGACAGTACATACAGGGGACGGAGTTGGAAAAGAAACACGCATCGCTATATCGGAACGTTTGCGCGTAGTTCAGGCAAGTCAAAAGATCTATCTTTCTTTGTTTTTTTATCTTTTTTCCATGGAAAGTGAATTTCGATTTTCAATTATTTAGCTTGACTCACCCACCCACAATTTGGAAAAAAGATCGAAATTTTTAAACATTGAAAATTCTGAATGGCCCCTTAGGCCTATATACATTTATTATTCGAAACGTCACTTCATGTGCTCTTTTGAATATTTCCCTCTTTGTTTTACACTTTAATTTTGAGAATGTGTCGATTTGTATTGACTTTAAAGATGTATTCCCCTTGCCATCTCGAGTTTCATCCCGAAATACAGATACATTTTTTTTCATAATGCTATTTTCCAAGCAATAAAAGTTAATCACTTTTGAATGAGATAAACGAAACCAATTTATGAATGAGACGAGCGAAAAATTCACCGACATTTTTGTTCTTTACAAAATTCAAATTCTTTGCGGCCCGACAATAATTCGGTGGGTTCACTTGTGCATGTGCAAAATGAAAACTGCCTCCCAAAATGGGGGGGGGGGGGGTATACAAATTGAAAGACGATAGGAGAATTGAACAAATCATTTTTTTTTTAAGAGCACGGGTACACATCTTTCACATGGATGTAGGCCTATTAATTTAATTTAGAAGTCAAATTTGCGATTTTTTTTTTATTCTTCCGGACTACAACAAACTAAATAACCATTGCAAGTCTAATTTGCGTATAAGTACCAATTTATTCCAAGGGGTAAGAAGGTTTTTTTTCTTTTCTTTTCTTGAGATACGCAGTGTTTATCTTCTTAATTAGAGGTTGGCAATCATCCGAAAGTGAGTGGCAGATAAATTTGGATACAATACACAAACTTGTAATTATTAACTCCAATAGCGCCCTCCTACTGTGCCCACCAGAAAATGGCATCAACTACACGGGAAAATTCCAACTATAAGTTGTTCACTCCCAGACGCTTTCTCATATAAATACACAAACGATTGTGTACAGGACCTGACTAAATTTATCATCGCGCACTGTGCTGCACAAGTGACTCAATTTAGTAGCATTCATCAACATGCACTGATGCGGAGCGGAAGGTGTTTATCCACACAGTCTTATTTGCGGCGGGTTTCAGTGTGGAATTTAAAAGATAAAAAGCGATGGCAGAGCACGATGAGGGGGCCGAGTATGGCAAGGGGGATTTCGTCCTCCTGGACGAAATTACGGAAGAGGCCTTCATGACTAACTTGAAGCTGAGGTGAGTGCTAAACTTATGACTAAAAAAAAACCCAAGGAAAGATTCCCATGCCATGCATATCTGGCCATCACTTGTCACCGTGCACCCTGTGCACAAACCGTATGACATTTATATGAGACTGTTCTGAAAATTTCTAAGTAAGCATTTTCTCAGTAAATACTTTTATTTTTGCCTGTATTTGTCATGAGGTATTGTGTGGAGTTTAGGGGCAAACTGTGCAGCGGTTCTGTTGGAAATGTCTGTGTTTTGATGGACGTTTTTGTACTTAGCTGGTGTTTCGTGCTGCAAACAATTTTGCGGGGTTCTGACTTCTGTGTCTATGCAGAGGCTCCGCTCATGCGGAGCATCATAGTTCTAGGAGTAGGTACTTCAAACATTAAGCACACAATCAGCACTCAGACAGTAGTCCTACATCATGTTGCACCTCCTGACTCCTGTCATGCCTGTCGTTAGCCCGACTGCGTCTGGCCGTACAGTACTATCGCAAGCTCTGTAGTACAGCCAGACGCTCAATGCTTCCACAAAGACTGAATTTTTTTCCCCGCTGATGTAGCAATTTTGCTACAGATTTTGATCGAGATTGTCTTTTCATCCAGGACACAAATTTCCAAAGTTAAGGTTCTTAGTCGTAGACCTTTTCGAAAAAACGTTCTTTGGTCTCAATATTTTCATCCATCTGGCCAAAAGACGACTGTTAGTCATCATCTTCCACAAATATCGTCCTGAAAATGTCCTCCATGCGATTTCAAAATGGCGGCCGCGTTGTAATGTATGCATTATGCGAGCGTGCTTGGGTAAGATAATGAATATGCATTATTTAGTTCATAACCTCGTGTTTGTATGGCCAGCCGCGCCGCGCGCCCAACAAACGTCATAAACTATGGACGCACTATGCACTCTCCACTATTGATCACTAGCGTCTTGGGCCAAGACTAGGCTTCTGCAGAAAAATTGCGTAAGAAAATTGCATTATCTACCAATGCTAACTGTTCAAAATTACAAAAAATAGGGGTCATTAGAAGTAAAAGAAGACTGTTTCAGGTTGCAGAAATCATTTTGGAATGATAAAAGCACTTAACCCTAACCCCAAAGAATTAATTTTGGGTTAAGTACCGGTACCACATGCTACACAGTACAAAGTACAAAAATGATGCATCATGTACATACCGAATACTACAAAAATGCTATGGGTGCTGTGCCCACTTACAATGTATCCTTATGTACGTGTATGCTGAATCACTGCTACAGTTTACCTCTAGTAGTATTTTGTAGCTTTGGGGAAGGTACCGATATAAATGTAGGCATGATGGGAACAAAAACAAAGTACCGGTAGGGCCTGTAAAAATCGCCAATGTTTGTCCAGTACAATACATGTACCGGTATGCTCTGCCATTTCTTTCTCCACTACTTGGAATTAATTAATGTACCGGTAGCCGTACAAATCGAGACAGATCTTCAAGTACCAAATTATAAGTTGTTCACATCGTGATCCAGAAATGCTGGATAATTATTAGGCTAAATTGTCTGTAATTCTCCCCGATAAAGTGATAACACCTTTTTTTTTTGTGGGGGGGGGGGGGGGCACGAAACAACATACGTATGGGACAACATGATGTAGCATCCAGAATTGGGCATTGCTGAGTGCAAGCGTAGTTGTGTGCGTAGTGTACAACATGTACATCTGTGTCGTCATTGTACGTATACATGTAAGGCCAAAAAAAAAAGTCTCCGTTTTCTGGTATACGCGCGCATCGCCGTAGCCATGCGCGTCGGCAAAATGAAAAAGTTTTTTTTTCAATGAAAGATGATCTCTCAAAACCGCCAAACTCACTGATTTGACTGGAATCCTGCTGCTGCACAATTTTAACGTGTTTTTAGATGGGGTTATGGTCGAGAATAAGCTTTATGTGGCCTCTCTGGACTCCCATATATTTGCACTAAGTTTAGTCGGGCACCATTTGCACTCATCAGCTGACATTTGAAGCAAAAAAATCAGGTAAAAAAAAAAAAAGCTGCGTCGCCACACCACTTTTTGGGCAAGCTCCATACCAGAAACCGGAGACTTTTGTTTTTGGCCTAATGTGGTTGAATATATATGTATTGTACCGGCATGTACTGTATGCTGTGCAATTTGTTGATTTCCAACTGAACAATTTACATTATTTACACATTAGGAACTGTACATTAGCATCATCCAAGCAAAATTCCTTTTTAAAATTTTTGTTTGTTAATTTGTTTTCCAAAACATCACAAATACTAATTTCCAAACATTACAAATTATAATAACAATGTACGGTCACAATAATTGGGGACAGACACAAGGAGAAAGCCAAGGCGTGTACAAAATAAATACAAAGTTGTTAAACTAAGTTAATTTTCATTCACCTCATGTAATGTTCATGTACCGGCAGTTGATCACCCAATTTAATTCCAGCTTCACACTACATATTCATGGCATTATTTGTATTCAAAGTCAGAATATGACGTGATGTGTTTTTCAGTTATAAGTTCATGTATTGTACAGTTTTGCAATTTTCAAATGAAACCACAATGCTTAACCATTACAGCAGAGTCCTTGACTTGAGTAGTTTACATCCTGAACTGATGAAGTCTCTCTTCACAATAGACAATGCCACACTGACCATACTCTGAGCCAAGCATTTTTATGTTCGGAATTTAGGCCCTTGGAATTCCAGCATAAAAAGTTGCCACCCTTTTCCCCAACACTTACAGAACCGTGGCACATTATTATCACGTACATGTATAAAAGATTCTAATGTCACACTCCATGGTGCATGAGAATATATCATAACAACACCTATTTATCTGCTGTCTGGCACGCTCCATGTCTGTGGTAATGGAAACTGTGTGTGTGTGAATCAGTCTGTTGGAATGTTGATGGTTGCTTTGCGGACACTTCAGCATGTTCATTGGGTGGTTTTGTGGAGGAAGTGGACTATGCATTGGGAGTGGTGCTACCATGGTGCTACTACAGGGCTGTGGCTTGGCTGATACCAATATTTGATCACCAACCAAACAGCCCAATATATATAGCTTTTTTTTTATTCATTCAAAAAAATTGAATATTAAGAATGATGAAAAGTGTACATTTGTTTGGTTTCATTGTTTGTCAAATGCCACACTTTGTTGAATGCTGCACTTTGCACATAATCTGAGACCTGCCACGAGGAATTATTATTATTATGTACAGTGTATTATTATTTATTCAGCCAAGATTTGCATCAAACAATAACAATACAGAGAATATGACAATGTAGCTTTGCAGGAGACCAGTAGTACAAGTATAAGTCATGAAACAAACTAGTGTAAACAAAAGCAAGGAGGTATGAATATTAAAGTCAGCAATGATATAAAGTCAAGGTTGTTACAAAATAAGACAAAAACAAGAACAAGACAATACCCAAATTAAGATGGCCATGATTAGGCCTAATAAAAGTGAACTGAAACTCTATTATGACTTGAAAGCCTATATCAATCCAATCTTAAAAAGGAACACACAGCAGAGCAATAATTAAAAACCCATGCACATTCATAAAAGTAAATGGTAAGTTTGGCACTGGCGAAACCAACCACTAAACAGCATTAGTCCAACCAAAAAAAATTAAACAACATGAGGGAACGGTTTTATGAGGATGCCAACAAAAGAATGAAGATGAAAAACTGATGAATTATATAGAAAACTGAAGTAAACTACCGGTACAACAAATGGCAAGTTTGTCTCAACCATTAAACAGCATTGAACAAAATACTTAACGGATGCCAACAAAAGAATGTACACGTTTGTATGTAAGATAAAAATTAAAAAGGTACATGTAGGCCTATAACAACAAAATGAGAAGAAATATGCGACAAGTAAACCTACATGTAAATTAGACAAGCAAAAACCAAGTAATTGGCAACAGAAATAATGGGGGGGGGGGGGAGAGACCGACAGACATCATGCTGTCAGTGAAAAATAAAGGCAAAACTGGCAATATCAAGTACATAATGTACATGTACTTGAAGTTATAGTCTGTAGGAAGTGGTTGCACAAATAAATGTTAAAACACTTCAACAAATCGCAGATAATAGAATTCTTAATATTGGTAGGCACACTACCAATGTTCATATTTACCGGTACAAATAAACTCAAAGCTCTTCTGGGAAACGTTAAAAATGTCGGCCAAAAAAATTCCACTAGGCCTACTTTTTCTATAATTTAACAAGCTGTTTTAATGCAAATATCGCAATTGGCGGCTACCCATGGGCCTTATTCACGAGTTGGCCATTTTTGTCAAGTTTCCTGAATTTGTTAACTGTGTAATGGGATGGTGTCCGACTATTTATGCAAGCACAATGCAGCCTTATTTTACTGTCATTGGTTTTTGTTTTATGGCTTTAATTTAGGCCCTAATTAAAAATTTTATATTATTCATTGAAGCAGACTGGAATTTATTATCTAGATTAAAGGGAATGTACATCATTGGCTTTTGCTGTTATTTTCAGAAATGAACTATTTGAGAGGTTAGTATAATAGATCAAATATTGTTACACTGACATTTTTTAAGTTTTGTGTTCGAAAAGGTTGGAAAAACCAAGAAAAACAAAAAATTTCAAGTAGTCTGGTTCCCTGACTCCACAAAAGATAAAATGGATCAATTTATAGATGATGGACAATTGTAAGGCAAGGGAACCAGTCTAGCTAGCCTGCACCCGTTCATGAACATGTAACCAATTTAGCAAACAAAATTGGACTGAAAAATGGTAAATTTGGAGCAGTAGTTGAAAAATAGTTAGGTTTTTCCAACGCTGGTCGGCCGACCACCGTTGGAAATGTTTACAAAAATACCATTTTCTTGAAAATGACTTCACACCAGGTGCCATAATTTTACAAGATGCTTGAGACTGTCATTTACCAACATCCTAGTAAGGTATTTCGTAAAAACTTGGTAGTTTTATTTTTCGATGTTTGCAAATGTTGTATATTCCCTTTAAGTTGCTTTCATTTCTCTTTGCAAGAACTTTCCAAAAATTAAAATTTTACTTAACATTCAATTCAATATGGCCGACCCGTGAATAAGGCCCATGTACATACTTTGGATTCATTTTGTTGGGACCTTGGGTATTAATTGCACATTTGGGAAATTGGGGTTTTGGGGAGTGAGTCACCCATGTGGAAGGCTAATTGTTTTTACAAATTTGTACTTCATGTTTAACATTCCAGTGTGGTTTTTGCTTTCACTTCGTGAATGCTTGTTCTGTAAGGTATATGTGCCACATGAAAAACAGAGATCAGGACAAGGTTTGCGGTGCGGTGGCATGGGGGGGAGGGGGGCACACATTCCCAGTGCCCCCCCCCCCCCCCCCAGGTGCCCCAATAAAATAAAAACTTGAAATGTTGCCACTTGCAAAGACAGAAGCGGAAGAGAACTGAAGTTGACTATTTCAAGAATCTATACACTGTAAATTATCCTCTTGACACTACAGCTTTGAGAAATGCGAATAAAAACGATACAAAAAAGAGTGCCATCTACCAAAAGAAATTGTTTATAAATTATAAAATGTTTTACATTTGTGATGTGTACATACAAATCCGTAGATTTTTAGAATACACAATTTCTTAATGCGGTAGCTCAAACTTGTTAAAAATCTTCACATGCTGCCATTACATAAACTGAATACTTTGATACACACAGAGAAGTGAGAGAACCTACATTGTACAGCTTCACACATGGGTAGCCACTAGGCATCAACTATGAAAAAAAGAAAGATTTGATGAGTACATGCACATCTCAAATTCCAGTGCTTTATAAATGTATAGCCTGTTATTGTTCCTTATCTTTTTATCAGCCTCATATCAGCAGTGTAATTATTGGTCTCCAGGACGTGTACAAAGGAACAAGCACTCAAATGCACAAACCTGCAGTAGAACTATTGAACCCAAAGAGGGTGTGGTACACGCCTGTTGATGATGTACATGTACAATGTACTTCACGTTCAATTGCACTAGATTAGCAGTTGTACATGTATACCGGTAGGCCTGTGAATGTGATGCGGAAAATGTACATGTAGTTGTGTACATTTTGTGTACAAGTCTAGATACTAACACATGTACATGTATTCACTCAATTTTTAAACATTTTTTTTCTGGCGAGAATTTGTTCAGTGCAGCCTGCAAAAACAAAACCCCAAATTGGGAATTTTAAGTTTCAACAGTTAATAATAATCGCATTGGCTTTTGAGAGGGGAGGGGGTTCAAGTTATTTTGGAACCGGGTACAAATTGCCATAATGGCCAGGTACTGGTACATTTACCAGCAGTGTTCTAGCCAGGGTGAAATTATAGCGTAGGGGTAATTTTGGTTCGCCGACTAATGCGAGCGCGAAGCCCTTCCGGCGTGGGGTCCGGGGCCCGCTTAAGGGCCCCGAAAAATTTTGGACTCTAGATGCTCTGTGGTGCAATCTGAGGCGATTCCCTGCCACTTTCCCCTGAATTTTTTTCAGCAGAAGTGTTTAAAATTATAAGAAAATTCGTTTTATTTGTTTCAATGATACTCTTGCTCCTGTAAAGTTTCTCCTATTTTCAAATTTTAGAACATGTTTACAATGTATAAATTGTTCCAAAATCAATGCTTTCTGATGTTGAACCATTTTTAGTAGTTCCTCAATGTTTTATAAAAAAAATGAGATTTATTAAGTGCGAGAACAAATCGCATGAACATTTCATATTCATGTAACGATTCATTGAATTCAAGTTTGAAGTCAGTGTAATTTAATCTAAAACTAAAACAGGGAGTACTTAAGGCATGCATGTACTACAAGGTTTTACATGGAGGAATAAGAACCATATCATTCTCATGAGACACTGACAGCCCAGTTTCAATTTCAAGAAGCCTGTAGCATTGCCGTAGCAGTAGTTCGATTTTAAATTTGTAAATATAACCAGCGGCAGGAAGAGAAATTGTAAAACCATGGAGGTCTCAGACAGAAAAAGTTGTCGCCGATTGCAATTTCAACATGCTACAACACAATGTGAAGGAGAAATCTCATTTTTGTTATGTTAAAAAACATAATTGTAGATAATGACGATGAGAAATAATCACCGGGAATTTCTTCCTATCCCGGCCGCGGCCGGCCCCAGCCGGCCCGGCGTGCTCAAAGTCGCTGCGCTTGTATACGAACAAACGGAATTGGGAGCAGATATTATTTTTTTTCGCAACCAAAATTTATAGCGTAGCGGTAGCGTTGCGGCGCGATTTAAGCGTAGCGCTTATTTCCGAAAGCGTAGCGGGTGCTAGCGCTATTTGATGCCTGGCTAGAACACTGTTTACCGGTACGTGCAGAATAGTGCAATCTGCCTCTAAAATAGCCGAATTGAAGCATGAGATTTCAAATCCTCCATTGGAACTTGTCGGCAAATGCTCAAAGCAAAACTCAGTACTACATGTACATGTAAACACTCATGTACATTTTTTGTATTCAGATTGATACAATTTTTCCCTTTCAGAAGAGTACATGTAGTGTCAGAATGCGCAGAGAAGGTTTCATGTAATACAATGGGAAAAAAAGTGGTACATACATTGTACATGTATACCTCTTTGGGTCCAGTATTGGCTACCCAGATATCCATCCCAGCCCTATGGGGGAAATACATTAACTTCAATCTGCAATCTTCAATCCTGAATGATCGCTCCACGGTCCATATCACTCATCGTGTATCACGGTATTCCAAGATGCATGCACCAATTCTGCTGCATCTGGTACGTGTACATACAATGTAATAGGATAACCGCTAAAAAGTTTGTGTACTTGAAGCATGCATGTTCCATCTTTTCTGTGCGTCAAGTTTGCTTGAAGATACATTTGTTATCCCACTCACGCTCGTGGAGCATGGAAAAATATTGCGTCTGTGTTCCATGCCTTTCAGACACAAACACAGTGACACACTACATTTTTGTATGTAATTTATTCGATCACTTACAAGTGCATGATAAACTGACAGGCCTAACATCCCATTTCTAAGAAATTTTGTTTTCTAAAATATACTTCAAATGGCATTTTTCATTTCCTTGTTCCTTCTCGATGGAATTAAATGCAAACTTCATAAGTTTGTTGTTCAACCACCTGCTTCAGTAAAAGCTGCAAAAACCAACAAACTTGTGTCCAGAAGTCCCTGGGAGAATCAACTGAATTGTTTGTTTTATATTGAAGAATTGTTTTGAACCTTGGGCAAAGTCTACTGTTTGAACCTGTAGATAAAGATTTGGGCACAGAACAAACTGAAAGACCTTTTTTTTTTTACTGTTGTGTAGAGAAAAATGCAGCAAGTTTTAGGCCCTACTGATTTTATTTTGTTCATTTAGCAGATTGCCAAGAAAAAAAAACCAATTGATGCAGTTTTATGTTTAGGGATAAATGAATCAAAACAATCCTAGAAATTAGAAAATAATTGCATTTTGTGAATATTTGGTGTCCAATTCACAACCTTTCATCATTCGACCTTTTTTCCAGATTTGAAAACGGCAGAATATACACATACATTGGAGAGGTGGTGGTCTCCATCAACCCCTACCGGACTATGGACATGTTCGGTCCGGAGGTGGTGGAGAGCTACAAAGGCAGAGAGATCTACGAACGGCCCCCTCACATATTTGCCATCGCCGATGCGGCCTACAAGAGCATGAAGAGACGGGCAAGAGACACTTGTATAGTCATCTCAGGTCAGCAAAGTGAAGTGCTGTAGTGGAGTCAATCACGAGTCCTAACAATTTCCTCACAAGTCCATCACGAGTCCTCACAAGTCCTTGCAATTCCGTCACAAGTCCATCACAAGTCCCTCACAAGTCTGTCACAAATATCTCACAAGTCCATCACAAGTCCGTCACAAGTCCACCACAAGTCCATCACAAGTCTGTCCAAGTCAATCACAAGTCCATTACAAGTCCATCACAAGTGTGTCACAAGTCCGTCACAAGTCCGTCACAAGCCCATTGCAAGTCCCCACAAGTCCTCACAATCGCAGGTTCTCAAATATCCCTCACAAGTCCATCACAAGTCCTCACAATCACAGGCCTTCAAAATTCCCTCAAAAGTCCTACACAAGTCTCTCACAAACAGGCCCTCAAATGTCCCACATAAGTCCCTCACAGGTCCCTCGATCACAAGTCCTCACAAGTCCCTCACAAGTCCTACCGGTACACAAGTCTCTCACAATTGCAGGTCCTCAAATGTCTCACACAAGTCCCACACAAGACCCACACAAGCCCTCACAAGTTCCTCACCAGCCCTCGCAAGTCCCACACAAGTCCCTCACAGGTCCCTCGATCACAAGTCCTCACAAGTCCCTCACAAGTCCTACCGGTACACAAGTCTCTCACAATTACAGGTCCTCAAATGTCCCTCAAAAGTTGCTCACAAGTCCCTCACATACATTGTACAAGTCCTCACTAGTCATCCAGTCTTGACTCACAAGCTACATGTACATGTACATGTACCGGTACATGTATGGAGATGAACTGTGACAGAGGCACTCCATATTTGTTATTGTTCATCCGGTCCCCTAGCTAACATTACTTGTGACTGGACCTACATGTATGACATAATTTGTGATTTACTCTAGACTGGACTTGTGATCAACTTGCAATGGACTCATCTACAACTCTGGCAAACGTTTCTTTCATTTCAAAGTTTCTTTTTCCTCTACGCTTCTTATAATTAGTCCATGTCTATCCCCAAACAGCCCTGCCTTTTACTCTAAAGCCCAAATCTGCCAAGCACTCTGGGGTTTTATAGATTCATCGGAGAATAACTACATGTACAGTGCAATAAAATGTAGTACAGGTGTTTATACACATACATTTTCTAATTGCAAATGTCATTAGCCATTAACCCTACCCCCCTAGGCCCTTTTTGCTAAGTACCATCCTCAATCCTCCAAAATTCTCCAAAATTTTGCAACTCCGCCTAAATTTTTCAAAATTGTCAGACAGTCCTGCCTCAAAATGCATTCATCGTCAATCCTCCAAAATCCTCCTCATCCCAAAATTTTGCACTCGTGTTTACCAACGCCAAATCCTTCAAAATCATCAGACAGTCCTGCCTCAAAATGCATTCATCCTCAATCCTCCAAAATCCTCTTGTGCTTCAATCACCATTCATCCTCAATCCTCCAAAATCCTCATGTGCTTCAATCACCATTCATCCTCAATCCTCCAGAATCCTCATTTGATTCAATCACCATTCATCCTCAATCCTCTAGAATCCTCCAAAACCGCCAGGAGGATTTTGGAGGAGTGAGGTGGGTTAGGGTGAAAAGGGACGTCACTACTACATGTGTACTACATGGTTAGTTTCTGGCAATTGGCTGGTTTCTGACACTTGTTATAGTAACAATCGCTAATGATATTTTTTTTTCCCATTTCATAGGGGAAAGTGGTTCAGGGAAGACAGAAGCATCCAAGATCATCATGCGGTACATTGCAGCAGTAACAAATGTCGGCAAACAGCAGGATGTTGAAAGGTAGGGCATAGGTACCGTAGCTAGTCATGTTACTGGTACATGCTTGTGATACTCAGAATTATCGATCATAAATCTCTGAAAGTGCAAGTTGGTTTGAAATCAAAGTTCCATTTCCTAGTTTACGTATAGGAATCTGTACAATATGTTTCCAATTTACTTACTTTTAATATTCATTTGGGCAATTCCATGGTTAGGCCAAAAAAAAAAAATATTCGGTCTCTGGTCAGACCAAAGTTCCGGAATTTTTTTTTTTTTTTTTTTTTTTTTTTTTTCTTCAAGCTTGGATTGTACAGACAAGGTGGGGTACTATTTTGCTCTGTTGGTGTCCTCATGTACATTGGTGTCCTCCATAATTTGCCTTGGTGCTCTCGATCATTTGCCTTGGTGCAATTTCCCATTCCTTGGTGCTCTTTGGTAACAAAAAAATGAGGAGGTGCGGCAATAGAGGGCGCTGTTGGAGCTACCGCGGAACATTTTGGGAAAAAAAAAGATTGACGCGCATGCTTAAAATCGACGCGCGCGCTGACCAGAGACCGACTTATTTTTTTTTTTGGCCTTACTCACATTACACTTTTTTTGCGTCCTTTCATATTCCAAGTGCTGTGGTTTGAGCAGTAGTTGGAAAAGCTATCTGATATTTTGCATACACTATATTCAATGCTTCACCCTGATGGTAACAAAATAATATGTTTGTACTATTGTTTATAACATTATAAGATCATGACACTCTTGGAAAAAAACCTACTACTCGCATAACACAAAAAGGTATGCCAAATATTGGCTTTGTTTTGATTCCCCTGTCTCCCTAAACTGCAGGCATGCAACTTTTCCTCGGATCAGCTGATTTCCTCTTTTTTTACTTCCCATGTGTGCCATTGAAAATAGAAAACTGTACAAAGTCTGGGAAAAATGTGAATTTCCTCTTTTTTTTGTGATTTCCCAGTTGCATGCCTGAAACTGAAAGTGCAACGACCAAATTGATATATTTACAGGACATCTTCCATACTAGTTTAATACTAAAATGGCCAATAAAAAAATGAAGACCCCAATCAGGTATAATTGATACACAGAGAAAGATTGGTTACTCACATTACAGTTACTCTCATTACAGTTTGTCTAACCATTTTGCTGAGGTCAAACGAAAACTTTACCCCCACAATTTTGATCAGATTTTAACTGCATGGACTTGAACAACCCTAAACCCATGAACTGAAACCAAAATATACATGTAGCCAACAAACAAATAAAGAAATAATAACCAAAGTAGAATTTTGGTTAACCGCACTATTGTAACTTGCATTACTATTTGTTGTTTTAGGTTGGGAACAAATCAAATCTTGATCAGGACAGGTCTAATTCAATCTAAATCATTTTATCAAACAAAACAAATGCCTAGGCTATACAACCAAATCAGTTAATCATTCTTTGATAATCAACATAATTACAGCATTACAATTTAATTTCTTTACAGAAAATGAATGATTGGCTAAGAAAGTTTATTTCCTGGTCCCCCTTAGCAACAACTTAAAAGTAACAAGCATTGGTTCTGGATTGAATTTGAATTTTGGCAGCCATGTCATGGTTTGTGTGGAATTGCCCATTTTCATGCCACAGAGAGTGAATTTCTGATAGTTTATTTCTATTAAACTTAACTTACTTTCAGATTACATGTTTACAATGTCAATATACTATTGAAATATTGCAATTTTGTGAGAGTATCCAGACACGAACCAAACTTAAACGTAGATGTACTAGCTTTTTCATTAAATTTGATGTATGTGTACTTCATGTTTTCATGATTACACTGGCAATTTACACAATCACATTTAATTATCTACACGTACATACATGTACATTTACCCATAATGGAAAAATGATGGTGAGCAGTGGTGAGCCCTTGTGCAAATGCAGGCTGCCTGTCCATCTTGCAAGTGATTATCTCAAACTATTACAATGTACACATACGGTGTACGTACAATGTACATGTATGTAACTTGGATTAATTGCAAATACATGTGTACATACCGGTATAATCATGGTAAAAAAGCTCGCAAGTTGACCTCAAAAGCTGCGAGATATTACTAGATTTTACAAGTCCACGGTATACCGTCACAAAAGTATTGCGATATTCATTATTATCAGGTATTTTTCTGAGTGGACTATTAATATGACATCACAAAAAATACATTAATACACTTGTGCGATATCGAAACTGCAAACAGGCAGCATGGGCAGAACTTCAAAGGCCCTGCTAGATGACTAGTTAGCACAATTGTCACCTAATTAATGATCTACGGTGACCACAAGGAATTTAAACAATTAGGCCTATCCATAGTACATACTGGAAGTACCGACCTGGCCAAGTTGTTTTCTTTCACCTTTATTTTTAGAGGGCTTTTGCGCACATCTGGCCATATTTAAGAGAGGAATCAAGGTAGCGAAATTCCATACCGAGGTCGTCAGTTAAGTTTGACAGCATCATTCGGTATTGTTCGGTATCAAAAATATATTGTCACTACACGGTATTATTGAAATATAGTCCAAGCCTAACAAAGACGAGTGTAGGCTAGCCATCTGAGACCAGCGAAGTCTGATTTAATTGGCAAGATGAGACTTGAACATGTATGCAAGTCTTATTCACAAGTTCCGGTCAGTGAGTCAGGTTCTAAGATGTTGTATTGGCTGGCCCGTCTGTGATCTCAGAAGAAACAATACTAGACCTCACTTGGTTTTGATTAATGGAGTTCGCATTTGATCATTTCTCCGGCAGAGTGAAAAATATCCTCATCCAGTCCAACACAATCTTGGAGGCCTTTGGCAACGCCAAGACCAACCGCAACGACAACTCCAGCCGCTTCGGCAAGTACATGGACATCAACTTTGACTTCAAGGGTGACCCTATCGGGGGTCACATCAACAACTACTTGTTGGAAAAGGTAGGAGAACTGGCTTGGAGACAATGGGTATTGTTGGGCTCAAGTGGTCCCAGTTGTCAAAATAAACTTGAGCTGTGCCAAATATACTGAATATCCCAATGTTCGATCATTCACCAAATCCGAATAGTATTTTACCAAATTGAACATCGAACTATGAGCAAAAAAAGGTGTCAGTGGTGTTATTTTATTTTGTTTATGTTGAGTGCTTTTATTATTTGTCGTGCATGTACATGTATAATATACCACATTTACACGCATGATTTGAAAGGTTCCGTGAGGAATATGTTCCGTGAGGAATATTAACCCTAATTCATCTGAAATACCCGTATCGGTCAAATAGCAGCTTAAGTTAGCTACATGTACATGTACATGTAACTCGAAAAAGACAGGTGTGTTCTTACTTCAGTGACGTAAACGCGTACTTACATGTACTTCAGTGACGTAACGCGTGCGTGCGCTTGATTCAAAATAGGGTAAGATGCTACTTGTATTCTATTTTTTGTCAATCTGCTGATGAGTGCCTTATGGTACGAAACAGTCTGTGCAGAAGAGAAATATGCCAAAGTTTGATTAGCTCATATTCTGAATTTATTGCATGATATACACTTTTTCATATATTTTTTTAGCTTAGTGTCAATGTTTGAATATTCAAACATTTGATCAAATTTAGTTTCTGGTTATTGAACCTGCAATCTTAGGATAACCATTCCAGTGCTCTACTAACTGAGCTATCCAGCCCTATACAAAACGGTACATTTATGTGAGCAGTTCTCCATTTTGTCAATGTCTTTGTTCAAGGGGTGCTAGTCAGAAGTGATAGACATGGACAAATAAAATGGGAGACCGCCAACATACATGTACATGCAGTGCTGGTTACATATAGCTCAGTTAGCAGTGTGCCGAACAATAATCTAGCGGTCCCCGGTTCAAACTCCGCTCCATTCAATGTCTATTCTCAACATCAAATAATTATTATAATGCACGGTCTACACGAACATGTTCAATCTTTGAAAGATGTTCTCACCACAGAAAAATATTCTTAAAGTAAGGAAAATATTCTTGAAATTGGAAATTGACTAAGAAAAAAGAACTCATGTAGGATCAATTTTCTTAATGTTTTAAATATCCAAAATTTTAAGAAAATTGTTCTTTCCAAAACAAGGTTTTCTTGTGACAAGATTTATGTTCTTTATTCAAGAACATTTTTCTTGTTTAATAAACTCATTTTTGGCAGTGTGTACATGGTATTCAGTTTCTAGTTGTGGGTTTATTTGACCTTTTTTTATTTTATTTTTTGTTTTCGGTGACTTGGCGCAATTCTGTTCTGAGCATCCGCATCAAGTTGGCCCCTGGACACTTGGAGCAAAGTAAAAAAACAAAAACATTTTGCCAAGAGCTAAAGTACAATGTGTGCCAAGAATGTCATTTCCTTTTGAACAAGAGGGGGTGGTTGCTCCACATTAAAGGGAAAATACAACATTTGCAAATATCAAAAAATAAAACTACCAAATTATTTTTAAATACATGTACCTTGCTGGACTGTTAGTGAATGAAAGTCTAAAGCATCCTGTAAATCATGGCACCTGGTACACTGTCATTTTCAAGAAAAGTGGAATTTTCGTATCAATTTCCAACAATGGTCGGCCGACCAGCATTGGAAAAAGCTGGCTTATTTCAAATACTGGCCCATATTGACCATATTTAGTTACTCTTCATTTGTTTGCAATCGATTACACACCTATGATCATGATGATAGGGTACAAGCCAGCTAGAGTGGTTCCCAGACCTTACGATTCCCCAACATCTATAAATTGCTCTGTTTCATTTTTAATGGAGTCAGGGAACCAGACTACAGGAAAATGATTGTTTCTCTTGGTTTTTATAGCATCTACGAACCCAAAACGTCAAAAAAATCTGTGTAACAATATTTGCTTTATATTGCCAACCCCACTAATCTATCCATTTAGGAAAATTACAGCAAAAGCAAATGATATATTCTTTAAATAAAACCACTGCTTAAGCACGCATTCTTGTAAATTGAAACTTACACAGGTAATATAAACCTGTAGTTTAGAATCCATATTATAACTAGATATTTGATACATATGAAATGAAGCATGGGATACACATGTAAAGCAGTATCTAAAGCTTTATTGCAGGAAATAATTGGATTATTAATTTGTTGACACTGTACAAATGAAAGTTGCCCTCGGCATGTTGAAAGTGAAAGCAAATAATGTTTACATTTAGCAAGAAAGGGAGGTACACATGCACTGTTTACAGTTTTTATGCATTTGTTTTACGATCTACCTCATGTGCAGTAGAAGTACATTGTACAGACCGGTACATGTACACACATGTACATGTATATGTACCGTTATGTTCACAATACAATGTAGTTCATGCTCCGGTGAGCATGTTATCAAAAATGATTAACTGTACATGTATACATGCAAATGATGATTATAAACATGATTTAGAAAGCAACTTGTCAGTGCCATGCACTTATAGGATGGATGCTTGTACTTAAGTAGCCCAATGCAAAATGTGGTACACCATGTATGCAGTGCGTGAAATTACAGTCGGACATCGGACATTTTCCGACCACTTTCATGGTTTGTCCGACCAAATGCAGATGTGCTCGGACAAAATGTCCGAGCGATTTATGTATTCTTTGTGGAGTTGTCTTTTTCAGAAGTATGAAATAAACGGTTGCACTCAAAAGTATTTTGTTGTTCCGATGATCCGGTCTGTAATACTTACCGTACGCGCGCTGAGCGGCTGCTAACTTAACTACATGTACGTGTTGTCTTATATTCACGCAATAGATGCAACGCGTTTACACCCCAATACATGTAATGAGAATTTAGCAAGATCAAAGTACGTTGTGTTGCGCGGTATGCTTTAAGTGCGTGATTGTTACTAAATTCTCACAACGTGGCTTACTACAGAAACGAGCGCGTGAATGCCCGGCGCTTGTCATTGCAACTACATAGTGTGTATTATGGATACGTACGTACATGTACGTGCATGTACACACGTGTATGTACCGTCCACGTGTTTGAAGTATAGTAAACGCAGCCTTTTGAAAGTTCGTCTCGCAAGGTTTCACTTTCACAGAGTAATTTACTTGGGAAAAAGGACGCATTTCAAGTTTTCAATCATGAAGAGAGCACTATGTAAGTATGTTTTAACTAGTCCTCGACTGTTGATAACCTATTTGTTTGCTCATGTGACCTTCAAATTTGGAACGCTAAATGGCAGATCAAAACTTGACAATGGCAGAACACTTTTGATTGTGCTCGGACATTTTGTCTGACCACTTTTTTTGTCTAATTTCACGCACTGATGTATGCGCCTTTAAAGTTAAATTAATGAGCTCATTATGCTGCATCTCACCTCATACCTTTTTTTTGTGTGTGGAATGGGGATTAATTCAAAAAAAGGTTATATGTACATTGTAACACAAGTACTGAAAAACAAGCGCGAGTACACAATACATGTAAGCTCTGGTCCGGTTCCGGAATGTCTCACTTCATATGCAAAATAGACGCGTACATGTATGCGCATCGATTGAGACAAAGGGGCGTGTTCCGAAAACTTTCGCCAACAGTGCATTTACTTACGACGGCATTGCATTTGGTCAATTTTTGGTCAGTTGGTAGTTATAGCCTAATTTACGGGAAACTTAGGGGGGGCATTTTTGGTCAATTTTCAGGGGACAGTCCACCGACTGACCAACCACGAAGTGACATACATGTACAAACTCCTGCCAGAGCTTAAAAATTGTTTACGTATAAACATTCTACCAAATTGCTTCAGGTCATGAAACCTCTGCCATCAATTCTTAATTTGCAATTGAACATTTAATTTAAAGCAGGGTGAAAAAAGACACAAAAGTGCTCTGACAAATATTAAACCATCAGAAAAAGTCTGTCTGACCTTGCTTTCACCCTCTGCCAAACAATTGTACAGTCTGATGACTCTTAAAAAATAGCTATTGTGACTGCCAACTTTAGATACACGTAATTCCATTTTGTTATTTTGAAAAGCCTGAGATCATGTCCTGTACAGCCATTGTCCAGGCCAACCCATGCTTGCCTGTCTGGCTGATGCCAAACCCACACATTTCCCTTTTCCTGCCTGGCCTTCAAATACACCCCTAAACAAACAAATACCCTACTCGGCTTCCTTCCAACCAGGGAGGGATGGGGAACAAGGACAAGTACACATGGTGCAAACGGAAAAAGATTCTATTTCCTTGTCGATCTAATGTCAGGAAGTGCGGTGAAAGTGTAGTATTGTTTGTGTTACATACATGTACAATGGATCTATAGACCAAATGAAAAAATTTTCTGTCATAGGATCACATTAAGCCGAAAAAAATTGTGTAATTGCAAAATTAAAACTAGAAGGGACATGTGTGTGTAGCTGATGGTTTGCGAGGGAGATACCGGTACATGTACGCAGGGTTTTAATTTATTTCCTGAAAATTATTATTTTTTTATTTTTTTTTTAAACCATGGTCCCCGTTGGCCCCCTCCCCCTCCCCCTCCCCCCTCTCCCCCGGATCCGCCAATGTGTAGGACTACTTACATGTAGTTTATTGTAAGGTACCTTTCATGGTATTCCATTTAATTAATATGTTAAATTGTTTTATTAACCAATAACCAGCAAAAAACTTGTATAATGTACATGTACGTGTACCAGTTTGTATGTCAAGGGCATTGCAAGTGTGACTTGGGATATGAGGAGGAAACATGCAATGTCAGATTGGGTCCGCTTGGCGCTGCGGAAGTTGATTGAAATCAATATAACAGTTATGAGGAAAGCCTGGGAATTAGTTTCAACTGCGGCGATATTCTACATTTATGTACAGTGTACTGTACATGTACCTGTATTTGCTTGTTGGGTGTGTTCTGCAATGTGTTGTAAGTCATGGTACAATGTACATACACATGTACCATACTGTATGCAATTGGCAAAGATACGGATGCCTGGTGCTTCTGTTGTTTTAAGAAAGCTGTACATGTATAGTTTGTACATGTATGTGCGGTTAAGTGCGACAGTATTGACCTGTGCACAAGTACATGAACCCCTCAACCATGCCTCAACAAAGAGAATAGGGAGAAAACTACATTTTAACGCATTGTCAACGACGCATGCATGACAATAATGGGAAGATGCCACCCTTTTTCATACACATTTGGAATAACACATTTGGAATTAATATATTACATGCAGGCCAGTGTGTCAAAGAGCGCCATCTATTGTTCATGCACAATAATTGTACATCCAAAATCATTACCATGGGTACAATCTTGCTGCGCCATGTTGGTTCCCATCATGCCTTGCGCGATCTTAACCCCTGGAATTGTGTCATTTAAATGTCCCACTACATTGTATTTGGGACATTTAAATAAGGACTGCAGTCATTGATTGAGTTTAGCGCGCAACGCAATGCTTCAAATTTTAAATTGTTTTTTTGTTTTTGTAGAATCAATCCTTTTCAAACATGAGATTTCGGCATCGCGTTATAGAGCAAGTATTTATATTACATGTAAATGTACCTCTATCATGACTATCGTCCCTTTTACAACACAAGATGCAGGGTTTTTAGGCGAAAAACGAGGCTTCCAGAATCCATCGTACTATAGGCATCGATCGTGCAATCTTGAAAAAATGTTCATACGTGACGTGACGTGCATGAGATACCGATATTGCGAGCGCATATTGTACATGTAGGGCACAGCGTGCAGCCTGCGAAATCCACGCGCAGTACGCTTTGAATAGTCAACCAGCGGCGTTAACATATTCCTCACAGCCAGGGGTTAGTTAAAGAATGCGCATGCGCCCATGGAGTTGAGGCTATGGCCAACTTCGGGCAAGGACCATTAGTCGACTAGTGGTTGATTTGTGACGTACCTTACGTCTGCGCACTAATAGCAACGTGCGAACGTCTCTAGTCAAACGCTGGTCGAAATGTCATTGCAAAACTTCTGGATCCTGGCGTTATGAATGTGCACGGCTATTGGTTACCAGTGAAGCAACCAGCCCCAGTAGGCTGGTTCCAAATAGTCGACTAGCGTAGTTAACCATCGTCGACTAGACAGAGTTCGGGCAAGCGTTAGTCGAACTATGGTTAACTATAGTCCTTGCGCGAACTTGGCCTTAAATGTCCCCCACAACATGCCACTGTGCTGAAAATAAAATGAAGGAGAAAACCCCCTGTGGTCCATTCAAAACGAAACACATGGAACTCCACTTTTTCATTACGTCTGTTATTAACCATTTCACAATGTATAGGCCTACCTGTCAAAAACCTTACACATGTGGTATACTGATACCAGCACTATTTGAAGATGTGAAAATCGAATTACTATACATGCATTGTACAGTTACATGTGGTTGGTATACATACATGTACAATGTACAATGTACATGCACATGTATGTATTAACCATGAAGATACAGATTTGTTTGTAAACAAAAGTGTGCTTTGTACAAAATGTATACATGTATATTTAGGCGAGACAGTGAGACAGTTTAGTGTGTTTTTAAAACAGTTTTAAATTTCTGTATTTCACTGTAAATGTTTTAACTTTTGGATATACTGTACATGTACATGTACTGTACATGTGTGCTGTAAACACAACATACATACATCATGTAATTAAGTTGTGTGTGGTCACATGTAGCGGCTACACGCACATTTTTGTATTTCATTGTTTATTGTGGGCATATACATGTACTTTGCAATTGACCTTTACAGCTGTTCACAATGTTAATGGGTTCCTAGTATTGTAAACATCCTGGTTCATATAGATATTAATGGGCATGGTTTTTATTATAGTAAAAGCGAACAGTAGCTGCACAGATGTACAATGAATGTACATATCTACCGGTACATGCACTTCGCTCCTAAAGACAGTGAAGACAACATAGTTTTTCATTTGATAAATGGTAGGGCTGAAATGATACACCTGGGCCACGATACAATACGTATCACGTACATGCCAAACAATACGATACATATCACGATATATACATGTAGGCCTATTAAAACAACATGCTGCAAAAGATCCTGATCCGAGTTGATTACTGGGTAAAATGAGCAAGATTGCACTGGACTAAGACTAACATTACTTCAACAGTTCACAATTTCAAACTCCCAAAGCAGAAACAAAAAAAGGAACACAAAACCCAAGTCCAAAATATTATTACCGTTCTCTAATAATACACATGAAAACAAGTTAAAAAAAATAATGACTGGAAGCGTTTACTTTTTCCTTTTCATCGTTCATTTTTTCTTAGTCAAGGGTTGTCCGGCAACAGAAGGGCGAGCGTAGCTTCCACTCTTTCTATCAACTGCTGACTGGGGCCAACGAGCAGCAGCTTGGCGACTTGCAGCTCAAACGGGACTTCTCCCTCTATCATTTCATCAATCAAGGCAATGGGGAGGTAGGACACCAGACACAAAAAAGATAATAATAAGCCATTTGTGATTCATTGCTCCAAGTTCTGATTTCATCAGGGCCCAATTTCATGGCTCTGGTAACCACATAATTCCACGCTTACATGTACGATCGCCATTCTGTGCCAACAGCGCTAGCAGAAAAATTCTGTGCTTCAGTGCTAACCTTGTACATACAGGTAGAGGGGCCCCGTAGCCGAGCGGTTAGAGCGTGGAGCTACGGAGTGGAAGGTTGGCAGTTTGAATCCCATTCGGACCAAAAAGTGGAAAACTCTCTCTGACGACCCAACAGTAAAATGGGTACCTGATTCGTTCAGGGAAGGTAAGACGGTGAGAGGAGAGGACTGGGCCCCGCCACTCATATGCCGCGCCCAAGACACAGTGGACCTCTAACATCCCACTGCCCCTACGGCCAGTAATGGCTATGGGATCTTTACCTTTACATATGGCTGTACATATGGCTGTAAGTGCAGAATCTTTAATTACGGGATGTATACATGCGTACAATCCAAAATCCCTCACTAACTTGTGAAATATGCTAACCGTAAGCACAGAATTTTCTACTACAGTAAGCAGCGTTTTTTCTTTGTTGGTAAGCAGAGCCATGAAATTGGGCCCAGTTCAGATCAGTGCCCAATGTCTTTGTATGAGCTGCTAAGCACAGAACTTGGCCAAGCCTGAATTATTACAATGAATGTTTATGAGTGCAATGGTAAGAATATTTCATGAGGTGACAGATGGAATGTTCCAAGCCGAGTGGAATTGAACATTCCATTTGTCACCGAAATGAACGTATTCTTTTCATTGCACAAATATTAAACATTCGGAGCTAGCAGCCCACAACACCATCCTGTGGGAGCCGACTCATTGAACTGCTAGGAGGGGGCGGAGACGAGCCACGTACATCGACACGCTGTGGCGGGACATTGGTCTCAGTGACACAGGGGAGCTGAGGACCCTAATGCTGGATAGGGAAGAGTGGAGGGCGGCGACCAAGTCCCGAGTTGGTGTAGGTTAGGCTGCACCCTCGAATCACATCGCAAACATTCATTATTTGTTTTAATCCTCGTCATCTGATTGGTTCGAGCTTCCAAAAGTGTGACTGTGCAATGGAACTTCTATTTACCGTGGATTCGAACTTCTTTTTTTTTGCGGTGCGACCGCGCTGTGCATTGGGATGAATAATTCAATGACACGTCATCAACAACCCACCAATCAGATGTTGGGGATTTCTGTAACAAACACTGGTCTGCAGCAAAATTGTGATTAGATCCCTTATGCATGTGATTGTTTCTCAGCTGTCTTTTGTCTTTTAAGCAATATTTTCTCTTTAACAGCTTCATAAAATTGACCCCAGATGTCAAGACAAAAGACAAGACATGTGACACATTACACTGTCAGAGAAAAAAGTGAAAAGCCATGCACAATCTTTACATCACGAAACATGATTTCGTCCATAGCACTCCTTATTTCCAAAAATCAGTCAATTGACTGATCGTTGGAAATCACTACATTTCCCGATTGCTTCTGAATGACAGTAAGCCAGACGGAATAATTTCATGGGCTGTTTAGTACCAGTACCCACTTTAATCCAAGCGAGCTTTTTGACAATAATTTGGTAGGCTGCTTTTGGGATAAATGCAAATGATCCTATGCCTTTTAATGATCAAATCATATGCTTGAAATGTACATGTACATGGAAGTTCATCACCTTCACTAACCCATATATTTTTTTCTTACCATTTTTTTTTACAAACCCTGTATGTAATGAAAAATATGAAATTATAACGATGCACCTGTTTTCTGTTTTTTTAACCAGCCTGCCTCATTCAATGACAAGAAGAACCACAAGGCCACACTGGAGGCGCTCAGGGATGCTGGATTCTCAGCGGATCAGCAGACATCGGTGTGGAAACTCCTGGCTGTCATCTTACATCTGGTGGGTGTCCACACGCTACTCAGATGCATGCACAATGCATGAATGGACCTGAATCATAATGACGTCACGCTTTGTTTAAAATTGCGCTTTCCAATGGGAACCAGGTGAGAATGAGAAGCCACCAAGCTCCCATAAGAAAGCGCACATGTTAACAAAGATTTGCGTTATTATGATTTAGGTCTATCAACCCTCCTATGCCAACATACATTCGGTGCCAAGTACTCCTTTCAGTCAAAGTCAAACAAGTGACCGTTTTCAACAGTTTAAAATTCCCAGCCTATACATAAAGCTGGATTGACTGGCTGGTACTGTTTAAGTAACTTGATACATCTTTGCTTTGACTCTGGGTGAGTGATAAAAACAGCTGTGGCCACAACTTGCCTGTTTTATCTGTTGACTCAGTTTGACTAGTCACAGTGCTTGCTTGACATACATGTATGATGTGACTGCTGGTGACTAGCCTTTGTTAAAAGTATAACAGGGAAGTGGAAGTGAATTTTGACTGTTTGTGACTGTTTAAATAGCAGGAAGTTTAAAGGCAGGTTGTTGTCAAGCACATTTGTTGTGCCCTAATTTGGATAAATTTGGCTTTTTATACCTGAATTTAGGTCATACAAGTTGATGTACAATCTTACAGCTGAAGACAACTATATTTTAACCCATTTTTCATGAATACCTAAGACAGTTTACCCATTCCTATTGGTCGAGAGTCCGTCACGTGGTTAGTTTTAAACGGTTGATAAAACACCGGCTGGTTTTAAACACATTTTCTAGCACCGCTGCGTTCTGGGCTATTTTCAGTACTACTCGTGAGAGGCACTTACCATAAACACAGCTAGAGGGGTGTTTCACAAAACATAAAGTAAAATTGTTGAACAAAATCGTCGGAAATTTATAATTTTGGACACGTTTTGACTTTTTGACCGAAAGGTATTGATGAATGGGAAAAAAAATAAGTGCTTGGCTGGTATTAAACGAGTACATGTACATTTAAAACCAGCTAAGACTTGGTCACCGATAATGGCCCTTGCCTTCAGATCGGGCTATTATATGCGTCCAGGCCCCTAGCCAGTTTTAAACCTACTTGTTTAAAACTGGCCAAGCATTACTTTACCACTTCAAATGGCTCTGCCTTTTACTCACTGTAGTGCCCGAAACAATCTAAGAACTCTATGGTTACATTGATTCACCAGTGAATAAACACAATGTAATACAATGTAGTACACTTGCTATTGGGTTAAAGGGAATGTACATCATTGGCTTTTGCTGTAATTCTCAGAAATGAACTATTTGAGGGGTTAGTATAGTAGATCAAATATTGTTTAACTGACATGTTTGAAGTTTTGTGTTCGAAAATGCTTGAAAAACCAAGAAAAACAAAACTGTTTAAGTAGTCTGGTTCCCTGACTCCACTAAAGATAAAATGGATCAATTTATAGATGTCGGAAAATTGTAAGAAAAGTGAACCAGTCTAGCTGGCCTGCACCCGTTCATGAACATGTAACCAATAGCAAACAAACTTTGGACTGGAAAAAATTGTAAATTTGGAGCAGTAGTTGAAAAATAGTTAGGTTTTTCCAACGGTGGTCGGCCGACCACCGTTGGAAATGTATACAAAAATACCTTTTTCTTGAAAATGACTCGACACCAGGTGCCATAATTTTACAGGATGCTTTAGACTGTCATTGACCAACATCCCAGTAAGGTATTTCGTTAAAACTTGGTAGTTTTATTTTTCGATGTTTGCATACATATGTTGTATATTCCCTTTAAGTTTACCGGTGACATGTGTTGTGTGTTATACCATATATCAGGGAAACATCCATTTTGAGAGTGAGGACAAGGAGACCTGTTCCATCAGTAATCCCGGCGAGCTGTCCACCATCGCCACGCTGCTGGGCGTCAGCCGCGAGGAGCTGGAGAAGGCACTGTGCTACCGCGTGGTGGCAGCGAAGGGGGAGGTCATGGAGAAGAGCCACACCACGGAGCAGGCCTACTACGGCAGGGATGCGTTTGCCAAAGTAAGGCACATCTGTCGTTTATCTGCTTCAGATTTTTGTTGCATATTAGTCCAGCCCGCTCTAAACACCTCACAAGTGCTGTGCCAAATTCAACTAAATAAATGTTCATACAAAGAAATTGTTTGAACCTGCGACCTCCGGATTGCCGTTCTGGTGCTCTACCAAATGAGCTATCCAGCCCTATGTTGGCGGTTCCCCAATTAATTTGAGCCAGGTAGCAGCTCAGCTACAGCTCTGAATGGTATATTAAATGCATCCAGAGAAGCTTGCTATGATTAAAGTACTTTCAAGCAGTTAAAAAAATACTTTCAGTCTCAACCAGTATTCACACTGCATTCACTCCCCATCATGCGGACACGAGCAAGAATATATGAGCACGTCATTTCTGAAATGTTCAACCCAGCTTTGAATTAAATTGAGTTTGGCATTTATTATTGTAATTTTTCTGGTAATGAAACCAAAGATTCCTCAAAAGCGCTTTAGGCACTGTAACTCACAAGCCTGAAGAAACCTGTAGAGAGGAGACAATGAGAAGAAATGACAGTTTTAGAGGTGGAAGGAAACCCCCAGAAGAACATTCTGGGGAAAACCCACGGAATCAGGTAGGGACTGAAAAACCCAATCTACATGTGGCCAGCGGTGGAAGGCGAGGAAAGAACCGCTAAGCAGTGGCACAGCAATTAAACAGTGCCATGTGTCTCTACCGTAAATTTATTTTCCTTTTTATTACCTTTAATAGGCTATATACGAGAGACTATTTACCTGGATTGTCGGCATGATAAACAGTGCCATTGAGGTACAGGGGACCAGTCTAGAGCATGGGAAGAACACTGTCATTGGGGTGTTGGACATCTACGGCTTTGAAATCTTCGATGACAACAGGTATGTCATGGTCATTGTAGTGGCATTGGTTTTGTTGTTAAAGAAGCCACATATACCATGGACCTACATATACGGTTCATTTTAGGAGATACGACTTTGTTGCACGGATACGACGAAATGTCTGTGATGTTAGTTCGTCGAGTGGTTTTATTGTTCATCAAATGCCAGTTTTTGTGGACAGCAACTCTACACATGTGGGCCAAATTTCACGGCGCTGCTAGCATAGCAGAAAAATTTGCTAACCTTAAGCACTATTTCACGGCGTGGATGTACTAACGGTGGCAAGTGCATGGAGATTTCTATTGTTACGTCACTAAGTTAAGCAAATTTTTCCTCTGAAGTAACCGTGCCTTTTGCTGCGCTTACTGCTTACGGTCTCCATGAAATAGACGGAGGCTCTGTTATCAGAAAATCGTGTGCTTAGCAGCTGTGAAATTGGGCCCTTATGTGAGAGCTTACATGCATGGCATGTATATACAGTCGACTCTCGTTAGTACAAACTCTGTTAATACAAAATTCTGGTTATAACAAACATAAGGCCTTGGTCCCGACTGTGCATTTATGTGCACAATGAATGGGACTGATGTTCCTCTTAATACAAAATTCTGATATAACAAACAATTTGGCTAGGTCCGAACGAGTTTGTATTAACAAGTCAATGTCAGTGCTTTGAATATTCAAATATTCTATCAAATCCCCAATTCCAATAGTTCCAATGATTAATAAAATACTAAATTATTTGAAAATACACAGCACTAGAATGTTACTTCCTATCCCTAGGGTGGCACGGGTGGCTTGTGCGTAAAGCGCTCGCCTCTCACCAAGGTGACCACGGTTCGAATCCTGGCCGCGGATCGCATGTGAGTAGAGTTGTGCGTTAGTTCTCTCCTGTGCCATGAGGGTTTTTCTCCGGGCCCTCCGGTTTTCCTCCCTCCGGAAAAATCAAACACTTTCGATCTCAGGCTGTGCTCCGTGGTCTTATATGGGTCAATGTGGCCGGCAGCCAGAGGCGCCTTAACGTGCCAGCAGCCCGACCACGTTGTAGCCGCGTCCTTCGCAATTCAGCATCCCAGCTGCGAGTAAGGATGATTAGCCTCCCAAATTATTATTATTATTATTATTACTATCCTGCAGTTTTGAGCAGTTCTGCATCAACTACTGCAACGAGAAGCTACAGCAGCTCTTCATCATGCTGGTGCTCAAGCAAGAGCAGGAGGAGTACCAGCGGGAGGGCATCGAGTGGGTCACCGTGGAGTACTTCAACAACCGCATCATCTGTGACCTGGTGGAGGAACCCCACAAGGGCATCATGTCCGTCCTGGATGAAGCCTGCCTCAATGTGGGCAAAGTCACTGACCAGGTAAAACAAGACAAAGCAAGCCTAACGCTAGTCCCAGAGCGCGCAAAATTCTATTGAATGGATAGCTAATGTTTTATTTTAACTAAAAAAACATACCCTTTTCAAGCTCTGGCAGGAGAGTCACATCTACATGTCACTTCGTGGTCGGCTGGTCGGTCGCTCAGTCCACGGAAATTTGACCAATAACGATCCCCTTAGTTTCCCATCAAATACAACTACCAAATTTAATTTTCAAAAAAAAAACAAACAAAATGACTTTAATACTTAACAAAAATTGTTTGTAACAATTCGTAAAGTTGTTTATCAAAAATTTGTAAATGGAGGCGAAATATGTGTAGTAATGTTACAGTCGTGTAGTACACGTATATAGCGCGCTATGTATCACACTATACACGCATGCAACTTTTCCTCGGATCCGCTGATTTCCTCTTCTCCAAAAGCCATTGAAAAAAAATTGAAAAACACTGTACAAAGTCTTGTGTGGTTTGGAATTTCCTCGTTTTTTTTTCTAAATCCCAGTTGCATGCCCGGCTATATAGCACGCTATATTTTGTGGGAAAGTTAGGGGGCTTATTTTAGTCAATTTTTTGGGGATGGACTAGGGCAGTGTGATTTTCGGTGAGACGGCGACCCGGGCTTGTACGCACAATCTCCGGTCAACGTTATACAAGACTTTCATGCAAGATAGCCAGAGCTTATTGTGCACTTGCGCTTGTTTTTTGGCATCTAGAAATCCTCTGAAAATATGGCTTTTCTTTTTGAGAGGGGTTGTTTTTTGCCTCTGCTAATGTATCAAACATCCGCCTGAATAAGTGTCCAGCCACAAATATTTTGAAATTTGTAACGTTATTATCGCGTAATTAAACACGGACAGATTTATTCGTTCCCTGTTTACTCTAAAAGCCAAAAATTTCTCGATTGCTAGAATTGTGCTAACAAGCTGTTGGCATTCAGTAGTCATTTTGTTACACTTTCCTTTGTCTCTAGATGTTTTTGGAAGCCATGAATCAGAAGCTCGCCAACCATCCACACTACACCAGCCGAGCCCTGGAACCTGCAGACAAGTCACTGGATCACAATAGAGACTTCCGCATCCGGCACTATGCTGGGGATGTCCTGTAAGCAGTCTGAATTAAATACACTGTTAATGTACGTCATATCCTATCCAGGTCGTGCGAAGTCTTGTGGGCCAAGGACCTTGTTGTTTATTGTATTTTCAATTTGTTTGGCAAATATGGATTCATATCAGTAACGGATCTAGGGGTGGGGGGGTGCAACCCCCCGTGTTCAGCCACTGACTAATGTTATGAGACTAATAAAATGGGCCAAAAAATAATAATTGAAATGCTGAAGTTCCATAAATTTAGGCTAAATTTATTCTCAAATTGCCTTAGAATGCAGGAGAAAGCATCATAGATTTCCCGGGGGACTAAGCCTTCACTCAACATTCCCCCTCCCCCAGCCCCCCCCCCATCTCCCCGCCTTCATTCCCCCCCCCCCCCCCCCCCCCCCCTTCATTCCCCCCCCCCCCCCCCATTTCCTGAAAGCTATATCCGCCCCTGCATATTGTAGCATCACATTTCTGTGGTTATTCATGTTATTTGAAAACTGTACGGTCCTGAGTCCTTTTGGAAGCATTTACATGTACTTCCTTTTGGACTAAACATGTTTAAAATTAGAGCTGTGCAGTACCTGACAGTTAATGTCAGAAACCTAGATAATAGGATCGCTTTAATACCCGTAACCAACTTTAGAAATTACTAAGTTACTTCTCAGGCAATGAAAAAAGAAAGGTTTTGAAGTCATTGGTGGGGAATTTTCAAAATGAAAACCAGGCCACTTGGAGAAAACAAAACATATTTCACATTTATGATGCTCCTGGAAGCTGCAGTTAACACTGTTAAGCTGTAAAGCTCATTGTACATGTATCTTGCTGTATTGATGCACAAATGCAGTAGCATTATCATGCGGACCTTTCTAAACAATCTCAACAGAAAATTCTGAGATTTAAATTTTGGCATTTTTGGCATTTTTGGCATTGGGTACCCTTGTTTTTTCAATCGGGTCCCCGGTTCCATTGCTACCCTTAAATGCACACCCTATTTACAATGAAATCATACTAGTTGGAAAGATAATTAATTAAGGAATATAAATGTGAGCGGATTTCTTCCCCCAAAGATACATACATCTGCAGAAACAGGTGTAGATATACCGTGGGTAGTCCGAAAATTTGGGACTCTCAATACTATGTATGAGAGTCCCAAATCCTAAAGTACCAATAAGGTACTTGTTGGACTGGTTGTTTCAGACTGACATCTGAAACAACCAGTCCAACAACTCTTCAGTACTGCATTAATCAACTGTCAGCTGACTGTGCCAAAAGAAAGATCTATGTCGGGTACTAGGTCACTATTTCTACACATTTCTCCATAGTCAGGCACCTGACTAATGACAATGAATGAAGGAGTCAGTCTTGTCAAACAGTTGGACAATGGATGGACATATAGAAGTCTAGTCTTTAGCCTCATTTTTAAATCACTTGACTTCCCTCTCATGTGCAATGCAAGCCACTGCCAAATATTGAAGAAAAGTCTCCTTTAAAAATTGAATTGAAGCTTCAAACTTGGTTGGTAAAATACTGAGGACCTTTTCTTTCCCACAGTGACAGTTTTGGAGAAATTTGCTGGCTAAGGAGTGAGTAAAGTTGGCCTGATCTTCTTTTGCATCGTTTTGAGTACTTAAGGTCCCAGTCTGGTGTAGATACATGTACCTCTGAACAACCCATATATCATTGCTCTTGACATGTATATTTGACAGGTATGATGTGAATGGTTTCATCTATAAGAACAAGGATACCCTGTACCAGGACTTCAAGAGACTGTTGTTCCTCAGCTCCAACCCAGTCATCTCGGAGATGTGGCCGGAAGGACAGATGAAAATGACCGAGGTTTGACAATTGTTATTAAAGGCTTTTTTGGCTTTCGCTGTAATTTTCAGAAATGAATTATTTGGGGGGTTAGTATAATAGATCAAATATTGTTACACTGACATGTTTGAAGTTTTGTGTTCGAAAATGCTGGAAAACCAAGAAAAACAAAAATGTTCAAGAAGTCTGGTTCCCTGACTCCACTAAAGATGAAATGGTTCAAAAATGCCGGAAAATTGTAAGGTAAGGGAACCAGTCTAGCTGGCCTGCACCCGTTCATGAACATGAAACCAATAGCAAACAAAATATGGACTGAAAAAAAAACACGGTAAATTTGGATCAGTAGTTGAAAAACAGTTAGGTTTTTCCAACGGTGGTTGGCCAACCACCGTTGGAAATGTATTCAAAAGTACCATTTTGCTTGAAAATGACTTCACACCAGGTGCCCTAATTTTACAGGATGCTTTAGACTGCCATTTACCAACATCCTAGTAAGGTATTTCGTAACAACTTGGTAGTTTTATTTTTTGATGTTTGCAAATGTTGTACATATTTTCTCTTTAAAAGTTGTGTTCGCTATGCTGCTTTCAAATTTCATCCTGAAAATTAGATTCCTTTTCAGAATTGCTATTTTTCCAGCAATACAAAAGTTATCTACTTTTCAATGAAACATCTACTGAAAAATCGGCCCACGTTTAGTTACTGACTAATAACTAGGAATACTAATGTCAACAAAAGTTAAGCCAGCATTGAAGGACTACCATGCTCAGTGGTATTCTGAGTACCACCCAAGGTGTCAGTAAATGTGATAAGATTACTTTATGTAGTACTGAAATATTCCTTCACATTCCTTGATAGGTAACAAAGCGGCCACTCACAGCAGGAACCATATTCAAGAATTCCATGATTGAACTTGTCAAGAATCTGGCCTCCAAGGTGAGATAATAGTCAAATCTTGTTTCCCTAATTATGTAGTACCGGTAATTCTTAAAGAGAAAGATAACTTCACCTCTTATGACCTTGCGTTTAACCCTTAAACTCTGTTTAAGACCGGTTGGAGTCTGGCGAGGGTACATTTCCTAATTATCAGCATCCAGACTCCAACCTGTCTTAAACATAGTGTTTAATACCGGCCAAGCACATATTTATTCCCATTCATAAATGCCTTTTCGGTCAAAAATCTAAACTTTATTTAACAAAAATCAAACGAATTTATTTGCTTCTTGTGTTTCGAAACACGTCTCGCGAAAAGTCGTGAACAACTCCTTATATGGAGATTGGCAAGCGTACTACATGTATGCGATGCTGTGTAGAACGCAGCTGTGCCGGTGTGTTGTGAATTTAGGACTATGAAATACTGACTCAATGGCAGAATTGCTTATGGGTGCATGAGGATTGTGAACATTCAACTTACAAAACGGTAAAAGGCACCGGATTTCATAATAGTAAAAATTTCATGTGACTCTGGAAAAGTGTTTAAGACCGGCCAGCCATGTCGTTATCAACCGTTTAAAACTGGCCATGCGACAGGCTCACGACCAATAGGAAGGGGTAAACTGTCTGAGGTATTTATGAATTGTGATTAAAGGCATATAGGATCATTTGCATTTCATGTATTATGTTTCTTTCCAATCAGACCACTCAAAATCCAAAGAAGAATGCTCAAAACCTAATTCCTGTTAAAGTTTGATCTCAGTGGATATTAATATTTTTGAGAAAACAATGAAACACCATGTCCCCATCACCAAAACACGATTTCGTCTATAGCACTCTTTATATCAAATAATCAGTCAATCGACTGATCGTTGAGAATCACCTATATTTTTGATTTCTTCTCAATAACAGCAAGAAAGACAGGATAATTTGACGGGGTGTTTAGTATGAGTATGAACCTTAATCCAAGTAAGCTTTTTGATAATAATTCCGTACCTGTATGTTACTTTTGGGATCTATGCAAATGATCCTGTGCCTTTAAAAAGCTCATTATCAATATTACTGAGATCTTTGTCAACAGCTTTATTGATCGATAGATTTGGAATCGATTAAAAATGGAATCATAAACTCTTGACGGAATTTGAATCAATTTCAAAATTTGGGAATCAACAAAATCTAAGTGCTAATTCATCGTCGGTCGAATATATTTTTGTCTATTTCAACTGCTTCATGTGTTTGCCAACAGGAGCCATACTATGTCCGCTGCATCAAACCCAACGAGGCCAAATCTCCTCTCTTGTTTGACGGCGAGCGTTGCCTTCACCAGGTCCGGTATCTGGGTCTCCTGGAGAATGTGCGGGTGAGACGGGCGGGGTTCGCGTCCCGCCAACACTACACCAGGTTCCTGCAGAGGTGAGGGCATTCATTTAAAGGGAAGATACAACATTTGCAAACATCGAAAAACAAAATGATCAAATTATCACGAAATATCTTTCTCAATTGTTAGGGAATGACAGTCTAAAGTATCCTGTAAAATCGTGGCTCCTGGTGTGCTGACATTTTCAAGAACACTTGTATTTTTCCAACGCTGGTCGGCCGACCAGTGTTGGAGAAAACTGTTTTTTTTAAATGCTCCTAATTTTTCACATTTAGTTATTCAGAATTTTCTTTGCAATTGATCCCCCTTTGGGTACACGGGGTTCACGCCTGCTAGACCGATTCTCTGACCTTACAATTCTATAAATACATGTAGCTCCGTTTCATCTTAAGTGGAGCCAGGGAACAAGTACATGGTTGGTTTTGTGGATTTCCCAGCGTCTCCGAACCCAAAACGTGAAGCAAGTCAGTTTAACAATATTTGCTAGAACATACTAATCCTCCAAATCCATTTATTTCTGAAAATTGCAGCAAAAGCAAATGTTGTACATTCCCTTTAACCCTAACAGAGCTCAACCCATCAAACCCCAACGGCATGTTTTGTTGGAGCCTGTCAGGATGGGTAACAGTTCCCCTAAACTGACAGTCTTTTACATTGGGTTGGCACACCTCCAGAAACAAAGTCAGAAATATGTGTGTGCAGTTTCCCATGGTGTTGGAATTTGCCAGCATGGGTATGGTTCCTAGTATATCACGCTAGGGAGTTAAAGCCAGAGTCCATCATTTGCAGCTATCCAAAAAGTAACTGGCGTAATTATTGTTGAAAAATATACTTGGTTGAAAGATAGTAAGGGGACTAAACTCCCTGTGAAATTATTCTTTCTGGCAAGCTGTCAGTTTGAAGAAATCAAAGAAAGAAGGCCTTTCCAACGGTGCGTCTTAAGATGCACCGTTGGAAATTTCCGTTAGTAGTGTTTTGTTTTTGTTTTTTATTCGACGAAGCGCACGCAAGCCCTGACACGATGCACACGTGCGCGCAGTTGCTATAATTCGTCGGATCGGTGCGCCACATCGCATAGCTGCAATCGGCTCAGAGAGAACGTGTCTCGGACGCTGAATTCAGGCCAAATTGAAAACATGATTCAGCAACTTTTGATTTGAAATCGAAATCCTAGAATGTTGTTTTTCTCAAAATATACAGCTGAAACTGAGCTGTAACTTGATCAGGTTAGTTGTTCAGCACCTTTCTTTAGATTTTGAGCACTTTTGTTGCTTCAAACGAACAAAATGCACAAATTACAAATGATGGACTATACCTTTAATAAGCCGTTTGAGATATGTTGGACACAATAGCATGAAAGCATATGTGTCGTGCGGGACATTCAGGGATTGCTTTCAAGCCTGTTAACTAAAAATTACAAAGTAAAGGTTTTCCCGGCTAATTTCATAAAATGTTCATTCACTTCTGAAAATCGGTCATTCATTTTCGTCTGAATTTGAGAATCGCTTTGAACATGCGTTTCATTTTCGCTACCAGAGCATTCGATTCCATTTCAGTTCAATCAATTCAGTGATTGAGCAGCACATTTTGTTTATGCTCATTCAGATTCGTTTACAAGACTTCCTTTCCGCTTTTAGGGGGCGATTTCAAAAGTTGGTCATTCTATTTCACTTTTAGTTTAATGTTATGTGATGTAATCTGCTATTTTGAATGAGAAAAACGTACTTTTAATTGCACATTCACGAAATTGTATGCCAGAACTCTACGCGAAAAGGTATTGCTTGCGTAAATGAATGCACAGGTAACGTAATTGGCCGTCTGTTTCACAAAACCGAATGAAAACGAACTTTCGTTGAATTGAAATGGGATTAAAGACGTGCATTCAAAATCAGACGAAAATGAATGACCGATTTTCAGAAGTGAATGAACATTTTAGGAAAACCGAGAAAACCTATATTAAAGTAAAATTAACAATCCGGGGACAGTAAAAGAGTGGTATCACAAAGCTTTGCTCAATAATTAAGTTGGCTGAAAATTTCTTTTTCAGGATAATGCTAACAATTTAAAGTGTCGATCGGTACGCAGAAAAACTACACCAGGTTCGAACGGGACGCAGAAAATTCCCTTTTTTTTCCCCGGCTATGTCCATTATTCGGATCCAGGCACTTAGCCAGTTTTAAACGTACTTCTTATAAACCGGCCAAGCACATATGTGACCCACTCCAGGAAAAGGTGATATAAGTCGTAAAAAAAAATTTTCAAATTATATACATGACTGGAAAGCCCTCAGCTTTCATTTGGTATATGACACAGCTCTATAGCCCTTCTCATTGTGGAGATATGACAAATTTGCATATTAATTAGTTCCATCATGTCCATGGAGTTCAAATTACACAACTGAGAAAACAGGCTATGAAATAGCTGGCTCTGTTGTAGATTGGGGCAAGAAAAACTCACTTTTAGTCTCTTAGCAACCAACATGTTCCTGTTTTACTATCACTTTCAAACTTCGGATATTGATTCTACAATGATTATTTTCAATGATTTTGGGGAAAAAGAGACTTTTTGAAACAAGATTACTATCTTTTGGCTAATTTGCATATTGATTAAAAAATTGTAGTTTTTGGATGTAAAATAAAGAGAAAAGTGCACACAAAATAAAGGTAATTTTTTTCCCTTTATTCATCGAAATCAACATTTCTGTGAATGAATCCTTAAAGGGAATATACATCATTTGCTTTTGCTGTAATTTTCAGAAATGGATGGAATTGGGGGGTTGGAAATATAAAGCAAATATAGTTACACTGACTTTTTGGAGGTTTTGGGATCGAAAATGCTATAAAAACCAAGAAAAACGATCATTTTCCTGTAGTCTGGTTCCCTGACTCCATATAAGAAGAAACAGAGCAGTTTACATACATTGGGGAATTGTAAGGTCAGGGAACCAGTCTAGCTGGCTCGTACCCGTTCATAGGTTTGTAATCGATTGCAAACAAGTGCAATGGTCAATTGGGGCCAGTATTTGAAAAAAAGCCAGTTGTTTCCAACGCTGATCGGCCGATCAGCGTTGGAAATTGATACAAAAATACCACTTTTCTTGAAAATGACAGTATACCAGGTGCCATAATTTTACAGGATGCTTTAGACTGTCATTTACCAACATCCTATTAAGGAATTTCGCAAAAACTTGGTAGTTTTATTTTTCGATGTTTGCAAATGTTGTATATTCCCTTTAAATTTTAGGTATCAAAGATGTCATTTAAGACAAAAAAAGGAATTTGGATTTTGACGGAAATTTCACCCTCTCAACGTTCAGCGGGCCATTACACGTTAAGGCATAACGCGACTTATATCACCTTTTCCTGGTGCGGGTCACATATTTATTCCCTTAATATTCTTTTTCTTCAGATACAAGATGCTTTCACAGTTCACGTGGCCAAATTTCCGGGGCGGTGCAGACAGACAAGGCGTGGAGATCTTGCTACGAGAGAAGCAACTAGAGCACGACGTTGCCTACGGTAAAACCAAACTGTTCATCAGGACACCACGTACTGTGTATGCGTTGGAAGAAGCACGTACACAGCTCATACCCCCTATTGCTGTCTTTCTACAAAAGGTGAGTTGAGCCTTTTTAACCCTCCTACTGTTTGATCAATCACAGACAGTCGGTAACTCAATCCACTTCCCCTTCCATAACTTACGCACAGGCTAGTCACCAACAGTCGGATCGTACTTATCGTAGGCACTGTGACTAGTCAAATTCCATCAACAGACAAAAGCAAGTAACTGGTAGGTACAGCTGGCTTTAAAGGGAATATACATCATTTGCTTTTGCTGTAATTTTCAGAAATGGATGGATTTGGGGGGTTGGTACTATATAGCAAATATTCTTACACTGACGTTTTGGACATTTCAGGTTCGTAGATGCTATAAAACCAAGAAAAACAATTAGTTTCATGTAGTCTGGTTCCCTGATTCCATTTAAGATGAAACGGAGCAATTTACAGACGTTGGGGAATTGTAAGCTTCAGGAAACCAGTCTAGCTGGCTTGTACTCGTTCATAGGTGTGTAATCAATTGCAAACAAATGCGGACTAACTGAATATGGTCAATTGGGGCCAGTATTTGAAAAAAGCCAGGTTTTTTTCCCAACGCTGGTCGGCCGACCAGCGTTGGAAATTGATATGAAAATACCACTTTTCTTGAAAATGACAGTACACCAGGTGCCATGATTTTACAGGATGCTTTAGACTGTCATTCACTAAGACTGAGTCCAGCAAGGTATTTCAAAATAATTGAGTAGTTTTATTTTTTTTATGTTTGCAAATGTTGTATTTTCCCTTTAATCAATCTCTTACAGTCAAAGCATAGCTGTATCAAGTTACAATGTACATAAACAGTCGCAGCCAGTCAATTCTGCTTTATGTACATGTAGGCAGGGAGAACTCAGCTGTTAAAATCAGTCACTCTGATTGATTTTGACTGCTGGCATGGCTTTGTTGAATGCATTTCTCATCAGGAATGCATTCAAATCCCTCAAACGAATTTTTTTTTAAATTTGTGGGTTTCAAATGTTCTTGTCAAATTCCATAGATGCATGAAATTCTGTGGATATTGAATATGTGGTGCGTTCTAGCAAAATGAGACGGATCTGGGCGTATGCCGTAGTGGAGAAAAATGCAGAAAAATTGAAAAAACTCTGTTGGACCTTGCTGCATTGAGCCATCAACACCAACTGTGCATAAATGGCCAATTCTGAAACTATGAGAGCTAATCCCATTGAACAATGCGACCGTTGTATCCAGCTGCATTCGGAGACCACAGACTCTTAGGCAGTTTGGCCTTGATGAGATTTTTGACCTGATGAAGTTTGCTGCACTGGGCAGTTTTCATTCTGTTTTCAAAATGTTTACTTCAAAAAGTCCTTTTTAAACATACCAGTATTAACTTTTTACAATGCCAGTCGCATTGCAACGATGTGTAGGAAATGAGACAACGAGATTCCACATTTTTCACCCGTTCATCTGTGCAGATTTGGAGGGGTACGCTGGCACGACAGCGCGCCCACAAGATGCGGGCCATCTACCGCATCATGGCGTCCTACCGACGCTTCAAAATTCACCGCTACCTGTACAAGCTGCAGGACACATTCCGAGACGTCCGGAGTCTCAGCGACTACGGGAAGAGCCTGGAGTGGCCCGAGCCCCCTAAGGTGCTGAAGAAATTCAACCGGCTGTTGCAGAAATGTCACAGACAGTATGTATTCAATTCCAACCAAATGACTAATTGTCATTCACCTGAGGTGCCTGCCAGATACTTGTTCCATTGCTTTACATCATTTTGTGTATCGTGCATAACAGGGAAATTCAAGGAAAGATATTTTCTCTCCTTGTTCTGTAACTGTAACCATAGGCTTACGATAATTTATTTGACACTTGCGGTTTTGTTATACAATTCTCATTGATATAGTTGACACTTACGGTTTCAGATTGCAATTTTCAATCAAATTACGAACATGTAAGTTTAAGTACTTGTACTAATGATATTGGTGTACATGTACATAACTTGTATATTGTGCATAACAGGAAAATATAGGGAAAAATTATTTCTTTCCTTGTTCCTGTAACTGTTACCGCATACTTGCCTTAATTTATTTGACACTTGCGGTTTCATTTTACAATTTTCATTTATAAATTTGACACTTACAATTTCAAATTGCAATTTTGACTCAAATTACGTACATGTAAAGTGAAAGGTAAATATACAACATTTGCTTTTGCTGTAATTTTCAGAAATGGATGGATTTGGGGGTTAGTATTTTGTAGAAAACATTGTTACACTGACCTGTTTAATATTTGTGTTTTATAGAAGCTGGAAAATCCAAGAAAAAAATGTCGTTCTTGTAGTCTGGTTCCCAGACCCTACATGTACTTCAGACGAAACGGAGCAATTTATAGCATCAGGGAATTGTTAGGTCCGGGAACCAGACTAGCTGGTTCGCACCATTCACGAATGTGTAACCGATTGTAAACAAAATCTGGACTAAGTAAATTGGGGGCAGTATTTGAAAAAAAGTCCCTTTTTTCCCTCAACGATGGTCGGCTGACCATCATTGGAAATCGATACAAAAATTTCACTTTCCTTGAAAAGGACAGCACACCAGGTGCCATGAGTTCACAGGATGCTTTAAACTTATTCACTCACAGTCAAGTATTGTAATAACTTAGCAGTATTGTTCTTTGATGTTTGCAAATGTTGTATATTACCTTTAACATGTTTAAGTACTTGTTTACATGTATATAAGGCCAACAAAAAAAAATAGTCGGTCTCTGGTCAGACCGAAGTTCAGGAATTGATGCGGCGACGCAGGGGTTTTTGGGATTTTTTGGTGGCTTTTTTTTTTCAAGCTTGAATTGTACAGACAAGGTGGGTACTATTTTGCTTTTTTGTGTCCTCATTATACATTTGTGTCCTCCATAATCTGCCTTGGTGCCCTTTATCATTTGCCTTGGTGCAATTTCCCCATTCCTTGGTGCTCCTTGGTACAAAAATTTGAGGAGGTGCGGCAATAGAGGGTGCTGTTGTAGCTTCCGTGTTAATTTGAAGGGAAAAAAAGGTTGACACGCATGATTAAAATCGACGCGCACGCTGACCAGAGACCGAGTAATTTTTTTTGTTGGCCTAACAGGAAAATACAAGGAAAGATATTTTCTTACCTTGTTCCTGTAACCTCAGGTGTATTTTGATTTATTTGACACTAACAGTTTCATTATACACATTTGAATCTAACAGTTTCATTATACAAATTTGACACTTACAGTTTCAAAATGCAATTTTGAATCAAATTACGTACAGGTAACGGAAGTAATTGTCCATGCAATAATGATTGGCAGACTGAATTCAAGTATGCATACAAGTAGTACAGTGAAATCTCAATAAGTTAAAACCAGTTAACTCGAAAACCCTGTTAAATCGAAGTTAGAACTTATTCCCATCAAAAGAATAGCAAATCATGTATAAACATGCCCACGCTCACTCAAAATTTCAGACTGGAAACTTGGTTATGTCGAACTCAAAATTCCCAGGTGTGGACTTAAGCTTGCATATAATAAGGCCACAGAAGAAACTGGATTCCTTCTGTTAGTTAAGAAATCTCCCACGACCCAGTCAATACATGTAAACCCAAACATGGGTATAGAAAAGCAACAATGCGGCTAGCGTCCGTAGTATCGTTGAAGCAGCCTATGCACTGCGGTGCAACTGACAACGATCCAAGCGAACCGTGACCAATCACACATGAACATGTCGAACTCCCGAAATTTTTATGCATTCCCTTGAGATTTGACTTAACGAGATTTCACTGTACGTGCAGTTCCTTTTCATTAATACATGTACAGACCATTCACAGCCTTGAGAACTTGTTGTACATGTGTAGTCGAGTTTATAAAACCTCACCCACAGATTCTGTGTCTTGATTGGCCGAGAGCGAGTCACATGGTACTTTCTATTTTTGCTATCTTTCAGTGCACGGCCAAAAGTACTATACCCGTAGCAACCAAAGTACTATACCATGGCGCGGTATTTGTGGGCAAATGCATGCTGGTGTGCGCGGTGAGCGTTGTGCGTATTGTTCCCAAGAGAGCGCGCCACAGAGTTGGGTTCAAACATTTCGTGAAGAGGTGGTTGAGAAGAGAGAAATACATTTCCCACTAATTTTGTATTGAAATTGAAGTTTATTTCAACTGTGTTCAGATTTAAATAATTTAATATATTACATCCAAGCATAATCTGTGGGTGAAGTGTTATAAAACAAATATTGAATGTTTATCTCGTGGTGTAGTAAAACTAGCCTCCCTCGGTGATCCATGGAGCATTCTATTTTCCCTTGGCTTCGCCTCGGGAAAATAGAATGTCCATGGATCACCTCGGGAGGCTAGTTTTACTACACCACTCGAAGCTGTCAATATTTCTATACCATCACATGTCTCCGGCCCAAAGTAAATCACTAGATCGTTCACAACGGTACTTGTGTACGGAGCCCGTATTAATGAAGCTCTTTGTGACAGGTGGATGTGTCGCCTAGTGCTGAACCGACTGCCCAAGACCGACTGGCCAGAGATGAAGTTGAAGATAGCTGCCATGGATGCACTGAACGGCCGATGCCAAGACTGGGGCTACAAGAGGAAATGGCAGGGCAACTACCTCGCTTCCGTAAGGACAGTTACACCCGTTTCAGATTAACCTAATTACTCTGAAGAATTTGAATTCAGTACATGAAATGTTCAATGCTTGAAACAGTTACGAGTGACAAACGATCAACTGTTTCAGTCATTTGGAGCTATTTAACCCTTTCAGTGCCCGCGAAATTTGAAAAGTTTAACCCTAAAGTGCCCAACTTCGAGCGTTTTTTGTAATTGTTCAAAATTCTGTAAAAAAAAAAGTAAATAAGTTTTACTCACTAAATTTGTAGTAGTCACGTACGTACATGTAGTGCTACACCCTGAAACACTGTCCTGCAAACAGGGAAATTCCGCACTTTTTGCAGAAAATACGAGTGTCAGTGCTGCGCCCTCTTGCAAGAACTCGAATGAAACAAATAAATACAGGTTGTACCTGAATAAAAATGATATTATTAGAAAGAGCGAGAGCACCCCCTTGTGATAACATGCTTACTCTACCTCATACGAGGTTAGATGTACGAGGTTTGGCGATTTTAGGTACGAACATTACCTCGTACATGTACGAGGTTGGCAGTTCGAACTAACAAATATACCTCGTACATGTACGACTTTGGCACTGAAAGAGTTAAACATTTAGTCATTGGAAAACGAATACATAAAATTGGCCGGTCTGAAACTAAACCTTTTAGGGTTGGCCTGGGTCGCTCCTAATACCGGTAGTACCGTTAGTTGGTTCACTGTGACTCTGGAATGCCAGTCTAAAACAGGTCATAAACACATTTTTTCACCAAATCATGTCAACAGTGATACAACAAACTGACACTCGGTGCATAAAATATATATGCATACATGCAGAGTAAAGACCAGTTCATACACAAAGCGTAAGCGAAGCAAATTTTGTGATTTCAACAATTGAAGTTTCACTGTGACATTCGCCATTACGCTAACGAATTCACCTTGCACTGAAGCTCGTGTGAAGTACGGTACATGTGTGATCTAACCTTTTGGCTGTGATTTTCCAAATGTTTAGAATTTAAGTACTTTTCTAAATGAAACCGTATCAAAATAAAACCGCATAACAAAACAACTAATCAATACAGCTTAGCAGGGTCCAAGCCACTCTGAAAATCAAGGAAAACCTGTAAGAAAAAAGGAGTTTCCATTTGTTTTTCCAGTTAAGAAAACTCAGGGAATATGGAAACAACACAAGAAAAATCAGGGAAAACTCAGAGAGTTTAACAGTGACCCAGATGGACAAGGTTTTCGCAATTTTGACATATGCATCTTATGCCATGTGTCCATGTTGTGTTCATTGACTGACTGGCTATGGTGGCTTTTTAGTGTTTATGCAGTGCGAATATTACACACTTCTCCAGACAATAACAATCAAAATCCCAGCAAACTCGTTAAAGTTTTGAAATTTCTCGGGGAATTGTTTCCATAAAGTGCTGGGAACCCTGTTTTACATGGACCCTTTCATTAACAGCTGTCAGACCGGAAATGTGGAGTGTAGCTGCATGTATATTGCTCTGTGCATTGTTCGACAGCACACAATCCCCATTCAGAGCAACGCAATGCACCTGTAAAAGGGCCTACAGCGCGTCCCAAATTACCCGCAAAATACCCGCAAGAGCGGAACTCTAGAGTCGGCGCAGAAACACGTACTGGTATTATTTTTATTGGTAAAGCTTGGAATCTTAACTTTATCCTGACGAGAATTGGTTTGATATTTAAAAGAGTTTTAAAATTATTCGTGTTCAAGTAAAGGCATTTCAAACTTTTCAAGGACCAGTTTTATGTTATCACAAATAATATTTAGCGCTGAGTTAATGTTAACAAGCTGTTGAAATAACGAAACAAAAACAGTTGATTTATATCAAAAGCACATTGAACTTGAAATGAAAATCACTAGTGTGACTTTCTTTAAGGTGTAGTCTACGTGGATCGAAAAAATAGGAAACACAGAAAGTAAAAAGCAACAAGATTGTCATGTCATTAACATGATGAACCATTTCCACATTGGAAAAATGTGTGTGATGATTTTTCTTGAAATCGGTTGAGTTTGTTTTCGACATGCCTATTATGTGAACAGGAATAATTTCAAAACCCTTGTGAAAATCAAACCAATACTTACCAGAGATAAAGTTCAGATTCCAAGCTTTAAAATGATATAAAAATAATGGCGGTACGTGTTTCCGCGGCGACGCTAGAGCCTGGCAAAAAAAATGTTGTGGGTATGTTGGGACGCGCTGACTACATGTATGTTTTTAAATGAAACACTCTGCTTGTCCACTAGTGAAGCAAAGTTTAGTTGTTATCCAAAGGAAATATTTAGTAAGGTTTCTTTTATCTTACTAATAATATTATGAAGTAATGAGTTCACAGTTTTCAATATCAAGTTTCTGAATGTACTGAAAACTGTCATCTGTAGATCCCAGAGGGAAGGTCAATGGTGCGTGGGCCTGTTCTGCTTTTTTTTTTAATGAGGGATTATTGTTTCTTAAATGCCTACGTAATGAGAGTGGAGTCTTAATGAGAGAGTGTTCCTTCTTTTTTTTCTTTTTACAGATCTCGGAAAACAACCAGACTGCCCCGTTTGTTGCAATGTGCGGCCACCTGAAGAACAAAGATCACTTTAACGACATCTTGTTCTCCTCTTCAGTCATAAAGGTATTGAAATGTGTCGATCGCCAAGGGGAATATGTAGTTCCAGTTTTGGTGAAAGGGGGCATTAGCTAGAGGCATTGGGGCGTACCAAAGAAGCACAAATGTCTCTACTGGGGGTAGGGATGTGCTCCCCTGAAAATGTTGAAATCTAGATGCTTTCTCAACCCTTCTTGGGCATCTTTTAGAAACTTTAAACCTGAGTCGGGCAACTGGGGGAGGGGAGATTCAATTACCCCCCCCCCCCTTTCCCCGGAAGGTGCATTGCTAATGTTGCTAGCATCATGACTTCGGGTGTAATCCCTGCTACGTGGCATATACAGGTTTATGGCTTCTGATTATGACTAGCGTCCCTTGAAAAAACGCATCAACTAACATAGGGCTGGATACATGTAGCTCAGTTGGTAGAGCGTTGGAATGGCAATCTGAAGGTTGCAGGTTCAAGCCCTGCTCAAGTCAATTTCTATGTTCAATTTTAAAATGATGATTTAGTTGTCAATGTTTTTTTCTTTTTTTTCTTTTTTTTTGGAGGGGTTACTTTACAAGCTTCTGTGAAAGCTGAATACCATTTCAAAGAATAAATTCTGTAAATTCCTCTGGGTTACTCAATGGCCTACCTGCCCCAGTACAGCTGGAGGATAGTGTAAAATACAAAGCAAACATGTATAAGAATTTTCTGAGAGTTTGTCTTATTAAACACTGAGCATTTGCTGTTCTTTTTTATTTTTCCTGAAAGATCAACAAGCACAGCAAGTGTGCCGAGCGAGCACTGCTAGTCACGGACAAGTTTATCTACAAGCTGGATCCCAAGAAGAACTTCAAACCCATGAGGATAGGCACGCATATATCAGAGGTGATTTTTGGATCTTCATTAGTATAAAGACATAATCGTTAAAATAAGAAATTATAGCTGGAACGCACAAAATACTATCCAGGAACCGGATTTTAATTTCCATTGCGTTGTTTCATCATTGACTTTTGGGTGATTTCTTAAAAGCTCTTGGATTCGAAAACCGGCTAAATTTATGCCGTCCTTTAAAAATTGAATAGATACATGCCCACTGTTAAATAATCAAAAATAGTATACAACGCAATGTTTAATAATGCAATTTTTTGGTTCTGATGATGTCAGCGATAAGCAATAACAATTTTAAACCCAAAGCCAAACCAGATAGCCTTTGAGACCGAATTTTTACTTCTTGTTAACTGTTAGTGATACACATTATTTGCTCTCTTGTCTTTATTTGTTATAAAGTGTTCAAATATACGTGACTCGAATTGACTCAAGCTAAATATTTGACTCGACTCGACCTTCTTGACCTAATGACTCGACCTAACTTCTTCTTTAATATGACTCGATTCGACTTGAGTCACTTCTTTAAAATAACTCCACTCGACTCGAGTCACAAAAATCAGTGACTCCTTACAACTCTGCCGATAGTTCAAGGGTCATAGGTCAGAATCAACCAAATGATGTGTTGTGTCCTTGAGTAAGGCAATGTATTCTATCAAGTGCAAATTGCATATTTAGGTGTACAGGTACATGTTAACATGTACAATTTTTTTTTTCACAAAAATTGAGGAATTTTCTTCGACTCTGAGTGGTTAGCACATGTACATGTAAGAGTAGAAATGATGGGAATGGCACATTGATGTGTTTATTATGAGTACAGCCACAGGTACATTTTTACTTTTGCTGAAATTTTCGTTTTTGTGAAAATATTTTGAGATGCGGGGATGTAAAGTCCTGTTCATGTAATTATATGATTTTCTCCCTGTTTTGTATGGTGGATGAATGGTGCGATTTATTTTTCATGTACACATGTACATGTACAATGTTTATATCAATTTCCAAAGTATCAGTTCACAGTCAAAGCCCTGGAGACACGGCAGAGAGATTATAATACGCATATATAGAGTTACATAAACATGATCCAAATATGATATCCATATCATTAGTTTGAACTTCTGTGTGTATTTATAGAAATTAATCATGTTTTTCAAGGGGATTTTGTGGCGAAAGCTGGAAAACACGGATCCCCGGATCAATTGCTCACCACTGAAAAATGCAAATCTGTGATCAATCATGTTGGCAGAATGGTACAGTCCGCACCTTTCATTACTGTTACCCAGGTTCGAATCCTACCTGGGCCAACACTTGAATTGAGTTTTCAGTCGCTACCTAATTCCATGGGTTTCCCCGGAACGTCATTCTGGGTTTTTTCCTCCCACAACTAAAACTGTAATCTCCTTCTTCATCTTACCAGACGACTAGTCTGGTTACCAGACCAAAAGATGCTGACTATTCTGACAACGCTTAGGTCTGGTAGCTGCCACGGCTAAACATAAGGCCAAACAAAAAAAGTCTCCGGTTTCTGGTATGGAGCTTGCCCAAAAAGTGGTGCGGCAACACGGCTTTTTTTTTTTTTTACCTGTTTTTTTTGCTTCAAATGTCGGCTGATGACTGCAAATGGTGCCCGACTAAACTTAGTGCAAATATTATGGGAGACCAGAGAGGCCACATAAAGCTTATTCTCGATCATAATCCCATCTAAAAACACGTTAAAATTGTGCAGCAGCAGGATTCCAGTCAAACCAGTGAGTTTGGCGGTTTTGGGACATCATCTTTCATTGAAAAAAAAACTTTTTCATTTTGCCGACGTGCATGGCTACGGCGACGCGCGCGCATACCATTTTTTGGCCTAAACATGACCAAAAACAGTCAGAATCCTGCCCCTTTCCAGAAAAAAAGTCCCAGTTTACTGATTGCATTTCGTTGGCACTCGGGTATGTTCACAGCTTGGGTATTTCCGGGTGTAAATCAGTTTTGAAAATTTTGAGTTCATAAATTTGTTGCTTACATTAAACAAAAATGTAATGTCTGGTGTGTTACCCATTATCCGTATTAACTGTCCAATATAGAGGTGCCTCAAGTATACATTCGCACTAGACATAAGCTTTGCTGCGTCATGTTCTATTTTTGACTTTGACAGCTACCTGTCCTAGGATTTTGTCAGTTACCAGATTTGGAACCAGTTACCAGACTAACCAAAAAGACCCCACTGGAAACAGTCAAAAAGATTTGCGTGGGCTACCCTGGCCAATTATTAATCAATAAATGTTATTGGCAGGTGACGGGCATGAGTATCACGCCAGGCTCAGACCAGCTGGTCATCCTACACCTGTCTGGAGACAATGACATCGTGGTGGGACTGACCAACACCAGAGGAGAGAACAGGGTGCCTGAGCTGATAGGTGTGCTGTGTAGACAGTGGATTGTGTAAGTAAACAGCAAGTTTTATTTTTAGATTGTTTTGATTTATTTAATATTTGTCACACTTTGGACCCTGAATTTATAGAATGACCTGTATCCATTTATAGTTTGTTCGACCCAAGAGTTCTTTAAAGCTATAGTCCATCATTTGCAGCCATCCGAAAAGTAACTGGCGTCATCATTGTTGAAAAACATACTTGGTTGAAAGATAGTAAGGGGACTAAACTCCATGTGAAATTATTCTTTCTTGCAAGCTGTCATGTTGAAGTAATCAACGAAAGAAGGCCTTTCCAACGGTGTGTCTTAAGACGCACCGTAGGAAAATTTAAATTAGTAGTTCGTTTTGTTATTCGGCGAAGCAAGCGCAAGCATTGGCACGACACACACGCGCGCGCAGTTGCTAAAATTTGTCGGATCAGTGCGCGATATCGCATATAGCTACAATCGGCTCAGTGAGAACGCGTCTCGGATGCTGAATTCAGGCCAATTCAAAACATGATTCAGCAACTTTTGATTTGAAATTGAGATCCTAGAATGCTGTTTTTCTCGGAATATACAGCTGAAGCTGAGCTGAAACTTCATCAGGTTAGTTGTTCAGTATCCTTCATGAGATTTTGAACACTTTTGTTGCTTCAAACGAACAAAATGCACAAATTACAAATGATGGACTATATCTTAAAGGTACATGTAGAGTACATGTACGTGCAGATCATTTGCAGCTCTCCAAAAAGTAACCGACCAAACTATTGGTAAAAAGCTTATTTGGTTTCAAGATATTAATGACACTTAATTCCTTATTATTTCGTTTGGCATGCTGTCATTTTGAAGAAAACAACAAAAGAAGGTCATTTCCAAAGATGAGTCAAGTGACTCATTTTTGGAAACTTCTGTTAGTAGTCGGTTTGTAATTTGGCGAATCTGTGAATGTGTGCGCGCAAGCATTGACACAACGGACATGCGTGCATGGTTACTATTATTATTCGTCGGTTCAGTTCGTGACATCGTGTAGCTGCAATCAGCTGACTGAGAACGTGTCCCGAACGCTGATTACGGGCGCAATTCAAAACCTGACTCACCAACTTTTCAATTGAAATCGAGATCCTAGAATATTGTTTTCTCGGAGTATGCAGCATTCACAGAGCTAAAACGACCATCAGGTTAGTTGATAAGCACCCGTCTTTAGATTTTTAGCACTTTTGTTGCTTCATACCTTAACATGCACAAACGACAATACTCTACCTTTAATTGCCCACTACCCTTCAAATTCTGCAAGTGTTCAGGCTGATACCCTTTGGTTTTGTATTCACAAACAGATCCAAGAAACGGGAACTGCGCCTGATAGTAACGCCAACCTTACACTGCCAGCTGGGTAAACACAAGAAGACAATCAGCGTCCAAAAGGTGTCCACGGACCGGCCGGTCTTCAAGAAAGAAGGTCAGAATCTAGTACTACTGTGGCCACTGGAGGCCTAAGGCTCCAACAGGATCTTCTTTGTTTGCCATTTTTTTAAAATAATCACAGTATACCGTATCTTGCAGCTCGACTAATGAGTCTGTTCTCTTTTTTAAATTATTGTGGCAGATCAGTTTGGCCCAATAGTGCCAGTGGCATTACTTCTGTCATGCCTTATCTGTAAAGGTTGTCTTTTGTTAGCAGAGGGATCTATTTGTTTGTTTACTAATAGCTCAGCTTTCACGTTAAAACTGCACAGTTGATCGACTGTCAACACGACTTTACGTGTAGTTCATACATGTAGTCTATATGCAGATGTCAGACATTGTAGACTAGGTTATGAAACAGTAGTGTCGTGCCATTAAGATAAACTGGTTGTGATCTTAAGCCAACCCTCACACTAAATGGGTTAACCAGTTCGCGCCGGGGTTATTTTGGCATCGACCGGACCCAGGCACGGGTTTATTTTTTGCGAACCTTGATGCCAGACTGGTTCAGGCTGTCGTCTGCGGGTAGCAGACCCTGATATTTCCGGCCTCGCTCGCTGTGAGCGGGTCGCTGACAGATATTTCCGGACTCGCTCACTGTGTGTTTATCCTGTTCATACTGCAAAACCTTTGCATGTACACACGTCATCCGACATGAACTGGTTAATTACATCATACATAGCCTGTACATGTATTTACATGTCGTTCCAGTCGTCTTTAATTGGTCCAAGTCTGACCAGTTTCTGTGTGTTCGTTTGGATCAAAAATAGCAAAATTTTGTACACAGTATGTACCATGTACCTACATGTACATGTAAGTTCCATACTACATTTTACATAACGTCTAATCTACAGACGTACATTGACATGTACATTGACATGTCATACACTTTGAAATATTTTATACAGGTGACTAGAAGAAATGAAGAGATTATTTCCAAAGCAGAATATAAACGCCACTTTCTTCCCTTTTCGAATCCTGCTCACTCCCGTCTGCCCAAAGTCAGTTTCGACGGGTTTTATACAGGGTGGTCCAATAAAAAAAGGGTATGGCATATACTTCCACTACCCTGAGACTCAAACCACATACACCAATGCATGGAGAATCTTTTTTAGAAGAAAAATGAAACCAAGATCACCCGATTCGGTCCAGTAGTTTTTGTTCGAGAGCCTATTTTGTGAAGCAAGGTGGGTGTAATTTTTGTCCGGATGAATTACTAAACCGCGCCTGGGAATTTGACTTACATGCACATTGTAATTGATAGAGAGAGTATTATGTAATAATACCCACATTAAAGAAGTGTACTTCACAAAATAGGCGCTGCGGCAAAAACTACTGGACCGAATCGGGAGATTTTGGTATCATAATTCTTCTAAAAGGATTCTCCATCAATTGGTACAGATGGTTTGAGTCTCAAGGTAGTGGAAATATGCCGTTCCGGTTTTTTTTTTTTTTTTTTTTTTTTACCATCCTGTATAGTTAAATACAATTTGTAAGAAGACAATAAAGCAAAGAATGAAGTTTTGAAAAAGCTGTTATATTGTTTTTGCCCGTTAAACTTTGATAAGCAGCACATTTTTCCACTTCATTTCGAATGGATATCGCATTTTGGAAATAAAATCATCAAATTTAGGTCAATACTTCCTGCGCTGTTCTTTTATCCCTACAAGGGAAATAAATGCTTTAACTTTAAAATCTATTTATATTTTGCTTGATTACACCAAAGACAATACAGCTGTGGCTCATCAAAGTTTCACAAAAATTTTACTTTGTGTGCTGTGCAAGAGAAGAGATTTTAAGTACTCTCAATGTGTGTGCTTTTTTTTGGTAGTAGATATAGCTTTGTTTATGTATTTAGTGCAGTATGAATTTTTGGTGTCCAAAAAAAAATTGAAAGATTTATCAAGAAGAAGATTGGGTTACATGTTATTTTCTCCTTGTCCAGTTTCATGTATTTACTTTCAGTGGTTGCTTTTAAAGCTTAAAGATGTTTCGTGTGCTCATCCTTTTATGTATTTTTAATAGAATCTATCTTAATCAATGCAGGTACTTTAGAGAATTACGGTACTACAGGTATTATGGTATCAGTACTGTAGTATTTCCTTCGCTTTGTGTGTTTTCACTAGATTAATATAGTGATCAAGTAATCTATTGGCTGATCTATCGACCAGAATCAGAAGCCATTACTAAAGTAATCATAGTGTTATGAAGCAGTTATAAACCTGTTATGCCCTGGCCGCTTACAATTGCACGAGCCGAAGACTGCATAGACCGATCCTGTAAGCCCCGCCCCATGGTGTTCTGACCAATCACAGTCGTGATTTATGTCCAACATGCAAATTCGGACATGCTTGCACGTGCTTGGGATATTTCCCAACATCTTGGGAATTTTTGGCCAGGGCTTGGGAACGTTTCCCTGAGCCTTGTTTTTTTGCGTATTGAGAACACACAAAATTATGGATTGCGCATGCGCAAATTGTCAATTGAAGAACTCTGCTAGCCACATTCAAATTGGAAAAAAATGTGCTGCTATATTGATATTTAATGCTGATATCTTGGGAAATCATGAGAATTTTTCTGCGGTCATCTTGGGATTTTCAAATTTGATCAGTGGCCAAGCTGCGTGCGTATGACGCATGTGGTTGGAACATGTAGCACTGGAGAGGAGCACATGTTAACTCGGGCGATTCACAATGCAGTGTGCCACCAAGAGTTTGCCACAGATAGTTCATTTTTCCCAGTGCATTGTGGGAGATGGTCGACAAATTCGCAGCGCGGGACATTTGAAATTGTTCGTTTTTCCGGTCAGTAGTTTCATAAGCATATGATTCGAGTATATATTTGCCCTTTTCATTGTATCAATATGGTGTTTTTGATAAGGCGGCAGAACGCTATGCCCAAATCTATAACAAATTAGCTCCAATTGTCTACTGACACTCATACAAATGGGCCATGTTTTGTTGACCGTAAACTTGAAAAGTTGACTCTCCATGGCAAACTCTTGGCGGCGCACTGCATTGTGAATCGCCCGAATTGCCCACATGCGCAATGGGCGGGGCTCACTGGATAAGTCTATTGACAACGAGGCCCCTAAACAGTTTTATATCTGCTCCATCACACTACTGGTACATGTATTATCCCCATTCATGAAAACCTTTTCCATTTAAACCATAAAAAGTTGACAAGTTGACAAACTTCAAACGATTTTGTTAATTACCACTTTCCTCCTTGTTCAGGTTAATTCTATGGTGCGTTGTTTACGCAGTGTGCTAAAAAAAAATCCCCATTATGTTTATCATATCAGTGGTTCTCAAGCAGGTCATCCGGTTGCATGAACCAGTTGTAGCCTGTGCGCACAACGTGCACAGCGCTCACAATGCAAACTGCACGCTTATGGCCTGTGTGGCACTATGCGCAACATGCGCATACTGCACACATGATGATGTAGCACAGAGTCTTGCGACCGGGTTTAAACATCACTGACTGGTGTTAAAGGGCAGTTTGAAACCACCCACATGACGGGCTGTTGACCAATAGGAATGGGTTAACTGTCTCAGGTATTTATGAATGATGAGGTCGTACCTATGAACACGTATTTATTCAAGCTTTTAACCAATTAGGGTTGCAAACTTAATCATGTGCCTCAACAAAATTTAAGACTACCATACTACTACTACTACTATACCGTACATGTACTTGCCACATATACCGTTTTCCTGGAACATGCAAGCAGGGTACATGTACATTGTACATGAACCACTTCACAGGATTTATATGACTATGACGAATAATAATAATTGTTGATACGTGTGAACATGTTTGTGTGTGTTTAAACCTTAAGATGATAAGAACAGAATTTTGTCCAAAAAAAATCTAATTTAACGAGATGTACATGTAATGATGTAATGCACCTACGCATCTTAGACCAAACAAAAAATTAGTCGGTCTCTGGTCAGCGCGCGCGTCGATTTTAATCATGCGCGTCAATCTTTTTTTTTTCCAAAATGTTCCGCGGTAGCTCCAACAGCGCCTTCCATGATTGCTGCACCTCCTCAACTTTTTTTTTTACCAAAGAGCACCAAGGAATGGGAAATTGCACCAAGGCAAATGATCGAGATCACCAAGGCAAATTATGGAGGACACCAATGTACATGAGGACACCAAAAAAGCAAAATAGTACCCCACCTTGTCTGTACAATCCAAGCTTGAAGAAAAAAAAAAAAGCAAAAAAAAAAACAAAGCCGCGTCAATTCCGGAACTTTGGTCTGACCAGAGACCGAATTTTTTTTTTTTGCCTTATAAGATGCAGCCTATTTTCCCTGATTTTCTGGTAAGACTTTTAGTTAATACTTTAGAATTGGGCAAAAAGTTATTTACATGATTTCAAAGCTGACATTTTTTTTACATGAAGTTTTATTATTTTTCTTTCTTTGAAGGGTTGCAGATTATTAACACAAATAGGAAGCAATTTGTCTTTCATAACATCATTTGTACTCTGCCTTTGATTTTTACTGATTTATTTTTGGATACAAAACAGTACAACAGCTCAGCGACTAAGCTTAACAATACAAGCTAAAATAGAAGGTATTTTTTTAATTATAACTTTTGCAATTACTCAATTTTTTTTTCTTCAGATAATATATTAGCGATTTGCAGCAATAAGGTTTCAATATGTACATGTATGATTCTATATTATGGTCTTCACCCTTATTTTTGAGAAAAAGGAGTTGAATTTGGTTTTGAATATGTTCAAAATATTTTTTCAAAGTCATTTTTGAGCATACTCCTTAAAAAAAAAAAAACATATGTTAACTGAAATCTTCTGAAGTATATATTAATATTTGAAATATTTGAACAGGGCACATAACACATCTTTAGGGCTTTGTCAAACATTTTTTGGGGAAAAGGTATATACGTGTTGTAATAGGCCCAGACCCGTATTTTGTATTTTAGCATGATATTTAATGCTTTTGTAGATATTCTATTTTAGTACATGTAGACCACTTTTGTGTGCAAAGGAGTGATTTTTGTGTGCATAAATGCAATAATTAAACATTGTCTCTTCAA